GCGCTTACCATCTTCATTTGAGAGATCACCCAAGTCACCTCTTGGTGCTTGAAGATGTTCGTGGTGGAGAATGGTCAAATGTCGGAGAAGCCAAGGAACCTTTCGCAACGCATTGCACATGCCGCTCGATGGACCTGCAGTACATGCTACAGTGCGACACGTGCAGCAAGCCTTTCCATCCAGGCTGTGTCGGAAAAGGTTTTCAAGGCGAGGCGCACTATGATTTGCCCGACCGCGACGAGTTCCTGAAGGCTGACTTTGAGCATTTCCGGCAAGCTCAGGATGAGGTCTTCACATGCAAGAAATGCGATGCTCTTGACCTCTTCGAGAACGGGATTGCGAAGCAGAGAAAGCGGGACAGACTCCACGCAGACTTCTTGCTGCAGTACATGCCAAAACTGATGATTCAGAAGGGCGTGATGATGAAGAGAGCAGTGTCGGATGAACAGAGAGCTCTTGTCGATTCTCACTTCGCTGCAATCGAGGAGGAGATGAATGAGGGCAAAGTCTTGACCGACGAGCACTGGAGAGCACTGCTGGCCAAATCTCAGCAGATCAATTTCCCGCCTCCAAAGCCGCAGAAGCGCGATGCGATGGAAATGGACGAGCCGATGGAAACGGACGAGCCGATGGAAACGGACGAGCCGATGGAAACGGACGAGCAGACTCCCGACCAGACCAATGGCGGTGATGCGGCCCAGAGTGTCCCAGTTGCAGCAAACGATGGTCCAGCGAAGCGTACCAAGGTCGAACGCCCTGGGCAGCCGTACAGACTTGGAGTGTCCATGACTTTGCGAATGGACAATCGCCGCAAGGACTGAAGCTAGGTGCTGTGGAGAGAGACGAGTTGTGAGGCTTGCGTTGTGTGATTGACTTTTTGGGAGGCTTGCGTTGTGTGATTGACTTTTTGGGAGGCTAGCATTGTGTTCTTGACTTCTTTGGCCGGCCAAGTGAAGGATGAACACCACAGAATGTTGCTGCTTGGAATGGGAGAGCTGTATGGGTTCCACGCTTGTACAGCAGAGCTTGCACCACAGCGTGTTGCTGCTCGAGATGGAAGAGCCATATTGGTTCCGTGCGTGTACAGAAAAGGTAGCAGCAGATGAAGACCCAGGAGGTCATCACGTCTGCTCAAATGAAATCTTTGCTCCAGCTCCGCTTCGCTTCTTCACGGATCAGCCCTTGAGGAACCACAAAGATGCGATCGACAGCGGGATCCATTGTGTAAAATGCTCTCCGCACCATATCGTAGGCTCTCGCCGCACGTGTGTCTCCGCCAGCGCAGCGCAGCGTGGGAAAGATCCGGCATTCAAGCCTTCGTGCCATCTCGATGCCGTTCAACAGTCCACGGCTGGCCGGTAGATTGCCCAAGGTCGTATTCGCATGATGGCATATCCCGTGCAGGATGGTTGCTGCCAACAAGAATATCACGCTGATGAAAGTGCCAGGTAAAGTCACGAACCAAGTGCAAGGCTTGTGTGATCGAGCCAATTACACGCCGGTTATTCCTGCCTCCACCTCGACGCGTTCCGACGTGTCTCTCCTGCCATTTCCGTCATCGTGCACGGCTCTCTCAGCAACGACAACGCTCACGACTGCTCCGCCTTTGCACAGACATCGCGACCAAAGCAGTAAATACCAGCCAACGCCATGTCGGGCCATACACGAAAGCGACAATACCAACCCTCCAACCAGACGACACTGAACTCTTTCTTTGGCCGGGCAACGAACGCGAGATCACCACTGTCCCCTCCACTCGACGATGCAACACAATCTTCGCTGCTCAGCGTCGGCATGAGAGTCCGCAAGTCGGTACCAGAAGGATACAAAACACATAAGACGTTGGGGTCGCCGGGGTTCCCGTTCCCAAGCTCGGATCCCTCTCAATCACACTCGTCTGCGGCGCCCTCGCGACCGAGCATCAGCGCCATAAACTCGAGCTCAAATGAGCTCATGCCATTCTGCGGGCTACATAAGACTGGTGGACTCTCTTCGCAGCCGATATCCTCAGCACCGCCCGCCCTCGATAGGCGGGCAGATGATATCCCAGATCTAGCAAGATCACAGAGCACGATCGCATCAAGTCAGAACAGCTTCTGCGGGACAAGCTCGCAAGACGCAAGCTCCAAGAAACGTAGCTACGAGGATGAAGTGGAATCTGATATGGATGCATTTTTTGACGAAGGAGAATTCGGTGACGATGCCGGACTTGATGGAGCGACCAATGCACGACCCTTGGCTAGAATGAAAAGTTCTCCACGCAAGTCGCTCGTTGCTGGAGTGCAGATAGTTGACGACGATGATTTCGAGGAAGCAACATTTCTTGTGCCTATGGATGTTGAATAGAGGACGGGGACGGAGGCGAAAGGACTGAAGGCATGGGCTCGTCCACTTGTACAACGCTGTATTGTACTTTGCGTGAATTTCTGATTGATGATACCCAATAGCGTTCTTGATAGCAATTTCTATGCATGCCACGATTTTCTAAGGCTTATACAAGGCAGCTCAACTGAGTCGCGTGACCGGTCTGCAGCGCGTTGTCTGACGTTTCTGACGTAAGTGTCGAGTGCGGGCAATTTTTTAGTTCTTCTGCACGAAAGCCGTGTTCGAGCGTGGCGTGGCGGTCTCTCATCCAGGGGTGAGCGAGAGCGCTTGGGCTGGCTGCGTTGCGCGGGGCATCCAAAAGCGCGTTTTCTTCCACGCAATTCCCAGGCCGGCTTGTCTTTTTGCAACGCTTCTGTCGCCAGCACCCACCAGAATCCGCACTCCTTTCGTTTTCCCACCGCCGCTCAGTTGTTGGCTGCAGACAGCGCCCGAGTGTGGAGGAGGCAAGATCGGCCAGAGCCCAAACCCTTGCAGATCCACGTCCACACGAATCTTAAACTTCGTTTGCGACCACCGCTCGCTCTTACATGACTGTTTAATTAGAGCGCCGAAGCTCGACTTCCACACACACACCCGCTCGGCGCATCACTCGCACCGCCAATATGGACGTCAATCAGGTCCTGGCCGGCACTCTCTCGCCAGGTATGTGTTGAGCAGCGCCGATGAGGCATACCCTTGGCACCTTCTGCCTCACCAAACAGACCATAAAGACGGCTAACGGGGATGCAGACGCGAACACTCGATCACAGGCCGAGCAGCAGCTGCAACAGGCTGCCGAGCAGGACTTCGTAAGTATTCTCTCGCCCACCCACACATCCCTCTCTCTTGCCCACGGAACACCCACTGACCGCCCGCTGCAAATTCACAGTCCCAATACCTCACCACCCTTGCCAGCGGACTCGCCAATGAGCAAGCCGACGCCACTGTGCGCATGGCCGCCGGCCTCGCGCTCAAGAACTCCTTCTCCGCCCGTGATTACACCCGCCTCCGCGAAGTCCAGCAGCGATGGCTCGAGCAAATAGACCCCCAGATCAAGACCCAGGTCAAGCAGCTTGCCCTGCAGACACTCGAATCGAACGATGCCCGAGCAGGACAATCAGCGGCGCAGTTCATTGCCGCCATTGCTGCTATCGATCTGCCCCGAGAGCAATGGCCGGAGCTGATGGCAACACTCGTCAAGAATGTGGGCAACGGATCAGACCGCACAAAACAATCCTCTCTCACCACAATTGGTTTCATCTGCGAAACAGACGATCAGGACTTGAGGGATAGTCTGGCACAACACAGCAATGCTATTTTGACTGCGGTTGTGCAAGGTGCACGGAAAGAGGAGCCAAACGTAGACATCCGAAATGCTGCCATTACAGCCCTCGGCGACTCTCTTGAGTTCGTGCGAACCAACTTCGAAAATGAGGGCGAGCGCAACTACATCATGCAGGTCATCTGCGAAGCTACACAGGCCGAAGACACCCGAATCCAGCAGGGTGCTTACGGATGCCTGAACCGAATCATGGGCTTGTACTACGACAAGATGCGCTTCTATATGGAGAAGGCACTTTTCGGCCTGACGATTCAGGGCATGAAGAATGACGAAGAAGATGTTGCCAAATTGGCTGTGGAATTCTGGTGCACAGTGTGCGAAGAAGAGATCAGTATCGAGGACGACAATGCTCAGGCACAGGCAGAGGGCAGCACCGAGCTGCGGGCATACTTCAACTTCGCACGTGTTGCGACTCAAGAAGTTGTGCCTGTGCTGTTGGAGCTGCTCGCAAAGCAGGACGAGGATGCGGGCGATGACGAATACAATATCTCACGCGCAGCATACCAGTGTGTCCAGCTCTGGGCGCAGGCTGTTGGCAGCCAGGTCGTACCCCAAGTCCTGGCTTTCGTGGAGAAGAACTTGCGAAGCGAAGACTGGCACTATCGGGACGCAGCCGTATCTGCTTTTGGCGCGATGATGGAGGGCCCGGATGAGAAGGTCCTTGATCCTCTCGTCAAGCAAGCTCTTCCCGTGTTGATTCAGATGATGGGCGACGCCCACGTCCAGGTCAGAGATTCTGCCGCTTTCGCACTTGGCAGAATTTGTGAAGCAGTCTCGGACAGCATCGATCCACAGGAACACCTGCAGCCACTTATCACCGCACTTTTCCAAGGTCTGGCCTCGCACCCAAAGATGGCCAGCTCTTGCTGCTGGGCACTTATGAACTTGGCCGATCGATTCGCTGGCGAACCCGGTTGTCAGACAAATGCACTTTCCCAGCACTTCCAGGCCAGCGTTCAACACTTGCTCCAGCTTACCGAGAGCACCCCTGACAACATGCTTCGCACTGCGGCATACGAAGTGCTCAACGCATTCGTCACTAATGCTGCCAATGACTGCGTGCACATGGTTGCTAGCTTGTGCGAAGTTGTCTTCCAGCGCCTTGAGAGCACGATCAATGTGCAAGTGGTCTCTGTGGAGGAGCGACTCACTCTTGATGAGCTCCGCACATCCCTCGCATCTGTCATCATGGCCATCGTTCAGCGCCTCGAGAAAGAGATCGCCCCACAAGCTGATCGCATCATGTTGCTCTCCCTACAGTTGTTGCAAGCTCTGCCACCCAAGTCCAGTGCACCCGACACCGTGTTTGCCACTATTGGCGCGCTCGCAAACGCTCTGGAGGGCGACTTCGACAAGTACATGAAAGACGTTCAACCTTTCCTGCTCAAGGCGCTGAACAACCAGGAAGAGCCACAGGTCTGCTCGATTGCAATCGGCCTCGTTACTGACATCGCCCGTGCGCTCGATCAGAAGGTCCAGCCATACTGCAACGACTTTATGAACAGTCTCCTCACCAATCTCCGCAGCACCACGTTGGGGAATCAATTCAAGCCGGCGATCCTGCAGTCGTTTGGTGATATTGCTCAAGCTATCGGTGGCGAATTCGAGCCTTACCTCTCCGTTGTCGCCCAGGTTCTTCAGCAAGCTGCAGGCATCAGCACACAGGAAAATGCATCGAGTTTCGAGATGCTGGACTACATCGTGTCCCTTCGTGAAGGCATTATGGACGCCTGGAGCGGGATCGTCATGGCATTACGAGGATCGAACAAGCAGCAACTGCTCCAACCCTACATCGAATCGATCTTCCAGCTTCTACACAGCGTATACCTCGACCCGAACCGGACTGAAGCACTCTTGAGATCTAGCATGGGTGTCATTGGGTATGTTCACAAATCTCCACTTATGTTTTCTATTCACTGACTGTCATTCTTAGCGACATCTCCGAGGCTTTCCCCGGAGGCGAAATCAGCCAGTTCTTCCGACACGAGTGGCTCACGTCCATGGCCCGTGAGACTCGTGCCAACAAAGACTTCTCCCAACGTACGCAAGACACTGCTCGCTGGGCCCGAGAGCAGATCAAGCAGCAATCAGGTAAGCACATCTCGAAACTGGTGCCAATTTGTCATCGACGGCACTTCCTTCATGTTGCTGTCAAGGATTCCGGCTAATATCTCAAAAGCTGCAGCCGCTCGCAACGTGACCATGTCCTAGCCGGGCGTAGCACTAAGCACCGGAAATCCTGACGAGCCTGGTTCCGATGGCCTTCCTCAAGGGCAATGGTAGCTGGCGAGAATGGCGAGATACGAGAATCGCTGAAGTCTCGGCCCTCATCGTCGCGCGCACACTGCCTCTCTGCCCATAGAGACCTTTGCGCATTCGGCCACTTCTTCACCACTCTTTGATGGTATTGGAGTGAAAGGGACTGGCCACCATGTCGGATGGACAACAGACTACCAACGAGATCCGCCACTCACCTGGTATCTATCCCGCGGCAAAACCATTGCGGAGGATCCTCAACGAGTTCCCCCCTCCCGCTAATACCTCGCATCTACCCGAAGCACGAGATCACGACGCACGTATGAGACGCCCGCATCGATACCCACCACGCCGCCACCCCCTTTGTCTGCCACCACACGTATAGAGATGCATAGCGCAGAGGTTTGGCCCCGCCGAGAAGGAGAAGAGACTGAAGCAGACTGATAGAGTCAATTACAGCATTGACAGGCATGGCGCCATTGAGTTAGCTTTGGTCATGCACAACAAAATACCCTATTATCCCTCTCGTCAACCCTACCCAGCTCTCCACGTCTGTCTTCTTTGTGATGTTGCTGACTGCTTAGTGAACAACGGCTTTGTGCACACATCTCTTCCTTTCAATACTCGTGAACAGAATAGGCGATTCACAGTTACGGGAATTCCCTCACGTGTTGGATGAGCATTCACAATACCATGGTGCTCTCTCGAGGTATTCACTCGAGCCGTTCACTCACTCCTATGGCGTCGAAGACTTTTAAGCAGGGCATCTTGCACTGTACTCCTCTCTTCTCCTCTCCATCACAACCCACAAATCCGCTTCCCTACCCTCGAAGCAACACAGACAAACCAACACAACTTTCACAACACTGACAACACAGCACGACCACCCATCATGGTCGAAATCACCGAAATCGAAATCGACATTGACGCTATCTTTACACCTCACTCGTCCAACGGAATCAATACCCCAGTCCTCGGACCCGCCCACCGTGGCAAGAAGAAGGAGATCTCCTTCGAAGAGCAACTCGATTTCCTTCTACTCACCAGCAAGTTGACGGTTCGCGAAGTCTCAAACATGACTTCGCCGCGTGTGGCCGAGGCTAGGATCTCGAAGCTTGTTCAGACGGCTATTACCATAGTCGCTGATGAGCACAAGTTGCCGAGACAAGAGATCAAGTATGCCTACGATGTCACGCAGCAGGACAATGGGGTTTTCTTGAGGCGGGCTGCGGAGACTTCGATGAACGGGATTTATAGAGATGCTATGGCTGCTGCTCCAGCTCACGGAGATGCTGAGGGTGGTGATCAGGAGGCGGTCGATGGTGAAGGATCTGAGTAGGCCGAGGGAAGGAGAAGTTGCATGACTGAAGAACGTTGAAGGAAGCTCCGCACTGGTGCTCGTTGGCTCTGTTTGATCGCAGGACGACCTTCGAAGGGCTTGAGACGCCTGATGGCTTGGTGTAGCACCGCACGAGGAGACTGCCAAGCTAAAGACTCGAGATTGGACGCAGGCAGGCCTGCGCTGGGATTTGTGGGCTCTGTTTAATCGCTGGACGATTTTTCGAAGGGCTTAAGACGCCTAGGCTTGGTGTAGCACCGTACGAGGAGACTGCCAAGCTAACTAGAGACTCGCGATTGGACACAGGCCTGCTTGTATGGCAGTATCACACACTCGTTTAAGGATTGCCGGTACATGTTCAGATAGCTGTATGAATTAAAGGAAAGGTCACGAAAAAAGATGTTCGAAATCCAACGTTCTCGTTCATTTCCGATCCGTCATGTTGAGTATTTCAATGCTAAATGCCATGGCTGTATCGTTGCAGCGGAGGAACACACCAAAACGCCAGTGTGATATCTCGTTTAGTCAAACCCGTCTTCACGCTCTCTCATCCTTTCCTCACACTCTTCGACACTTATTTCTTCTTCCCATGCTCTTCGTGAAAGCCCGGCAAGAATACTCGCAGCCCGCTCCACCCTCATAAGCTCCACTGTCTCCATCTCATCAGAATCCTCAGCCACATCCTCAGTCGGCACAGTAGCCACTCTCTCACTCAAAGCCTCCCTAGCAGACCCACTACGCCCCCTCCTTTTCTCCCTCCCCCTCCTCCTCGCCGCAGCAAGTAAATCCTTCCTCTTACTCACACCAAACAATTTCTGCGCAGCCTCAAATTCTCGTCTAACAACCGCACGCTCCACACCATATGCTTTGGCCACGAAGTCTCCGGCATCCGTGAGCCGTGTGCTGACATGTCGTATATCGACCGAAATGGAAGGTCGGGCAGTAGCTACGAAGTCTACGAGGTCTTCGATTGTATAGCGAGCTCCTAAGCGGAGGGCATCTTCGTGGTGTTCGAGGGTGATCCTTGTTCGGGGTTTGATTCTGCCCCATAGGGGGTTTCGGACTCCTAAGGCGGAGTCTTGGGTGAAGAAGTTGGGGGCTGGGAAGTTGGTTAGTAGAATCTCGGGTTGTATGCAAATTTGTGCTTACGGAGTTCTTGGGGGATGGTGGCTGACATTTCCTTTGAATGGGGGAAGTGGTCTTGGGACGGCTTTAAATTGACTGTGAGGCGATAGGAGAGCGATTTGAAGTGGGATCCCACTCAGACGGTCGGCAAAATACGTCGATGAGGGAAGCTGTTGCTCGAGAAAAGCGTTGGTTGTGACCTATGCTGGAAATCTCGTCCAATCTGTGGAAATCTTTTGTTTGCTTATGTATGAAGTTCTTTATGGACTGCGTCCTTCTGTTGATCTCTTGCATTATGCTTGAGTGCGAGGGGAAATCTTTGGCAATGAACAGAGACGCTTCTGGACCCAAGAACTGCGGTGTCGAAGATGAGAGAAGCCTGCTGGATCCGTACCGTGTGTGAGCAACAGCCATCACTGCAGAGGCCTTCACAATGTATTGATCAGGCTTGTTGTCAAATGGCAAGTCGGAGACCAAGGACGCTGAAGCTTGAAATGCAACGTGAAGGTAGGGCGAAGCTAACATCGACAACATTGTATAGAGATTTGACGAGAAGAGACGATGGAACTCTGACACATGGCATTAGCCTCGTTCTAGCAGTTGTTCTGTGTTCCAATTGACCAGAAGCCCATATACCAAACGAGACTTCACTCTGCGTTTTTCTTTTCTGTACAACTGTACATCTGCAGCGAGGTACTCAAACATGAGCCCAGCCAAATTCGTAGATGACCTGCATCTCATCTATCGCGCAAAAGTCTCCGCCCTCAAAATGCGTTTCGGACGCTGCTTTCCACTCTGCAATCCTCTGCTGTATGGTCGAAGTCCGATGCCTGATGAACGAAGTCCAGCGCAGCAGTCGATTCATCCAGATACCATGGACAGCTCGGAACGTTGAGACCCAATTCGCCTTGTGTACCACTCCATAGGCTTCTGGCTGATAGCCAACACGCACGTTTGGGTTTAGGTACACGCCTTTCCATGTCGAGAAGGGGCTGTCGGCGTGAATCAGACAGCATTCCGAAGCTTCGAGATGTGAGTCTGCCAGACTGTCGGGCAGAGCACGGAAATTCAGTGATCGGTAGCCACCGTAGAAGGCCTCCGCCGGCATAGCGACCATGCCATTCCAGCAGCTTTTCACTCTCACGGGTTTGCTGTTCTTGAGAGCTTTTCGACTCTTCCCATTACCGAAGAATGGCCATGTTTGCATCAGTGGCTCCTTGCCATCAATATCCCTCAAAGCAAATGTGTCATACAGACTAGGAGGTTTGGAAAAGTCCAATGAGCATGCAGCGCCATATTCTCCCTCGTTCGTGTGCAGTAGAGTCTGAATGTCATGATTGTCGAATACAACATCATTCAAGAACAGGACCTTGTCGAACTTCAACCCCTTATCGTGCAGCTCAAACAGCGGATCCAATGCCAGATTCCTTGCCTTCGCAAGGTAAGGTATCCTTCTCAACTCCATCTTGCCCGATGGTGTGTAGTCAAAGCCCGGTATCCCCGTCGTAGGTCCTGTCTCTGGTGTCTGAATGAACCCCTCCTTCTTCACGCCTACAGGAGGTCTCTTCTCCATCTCCTCCAAATGCGTCGTATTCTCCAGCACAATTCTCCGACTGATGCCAGCTGCTTCTAGTTGAGCGTCGAGCTCTCGCAAGGCGCCTTTACTGTCGTCCAAACTCCCACTCTCGTAGATGCTGAGAAAGACATTCTCGCGGCCGATAGCCTTCGTCAGCTCTATCACCTGTGGGATCCAGTTGTATCGTAGCATATTCTCTGAGGTCCAGTGAATCGAGGTTATGAAGATCTTCTCTCCGCCAAGGGCCGGGGATTTTGTGGCAGCCTCGCGACTGATGGCATTTTTGGCGAGTAGGACCTCGATCACTGTCCAGGCCAGCAGTATGATGGCAGCATACTTGGCCCATCGCTTAGGCGCCGAGTTGTAGGCATCTCGACGTTTGCGGGTGGTGCCCGCTTTCGTAGGTTGGAAGCGTCCGAGGAGGCCAGAGTCCTTCCGCCGACGGGGTTGCATGCTATGTGGTGCATATGAGAAGGTGCGATCTTCTCGTGTGGATTCAGCTATGCCATCGAGACTTGGTCTCCACTCGCGTCCCATATAAGGCACCAGCGGAAGCAAGGCGAGGGGAGGGTGAATGCATTTGTTGTCGGAACGACAGAGCACACGTACGAGACGTGAGGTTTTGGGATTCAGCGAGCCAAGATTTCAAGCTCCATGAACTTTAATGGCGAATGCTTCTGTGAAAAGCATGGGCTGCCATTGATCGCGAGTCGAGCCATAAAAGGAAGTGAGTGATATCAGAGTAGAGCATTTTGTTCATATTATGTATTGGCGTTCGTACTTTCAGTCCATTGCTCAGTCGTGGCAACCACATCATGCTGCATCATCACCTACTGGGCGACTCGCTGCAGCATACACCTCCTACGATGCCCTGCAAAACGGCCTGCTCAATGCCTTGAGGCTTGCCTGACATCTTGCATCGAAGGCATTGCCTCTTCGTGCCGCCCCACCGCAGGCTTTATCCGAGTATACACGTCTCATGCCATCCCACCAACTGTGGCGCCCCATCCATCTTATCCCATTCCACTATTGCACCTTCTTCTCCCTCGCAGCCTTCATAATTTTCCCCCTCTGCCTCATCATATGCGTATAAAGCACATACGCCCCCGGCACATACACAAACAAAATCGCCTTTAACACCCACTCCCAACTAGCATTCCACCTCTTCGCCGGCTCCACAGCGCGATAGACCAACCAACACTCACTCGAGATCCCCAGCGGATACAACACAAGGAAAGTGTTGTACCTCAACCACGTCAAAAACCCAGGAACTTTGCCGTATGTCAAATTGATCGCGAAATACGAGTAGCGAATAATCTCCGTCACGCTCCAGGCGATGAGCATAGTAGAGTAGGCGGGCGAGTAAGCGGTGTGAACGGGGAAATTGTGCGCGATGCCCCAGACGAGGAGGAAGCGGGAGGCGACTTGCATGAGAGTTGTGAAGAGAGGTGCGCGGACGAGGCCTATATTGAGAGAAGAAGAAACGGAAGTACTTAGCCTGTGCGTCTTCTTTGCAATAGAGGATTTATGGTTGTGATATACCAACTGCGGCATGCAAGACTTCAAGTCCTGCGAGCGTTTGTGTCCATTTTGTGAAATCTGCGGTGCCGGTGAAGACGTATTGCCAGCCTTTGGTGGAGGAGATTGCGAGGACGCGGCCGAGAACAACGGACCAGAGGAGTGCGGAGATGAAGTTGTAGAGGATGAGGTAGATGTTCTTCGGGCCGAAGGATGGTTGCTTGCGAGCCTCTTTCGAGACCGCAGGGACAGGCTGCTGTGAGTCTTTCGGGCGGTTCATGTTGTGGACAATATCGTGGTGAGTTGTGAGCTGTTCTCAACAGGTGGATAAAAAGTCCATGGGTAGCTTCCCACTGTTTGGACCCTGTACCGCGCCTGCCAAGCCAAGCTCACTTCCACCGAGGCACGGATCTGCCCCTGCTACAGCATGTGCTGTGCAATGTGATGTGAAAGGAAAGATACAGAACGCAGAATGCGTATTCGATCATATCTTCTTACATTCATACAGCTCTAGCGTATCCTGCATCTCCTCAATGAGGCATAACGAACAGATGACGCTAAAGTGAACGCCATGCTTCCAATGCTTGAAACCCTCCTAACTCCATCATGCATAACCCGTCGCCGAGTCGAGTCCTGCTTGAAAGCTTTCCGTTGGGGGAATTGAAATGTACTCGCAATCGTTGCAAATGTGCAACTAACTGCCCAAAAACACGTGAAGCATAGCTTTTGCGCCAGCTTTCTCGTTGCACCCGTGGACCACGCATTCCCTGAACGGTAGTGGCATGCGGTGCGCTGGGGCCTTTCCTTTTCCTCTCGACGTCTTCGTGCGATACTGAGCACAGGTTCCGCAATACGCCTGTACATAGTTAGCATGGTGAAGCCTAGAATTCCATGACTTCCAACTTACATGGCCACATTTCTTAATGATCCATACTTCTTGTTTCTTCTCATCCTCGCTGACAGCAAGCTCATCACCGCAGTTGGGACACACCAGAACATCATCCTCGGCCGGAGTTCGCGTGAAGCCTTTAGAAGCCGCAGCAGGTGGCTCGTACTTGTCTGCGGTAGTTTGATTTCCACCCGCAATGCCCATATCGAATGCAGGCAGATCGAATTCGAGGCCGATTGCGAGGGGTCCGGCTGCAGGCATGTGAGGTATAGGGTCATGAGTGTCCCTGGCAAACGCGCCGAGTGCGTGCTGCAAGTTATGGAGGTGGTGGAAAAGCCGTCCGCCGCCAGTCATGGCCCTGATATCGTTAAGTCGATCGGTCATGGAGCGCGTGCCGGCACCAGCTGTCGCTGTCGGCCGGTCTGCGTTTACGCCCGCCCTGGTTTCGACGAACACCACATCGTCGTCGTCGCCAGTGAGATCAATAGGCTCGGCGAAGCCGTTCGGATATGGTGTCACGCTTCGATGGCCGCGTGCAGAGTCGCCATTGAGGCGAATTCGAGCGTTCGATCTCGAGCGTCCGGGATTGAGGTCGTCCATGTCTGTCTCGAATGGTGGTGCACGCTGTGGACGGCGAAGTCCAGCAAAGCGCGGATGTGGGTTGGTCGTGCTAGGTGCACGCGGCGGAAACAAAGTCAAGTAATTCGGCGGTTGTGTATGTGAGGCAGCAGCATGTGAGCTGTGCCGCGGACGTTCCTCAGCTTCTGATTCACTTTCGAGATCAATTATGTTTCTTCCGAAGCGTGGGCCGCGTTGAGCACGTGAAGCCCCGCCTGACGGTTCACCAAAGATTGACCCTGAACGTCTTGTTGTCTCTTGCATATCATCCTCCGCTGTCAGATCGATTACTCCAGTGTCATTTGAACGTCCTCCATTGCCGTTGCTGCCACCAACATTACTCGACGTCATGGGCCTGCGAAAGTCCAGTCCGTCACCAGGATAGCGAGGTGGTAGGCGTGGCAAGGCCAATCGGTTTGACAAGCGTGGTCGCTGTGCGGCGTGCTCGTTGTTGTAATGGTCGTCCTGCGTCACGAAGAGCGAGTCGGGTGAAGAGCTTCTGTGGCTCGACGCCATTGTATTGTAGTTGCGCTGTGCAATCATGTCAGGCTCTGACAAGTGAAGTGGCGTCCAGATCTCATGAGTGAGAAATGTAGTGCATACCTTCGTGCTCTCACGGCGAAGCAGCGGGTAACCTCCAGAGCCACTGCCCGAATCTCCGCCGTCCATGCTGTCGTCACTGCTCGAAGCCACCGCTCGGCTGATCTGTTCGGTCTACGCAAAATGGAAGGTGTTGCTGCACGGCAGCTCGTCACACTGCCTGTGTCGGAGGGACGCGAAAGTGCGAAAGCGGCGGTCGAGTGGTGTGTTGGTGTCGAGAGCGCGGCGCCAAACCAAGGGTGGAGTGGTGGTGGCTTGCGCAGGTGGAACAAAGCCTTACAGCCTGCTGAACAAGCGAACACCTCTGCTTCGGCGGTCGCTGCAAGAACAGAGACGGGTAGAGGGTGGGATCGAGAATCGCGTGGAGGCGAGAAGGACGCGTTCGTGTATGGACAGGAGAGTGTGCAAGCATGTGTTGGACTGTGAACTGTGAAGTGGCAAGGGTTCGGAATTGAGCTGCTATATCCGAGATTTCTATGCTACACACGCGCTGCTATCCAGCTCGAACCATTTACTCCCAGATGGGCCTTGTGAACTCAGTAGGCGCTTCAAAATCAAGAGAGCGTAGGCATAGTCAGCCTACCGATTGCTGCATCGACCTTTCATGCCCCCAAAACGACCAAGGCACTGTCTGTCAGCGCCACAAGGCTCTGTGCTTTGGAACCCCACTTCACGTCCAGCGCATGAAGAGCCTTGGTCAGGGGCGTGCTCCATGTTTTGCTGCTCTTAGTATATTGTGAGACGACAACTCCGCCAGGGCCACTTGCAGCCAAGAATTGTCCAGTGTAGTCCCAAGCGAGGCCAGTTACCGCTAGACCTGCATCGATGGTGCGCAGTGCTTTGAGTTTCCGCAAATCCCAGACTGTCACTGTGGTCTGACCAGAATTGGCAGACGCGAGCCAGGTTCCATTTTCGGAGAAGGTAATTGCTGATACAGGGTTGGCTCCCGAAGGTGACGGGAAAGTGTGTGCCAGCTGCGAGCTCTTCACATCGTACAATCGGAGAGATCCATCGGCGCCTCCTGCGGCGATTAGGTGACCATCAGGATGGAAGGCAATACTTGTGAGTTCTGGAGCATGTTAGTTGCGGTGAACAAGAATGCGTAGACGCGGAGAGGCTGGGTTGTGACCTACCAATATCACCATAGACCTGCGTCATGACTTGCATTGTGCTCAGATCGTATACGATATAGCTCTTGTCGTAGCCAGCAGAGACCAGGAGATCGCCGCTTGGATGACTAGCAAGTGCGTTGGCAGCTCCGGCATGTTGCTGGAATTTGCCCAATACAGCACCATCCTGAGCCACCACGACCGTTCCGTTCGCAGTCGACACAGCCTGCTTATCATTCGCCCAAGCACCACTGAGAATAGCGCCAGCGCCAAGATTGCTTCTCGTTGTGAAAGAGCCTGCTCCCAGGTCGAAGATGCCCATGGTCCCATCCGAATCGCCAGTCAAGAAGAAGTCGCCGGAGGAGTCAGCCGCCAGGTGCTTCGCCCCAGTGAATTGGGTCTCTGCAGAAGCCTTGACATCGTAGGTTTGAATGTGATCGCCGGTGGCCCAATCTTGTGGCACAGCGCGTTGCTTGCGTGTGCTCGAAAGACGCTCTTGTGTTTCCGTCACCTTGGCTGCAGCATTTCCAGACAGTGGCTGGTTGTCGACCTGCATCGCATCTCCATTCGTGCCATTCGCGCCGTTCGCACTGCCACTGACTGACACTCTCGACAAGGCATCCCGAGCCTCATCGCGCTCTTTCTGCAAGCGCGCAATGACTCTTTGGGCTGCATCATTGTAATATAGCGCAGTGCTCAACTCCTGTCTCGTCTCCGCAAGCTGTTGCTTCAATTGGTACGCCTCAAGGATAATCGCATCCCATTCGTTCTGGAAAGTCGAGAGGAGTGCCGGAATCGAAGTGAGGGTTGGAGGTCGAGGCTTAACGGTGCGCGATTGTTTGAGGTCCACGAGGTCGTCCACGGAGAGCTCTTCGCCATTGACGGGATCGGTACCATGCTCGGAGATGTAAGCCTGGATCAAGCGCTTTTCGAAGACATTGCCTACACCTACTGTAAGCCTTTATGTGATTTGACATTGATGCATTGCGCCGGACTGACCACTCTTGCGACTGGCCACCGGCTCTTGCGGCGCCTCGCCGGAGACTGTGCGACGGCGTTAGCGAAGTCTGAGATCGAGATATTTCCATTGTACTCACTTGCGCACAACATGATGAGGCTCAGGAAGTTTGGTGCTGGAATGGAGCTCTCGTCGCGCGCGTGTCGCGATCGAGGGAAATCTCAACTGGGACGCAGCCACCGGCGTTACATTTCACCGACTTGGAGACACCTGAGGCAGAAATGCGGCGGTCTGGACGAGTGAGACTGGCCAACACCTCAATTCTCAACGAGCCATGGCAACCGGGCCTTTTGGTCATGACCCCCCACAACGACGTTATGGCTATCTCACCGGCTTGCTTCTAGTCTGGACCAGCGCCCTGACCGAAGCAACACCGCTCGTGCGGCCATCGATCACATCTCCGGCGTCGCACAGCAGCTTTGCGCCTCTCCAGCTCTGCGTGAAGACAGCGAGATAGCGGACGGTGAAGCATGCGACCAAACAAACAATGCCACGCGCCGAAGCCGCATTCACGGCTGGCAGTTTGCACTTCGGAAATGATCGGATTGGCGGAGGTGCCCACGGAAGGCGCAGGGATGTGACTACCCCTCGACCCCACCAAGCGGCCTTGGATTGACGTCGTGCTGAAGGCAGTGACAAAGTCTTCGCTCCAGCCCTCGACTGTTTGTCTTATATTTCCCAGCTCACACCAAGCTTCCCTCATACATCTACCCTCGACAACCCATCAAGGTCATCCCCGAAACTCTTTTTGCGAAACGAGTAATTGGAAAAAGTTCACCACAGTAATTCACCATGGCTCAAAGCGTGCTGTCCACCAAGGCTGGTGTCATCTACGGAGGTGAGTCGAGCGAACTCCAGCAGAGGCAGCGTTTGCGGCAACTCTCTTCCACTCAATGGATTCCCAAAAGCCTCATGAAGCTCAATTCGCCGCTCCTTGTCGTCCAATGGCAGGAGAGGCATTTTTACCAGTCACACTAACATTTTTGCGCAGATGATGTCAAGAACCTCTTCAAGTACGCCCAGGAGAAGAAGTTCGCCATCCCAGCTATCAACGTTACCTCCTCCTCCACCGTAGTCGCCTCGCTCGAGGCTGCCCGCGATGCGAAGTCTCCTCTCATCCTGCAGATGTCCCAGGGTGGTGCCGCGTACTTCGCCGGCAAGGGTGTTGGAAACAAGAACCAGGAGGCTTCCATTGCTGGTGCAGTTGCAGCTGCCCACTACATCCGCGCTGTCGCTCCCTCATACGGCATTCCAGTCGTCCTCCACACCGATCACTGCGCCAAGAAGCTTCTGCCATGGTTGGACGGCATGCTCGACGAGGACGAGAAGTTCTTCAAGGCCAACGGCACCCCACTCTTCTCCTCGCACATGATCGATCTGTCGGAGGAGTCTGTCAAGGAGAACATTGAGACCACCGCTGCCTACCTCAAGCGCGCTGCGCCAATGAAGCAATTCCTCGAGATGGAGATTGGTATCACCGGTGGTGAGGAGGATGGTGTCAACAACGAGGATGTTGACAACAACTCTCTCTACACCCAGCCAGAGGACATCTACGAGATCTACAAGACTCTCGCACCAATCTCTCCATACTTCTCGATCGCTGCTGGTTTTGGTAACGTGCACGGTGTGTACAAGCCAGGCAACGTCAAGCTTCGACCAGAGCTCCTCCAGAAGCACCAGAAGTACGTGCAAGAGAAGGAGGGCACCAAGGACGAGAAGCCAGTCTTCCTTGTCTTCCACGGTGGATCAGGATCCAGCAAGCAGGACTACCTCGATGCCATCAGCTACGGTGTCGTCAAGGTCAACCTCGACACCGATCTCCAGTACGCATACACCGAGGGTATCCGCGACTACATGATCTCCAAGAAGGACTACGTCAGCTCCCAGGTTGGCAACCCAGATGGCGAGGACAAGCCAAACAAGAAGTACGTTTCATTGATTCACAATCACTTTCACAGACATGCTAACAATGTTACAGGTACTACGACCCAAGAGTGTGGGTGCGCGAGGGTGAGAAGACCATGTCAAAGCGTATCCAGGTCGCGCTCACGGATTTCAACACTGCCAACCAATTGTAGATATACCTCATGTGTTACGAGCATTGTGTTTAGGATGAATTGCACATCATGAAGAAATGAATGAAAAGCTACTTCCAAAATTGCACTCACTGCTTCTCGCGTTGCCTTACTCGTACTCTGCCGCGACTACGAACCGAATGGTATTCTCTCCGTAGCACGATAATGTTCCATGAGCTTCGATTGCTGAATACCTCGGTCATTACACCTTCGAAACACAATTGCTTTTCCGAATTGTTCCGTCGTCATTCGTTGTGAACCCCCAAAAGATTAATGCCGCGTGTAAACGAATAGCCGCTAGATTTTGCCATTGAGCCTCCAAGCCCTTGAGCCTCCAAGCCCTTGAGCCGAAACAGAGTCTTGGGTCACGGAATATTGGAAGGACGGCGAAATGGACTCATTGCGTTGAGCAAGGATGGAGCGCGTGAGCCATGGAGGCATGAATGGAGATCTCAGCGCAAAGTTGTCCAGTCTTTTCAGATTTTTCATACATTGCACTGGACTGCAGGCGGCTGCTATCATATCATTACAAGAACAACAACAAAAAATGGTACAGCCATGTCGTCGTCAGATTTTGTCTCACACTCATACAATATTCTGTCCACCTGCTGTACACAATGTCGCTGATAATGACTGATACAATATTTACAGTCTCCTCCTCTTGAACTAATATACAGGCGTAGTCGCCGCAGTTGATCGATATACAGACCTCGTCGAAGCATGATTGAAAGGAGCTCGTTTGATAAGACCTAGTCCAAGAGTCGAAGGTGCGCCGACGAGGTTGCCTTTGCCTGTGGTCTTGGCTTCTGAAGAAGACGATACATCGTTGCCGAATTGAGCCCAGTCGTCGGCTCTGGCGAAGACATTGTCATAGAAAGGCATGTCGAAAGTTCGAGAGTTGGGGTAAGTTCTCTTCGCTGCGATGAGAGGTTGCTGGATTCTTGTGGCTTTGGGCTTTCGAGTTCGAGGCTTAGATGAGGATTTCGCTTTCGTTGCTGGCTTTGTTGGTCGGAAGCCGCCATCGTTGCCATCTTCCTCGTCTGGGAAGGGTTTCTTGCTCGTGGCGGGCTTTTTCATGTCGCGGATGATTTTGTTCAGCTCCGCTGGCGAGGACGCTATTTGAGCTCGAAGGTAGGCTTGCGCGTTTGGCGTTTGCAGACTCTCCATGATAGGTCGCCGAGGTGTGTATTGGAACGCTTCTGGTCGTGGAGCCTGGGTAGGAATTTCAGCCGGGTTCAGGTAAGCTTGATCGCCTTTCGCCAGAAGCTGAAGAATGTCCAGAGATTCGCCGGGCGGGATCTTGTCTGGATGCGAAGGTGTAACGCAATCCATGTCGACTTCCTTGCGCAGCACGTGGTCAATATCGACAGCGCTGAAATAGGCGCACGACTGTGGCAAGTCATCGATGCCCATCTGCTGACTGAACATGGCTCGTGTCCAAACGTTGGCGACTTGAAGCGCCATCGCTGTTCGATATTTATCCTCATCCTTCGACAAATATCGGATCTCATCGTGAACGGTCAATGCTAAACGAGCATTGATGTTGTATCGCTTGCAAAGATACTCCATGCTGATGATGAGGAGATGCAAATAATCGACGCCTGACGACTGGATTGCCCAGTTAATGCGACTGGTCATGAAACCTCCCTTGCTGATGAAGCGTCGCATAAGGGCTTCTGTAATGCCTGCTCCAAGGACAGGCGTTCGAGGTCGTTCCTGCTCCGCAAAGTCCTCAAGCTTATTGAAGACCAGGCTCTCGGTCCCGCCACGCCAGAACTTGCGATCACGAAGCGCCTTGCTACCAGACTTGGCACCTTTCGTTTCCTGGTATAGGTTGGTTGCGGTGATTTTCGCCTGCTCTTCGGTCACAGAAGGATTGAATTGACGCAGTAAGCTTTGTGCAAATTTCAGGCCTGCGCCATAGATCCGACCATAATTGAAGACTTTGGCATCGTTACGAGATATGCCCAGAATCTTTGCCGTGCGCGAGTGCAGATCCGTGCCTGCTGCTTTCGTACCTTCCAATGTCATGAATCCAATGGCATTGCCACCATGAATTCGGAAACTCGAATCACCCACAACCGAGGCGATCCACAACTCTTGACTGTCGACATCTGCACCTACGAAAGAATATCCTTGTGGCGCCTTCACCATGCTCTTGAGCTCAGAGCCAACACGATTCTTTTTGGCATTAGCCGCCGTGAGCCAAGTGTTCTCGACAGCTCGGCGGGTGATGGTGCCCATGGGGATGACTTGTGGCAGAATGTAACCCAGATCACTGGAGACCGAAGCGTCGTGCTCCTTCTCATAAACGACCATCTGCGACATGATGCGATCACGAGCGCTGATCCAATATGAGCACGACGCGTTCATTTCCAGAGCTTCCTTGGCATATGCATATTCGGAAGACAAGGTGCCGTTCTCGAAATATCGAAGATATCCTTTCGCAAGGGGTGAAGTGCAGCGCGCTTCGGGCCCGTCTTTGTGAGGCAACTTGAAGTAAGTGTGATCCAGGTCGTCGTGCAGCGACAAGTTCTCCTCCTCCATCATGTCGCATTCAGTCATGCCTTGGTCACGATACTTTTGCGAGTGCGAATGCGGGACTTTGAATGTGAATCCGTACTTGTCTGACCAAATGAGAGGATGACCGTCCCATGCCATGCGGAGAAGTAAAGGCGCGATACGGGTGCGCACAGTGAGTGCGATCTCCGCATCATTAGTACTGAAGAGGTCCTTGTACCACATAGGCATTCCTGGCTTTTTCTGTCGTGCAGCCGGACGTGGTGGATCCCCTTTCTTCTTGCCTTTTACCATCCGGACTTCCTGACCGCTCCAGTCAAGCTGCGACAGCCACGGGTCGTTGCGATATACTCCAGGCTCGCTCTTGTGCGCAACTGCTCGTTCTGTCAGATCGACCAATCTTTCCTGCACGCCCGAGGACAGTCGATGATATGTAGCTTCTGCGTTTGCGATAAATGCCTCCCAGCTCTTGTCCACGGGCAGAATTTCTGTCGATAAGTGTCTGAGAGCGGCGAACGAAACTGGATGGGGCGAAGTCTCAAGGAACAGTGGCAGGACCTTCTTGTAGACCTTGTGAGTGATGTCCACATCAGCCGCACAGTAGTCCAGTAGCTCATCGAGGCGCTCTACAATGCCTGCGCGATCCAGCTCTCCAAACCACTCTCGACGGGCCTTGTCGATTGTGATGTTGCAGTGGAATTTGGCAACATCTCGAAGACTGTTCACCGAAGCTCTACCAACCCACAACTCCTCTTCGCTATCGAATGATGCCTTTCCAGATTCAAGTAGCGAGGCCAAGTCTGCGCTGTCATCCGAGGCGGCAATCTTATCCTGCATGTCTCGCTCCTTCTTGTGCTTGTTCCAAGTCGGCCTTTGCTGGCTGCACATGCCATTCGTGGCAACATGCAAGCTCATCGTGTCCACGAAGAAGGTTTTTGATTGTTCCAAGCTGTATTCTTCAGATATCCGTGCTCGATCGTAGCCAATGTTGTGGCCCACAACGATTCGTGGTTTGTTGCGAGGACCCAATGGTATCAAATGCCTATCGTTCTCACTCTCGCCTAATAACCAAGGTGAGAGCCAGGCGTACCAATGCTGATCCGAGACTGCGCAAGCCATGGCCGGAAAGCTCGTCTCGTGCCACATTACTTCTGTATCAAAGGTGATAACCTCCTCTTGCGGGTACTCCACTGGCTCTGCAGTGCCATCAGGATGATACTTGGTCCATCCACTCCTTTGCACCCATCGTCGTGGCCTAGGTGGCGGCGAGGCACGGGCATACTTTGTGGCCAGGCTCAAGTATGGCTCAGCACTGTCCATGCCCAATCTGTAGAAGTGCTCGTCCAGCGATGCACCTTGCAGGTCAGGCAAGTCGAAGCCCACGGGCTCTGAGGTATCACTCGTCTTGCCGAGCAACTCATGCCGGGCAAGATGGTCCTTAGCTAGTGCCACCAATTCTTCGTCTGCCTTCGGGGCTGTGGGTGATGGGAACAACTGTGAGTGAACATAGGCGCTGACTTGCTGAACGCCTATCTCGTTGTGTCTTGGCGTAGTCGGAATGGCGAGTGAGCGTGTGGGTGGCTCATGTTGCACTTCTTGCGTGGCCGTCGCGGTGGCATAACCTTTGCGCGCACGCGAGCGCGTCAGGGGAATGCGACCGAGGAGTGAGCTTTGCTGAGTCCTTTCGACGGCGTTGACCAGTTGGCGATGGCATGGTGATCGCATGGCGTGTGCGATGTACTGGCTCCCCGTCAGGACATGTTGCTGATGAGCGTGATCGATGCGTGACTGAGGCAGGCCGAGTGAAGCATGTCATGGACCAGCATTGCTTCTCAGCCCTACCGAGCTCAGGCCCTGTTCCCGTTTTACCGGCGCTCGCGTGGCTTGTGCAGTGGCGTCCGAAGCGTGCCGATCATCTCGTGGGTTCTGGCCTTGACCAGTTCCGACATCTGCATTCCATATCCTCGACCATGTAATCCCATCCCACTATTCCTACCGTCGATATGTCGACCTGGGGCTTCGAGGCGTTGGACGATTGGGAAGGCGACTTCGGAGGAGGTGTGGAGGAGCCAGATGGCAGCCGGATCCGTGAATCTCATCACGATGGGAAGTGAGTCTACAATGCAGGCCACCGAGCAGTGAGCATAATTGACGCTGCAAGTGAACATGTCGCCCCGACGGCTTATGCTCACGACACGCCGCCACCCCTACCCCGCTCCTCTCCAACATTGTCTTCCGCGCCTGCACGACACTCACTTCGGCACGACGAGTTCTTTCCAGACGCGAGCCGCGAGCAAACAGAACAGCTCGAGCCGCTGCCATACCTGCAATTCGAGCGAGCGCCTCTGCCTGCCTTCAACCTCGACCAAGACGAGCCGCCCGCAGGCCCCACCGAAGCTTCCACACCCACCTCGCTCGATTCGCACGAATTCGTCACACTCGAGGACACCGATTCTGAAGACGACAACGAAGAAGTAATGGCACGCCGTCTGCGTGCTCGCCGCTCGAGCGTCGTAGATCTTACAGAAACCTCTCCACCAGCACCAACGCGCCAAACAAAACGCAAGCGATCAACAGATGCCACGGCATCGGGCAGTGATGGGTGTGCCAAACGTAGGCGTGCATCAGGAGGTGAGATAGAGGAGATCGACCTGGCAAACGAGGCACCGTCAGCAGAAGAGGAGCTATTGCAAGCTCAACAACAAGAAGCCATCAGAGCACAGCAGCAGGCTTCTGATGATTCGATGCCTCAGAAGATTGGGCGTAGGCAGTGCATCATCTGTCTGGAGAACTTCACGAATTGCACTGCAACCGCATGCGGACACTTCTTCTGCCACGAGTGTTTGCATCAAGCTCTCGTTGCGGCTGCGAGGACCAACGACAGAGGCCATGGCAGTTGTCCCGTCTGTCGCAAGAACCTTTCACACAAGAAGAAGGCGGATATGATACCCATCTCTTTCATGACGAAGAAGCACTACGATATGCACTACAAGGACAAGCAAAGGGCATAGGCCACGAATCTTGCCTTCTGAGAGCCCCTTGGACGATGGCTACCTGGGAAGCAGGAATGTACATCCATGCAAGAACAGGAATCTGCGACATGTCCAACATCACCACGGGCCACGCGTTCCGATTGACGTCTGGTTGAAATGCTTGAGCGAGGAGTTTGAGGCGTGTTTGAATTACAAAATCGGGTTTCAGGCCATGGGAAAACAGGATGATGCATGCTACAAATGATACCCTTTCACGCTTGCATGTTTTAATAGAAGCTGTCTGGTGGAGCTCTAGCACCACGAAGTTGGAGGCCAAGCTTTGGGGTCAAGCTGCCGTGCAGCTGGCACTGCCTCCACAAACCAGGACAGCGTGAGATCTGTTCCTGTTACAAGATCTACGTACACAGCGCAATGACAGACGGGTGCGTTGAAGATCTCTCTGTCTGTGGTTTCAATTGTACCAACCTGTTTCCTGTTCATGCTGCGTGGTGAAAGGAAGTGTTGGTCGCGCCACTGATTGGATCGCTCTGTGCTTGCGGCGGCTGGAGATCGAAGCTAGGAACGTCATCATCACATCGCGTGCCCGCATGCTCTGCCTTGAAGCTTCTCCATTTTAGAAGACAGCTTCAGAGTTTATCTCATGCGGCTATCTGGTCATTGACATTCACCTCCACTTACTCGTTCTTGCTAGATTCTTATCTGCACTACCGACAGACCCTCGTTGGCGACTCAAGGCTGACCTCCGCCGGCACATTCATCCGAAAGTACAGACACGCGTTTGCGATTTCCGACTTGTGACACGTTCGTCCTCAGCTGAGCTTGAATCGTGGGCCCAGTGATTGGGTTTGGGGCGATTGCGCCTAGATATGGAAACCTTAAAGAATGCTGTTGGCTTGGGCGATGCCAACACCACCACCGCGAACAATGAAACCAAAGGCCAAGAGCCTGTGAGCGGCGTCACAGGTGCTGGTACAGCAGATCAGCCTTACGACTCCGGCAATGTGGAAGATTCTCACCTTGCTGGCGAGAGTGCCAATTCTACGAGTGAGTTACAGAACAAGCTTCGTAGGACTTCTTCAGGTTTCAAAAAGCTGACGTCTTCATGTATAGCTGCCGATGACAAGAACGTTGCAGCTCCCTTGAAGGCTCTCGCCCCTGGGGGAGGAATTCTCTCTACTCTGGCCTCAGCAGTGGGCTTGCAGAGCTCGACGACCTCCAACAACGCCACAGTCACAGAGCAGCAGGGTCAAGAGCCAGTCTCTGGTATGACTGGCGAAGGAACTGCTGATCAGCCGTACGATGCCGGGAATTCAGAAGATTCGACACTAGGTGGCAAGGCTGCTCAGCATACTGGTGCAGCGCCGGGTGTTTCTGGTGTCGAGCAGTCAAGCGCCGCGGCGAGAGAGCAGGATCCAGCCACAACGAATGAGGGCTTGCAATTCGTTGGCATTTCTAGCGCAGCAGACACACAGTCTTCACATGGCGCTGGCACCCAGCAGCATTCGTCCATAAAAGAAGCCGTTGCTGAAGGTGCCCTGGGTGGTAAGGAAGATCCAGCACAGTCTAACAAGGGCCTGGCATTCGTCAGTAAGTACCCCAATTATCCAGAATTATACTGTTCTGGGGGTTAACAGTGCTCGATAGCTGCGGAGGTCGATAAGCAGCCAACTGGCGCACTGGAACCGAAGACGAGCAACCATGGGCCAGTGGAGGGCACCGCGGGAGCCTACACCAAGAAGGAAGAAAGCAGGTGAGTACGCGCGTGCCAGGTGAACAAAGCTATCAGTGCAAGCACCACCACCCAGTACTTTAGTTAGCGAGTGTGTAGCTTGTTCGTAAACCAATCTGATCAGTGATAGCAATTCTGTGGAACCACGGCCAGAACCGGTGAAGCAGTCCGAGCCGGTGGGAGAGAGCGGAGACAAAGCTGCGAAGAGTGGGTCTACACGCATCTCCTCACTCTTCAGCAACCCATTCGCCAAACGAGAGAGCGTCTCTGGCGCGTCAGGCGAGACAGATCTTGACCCGAAAGCGAAAGCTCCAGCTGGATCAGATCCACTGCCTGCTCTGGGAGAGCATTCCGTTCCTGTGAAGGTCGCCAAGGAGAAGCGACCTTTACCCACACAGTCCTCACCTGTGCAGCAAGCAGCTCCTGTGGCCAACGACACAAAGCCTGCTGTTGTTGAACCAAAACTGGACAGTGCGGTTCGGCCGCCAAATCACCTTGGTGCTGACGTGCCACCTGGCGCTGCGTCGCCCAAGCGCGACAAGGGCAAAGGAAAGGTGTATGGCGACTCTGATACCAACAGCACTCGGTCGAGCTTGACAAGGACCACCTCAGTCGGAACGACCCAGACATCGCCGTCCACTCTTGACAGTCGCCGCTTCTCAACCAAAACCGCTGGCAGGATACCGACTGCTGGAGGTATCGTGCTCGGTGAGAAAGCGTCGATAGAGCGAGAGAGGCGCGCAAGCCTGGCGCCCAGTAGAAATTCCGTGGCGATTTCTGAGCATGCTACAGCACCACGAGACTCCCTGCAGAAAGTCAATGAGGACAGTGAGATGCCCGCTCCTCTCACAGCATTACCACCAGTCACACAAGCGCGAAATCCCGATCCACCTGCTCACTCCAATACCGACTCGCCAGCAGCGCTCAAAAATCCTGAGACCAAGGCCTCGCCAAACACCACGTCAGGCCGCATCCCGGGTACAGAAAGAGGCTCGCTCGGGTCAAGGCCGCCGGCGACTGGTGATGGATCTCGGTTTGCGGAACAAGGCTTGGGTGACCCAGTACTAGAGACATCTACTCCGCAGACAACGAGTGAGCGGAAGCCGAGTCTGGTGTCCCGTATTGGCCGCAAGTTGAAGAGCCCGTCCTCCAAAACTTCGAAAGCATCTGCATAAACGGTCATGGTGAAGAAGTCTGATTTTTGAGCGTGATGGATATACGTGCGTCGTTTAAAGCAATGATTATACCCTTTTTGTACAAGCAACGATATTGAATGACTGATATGAGTGGATAGGCCAGAGAACGAGATTTTCAGACAATAGCATGATACGAGCAAAACATAGGCCGGTCGGAATCTCCTGCAAGCATGCCAGCGGAAATTCTCGGTGAGCGGCAGGCAGCCCTAACTTGCTCAAAGTCTTGGCAGCCGGTCAGATATATAGCCCGTCGACATGCAACTTCTTGAGAAAAGAGGATCCAATCTGCTCAACATGGTGCCACATTACCAATGTCTAACGGACTTTGACGGTGGAAAGTGAGGAGATAAGACGGTAGGATTCTCGAATCGCGCACAAAAAATGCCTATAAGTATATTGTTCTACGTCTCCTTGATGGTACTGCTACAGCACTCTCATATTCCATTCCCCTGAAAAGCATCATCAGCACAGTCCTCTGCTCTTGACCAGATTCTTGATTTCATTGGAGTCGCTTTGATCCCACTTCCCCGTCGGTCTCCTCAAAACAACTAAAATGGTCACCGTAGCGCTGGCAGGAGCAACCACAGGTTTCGGCCTCACAATGCTCAAGACCTTCCTTCACCCCAACAAGCTCAACAACGGGAAACACAAGCTCATCGTCCTCTCCCGTTCTCTTCAACCAGATCTCTCAGCTCAAGACGTCGAAGTCCGAGTAACAGACTACAACAACCATTCCCAACTCGTCAACAACCTCAAAGACGTCCACACCATCCTCTCCCTCATCGGTGGCGGTTCCCCAGAAGCACTTTACTCCGCCCAAGTGGCTCTTATCACAGCCGGCGTCGAAGCCGGTGTGAAACGCTTCGCTCCATCCGAGTACGCGGGCCGAGGATACGAAGGCATTGATCTCTACGAACCGAAAGCTCGTGTTTGGGAAGTCGTTCAGCAGAGTGGATTAGAGTACACTCGATTCGAATGCGGGCTTTTCATGTCTGTTCTCGCGACTGGTACGCCGAAAGGTATGACGGAGGTCGGGATTCGGGAGGGATGCAAATCTGGAGAGGAAGAAGCTTTAGCGGGATTGAGACCTTGGAATTTCGTGATTAATATTCGAGCTGGAACGGCGGATTTTGCCGGTGATGGCTCGGGCAAGATGGTTCTGACGGATATGAGGGATGTGGCGAGGTTTGTGTGGGAGGCGTTGAGTACGGAGAGGAAGTGGGAGCCTGTTATGGGGATGAGGGGTGATGTGACGAGTTTCAAGGAGATTGTGAGGAAGTTGGAGAGGGTGAGTTCGAGGAAGTTTCTGGTGAGGGAGAATGCGATCGAGGTGCTGGAGAGGGAGGCGAGGGAGGACCCGAGTAAGACGTTTTATAATCAGGCAAGGATTGCGATGGCGAAGGGCTGGGCTCTCGTGGGAGATGAGATGAATATGGCGTATCCGCTAGTGAAGCCGGTGTCCGTGGATGAATTCATCGAGAAGTGGTGGGCTGGTGTAGAGCTTGATGCGCCATCGTGGGAGGTTGACCAGGCGTTCGGAGTGGAGGACTTTTCGGACAAGTGAGGACAAGACCTATTGTTGGCTCATTCCTGTAGTGCTTCTGAAAGAATATATCGACAAGAGCAACCCCATCTCTCCTTATGTGAGCATCGCCCTCCAATGAATGCTCGAGTGGCCAGCTGAGCAGCCTGCATGATCGATCATCCTTCAAAACACATACATCTGCTCTAGGATCCAGCTTTGTTGCTGACGCTTCAATGGTGCATCTTCACCACGAAGAGCACTTTGAAGTCGGTCGTAGGTCGGGGGTGTACGAATACAATAACATGCTTCCACATCGTACTCGGCGGGTCCAAAGCCTGGGATGTCGGGTATTCCGAGGATTCGCTGCAGATCTCCAGCCGCCACCGCCCTAACCCGACGATCCGGACGTAAGCCGTGGCCTGCCGCCATCCCGACAAGGGTGTTACGACCGATATAGCTGACTCTCGTCACTGCCAACACAGACGGCAGGAGGGTGCGTGAGGGGGCTTGTCGCCCTTTCAACCATTGCAATTGCCCATGTGCAATCAGAACGAACCAATTCGTCAGAAGGTTCAGTGTAGCTTGCGGTGATCCATTGTTGGCACTAGTTGTGCGAACGCATTCAAGCAACCACCGAGGGGGAAGGGATCCTCTAGCCACCACAAACTGCTTGAAATGGGCTAGATCTGTAAATTGTGGTATGTCATTCCAGAGACGATGCCCGGGGCGGCGTAGTTGCAAATAGAGGCTCAAGAGCACACGAAGCAGAAATAGGATCCAATCAAGATGCCAGCGCTCGACATCCGGGCTCCAATCCACTTCTCGAGAGCGTAAGCGTGCTTGCATCCATCGTTGCGCAAGGATACGATTCGTCCATTCTTGGCATTCAGGCCTGTTCCACCGGCCACGCCGGGCAAGGAAGCGGCGATAAGCGATTAACAGATCCATGCCCTCTGGAAAGCTCGTCACTTCAGACACCTCCGCCCGAAGCCTCCGTCTTTCTCGATCTGCCACGGGTTTGAAGAGCAAGACGTTGATGCCAGGGTTGTCCACGAAAGCGCGGAAGTCGCTGTTGATAGCGCGGATATCTTGCATGATTTTTCTTGTGGACAACTAGCCCAAGATCATCGCTTTGAGCTCGGGAGGAAGCTGACTGATGTGATCCATGGCGCGTATGACTGGAGAGTGCGTATAGCTGTGGAGTGCGTGTGGCTGTTGAACACGCAGACGTGACTCCGAGTGAAGTATCGATGGGCCCAATCGATAGTGCGTTGGAGAAATGGGTCTGTCATGCTGTTTGAAACAGAGCGACTGCAAGTTGCAATCTCTCACCCTCTCTCTCTCAGTTTGGCAGGAAGCGTTCACAAGTCTTCACTACTGCGCAGGAAAGTGATACCGAGTTGAGGCAAGTAGGCCAGAGCTGCACTTGCCTACATGTAAATCTGATCTTGGCTTCCTTCGCCATTGGGAAAGAGCCACCATAGATAGCAGGAGCGCTAAATGCAGTGTGTTGTGAACATAATTTCTCTATACCCTATGGCCAGGAAAGCGTTCACTTGAACCTTGCCTAAAATTGGTGCTTTTCAAAGGTGCAGCTTGGAGCGCGATCCTTCGGCCTGTTTTACTAGAAAGCTGGGAGGTACAATCGTACGGCAAGTGAAGTCGTTGTAGTCTTGGCGCTGTCGTCACATGCTCCAAGCTTTCCGAGCATCCGCAGTCGCTTCGCAAGCTCTAAGACAACTCTCACAACACAACACGAACGCATTGCCCTACACTACACGTCCGCCACAGCTATATTCACCATGCCCGAGAAGCGGATTGAGCAATGGGAGATCGACCGTTACTGGGAGATCTTCTCATCGCTCTCGAATGGCTCGTCACATTTGGACGGCACCCAGGCTGCCTCCGTGCTCAAGAACTCACAGCTGCCGGAGAATAAACTGGAGAGAATATGGGACTTAGCAGACGTCGACAATGACGGCCGCCTGGACTTTGAGGAATTCTGCGTTGCGATGCGCCTGATATATGATATCATGAACGGAGAGTACCTGGACGTGCCACAGACACTACCGGACTGGTTGGTGCCAGAGAGCAAGGCCCATCTTGTACAGGCAACGCGCGCTGTCAGTGGCGGAGGGGAGAGATGGGAGCGGCCTGATTACGACGACGAGGGCAACGAAGGCTTGAAAGATGGATTCGATTGGTATATGCCACCGAATGAACGCACCAAATATGAAGAGATATACACATCAAGCAGGGACACGCGAACGGGTCTGATACGATTTGAGGCGCTTGCTGAGCTATATGAAAGTCTGGATGTTCCAGACACGGATGTCAGAAGTGCATGGAACTTGGTCAATCCGAAGAGCGAGGAAGGCATCAACAAAGACGCTTGCTTAGCATTTCTGCATATTCTCAATAATCGACACGAAGGTTATAGAATACCGCGATCTGTTCCTCCTTCACTACGAGCCACCTTCGAACAAGGACGAATAGAATACAACATCGATCGTGTGCAGTCCGCAGCTGATCGGTGGGGAACGAATAAGCGGGACGACACGTTGACGGGCAAGAAAGCCAAGTTTGGAGACACATATTTGTCACGCTTAGGTGTAGGAGAGCGGAAACCAAAGGGCACCGATTTTGGCAACACACCGAAAGACGCGGACTGGGAGGAAGTGCGGCTGAAGAAGCAGCTCAAGGAGATCGAGGAAAAGATGGCCAAAGTCGAAGAAGCGGCAGAAAAGAAGCGATCGCGAGGTGGAAGACGAGAAGATTCAAAGCCTGCGCTCGTGAAGCGGGAGCTGGAGCAGCTACTGGATTACAAGAGACGAGAATTGCGCGACCTCGAGAACGGCGAAGGCAAAGCGAAGAGCGGACAGAGCCTGAAGTCTTTCAACGATGAGATCGCAATGGTTAAGGAACAGATCGATGGACTAGAGGCGCATCTTCGCAAAAGAGAGCAGGTGTTGCAAGACCTGAAATCTCAGATCGAGGCGGAGCGAGCAGGCGCACGATAGACATGCGATGCATGTCAGCCGAAGAAATCGTAACATTGTGTACAGATTATACCCATCCCTATCGGATATAGTGCAATGAAGCTATTGACAGTGGAACTCCGGCTTGTTGCCACGACAAACCACGACAAATCTTCATTCCGAGAGGCTGGGACATCTTCACGCAATCATCCCACTGTCTCTTGGCTGGGGAACACGGAACAAGTCCGAAGAACAACCACTAGTCACCGATGCAGCGGCTAGGAGAGTCGGGATGTTTTGACATGACTCGGGTGCGCGATACTCTGTTGCTCAAATGTGCAGTCTAGAGATCATGCACTATTGACGCGAAACATAAGAAAGCCATCGGATCCGAGGAATGTACGCGCATAGCGCCGTGGTATGCACGCGAGGAACATCTGGCGAGTAATCACCTCTCATCTTTGCATCTTCAAGCATTCGCTCCCGTCTGTCTCTGTTTTCACCCCTCTCTGCCTACGCGCCGGGTTCTTTCGAGATGCGAACCCTACGGCTGTTGGCATGCTTCGTTTCAACTCTTTGGGTCCACAGGGCCAGGGCTGATATGAGTGATTTCTCATGCCCTGGCGACAACAACACCCTGCAATATTTCACTGCCGCCCCAGCTGGGCGCGAGTTGTATATCATTCGATGCAACGCGGGCATGCTTTCGTATCTGGACGATAATGGCGACGTCACGCAATCTGGTGTGACTAGATCACAATGCCTGATTCTGTGTACAGTCTCAAATCTATCCGTTTGCGAAGCCACGACACTGACAGGCTGACTAGGCCATGTGGATCCGTACTGCCTCGCGTGGAACTTTCTACCTTCCGACCCAGGTACGGTCATCGCGCGGAAGACGAATTCACACTTGACTTACTGCTTGTGACAGATGCGCCTGATGTTGGCACGAACATTGGTGACTGCTTCGGCTGGACTGTGCTAGACTCTGAGCCTGACGAACCCAATGAACGACTGCCCATATCCTTCACGGAGGATCCAGACGATGGTGCAAACAATGTTGCAATCATCAAAGCTCCTTATTGGGCTGGATATAATGAGGTGAGTTCGCCAGCTCCTGTTGACTCAAGGCGAGATGCTCATCGATCGACCTAGATCTACTACGCGCCCCCTCGAGTCCAATACATCACCACCATATTCATCACCCGCACGAGTCTCACCGCGTTCCCGTTCACAAGTATCTCTGTCGGAACTCGTTCGGCTACCGTCACCTCGGCGATCACCCAAACGGCCACAGTCTCGACAACCTTGCCGGACCAGACAGCGGTTTCCCTTTCCTTGCGGGTCGTGCCCACTACTTTCGTGTCGCTACAAGTCTTCACCACTACCATTGTTCAGATCACGACACAGCAAGTGGTGACTGTGGTACCGACTGTAGTGACGACGACCGTTGTTGGAACAGCGTTGAGCACTCTTGCGCTGCAGAACACGATCATCAATACCCAATTCCCAATCGCCACCGTTAGATCAACGGTACAATACCAGCAGACTGTGACAGTCACCGTATGAGACGCAAGAACGGTACCTTGAAGGCACGACGGCATTTCAGATTGTCGAATGACACTGCACGGTGCCTTTCTTTCAGTCAAATATTGGATGGAGGCGCCATGACCGCCCGGAATCTATGGACGAGCAAGATCAACGATTGTGTCGGTCATGGAAAGAACTACATCGAAGCTTATGACGCAGTATTCCAGATTCGACATTATGATGATGGCCTACAGTCGGATTAATGGAACATGGCCCTTAATACAAGCTACGTATAAGATTGTTGCTCAGTGTGGGGCGGTCCAAGGTATGACGAGTGTAAAAGTCGAAACACGGATAGGGCATATTCCTTTATAGCATTACTTGAGTGGTCTGGCGATATGCGACTTCTGCCCGTACTAGAATGCGTCGAACTTCAACTTGCAGCATGGAACTATTTCTTGTCTCGTGTTGCAATGCCAACCTAATAAAGTACGATCTCTCTTTCGTTGCAACGCATACTTCCATTGGAGAGACAAGGGCTGTTACCTCGTCTTCGCATCGGAGATGTGTGCAGCCAGCCTTTGAGCTGTCGCAACTTAATTGGGGCAGTAAATGATAAAGAAATCCCTCCTGTCAAGTGCTCTAAGGTGATGCAGTGAATTCGTCGGCCACTTGCTCGCAGACCAAAACATAACCTGACAATGACTCGTGCAGATGACGATAGCGAGCTGTGCATTCTGTCGAGCGATTGCGATCTTAGCTGGCAAGCTCACTACATACTGTTTTCATGGCATTCATCTAGCTTACGACTAGACGTGCAGCTTTCGTTCACTCAGTAGTCCAGCGAGAACGCCCCCCAGATGCTGCTATTAGCTTGAGTTCCCCCCTCAGTCGTGCTAATGAACGAGCAGACGCCTCCCACGTAATCGTAAGCAACAGCAACACAGCCTGGCGTGTAAGCACAATCTTCAGTGCAGAATCTGAAGCCTCGGAGCCCTCTGTAGCCCTCGCCTCCTCCTTCCATGGCCCCACCCAGGTACTCGGTCCCGCATTGAATTCGGAAACCGTATGCGTTGGCCGAGTCCTCCGGGTCTTCGATTGTCATGAACCTACGGTTACAGACTGGGCATTGCGGTGTTGTATCTGGTCTGCAGGTAGTTGCTGCGCCAGCCGCGGCAGCTGCTGAGGAGATCGGAGAGGCAGTTGAAGATGCCAGAATAGTTCGCGAACTCGTCGGGGGAAGATCCATCCATGGCGCATACGGTAACGGAGTGAGAATCCAGTTGGGGTCATTCGGCGTTGCGCTGGGAGCATAATGTACGGTTGTCGTAGCCGTCGAGTATGTAAGAGTAGACGTTGAAGATGCGATCGTAGACGTTAGAGATTCAGTCGTGGCGATCTCCACGGATGCAGCCTCTGCTGATGCAGGCTCTGCTGATGCAGTCTCTGCTAATGCGGTCTGTACTGATGCAACCTCTGGCAAGGGCGATAGCAGGCGAGCACCACCGAAGTCGTCCTCTCTTGGAACAGCGTTGCGTCCAGTGATACTGGATTTTAACAAGCAGGCTCTACCGGTCAAGCTGAGGTCAACGCAACCAGCTGTATTGGCGCACAAACTGATGCAACTTGACAAAAGAAGCTCAACCGGTCCACTGACAGTCAGATAGGCAAGAAGCTCATTTGCGGTGGTATTATAGTCGACACCACATTCAATGATGAATGTCTTGTTGGTTCCACTTGAAGTATCGGAGTAGATTGTTCCATTCGCAGAGTTCGCTCCTCCGCATTGCACCGCAGTTGTCGTAGGCGAAGAAGTTGCGGCAGTGGTCTCAGAAGCGGATGGCTGTGGCGTGTCCTGCGCAAGCACAAGGCCGATAAGACTTAGAGCCAGGGCGAATTTTCGTAAGGTAGCCATGTTGTTCGAGGCGTAAGCAGGCTCAAGGGCGCGCTCGATCGGCGACCGCAGGTCGACTAGGATACGGTCTTCAGATAGATAGCCACGTGCTACTTGAAAGATATCCCTTTCTCGGCGGGCTCGACACATTCTTCATCAACGGAATGCATGCCGGAGCACAGCCCAGACTGTCCCTTTTGAGCAGACTGCGAGCACATACCACGCAATAAGCCGATGTTGCCCTATAGTCATGCTGTGCTACGCGCATGATTGATACCAGTGTAATATCCATTCCAGTCCAACTTCGACAACAAGACCCGGGTCATGTCGGCATCCTCCGCATCCATAGCGGAAGTTGTCTTCGCTGGCTTCTCGACTGTTTCAGCCAGTGCATTCAGCAGATGCACGAGGTCCTGACGAAAACGCTCGTGATCTGCTCTGTCCACGGTATCTGTGGTTTCCGTCTGCAACCCCGTCGCACACTTGAGTATGCTACTCAGCACATCCTCTATACCGCGATACAATTTCTGCTGTTTCTTCTTCAAAAAGAGTCGGGTACGAATGCGGTCTAGACACGCCTCGTGCATATGACGCAGACCTTCAATATCCATAGCAGCTTTCGCGCCAAAAGTTCCGCTCTCATCCTCGGACTGAAGATCAGTTTCAAGCGACGTTATGGTAGCGATGAGAATCTGCCAGGGAGGAGTGATCCCGATGCTCATGAAGTGGTCTGCAAGTACAGTGACACATTCTCTAGCTCGATGCGCAAACGATAGTGTCTCAGCGTCAACAGGCTCCCAGCGACTGTTTGGTGCAGTCTTGGGCAGTTCTGCTGTGACGTGCAGCAGCCTTAACAGCTTCAACAGGAAGCGGAAGATCTGATCATAATGGCGAAGTGATATTGTTGTGATCACTGAGTCCAGTGGTGCTTGTGCTGTATATTGAATCTTGAGAAAGTCCAGGGCATGTATTGAATGAGGATCAAGGACTTGTTCGATTTCCTCCTCTGGTAGTTCGCGTATCGCAAAGCTCAAGACTGAAGCCTGCGCAGATGATGTATGCTCGCTGTTGCTTGCTTCAGCCAAGAGACCCATAAGCGAGAGCTGCAGTTCTGAGCTTGCTGGTGGCCATCTTTGATCTTTCGTAGCTCCAACACGAAGACCTAGATCGTCTCCAGTAGGGATCACGCCGCGCTTCCTTTCAGCAGATTGTACATCTTTGTCAAACAGAGCCCTCGACAATCGAGCAGCAAAGGTGCCATTTCCGAGCATTTGGAAGGAACGCTGAAGTTCTAGTTGCTTGTGTAGCTCGTGTTGTCGCAGTAATTGTCGCAGAAGCACTCCACTCACCAGCCTATGCTGGACGATGATGACTGGCCGGAAGTGCTCTATAGGTGACAAAGTAGCTGAGGTATATAGAAGCTCCAATGAGCTTTCTACGGCATTGGCTGACAGGACGTTGAGCACATCATCGTAAAGCTTCTCAGAACCAGTCGCCTTCTTTCCGGGTGCTTCAGACATCAAAACATCCAGTTCCGAAAGATGGAGTTCATCCCAAGGAAGGGCATCCCTAGGCTCACCACCAGATACATCCTCATCAAAAGCACTAGTTGCTGGTTTGTCACTTCTCACCATGGCATTTGCTGCTTCTTCTTCGTATTGCTTAGCAACATAGTCTCCTTGTGACGAGTGGTTGTTCATGCCCACAAGACGACTGGAAATGACTTTACTGCCACAAACCAGTAGCGCGTGATCGGGTGAATGCTCTCTGAGCAGAGTGACGGCATCTTTCGTGACTCGTACAAGATCTCGATCATCCGCGCTCAGAAATCCATGTCTCTGCTCATGTTCAAGCACCGGTGTATCAGGTCCTGCCTCACGACGACCTGGTACTTGGCGACTTAAACCGAGATCTGCAAGTAGTTCCTCCAACCAAGGAGCTGAAACCCTGGCCAAGATGGACTGCAAGATTGCACAGAATTGTGGTTCCCGCTCGGCCAGTTCTTGCACGAATTCCGACAATAGCGACAGAAAGTCCTCGTCGTTATTAAACGCCTTTGTTCTTTCGCACATCGCGATGAGAAGCCGAAGCAATGTTGCAGGACCCTTCACCAGCTGCTGCAATTGAAGCGCCGACCGCACACTGCTCACTCCGCGGGATATGTTTTCCTCGACGGCGTCAAGAATGAGGGCCACGCATGATCGCAATGCCACTGCTGCAGGGCAAACATTTGAGATGCGAGAAGAGTTGGCAAAACTGCGAAGTTTCACAATCATGGTACCCGCTGCCACCAGGTCCTTCATCAAGCTGCTTGAGCAACTTAAACTTGTTCCAGTCATCACCGCGTCTTCCAGCATTGCCGTGAATTTGTCCTCGTCATGGTTCCACTGGAACAGACTAGATGAGCGACCAAGAGCCAACAAGCATAGTGATCTGAGAGCGTAATCCTGCGGCAGTACTCCAATGCTTGTCTCGAAGGATTTGGTTAACGCATCGAAGGCAGCTGGTCCCGCTTCTGAAAGATAAGTAGCCCCGTCTACAGCTGCATGAGTTTTCCTTTCAAAATATTCCCAGGTACAGAGTCTGGGCAGCTCAGGTCTGTCATCCTTCTCAGGGTCGAAGTTCCAAACTAGGTCGTCTTCAGCTGCAGCGAGGTCCTCATCAGCAGGCGATGGCGGACGTTCGAAGTCAGCGGGCGGTGGGCTGAGCTCTTCATCTCCATCTCCTAAGTGCGGGATGTCCAAATCAAGGCTGAAGTATCCGGCATCGTCGTGTTCTAGTGCCTCCAAAGCCTCGATTTTGCTGTCCAGCTTTCCAAAGATGCTCTGCTCATCCGGTAGGTCAGGTAAGAGTGACTTTGGCCATAATTGCCCAGCTTCGAACGGGCGGCCCAGAGAAATCGGGTCGTCCATGGCGAAACCATGAAATTACATGTCTTGCATGAAAGTGGTAGCGGAAGTTGCTTGACACGAAACTGACGCGTCGCCCGCAGCGGATTCGGGCCGCTAAGCGAAATGTGGGATGGCAAGGAAAGAAAGGACAATGATCAAGCTTGTCAGCACTAAAGAACAAGCATTTCTTCTCATAACGTCGTTGCAGCACATGGGAGAAGATACAGATAGGAGTCACGCGAGGGCGAGCCTTCTGCATCACCACGGAAATCCGAGAGGCGTAGGAAATTGCATTTCGGGTCGCTAACTGCTACCTGCACTCCCCCGGTTTGGCCGAATGCCGTTGCCTCAAGTCATCTGTCCGCACCTTTAAAAGGCCAAACCGGCGGCAAGAAGTCCAAGTCCGAGTACGCTGCCGACTGCAGTGGCAGCAGCAGCTCCAGCAGCCGAGGTCGATGATGATGGGCTCGATTCGCCTTGGGAGGTGTTGGACGAGCTGGATCCTTGTTCGACTGAACTCGACTCGCCAGTCCACTCTGCAGTGAAGCCAGAGGTCTGGTTCGTGCAGAATTCAGATACGGTGTTGTTGGCTCCAGACACAAATTTGACGGGTGCGCACTGTCTTTGTCAGGAAACGGTTTCGAGGGCCATGGCTTACGCAAATCTTACCTGGTACAGGGTACCATCGACCGAGCTGTCAATCACTTGCAGCACTCCGCTCTGGCCAGCGAAATCTGCTGGCGCTCTTAGGTAGTTCAGGCAGAAAGTCCCGACGCCTGTGCTGTTGATGACAGGCACAATCTCGGTGAAGTTGTATGGCTCTTGGGTGCTGGTGGTTGCGAAGAATGACCACGACCCAGCTGGGTGGGAGCTGAAGATGGAGGCGGCAAACCGATCGACGTTGATCTCTGGTGCGCTGTCGTCGACAGTCACGGTCGCGCCGCCACAAGGCGCGTTGGGCTGTTCGTCGTCATTGAAGCCGGCCGTGGGTGGCCAGTTGAGTTCGAAGTGCGCTGAGGCGAGTGTCGCAGCAGCGAGACCGAAGAGCAGGGAGCGAACCATGGCGAAGTCTTGCTTGTTCGAACTTCTTACTGGAAGTTGAAAACGTGAAGTGGAGGGAGGAGAGAGGAGGAAAGCCAAATCAGCTTACCGTCAGCAGGGGAATGGGCTGATATTAAAAGATCTCGCGAATGCACCCACGTGGAGCACGACGGTATCGCTGATACCCGCGAAAACGGCAAGCACTTCGACCATCCAATTCTTGTCCAGGCGCATTTTGACTTATTTCCCATAGGCCTGGACCATGGATTGCAGTGTCACTAATGCCAAGAAATGAGCTATATTGGACTAGCTCTGAGCATGTATTCGGAAGCTTAATTGCAACTATGCCCGCCCCAGCCGCCGTTCCAAAATCACCTGGAAACATAGCACAGTCCAAGCACAGACTTTTGGACTCACAGTCGACTTCACGCCCGAGAAGTGTTGCTGGTTCTTCGAGATGAATGCGGCCTAGTGCCATCAAGGCCCCCTAACTTCAGAATCATCTGAATGCGCGCCACGGTCGGTCATATGCAAGTCCCGGCACGCACGGCAACAATTGTCAAGACTGGATACCGACGTCAAAGGCTTCGACGTGCAAGATAGGGCCATCTGGACACGGCAAATCATCGATACACGCAATACTGCCCACCATGTCAATGCACGCAAAGCGCCATGGTGGCCATGACATGAGTAGCATGACCATGAGCGGAGGCATCTTTACCCCAGAAGACGAAACATTTGGTCGAGGACTCTGGTATGGAATCGCAGGCTGCGTCGGACTTCTCACGATTGTCAAACTGGCGAACACGATACAGACAAGGTCAAGATTAAAGCTGCAACGACGAGATCCTCAGAGCATACCTTCACGACCCAGAGGATGGATCTCACAGGCATTTGCGACAGCCACAGCGACAGCACGAGAAATGTCGTATCCACAGCCCGTGTACTTTACTGGCAGGATAAGCAGATATTTCAGTCCGCTACCGCTTGGAAAATGGCTCACACTGGCATTCTACTGGATTGTCATATTATCTTTTCTATGGACAGGGACGATACTGAAGAAAGGCGACGCGATGTACGCCTACAAGTGGGAGAAGGTTGGATTCAGAGCCGCCTGGGTCACAGTCACCCAAATACCCTTCGTCTACCTGCTCTCATGCAAGTTTAATCCCATCAGCATTCTTACGGGAATTTCTTACGAACGCTTCAACTGGTTGCACAGATGGGCTGCGCGCACAATGTGGCTCACGGCAATAGTACATTGGTCTTTCTTCTACACAGAATGGAGTCTGGCCAAAATTGTCACGATGCAGCTGGATATGATGCCCATGGTCAAGTACGGCTTTGGGGCATGGGGTGTTGTAACCTGGATGTTGCTATCTGGATTTGGCTTTTTCCGTGACTTGTGCTACGAGCTCTTTGTTCTACAGCATATCGCGGCTGCAGGCACACTTCTCTGGCTACTCTATGTTCACGTACCCCATTATGCGAGTTACAATATCTGGATGGCTGTAGCTTTCGTCGCCTTTGATTGGGGAGTCCGAATCATCTGGGGACTTACGAGGAACATGCACTTACTGGGTCGATCTTCCACAAAGTCGCCAGGATATGAGACAAGTCTTCAAGCACTTTCTGGAGATGTCGTCCGCCTCAGGATCGATAACCCCGATTTCACCTGGCAAGCCGGGCAGCATGTTTATCTCTACATGCCTGGTCTACGGCCTTTAGAATTCCATCCCTTCACCATCGCAAGCACGACTGCTTCCAGAGGGCTTGATCTGCTCATCCAAGCACGATCCGGGTTCTCCAGAACCCTGTACAAGTCCGCTGACAGAAGAGCTGGGTCGAATCCGAGGCACCGAGCCTTCATTAGCGGACCCTGGGGCACTCCGCCAGACATCTCACACTGCGAAACCGCAGTCCTCATAGCGTGCTCAACAGGCGCAACATTCATCGTTCCAATTCTACAAGATCTGATGCAGCGCGAGACATGTCTCCGCAAGATCCATCTTCACTGGATCATTCGATCTCAAGAACATTGCAATTGGTTTGAGCAAGAACTCCAGGCTGTACTTGAACACGCGAAAGTATCGAGCCGAACGCGTCTGCAAATTCACATCCACGTCACAAAATCAACGGCAGGGCCACAGACAGTGGAAGTACTGCCTACCAACACCCCTGTGACAACCAAACAATCTATCGACGTCGCCATCACCCCGGCGCCTGGCCATTCAGAAGATGTCAAACGCCACTCCCACTCCCTTTCCGCATCATCAACATCAACTTACAACTCCTCATCACCCTTCCAAACTATTCCCCTGGACACCACCACATCGGATTCTTCGCGTCTGACCCTCCTCTCCGGCCGGCCGGACGTCGCCGCTCTGATTCGGGATCCGGTGGAGAACGCCTTGGGCGAGACGGCAGTAGTAGTTTGCGGAGGACTGTCGATCACAGCCGAGACGAGAACGTTTGTGGCGAGATTGTCGGATGAGAGGGCTGTGCATAAGGGCACGGGGGCGCAGGGTATTGCATTGTGGACAGAAACATATGGCTGGTAGGTAGCGAAATTGTCAATAACCTGCGTAAGAAAGATTTGATAGCGTTATATGCATCGTGATGAATGTGATTGAGCGTAGTGTAATGGATCTCAACGATTGCATTCGCAGGTTTTCCCTCCTCAAACCTCGGCAACGCTCATCTTTCTTTCGTAAAATCTCAATGTCGTGTCCTGTGTTGCCTGCTCTAAAACTCCTCTGATGTCTCGCATTGATTCCATCATATATCAAAACACCCTCCATACCCTTCCCATAACACCTGCGCCAGCTCCTATTCATGCAATATCATACTATGCCTCAGAGATCGAATCCATTCATGAAATCATCATACTCCTCCTCTCCAAAAGCCTAAGAATGCTCCCTCACCTCCTCCTTCGAAAGCTTCGCCGGCTCCCGACTCAACAAAGTCCTCAACTCAGGACTAATAACCCTCTCCTTCTCCGCCTTAGTCGCATCTTGTCCTGCCGCTGCCGCCTCCCCAGGCCTCTGCTCCCTCCCCGAAACCGCAGCCCCACTCGAACTCGCCGTCCTCGGCCTCCCATCACTCCCAGGTCTCGTCCCAGCATCCCTCGGTGGCGGCTGCGGCAACCTCTGTCTAACAACAACCGGCGCCTCAGGGAAATTATTCTTCCGATCAATCGCCTCCACCATCCTCTGAAACTTCCTAAACAAACTCTCCGCCCTCACAAGCGTAGAATACAAATCAATCGTCCCACTCAACTCATTCACATATTTGAGTACTTCATCAAAACCTTTCAAATGCTCCATAATAACATTCCGATGTTTTTCCAATATCGCAGCTGCGATAAAGAGGTGGAAATCCGCAGAATAGTAATCCGTCCAAAGAGCTTCCCACATACGGAGAATGGCTTCGAATTCGAATTCGCGTTTGAACCAAACAATGAGCATGCGGAAGAAGAAGAAGAAATTTGTGCTGTCGACTTTGGCGAGGTGTTCGTAGAGTTTGGGGTCGATGAGTTGGACTAGTTGGTCGAGGGTGAGAAGTTGGAGGCGCATGCCGGATTGGTCGCGGAGGAAGTTTCGTTCCATGCGTTCCATGAACTTGGCGAAGCCCCAGAAGGCGACGGCGTCGTCTTGTTCGATGGCGTAGATGGGCGCGAGGAGGTCGGACATGCCTTGTACGTAGCCGAGGTCGCGGTTGTATTCGTTGTAGGTCAGGAGAAGGTCTTTCATTTGTTCCATGTGGACGTTGGTTCCTGCTTCGGCGAATGGGCTGTCTGGGTCGGGATGAGGGATGTCTTCGCCAGCGAAAAGTGGAAGGTGTCGATCAGTGCGATGCACGTCTTTCTCTATTTGGCCATGAATGGCACGGTCAGCGAATCCATCAGCAGTAGTGCTAACATTTATGTGGGTAGAAGACTTACCGATGCGCATCTTCTGCTCCTTCCACCATTCACGCTCTTCCAGCGTGCCAGCTTCGTCGACCATCCTCTCCCACCATGCGCCTTTCAGACGAATGTACTCGTCGCGTAAGCTGTTGATGTGAGCATGACGTTCCTCTTTCGTGCTGTCCCATTCGTATACACCAAGCAGGAACAGCCACGCCTCCTTGCGCACCCCGTCGTCAGCCAGACCGCCGTGGAAGATGCGCTCCTTCACCTCATCTGGCGTCTTCTCAAGTCGTCCTGTTCTCGCATTGAAAAAGCCCTCCCATTCCTTCACGGTGACCGGCTTTCTCCGGTCGGCCAAGCTCATGCCCTGCTCCATGTCTAGCACCTCGAATTCGCCAAGCTCGGTGTCTTCCATCTCGAGCACATCCTTGGCAGTCCAGATGCGTTGATTTCGCTCTCGCTCAGACTGCTCTGCGATGCCCATAGCCCATCTCGCCAGATATATCCTTGCAGAGTCGAACTCATCCGACATCGTCTGAACTTGTGGGTTCTGCATCAATCGCCTGACTTGCGGCGGGATGTTTTTGTTCTCCGCCACAGCCTGCGCTGTTCTTCGAGTGAACGTGGTCACTTGAGCCATCTTCTCCATGAAGTTCCACCTTGCGTTCTGCAGCACCTTCATGACAGGATCTTGTTGTCCGGCACTCTTCCTCTTGTCCTTGTTCGGCTCGTCCTTGTGTTTGCCTTCGAGGACATTCTTGACTTTATCTGGAGTTGGCTTTCCTCCACTACCGAACGAAAGCTTGTCTGCATCACTGGGATCGATCATGTACACACTCGGCTCCTGCAGTGATCTCTCCACGACAACATATTTCTTCAACCATTCCACCACCTCATCTCCGCCCCAGAACATGTGCCCATCTTCTGCACTGATACTGAAGTTCTCCCTTTGTAGCTTCTTTCTCCGCGCAATGGTCGACTGACATTCGGAATCGTGAAAGAAGAGGGCAGGGAAGCTGTCTCCAGCACGGGTGTTAATGATGATGCTCCCGAACCACCATCCGGTGCTCGGAGGTCGTACCAGAATGGAAAAGACATCGGACACGGGTACAGCGAAGGCATATGTGCCTAAGCTGGAGCTGTGAGTGGTGACGACGGGTGGACGGGGAACGAGGTTGCGTTGGTTGGGCGGGGCCTCGATGTCGGCGCCTTCGACTTTGGTGTATGTGTCTCGCGTCTCGGAGCCGAGGGTGTTGTCTGGCACCCAGGCCAGGAGCAAGTCGGTCCGCTTGGGCTTACTTGAGCTGCTGCCTGCCTCTTCGGCGGGCTTCTGCTGCACCAGAGCGAGCCAGCCGTCGACATTGTCCTTGGCCGACTGCGTGGGATGCACGTAGACTTTGCTCTTGCAGTACAGCAGCTTGACGCCCTTGCCAGTCTTGCTGTGGCGGATGGTGCTGTACTCGGTCTCCTCGTCGTCGGACATGTCGTAGAAGCTGGCGGTGGGCGATGGCGGACTGGGGGGATCGCGGGCAGCGTCTGCTGCTCCCAGCGGCGGGGTGGACGGCATCGTTCCTGCTGCAGGTGACCGGTGTGTTACTTGCCTGAGGATAGAACGACAGTGATCACATGTCACGCTGGTCTACGGTACAGTACACGCGATGGTGGAGTTGATGTCTTTGTACCAGACGAGCGCCTGCTGCTGCGGCGGGGCACAGGTGTGGCGCGTGTCGAGCGATGACGATGATCACCGCGCTCGCCAGGCATCACCATAACTCCTCTTCCCATTGACTCCAGACCATCGCACCATGCACACACGGCAGCTGTTAATCAGCGACGAGGCAGATCTGTTCAATGCTTCTACGGTCTGTCATTTACTACTGCTCTCCCTACAGTACTGTCGTCCATCACACCCATGCCATTCCGGAGTCACGGGAAAGCTTGTGTCACTCTAGCTCATTTCTCCTCCAGACGACATGCACTCCTTTCCTTCCTCACACTCTGCACCGTCTACCACGCAATTGACTAAGCATACAGTCCATCATCCGAGAGAAGACATAACATCATGTGCTTACCGCCAGCCCGAAGAAATTGCACCAGCTTCGCGACACGGCACGGTTTCACTGTTTCTGGCTCCGTCCCAAGTCCACCCAGTCTGGGCGGTTCATAGACCAATGCAAAAGGCAACATTCCGACTCGAATGCGAAGGAAGTTGCTCCTGCAATGATGAAGTATCCGTGAGCCACCGAGCTCGGCATCATAGCGCCGGAGCCCTCTTCAAACGCTTCACGTCACGGCGGAGGCTGCTCGGCGTGCCGGCGTTTTCGCCGAACAAAGCGCTTTGGCTTGCACGCACACTCCACGTGAGGCGTGCACAGAAGGAGCCGCATGTAATCGCGTGCTGAGGTCTCCCGCTCCGAAGTGCGACTCAGATTGCAAACACTTCGTGCTGCTTGGACTCACCGCAAATAGTGCCGCGTGGCTGTGTATCTATCGAACAATATCGCTGACACTGTAGCTTGCTGACAGTCTGAAGCAGTAGGTACACCGAGTGCCTTGTTGGAGGCAGGGACTCGACGAGCACACACATAGGACCGTGCGAGCAGTCATTAGGACGCCGTACATGTGAGACCTATAGAAGCGGCCGAATATCTCCAGAGATCTGCACATGACCGCAGATCAACTCAAGATACGCGAGCACGCATGACCAATTCACAGCTGCAGCATTGTTCAGTGGGCGACTCCGTCTAAGATATCAGCTAACAGAAACGGACAGTGGAGGAGCGGAAGCGTCTACAGCTGTGTCGGCGAAAATCCTCTGCCATACACTAGCTCGGCGCTTTCACTTCAGGCTTGGCATCACCTCTGTGTTACTCCATTTACATCAAGTTATGACCATGGACTTAGGTCTACCTTGGCATTATCGCCGCTCCCCGGTACTTTCGAGCCAAGGACGTTTCATCGGATCTTCCGTTCGACACATTTCCAGTTGCTCTATCACATTCCTGGCATGGCGCGATCGGACGGCGTCCGATGGACTTTGGGCTTTGCGCATCGCGTGCCTGACCAGAGCCTCAATCTGCACATATGCCTAGCTGGCGGCTCTTTCGATAAGGCACGAGGTCAAAGCATGAGATCTGTGGAGATCCTTGTGTCATGCCGAAAAGCGCCAGCTCGGTGTGCGAGCATCAACTCCAGTACATGACGTACTGCTCTGCGCTGGAGTACGCTGAAATCAATAAGCACGATTCGATTGTTGCGAACCTGACGTTCTCGGCGACGGCGTTATTATCATCTGAACCGACGCTCGCCTTGGGAAACATCCTTCCAACACAGCCTTACCGGAACTTCATATCCCCAAAAGAGGCAAGCGCAAGTAGTCGGCCGTATGCTTCGGCGTGCCATACTACTCCACGTGGGCTACTCTGTAACAACAGATTGTATCCATAATTAGTTCGGAGGATCCAGCATGCCCAGGAGCTATCGCAGCACTGGTGGAGTGAATGCTTCTGGGCTGTCTCTGTTGCTCGGCCTGTCATGTGCCTCCGGTGGGGTCTGTATGCTTTGATGCTACCACCTGATAGGTCACTTAGTTGTCTCCTGGGCCATCACGACAGCGACAAGGTAAGTTCTATGGAAAGGCTTGAGGCACAAGCCAAGTATAGAAACGCCGACAACATGCACCGCGATGGTGTGATAGCATCGCAAGGAGACAGATTCAGACATTTAAGAAGGACGAATTTCTCCTCAATCCCAACATCTCATCAGCAGCAGCAACAGCAGCTGCAAAGCCTAATCAGCTTTCTTCCACTCCTTCATCTTTTCATTCATCATGGCGTTTACTGCAGTGGCTGGCTCCACTGTGGCATTTGCACTCTCAGCTTCCGCTGCAGACTTCACCTGAGCACGTCCGGGCCATATCTTCAACACTACAACACCCATACCTCCTCGAGCACTGTCTCTTGCCATCCCATTCCGCTGGAACACTGCGCAACCGAGGCCGGTGCCTCGATTTCCAGCATCGATGCCACATCAGCCCTGGATGCTACTCCTCATATGTTGATGGGGAAGCATGGGCCTGGCCACACTCGACCATGGCACAGGAGCCGTATCAAGACCTAAAATGATCCTTTCCACCAGCTGCAGATCCTCGCCTGTCAATTGCTACGAAATGCATCGACGACAGACAAACCTTGCCGGAAACAAACATCGAACATCGACCCCGGATCTCTCGCCTCCTCCACAATCACATTCACGATACTCGACAACGACACACAAGACGAATCTTTACGACAACGACACCATAACGACCACTTCCACTCCTTTCACATCACGAATCTCCTTTGTCAAAAACATCATGAAGGCCCGGCGCCTCATGTTAACGACCCTAACGACCTAACGAATACACGAAATGCTACTGGCTAGCATCTACCTTCACGAAGATTACGAATTGCCACGAGCGAAGATGAACGACAGATCAGCCCTGGTGGCTTCTACGCTCCTTGGAAATTTCTACTTCTTCTCCGATGGATTTGACGAATGAGAACTGGTGTCTCTTTTCTATCACGACCTGATGGAATCGCTACTGGATAGCGATTTTCGATGAGATGTGACATGCAACGAAGCTACTGGATGGCGAACTTTACGAATTTTATGACTGAGCTGGACGACTGGATTGTCCTTCGATGAAGATATGGTCCAGGCGACGATATGCTTCTTCTTCTTCTTACGATGTTATGAGCTGGACGATTGTGGCTGGACTGCGATTCTCATGACGACACGATCTTCAAGAAACGACTGGTTCGTGACTTTTTGTGCAGAAGTCCCGGCGACTCTGCCTACCAAGCGGCACTGTCACTGGCTGGCAGCGTCGTTGTACACTACAAGATCGATGACTGGTTCGTCGATCTTGAATCCTGCCCTGGAGGCTACTCCTTCTCATCTCACTGGAGACCGGGTGTCTTCCCAGTGCACGAGGTTCGCTACCGGATAGCAATCTCATTTATCCAAGCGATCTGGCTATCGCGATGATCATGTGGCCCAGGTGGTTATATGCTTACTTGTTTCTTCCCTCTCTCGAGACCTGGTGTCTCTTTTTGCCAAGTTGCTACTGGATAGTAACTACGAGACCAACGACGATTATGACTTTATGCGAGCTGGACTTTGCGTATTTTGTTACAGCCCTGGAGGCCTTTCTTCTCTTTCGTCCACGAGGCCTGGTGTCTCTTGTGACTGGGAACATCGCCGCTGGTTGGCAATTCTCCACCACTTCGATTTCACAGCGATCGGGCTAGTCTCGTCTGCTTGGACTCTGCCCTGGTGGCTTTCTTCAGTCCACTCCTTTCAACTCAATCCGGGTCCAAGTTCTGGTATCTCGGACTTCGAAGAACGCTACTGGATGGTGTTTATCAGAAAGATGACGAAACAACACCTGGCGACCGGCTCGTCGGATTCACATCCCCCTACTGTTTACCACGATGAGACACTGGTGTCTTGATCGTTGTTCATCACTACCGGCTAGCGATGGACTTTTGATCTTCTTCTCCAAGGACGAATGACTGGCTCGTTTCGGACTGTGATGTCCAGATCCTGGTGATTTGGGCACCATTCTATCATCGCCGCTGGTTGGCGACTTCACACGTTCAAAATGAAACACAAAGCACAAAATACATTCCGATGGATGACTGGCTCGTTCATCATGCTGAAGAATCACTGGTGACTTCTCTGGTATTTCATCTTCTGACTTCTTTACTTCTCTTACCGAGACCTGGTGTCTTGGACTGGAATGCCGCTGGATGGCAGCTTTAGGGGACGATGATGCTGTGCGTCGGAGTCGGCTTGGGGAACTTTCTCTTCTCTTTTCTCTTGATTGTATTATTATTGGGGCCTGGTGCCTGAAATCCACTGGTGGCGGCCTGGAGTCGTAAGCGGTGGAATTTTCTTCTACACTCGGAATCTTCTGTCTGTGACTGAGATGGGGGGAAATGTATTATTATATTCAATGAATTTCAGATCTTCACTTGTGACATTCCTTGGAAGCTCAGTGACTACTGTGAGTCTTCTGATCATCGCCTGCTTGCTATGCTTCTTGAATTCAGTATCGTAACTTATACAAAGTGCCCTTATGGGATGAGTCTCGGCCATCGCTCTCAGTGTAAGACCTTTGTGCAGGTCGCCATCGGCGACACAATATCGCACCACTGTTCTCCGTCTTTCACACATCTTCTAGACCCCGAAAGTAGAACAGTATCCATCTCTCAGCCAACTTAGTGAAGCAATCTCATCTGGGTTAAACCTCAATCCAACTCCATCTCATCCGTAATCCTCTCCAACAGTCCTCGCTCATCCGCTTCTGTCTTATCCATTTCCTTGAGAAACACAGCCGTCTCTCCACCGACCAAACTTCCCTTCCCGACCAAAATCGAAACCGTCCACTCTTCAAATCTCCTCTGCACTAAATCCGGCCCAATGTCCCTGATGAGATGCTTCAACCTCACACCTTCCTCCTCTCTCACAACCAAATCCCTCACACTCGGCTCAACAGCTTCATCTTCTCCTTTCTTTTCCTTCTTCTTCTTCGTATTGCTCATGCCGCCCTCGCCATCCCCACCAAAAGGATCAAGTACGCTGACCCTCACCTCACAAACCGGAGGCTGAGTCAAAAACATCCCCATCCGACTGTCCGCCAACCCAAAATCCCGAATCTCAACCAAAGTCTCCGTCGGAATGGTAAACCTCGTTCCAGAGAAGATCTGATACGAGAACTTCAGCCCGCTGTACAGGAAATTTGGCGTGTACTTGATCGGCCTCAGGAGATAAGGATTCTGTTTCGTTTCCACACCATAGAACATCTTCCCCTCCTTCCCATTTTCCTTTTCTCTGAGCACGCAGAGCGGTCCAACAGTCCCTGAAATCCTATCAACGAGTCGTAGTGTTTCGAACTCGTAATCCGAGAAAGCAGAAGAAGGGGTAGAAGGAACAGGAACGTTCTTCTGCTCATTCGTCTCAAAAACACAAACCGTCCGCTTCTCAACAGCGCTGTAAAACAACCACTCCTCCAAATTCGGCGAATAGTAGATGAGAACTTCTTGCCAGAATTTGCAAACGCGTTCGATGACGAGGAGTTGGCGGCGGGAGAGGCGGGAGAAGATGTTTTGGAGGAGGTGCATGAAGTAGCGGTTTCGAAGCACTTTTCTGATGGTGTGGGGCATTGTTGTGTCGAAGGTTAGGAAGGGATGCGCCTGAGGGATTGTCAGATGGGGGCTTACTCGAGAGGGGGATGGGTGAGATGTTGGTCAGGGAAGAGGGATACGAACGAATCGAGCTTTGCCGCCTTGTTTGTCCATGAAGGCGAGTTGAAAGGCGATGTAGGGGTTGGATGGAGGGAATCTGTTGTCGAATGAGGGTTGCGTGGTGTTCGACTAGGGGGTAATTAGCATCGAATCAAGCGAGCTCTACGATTGTTACCAACCGATGTCGACGAAGTTGCGGCATCCTGTCCGCTGTGCGTGTTAGCCATCTTGTCAAGCCGACTTGCACTGCGAGTGTCGAGTGTGTAGGCACGAGGAACAAATAGAGAAGCAGAAATCGGAGCTAGATGCCCGAAAGGAGGGCACGTCGGAGGACGGAAGCCCTATGCTTCAACATTCACTGCCAAATTCTAGCTCAGTAATCTCTAAACCCTTCGACAAGAACCACAGGCCCCGTATAGACATGCCTGGCTCTGACCACCCAATCTATCGCGGCGATCAATCCAACAACGACAAACATAAGAACCGACCAATTGAAGTCCACAAGCGAAGGGTTGCGAATGTTCGGCCAGAAACACCAGAAGAAGGCGAAGCTCGAGTATGCAAGTCCGCCAATATTAATGGCAACGCCATACTTTCCAAGACTCCATCTTGCTTTTGGCAACAACTCGGGTTGATAGACTCGTCTGTACAGCACGCATGCGATGGACACTTGATAGGTGATCATCAGGGATACCAGGTTCAGCGAGATGATGGCGTTGAAGGCCACGTCCGAGCCGAAGTTGATGAACGAGAGAACAATCGTGAAGGCGCAAGTCACGATGACTGCATTCGCGGGGACTTCGAGCTTTGTGTTGACCTTGCTGATCCAGCCAGAGAAAGGGAGTCCGTTGTCACGAGCAAACGACCATGTTTGTCGCGAGGTGGAGAGGTTGTAGGACAGTGTTCCAGCAAAGATCAGGATAATGACGATCGAGCTCAGTGCGTTCACGGCCTGGATCGAAAATGCGTTCTGGAAGACGTAGAGGAAAGGATAGTCGGCCTCTAGTGCACCTTCCAGGTCCACGACCGAGAAGAGGAATGTAACCAGGAAGATGATGCCGAGACCACCGTTCAACACGTAGGATCCGATCATGGCCCTGGGTACCGTAACACTCGCGTCCTTGATCTCTTCGGACATGTGAGCGGCCGCGTCGGAACAAATACAAGCGTAAATTGCAGAGATCTGGCCAACCATGAGTGCGAGACCCATGGTCTGCCAGTCACCGCCATTGTAAAATTCGGTGAAGACAACGCTCGCGGCATTTCGAGGAGCCAGGACCCAGATGCAGACAATGATTGTGAGGAAGCCAAAGACGTGCAAGATGAGCATGAGGTTCTGGAACACCGGCATGGCGTTTCCACCATATACGTTGGCGAATAGGACAAGGATCGTGATAGCCCAGACACACAACGTTCCTTGCCAATTTGTTCCTGCGTAGGACGGATTGTTGATCGCGGCCACGCTTTGAATCATAGTACCAACCAAGAAGGGGCCGGACGCTGTGCCGGCCTGCCACGAGAGTGTGCTCATCCAACCGGTGAAGTATGAAAGCAGCTTCTGGTATTTGGCAGGCGCGAATTCAGAAACCCTACAAAGTCAGTCCATGGCCGGCAACAATATTTCACAAGAACATACCAATGGTACTATTCACAGATTAGTGTTCGCTCAGATAAGGTTATCATTCTACACCGGAGAGTTCGACTCACCTGTCCGCCCGACGTCGGTGCCATGGAAGCCATCTCAGCCAAACTGACAACCACAAGCGAGAAGCCGCAAAAGGTCCAAACATAGGACCAGAACAGCCCTGCCAACCCTCCGCTATACATGCCCTGGTATGAGGCTGCAAGCAACACCTCCCATGTACCCTGCAGGATGACCACAAAGGCAATTGTCGACAAGCCTCTGAAATTCCGCCGCAGCTCTTGCTTCTTGCCCATACGGGACATGTCCTTCTGGTCATTCCGCGTGAAGCCCCGATCATCCTCTTTCGACGACTTGAGGTGTCCATGATAGTCCAAATCCTCATCATCGATGCGATCGAACTGGGTCATGTTGCGGGAGTTCTGGGACACCTGGGTCTTCGTGATGACATCCTCGGTAGCCATATGCGCAGGCTGCGCCGAAGACGACGAGGACGATCCCGAGGCCATCGCTGCGGCTGAGGACGATGCGATGGACGCTGGAGGGAGCAAGAGAGCAGAGGAGAAGCGAGCGAGAATGCGCTGAGGTCGCGACCCGCCTCATAAAGTCAAAGGCGGCCGCAGCATAGCGAACGTGGTATAGCGCATAGCATGGCCGCTACTGCGCGTGGCATCGTTGCCCAGATGCGCCATTCGGGATGCTGCTGGCAGAGAGGGTCCTGCGGCCGAGTTTAGGCGTGCTCTGGTTCCATTGGGTCCGCAGCACGGCAGCCGGCTGTAACGTGAGCAGCGCGCGCGGCTCCTGCTGCTGATGAGAGGATCATCTCGGCTGGGGCTGGCAGCTGGCGTGACGGCTGCAGCGAAGTGGGATGCGCGCGGAGTGATGATTCGACGTGCTCGCCTGCACGCGACGTCTGCATGTGGCGTCGCCGACCGGGTTCTTCTGCCTTTCGGGCCCAGGATAAACTTCAACCACCGGCCGCGCCTGGCCTTGGCAAACAGAAATACAGTGACTAATCTCAATCCCTATAGCGCACAGGTCACCATTTGATGAACTGCTGAAACGGCGACAGTTCGGCGGCCACGAGGCGAGCGGAGTCTCCCATTATCCTGCAACGCCACCTCGTGTAACTTCAAGCTCGACACACGGAAACCTCACTCACTTGGCGGGCAAACGCTAGACAAGGCACCTCGTCCGTCATCATGTCACGATCGAACGACCCCGGACACTACTTCCAAACGACCGAAGCCATCGCAACATCTGAACGCAAAGCAGCAAAGTCGAAGAACAAGCATGGAGATCCGATCAAGTTGTCTTCGAAAATCCTCGCAGCAATTGCCGACCCTTTCAATGAGAATGCCATTTACGTAGCGGAGGCCGGCGGCGAGGTCAAGCGAGTAGATCTGGAAGTGTGTAAGAACGTCTTTCCTATATATTCATCGATTATGCCCCTAACATGCGATCCCACAGAGCCGCCAAGTCACCAAAATCTTTGATGGAAGTGCCGCACCACTGACTTGCCTAACGATCTGTCCCATCACCAAAACCCTCTTCACGGGCAGCTGGGACAAAACGATCTATGGCATCCCTCTCTGCAAACAGACCTCAGAAAGGAGCGCTCAGAAATTGTCCGCCCACACCGACTTCCTCAAATGCCTTCTCGCCACATCCCTAGAAGGAAAACCCATACTCATCTCCGGCGCCGCAGATGCCACAATCATAATCTGGGATTTCACAACTTCCACTCCGATCCATAAACTCAAAGGTCACACTAAAGCCCTCGCATCATTTGCTATTGATTCTCTTTCCTTCCCATCGGAGTCTTCCTCACCAGGCTCGAACCTCACACTCTTTTCATCAAGTTCAACCCGTGAGATCCGACGCTGGGAAATCTCTCCATCTTCCGCTAAAGAAGCATCGTCGAGCCTGGAAACCCCAATACTCGCGCATGAAACAAGCATCTACGCCCTCGAATTCGATTCTTCAGGGGATCTATGGACTGCATCAGCAGATAAGACTGCCAAGCATCTTGTTCGAGAACGGAATTGGGAAGCAGATACTACACTTCAACATCCGGATTTCGTGCGTTGTGTGCTTGCATTCGAGGATTTGGGGCTTGTGGTCACGGGGTGTAGAGATGAGGAGGTGAGAGTGTGGGATGCCGGAAGTGGGAAGGAGATTTGTGTTTATGAGGGACATTTTGAGGAGGTTACGGGGTTGGTTGCTTTGCAAGGGGGAAAGAAAGTTGTGAGTGTGAGTATTGATGGGACGGTGAGGGGGTGGAGTTTGGAGAGGAAGGTTATGGAGGAGTGGATGGAGGAGAGGAGGAAGAGGGTAGAAGGTGGTGAGGAAGATGAGGATGAGGGGAAGGGGAAGAAAGGTGGGGAGGGGATGCTGACTGCGGAGGAGGAGGCGGAGTTGGCGGAGTTGATGGACAGTGATGAGGATTAGATGTTTTCAAGGAATGAAGTGGATGAAGGTGTGATGATTTATAGCATCAATGAGCGAGTATGAGCTGCCGCAAAGGCGGCGGACCCTACTGAAGTATAGAATTAGAAATTCATGATGCATCAAATTCAGGAAACTCTATATTGTATTTCTACTCGTGGTTAACCACTGTCGTTTTCATGTCATTCTCTCAACATGTCTTGTGTTGAATCGTCCCATCTCTTTTTATATATCACCCAGCCAAACTCCACGCTAATGCCCAGTCACACACATTGCTTTCTCCTCTACTGATTCCCCTTCGCAAACTCTTGCAGATACTTCTCCAACTTCTCCGCCGCCTCAACAGGAACAGCATTGTAATTGCTAATTCTCATACCGCCCACACTGCGATGACCTTTCAATCCCTTGAGTCCGAGATCTTCTGCACCTTTGAGGAAAGCCTTCTCGGCATCGGCGTCCCCGCCTTTGACGCGGAAGCAAATGTTCATCCTGCTGCGGACGCTCTTGTCTGGAACGACTTGGTAGACTGAAGGATGGCTATCCAGCGCTCCATAGAGGAGAGAAGCTTTTTGGTTGCTTTCAGCTGCCTGGCCTGCGATACGCGCTTGTCCGTCTTGGGTTTTGTGGATGGTGAGGAGGCGTTGCATGACTTGGCCGGCGATGTAGACATCGAAGATGGGGAGAGTGTTATATAAGCTGTTGTTCTTCGCGATGGCAGGGTAATCGAAGACGATTGGACCGATAGGAAGACCAAGTTTGCGCAGTACTTCTGGCTTGGCATATTCGGCGTGTGGGGGCAAGAAGGCGTTGGAGACAATGGCGATGGTAACGCCTGTGGTTCCAATGTTCTTTTGTGCTCCGCCGAAGATGACAGCGTGTTTTCGGACGTCGACGGGACGGGAGAGGAAGTTGCTGCTCAAGTCTGCGACGAGGTTCTTGCCTGTGGGTGTGGATTGAAATTCTACACCGTCGACGGTTTCGTTGTCACAGTAGTAGGTCAATGCTGGTTCGCCGTTGCTAGCTGTCCAGGCGGAGGACTCTGGAATCACGCCAAATTTTCCATCGCGGTGTTTGCGCGCATCGGTGACAATATTGACGTGCTCGGCGCCCAAGAGGCGAGCTGCTTCTTGCGATGCTTTGAGAGACCAGGAGCCAGTGACGAAATAGTCTAGCTTCAATTGCTCTTGTACGACTTGCTTCAGCTTCTCCTCATCACCTCCCAGATCTTTCAATTGCTTTGCGACCCAGACGGAGACAAGATTGAAGATGACTGCGGAGAACTCTCCACTGCCACCTCCTTGCAGGAAGAGGATTTGATAGCCATCGGGACCATCTGATTCCGGAATATCTAGCAGCTGACGAAGGGCACTCTGGGCATTTGCAAGAACTTCGTTCGCATCTGCACTGCGATGGGAAATTTCTGTGATGCCAATTCCGGTGTCTTTGTAGTTGAGTAGAGCTTTAGATGCCTCTTCCAGAACAGGTGTTGGAAGTGGTGCAGGACCAGCTCCAAAGTAGTGAACATCTTGTCGAGAAGGCATCTTGGGATCGATGTGGAATTCAGAAACAGATCAAGTGGTCGCGAAAAAGTTGTTGTTGATTGCTCCAATGCGTTCCTGAGTCAGACATGAAGTCGTTGGCGGGATGATGCGAGGCCAAGAGGTTGGAAGCGAGCAAGCCGACATCGCAGCTCTCCGGGAATTTGTTTCGTCGAGAATTACCACGCGTGCCATTGGCTGACATTACATCTTCGAGACACAGCGAGTTGACGATCGATCGAGAGAGAGTGGTGCAGTGTTCAATGATAGTCGGACGTCTCTGATCGAAGTGTATCGAGCCGCAATGGCGGCACTCAGAGCTGGAGCGGCGAGGAGCGTGCAGAGGCTGACCAGGAGCGTGAGTGAAGCAGAGCAACAATGAGAACAGTGAGAGAACAACCCTCACTGACAGCAATAACAGAGCCTCGCACTGCCTCGTCCTGCTGCCAGACTACGACAGCCGACCCTCGCTACCACCTCATATCTCCACCACCGCCCGCGATGCATCTCTACCACGCGATCAGCCCGTCTCGCCGCCGCCGTCGAGGCCTTTCCATCGCAGCTGGAAAACACGCCTGCCGATATCCTGAGCAAGCCCGCTACGACTCCAACCACGCCACAAACATTGACTGAGAAGATTGTCCAGAGATACTCGCAAGGCTTGCCCGACGGCAAGTTTGTGAAGGCTGGCGACTATGTCACCCTTTCACCGCACCACTGCATGACCCATGACAATTCATGGCCTGTGGCGACCAAGTTCATGAGCATTGGGGCCACCAAGATCCACGACAACAAGCAGGTGGTGATGACATTGGACCACGATGTGCAGAACAAGAGCGCGAAGAACCTCGAAAAGTACGAGAAGATCGAATCGTTCGCAAAGAAGCAGGGTGTAGACTTCTATCCCGCTGGACGCGGCATTGGACACCAGATTATGGTCGAGGAGGGATACGCCTGGCCGGGCACAATGGCTGTCGCTAGTGACAGTCATTCCAACATGTACGGAGGCGTGGGATGCCTCGGCACGCCAGTCGTGAGAACAGACGCTGCAAGTATTTGGGCCACTGGCAGGACATGGTGGCAGATTCCTCCGATCGCTAAGGTGACTTTGACTGGTATTCTACCAGAAGGTGTCACCGGGAAGGACGTGATCGTGGCACTGGCTGGACTTTTCAACAACGATGAAGTCTTGAATCATGCTATTGAGTTCACAGGATCCACCAACACGATGCGCAGCCTGCCTGTCGATGACCGACTTGCCATTGCCAACATGACCACAGAATGGGGTGCTCTTTCAGGACTCTTTCCGATCGACGACGTGCTGAAGGGCTGGCTGAGATACAAGGCAACGGAAGCGAGCATGTACAGAGACCCATCGGCAACGTCAAGTCTGACGACGGATCGTTTCAATCACGAAAGACTGGACGAACTATTCGCGAACCCTCTGGCCGCTGACGCAGGAGCCACATATGCAAAGGAGCTCTTCCTGGACTTGTCGACTTTGTGCCCTTATGTTGCTGGACCAAATTCTGTGAAAGTTGCTACGCCGCTCAATGAGCTCGAGGCTCAGAACATTCCCGTAAACAAGGCTTACCTCGTGTCCTGCACGAACTCTCGACGATCCGATATCGAAGCTGCTGCAAAGGTCTTCCGCGCAGCGACTGGTCCAGACGGAAAGGTGCCTAAAATCGCAGATGGGGTCAAATTCTACATCGCAGCAGCATCACTTCCAGAGCAGAAGGCAGCTGAAGAGCAAGGCGACTGGCAGGTCTTGCTTGATGCTGGCGCAGAACCTCTCCCATCTGGCTGTGGACCTTGCATCGGTCTTGGAACTGGTTTGCTTGAACCTGGTGAGGTCGGCATCTCGGCCAGCAACCGCAACTTCAAGGGTCGCATGGGCAGCACCGATGCGAAGGCCTATCTGGGAAGCCCTGAAGTGGTAGCTGCTAGTGCTTTGAGCGGAAAGCTGTCAGGTCCTGGTTGGTACCAAAAGCCTGAGGGCTGGTCAGGCGTACGCCGCGGCGAAGGCGACGGCGTTGCGGAGGAAGAACGCATGATCAGCATCGAAGACGCGCTCGATAAGCTGGTTCGAGAGGCTGAACAAGCGGTTCAAGAAGCTGAGCAAAGGTTTTCTGGCGCCCAAGCAGCGGACACAGCAGCTGCGCCTGAGGACTCGTCATCTGGATTGACTGAGATCTTGCCTGGCTTCCCTGAGAAGGTGTCTGGCGAGATCATCTGGTGCGATGGCGACAACATCAACACAGACGGTATCTACCCCGGCAAATACACATACGACGATGCTTTCAGTGCCGACCCTGCAAAGATGGCGACAGTCGTCATGGAGAACTACGACAAGAACTTCGCCAAGATCGCCAAAGCTGGCGACATTCTCGTAACAGGCTTCAACTTTGGCTGCGGATCGTCAAGAGAACAAGCTGCAACTGCCATACTCGCTAAAGGCATTCCTCTCACAGTTGCAGGCAGCTTCGGCAACATCTTCCAGCGAAACTCAATCAACAATGCTCTCATGGGCGTCGAAGTCCCCAAGCTCATCGAGCGTCTCCGAGCTTCCTTCGGACATGGCGCGTCCTCGACCGGCCAAGCAGGAAAGGCTGCAATCACTGAGCCGAGCAAGAATGCAGAGTCGCTAGACTCTCCGCCTCCAGCTCCTACTTCCAAGCCAGCGGAGAAGGAGCTTACAGTTCGCACAGGCTGGACATTCACGTGGGATGTGAGAAGGAGTCAGGTCGTGATTCAGGAAGGTGAGGGAGGTCAGACCTGGACTCAGAAGGTCGGAGAGTTGCCACCGAATGTGCAGGATATCATTGCGAAGGGTGGTCTGGAGAAGTGGGTGCAAGCGCAGATCACGAGTCAATTGTGAGGGGGTGTTGAAGGAAGGAGAACATGATTTGATACCCAAGATCGAAATTTAGAAAGTAACAATTTCCCGCCTTCGGCGTGAATTGTAGAAAATGTAGTATTAGCTCAATGTACCAGTGAAGGATTTGCGGTGATTGATTCTGAGAAGTTGAGTTCATTGACTAGCTATCGCCCAGAATAAGTCGCAGCGCCATACTACAAGGCCATACAAAGACGATTGTCCCATTTGCTACATGAAAGACGCGCTCTCACAGTCAATACAGGCTGTTCGAAACAACTATCCCACTATAGCTTGTCAGTTGCGAGCTTGAATGTAAGATTTTGACAGTCGACCCCAGTATTGGTCGATCTCGATATATTTCTCTAGCAGTCAGTTGTAGAATGTGCGAAACGTTTCGGAAACGTTTGGGAAACGTTTGGAAACATACATCCACTAGCGCCACTTTGCTGTGATTGGTCAGATCCCATTTCTATCCCAGTGGTCTTGGAGTAAGTACTTGATGTTGGGCCACCTGGCTCGAACATCAGGCTTCTTCTCACAAACACTTATGGGCAAGAATTACAACTGGACATGAATCTTCTCCCATTCGAATATATGAAAGCCCTCATCTATACCCACCACCAGTTCCAGGTATCTGTAAAGCGATCATTCGACTCTCCTCCTCAGTCAACAGTCCCTCTGCAGCAGCCAAATCTCCCCAATCATCCCCGCTATCCCTTCTACCAGGCAACTTCGCCCGCAAATGCTGCCAAGCATGAATAAACGCTCCACGTCTATCATTCTCTTTCTCTTCCGATCCTTGATGTCTATGGCCCACGACTCTATACCCCGCCTTACGCCGACGTGTAAAGCTCCACAACAAGACAAGCACGACGCTCAACCCTGCCAATCCACCGAATCCAATCAAGATCCTTTGATCGATGGTTTCATTAGCAATTCGTTGTTTCTCCTCTTCCATCGAATCTGCTTCGGCTTCCACAGCTGCTAAGTCGCCGATATCTACTGCTTCGGATGTCCCAAGCGGTAGGCCTGTGGAATCCAATGCTATGACGCGCAAAAAGCGTTTGAGACTCGTATTGATGTCGACCTTGTACTCTGTTTCGAAACCTGATTTCGGAATTAGAGTTGTGGACGAGGGACTCCTTCTGCTCGGTCTGACATTTTCATCGTCATTGTCATCAGTGGCAGCGTTGTTGGTTTCGTCGTCATCAAAGTCCACGAGTAACCACGAGGCGACCTCCGTTGCGCCATTCCAGCTCATGTAGAGCGTTTGCTCGTCGAAGACGAGTGAAGGCTTCGTGATGGGATAAGCAGTCCAATTGAATCGCAGATTTCGATAACTTTGCACTGCTCCTGTGCCGAAAGTCGAAGAAGGCTGGAAGTAGGCATCGCAGAGGAGTTTGCCATCTTCGGAAAACTCGGCCATAGCGCCGTTGAAGCCGTACCCGAGAACTACGTGGCCGTTTGGAAGGGTTTGGTAAGAGCCCTGGGAAGAACTTAGAATCTTGGTTGTGGGATCGTACATTGCGACATCGAGTTTCGCGGTCCTTGCTTCGAAGTCGAGTTCAATTCTGGTTCCTTTGGATTGGTCGTCCATGCTATGGTCCCAGTCTGCGTTGTTGTCGAAGAATGTGACGAACGTTTTCCCGTCCTTTTCGAGGAAATGTGCGTCGTGCTGCCCGAGAAATGTCGTGGCTTTGCCGCCGGATAGATCTGTGAAAGAGTTTTTATGGCCACCGAGTTGCCAGAGGACATCTCCTGTTCTGCCATCGATGTAGATAAGCGCACGCAGATACCGGCAAGAGATGAGGTAATTTCCTTCCTTGTCCTTCTCTACTGAGTTGAGATGGTAAGCGTCCCAAGGGTCTGTCTCTGCAGCTTCATTGACAGCAGCATAGGACTGTGCCACTTCAATGTGGTCATTGGCACGCCATTCGAACACAGCTTCTCCCGTTTCGAGGTCAATTACTTGGAATATGGAATCCCAAATCCAGCCTTGCCTCTCATATCCGACTTTGCTGTCGAGGTTGGTATATTTTGTGTCGTAGATCGATATGAGAGCAGTGCCACTTTCCGTAATGGTGAAGACATGTAAATCGGCGCCCAAGCCATTGGCGGCTTCAATTCGGTATCGTTCCTGATATTGCTGATCGAGCATGAAGTATGTCCCGATGCCATGGCCACCCACTGCATCATTGCCGCCCCAGAATGTAAGAAATGCTTCGTTCTTGTATTTCTGCACTTGTAGGTTGTATACTTCGCCGTACTTCTGCGTTGACGCCCAAATGGGACTTCCGGTGACGTCCAATATCATCGGCGTCGCATCCGCGGCATCTCCTCGAGGGGCAAGAAAGAGGTAAGATCCATCATCGCAGGAAGTGAAAGGTTTCATGAAATTGACAATCGGCACTGCCGTAACCTGCGGATGCGATTTGAAGATCTGTGTAACATAGCTGCCATATTTACCATCGTTGTACTGCGAGTCGGCATGGAAGGCCACTTGGTCAGCTAAGCATGGCGTAAGGATTGTGGTAAGAAATGTCAAGAAAAATGGATAAGACATGTGTGTGGAAGAAGCGCACTCTGCAGGAAGTGGCAAGGGAGCGTATGTGCATGGCAAAGTCGTCCAGTGGGGTATAAGAAGCAGAATGCATTGTCCACAATGCCAACAGGCGCGCGGCGTCCGCGTTTGACAGTGCTCAATTTCGCAGTGGGAACTGCGTGGAACAACAGCGCCGCGTCATCTGGGTGGAAATGTGCAGATAGGAGCGTGTCCGGCACCAGTTTCCAGCGCGGCATGTCAGGATTGATATGCGCATATCGTGCACACGCAAAGTTGTGCTAACCCGTGGAAATCAGTGTACGAAAGGCAAGAGGCGTTCTCCTCTCGTCGGGAGCACTCAGCAGGACCGGTGTCCGTGACAATGAGTCCGCCTGAAATCGCTGCAAGCTGGTCATTCAACGGCACTGTCGTCGATCTTGGCGGCAATGTCAGGGATATGCGATTGTGATCGGACGACCTGACTTCAATGATCGTCCACCGGGGCAGATCTACGGGAGATTGTTCGCTGCGCAGATGTTCGTGTCGACCATGAGCAGCGGATTCTGCAAGCACGCGACGCACAAAGCTCGCTGAAGCTTCTCACGGACAGCAAGAACGCGCAATGGCATTCGGAAGATGTTGCCGCTGGGCGACATGTTCGACGGGGCTTTTGGTTGGCGTCGTCATCGTTGGAGACCGGGTGGGTGGTCGCCCATCACATCTGGCAAGAGAACGACGACCTTCGAATTGCGTTCGGGACACAGAGCCACTGGATGTAGCCAAAGTCGATGATAATAAGGAAGAAACAGACGAGATGTATGTCAGACGTCGAAGGTGTATTGAGGAGGAGGTGATGTTGCTTCAAATACGAAGACGTGCTAGACACGACTTTTGTCCCATCGCGTGATCGCTGACTTTCGCGTCGACCAGACATTATTCCCTCCGGCACTTCTGCACTTCACCTGCCTTTCCACTCCACTAGGAGGTACCGCCTTCTTCCGGAGCGCAATCAAGCCTCCGCCGTACTTCTTCACAACTTCTCTCTCACTCCCAACTCGCGACCGCAATCTCCGATCTCGTCCAGGTCCTTCTTCGACTCTGATCGTCCTTCGAGGCGCCGTTGCACACGCGCCCATACTCGAGCGATTTGGTCTTCGCGTATCGCTGTCCGCCCAAATTCCACGTCCGATATCTCATACTCCGCGCGAATCGACCGAGCAATTCCATATTGGTGCTTCGGGACACACTAATCTTGGTATCTGCTCCGACTCACAAGTCTGGTTGCAGTCCAGCCTGTCCGTCTGTTCCTCGCTGATTGCGCTTCTCCTGTGCTGCATGATGTCGCATGACTGCCACCTTGATCCCATTCTGCACCGAGCTCCGTTCCATCAGACAGACATAACAGAGGACGTATTTGTCATCATGGTCTTCGACATGTACTGCGACGACGGGTAGCGATTCTGGTAACCATATTTGGCCTGCAGAAATTCCTGGTTCCTCAATCGGACAACGCGCATGTATTGCGCTTGTGTCAGCCCGTCCTCTGGATTGATTTGGCTGATTTCCATTGACCTCTCCTCAGGCTCGTGGAAGAAGTGGCGAAACAACGCCCAGCAACATAGCAGAAGAGCCCCGGCGCCCAGCAAACATAGCAAGATGATTGCCGATGGCGGCATGGAAGGCCCACTCTCCCCATCTTTCGCCATTCTGGCTGGTCGTTGTCTCGGTTGCGATGTCTTTGTGCGAAGCTCAATGACTAGGCAACACAGTAGCCGTGGGTGGATGTGTGTAAGTTTCAGACGAACAGGAGCTTGTGCGAGGTGCTGCTGCCTTGTAGGTGCCAGAAGTACATGTACCTGCAAGCCACTGGCCGAAGGTTTCTTTGCGCTTCAGCGGATTGGCACATCGCGGAGTGAAGACTTCACAAGGTGAGGGGTGAACGGCACAGTCTTATGCTGACACGCACGTGCACAGATACTTTCTGGAGTCACAAGTCTTCTGCGATCACTTCACGAGCTGTGAACAGGGTGTTGAAACAAGCAAGTTCGCTGTCATGAACACGGCAGACCAGGTCTTGCGTGATCTTGGTTACGCGTCGCAAGAAGCCTGGCTGCAAAAATAAGCTCCAGCTCCGATCCGTTCAGGGTTCAGCAACTTTGTTCCCAACGCAGGTTATGGAAAACACAACTCCTTGCAAGGATCAATGCTGACTTGCATCAACTGACAATCGGGCTCGCAGCCTGTTATTGCCCGAGTCTTCCGTGATGCTTTTTTGACGAGACTCAAAGTCGTGTCTAGCACGTCTTTCCATTTGAGCCGACGTGCATGCTCGACACATCTACGACATTGATACACACGCCCTCTTCTACCTCATCGCCTTTGACCTCAGCATTCATGCAGAGAGCTCGTGCCGTTGATAGCAATGCGAAGCCCTCCATGCCGACAAGCTCGTGCACAAGGCACACATGCAAGCCATGCCATCGCCGAGTGGGCAAGAAGACTAGACGACACAAAGACATGCCTGGAATTTCACAGACTGGAGCTAGTGAGACTCCTAGCATAAGGGTTGACATTTCCGATTGACCACATGCAATTCCAGTCTTGAGGCCGCAAGGGTCGCACCAGAATGACCTTCTCTGCTTGGCCGATCAATTCAGGTGACCGTACGCTTACCTTCGTAGACATTTTGAGGACACTGAAGAGTCTGCAATCTTCTCAACGGTATTGCCGCTATATAACTCACTTGCTCCTTCTCCCTTTTCGAATTTGCAATCTGCTACTCGTTCAACCTCAGTAAAGCAGTTTCAGCAACCATCGAAGATCACAAGTCCAACACAGCTTCAGCAACTACCACAATCGCAAGCGCAATACATAGCATCGGCATCGATACATGACACTGCGAATCAGCTCCGTGTTGCACATTGACACAGCCCTCAAGATGGACCCGACCTTACGATCCCTCCTACAAACCTTCGTCGAAGATCTGATCTTTATGTGGATCGCTCTGTATATTTTCGTCAACTTCGCCCACCGCTTCCAGAACTGGGGCCGGGTCGGTCAAAGGCGGTATCTCCTCGATTCTGGAGCTGCAAGCCATGCCACATGGGCTAGCGCCATCTCGAGTAACTACAGGGCATATCGTATGCCTCGAGCCTGCGCTGGAGTAACTGGGAGCGCTTTTATCCTAGGTGTTGGTGACGCCACGGTTCCATTTGTGCAGCGCGATGGCACTGTTCAGGAGATACTGGTCCCTGGAGTCTCCTACATGCCACAGACGTCTGAAAATCTGCTTTCGACGGAACTCTTAGGGAAGCAGGGTATTATGTGGTCGTCGGAGGACCAGTTGCTCTATCGGAAATATGATGACGGCAGTCGAGAAGAGGTTGCTGCCACTGAGATTATGCATGCTGTTCCATGGTTGAAGGCACCGGATGCTGTGAAGAAGTGTAGTATCTCGGACTCGTCACGCAAGCCTGGATTCTGGTCGAACTTTTGGCAGCGCGTGGTTCTGGGAAAGGGGTTGCAGATCGAAGACGACTTGACACATTGGGACACGTACATGTATGCGGACAATGTGGTTGACAAGCTTATTGACATGGTGTCGACACAACAACGCGAGCTGGCCGCACTGAAAGCACGTCTTGAGCACGTATCCAGGATTGCCGCCATTTGACTAACAGCCTTGAGCTGCGCAATGCGAGCAAATACTTCAAGTAACGACGCTGCACCATGAGAATAGCAGCTTCAGGGCTTGTGCCAGAGTGGAGATATTGGCCAGATGTTGATTCAAGCGCTCATATTGGAATGTCTTGCGACAGCCCATCCAGTGGAGAGCGCCTTGACTCCAAGCCATGTTAACTTCCGGCTGCAGGCCTGCAGACACATATGAGTGGGTCACTGAAATGGCGTAGGTATGTGTGCTCAAGGGATAACCAAGCCACCGACGATTTTCAACCGGATTGTCAGCTCCAGGAACGCCTCTTCGCCAGCGAGACGTCTTCGCCAAACCTGCACAATCACCGGCTATTGCGTCTCCCCCGCATACGAGCACGTGGTGCGCACAAGGGCAGCACGCGGAGGCAAAAAGCTTGGTCACGATTATCAGAGCTTCTTTGAGCAAAAGATCAGCACTGTGCACCGCATGTGCTTTCGAATTGCAACGCTGTAGACGTTGACATTGCATATCGCTGTCTGCGCCAAGGAAAGAAGTAGCGAAAGATCTCCTCAATCCCGTGGCCGATTTGTGGTCGGTAGATTGATGTTGCGAAATATCGTCAGTATATCAATGTCTCCCTATGCTCCTCACTTTCTGTGATTCTCGCTGTGTTGATCTCCTCTCCATTTCCTCCTTCGATCCCATCTGATCCAACCCTGCTCCACTCGCGAGAGCACAATCAAACCCAAGATGTCAGAAAAAAGTTCCTCACTCCACGACCCGGACAACAAACACATCGAAAATACCCAAAATCCCACCCACAAAGACAACCATGACCTCAACATCCTCGAAACCCAACTCCCAAACTCCCACGACCTCCAGGTATCCAAACGCCTCGTCCGCAAAATCGATTTCCGCCTTCTCCCCGTCCTAGCATGCATCTACTCCTTCGCTCTCATCGACCGCGTCAACCTCCCGAATGCCCGAATCGCAGGCATGGACGAAGATCTCCAACTCAGCGTCGGAAACCGCTACACTCTCATCACGATGATTTTCTTCGTTCCTTACGTGATATTTCAATTTCCTGCGAATATCGCTATTCGGAAATTGGGAGCTTGTCTGTGGCTTTCGAGTCTGGTTTGCGCTTGGGGGATTGTGTGTATTGGGATTGGGTTCAATCAGAATTGGACGGAGACTTTGGGGTGTAGGATTTTGTTGGGGGTGCTTGAGGCTGGGTAAGTGAGATTGCTGGGAGATATCGTGGTACTTTCTGTTGACTGATTTGGATAGATACTTTCCCGGCTGCGTGTTCTTGTTATCGTGCTGGTATCTGAGATTTGAAGTGCAGAAACGGTTCTCAGCTTTCTACCTTCTGGCGCTGTTATCTTCGGGCTTCTCAAATATTCTGGCATACGGGCTTAGTGAAATGAAAGGTATCGGAGGACTCAATGGCTGGAGATGGATCTTTATTATGGAAGGAATAATCACTGTTGCCCTTGGGTTGCTGGGGTACTTGTTCATCATCGACTTTCCGGACAAATCGACGAGGCCTGGACTTATCATCAAAAAGCCATTCTTGACCGAGGACGAAGCGAGGATCATTCTGGCACGAATCGATCGCGATCGAGGAGATGCTGTTGTTGATAAGCTGACGACGAAGAATGTTATGATCTATCTGAAGGACTGGAAGGTGAGCGATCTGCAAGTTCATTATGTTCACAATTTGCTAATTTACGTTAGATCTGGGAATATGCCTGGTTGTACTTGCTGAACAATACGGTGACATATTCGTTCGGGTTCTTTCTGCCCATTATTCTGAACGGCGATATGGGTTACTCTACGACCATGAGCCAAGTGCTCTCTTTTCCGCCATATGTATTTGCTGTAAGTGAATATGCCCAACTTCACTTCACTTTGCTCCTTTGCTGAAAACTGTACAGGCTCCTTGGATGTTCACGACGGCATGGTTTGCCGATCGCTATCACAAGCGTGGCATCGTGCTCATCTTCAACTGCGCCATTTCCATCGTTGGAGTCGCCATGATGGGTTTCATCACCAGCAACCCTGCAGCTCGCTATGCCGGAGTCTTCCTCGGTGTTGCTGGAGCCAATAGCAACGTGCCAACGATTTTAAGCTATATGCATAATAACATTGTAGGCCAGATGAAACGCAGCGTGGCAAGCGCTTTGCTCATCGGTGGTGGAGCAATTGGAGGAATTGTGGCTTCGAACATCTTCAGGCAACAGGATGCTCCGCGATATCTCCCAGCGATGTATGCAGTCATTGGGACCCAAGCGGTGAGCATACTGCATGTCTTGAAGAACTTTATGGTATACTCTCGCAGGAATCGGAAGGCAGATCGTGGCGAGCTCATCCTGGAAGGTCAAGTTGGTTTCAGGCAGACGTTGTAAGTCAGGCCGTCAAAAGCAGCACAGCCGACTGCCAAGAGGTAGACAGACAGACGGAGCGATCAATCAATGACCATTGCATCTGTGCGCCTCAAAATGTAAAGCCAATGTGAGACTTTCGGTCGATGAGTGTAGCCGAGAGAAAGTCGCTTCTTCCTTTCCGCCAGTGTTTCATTGATCTCATCGAGATCGATCGGCTCTTTTGTCTCCAGTTTCCAAAGTTGATGCGGGTGTGTGAAGCCAGCTTGAATGACATCGTCCGACAGCATTCCATTGCCGACTGTGGCTGGGAATGGCGGTAGGAAGGGGAAACGCTCTTCGGAGTAAGAGATCACAATCCATCGCCCGGTGCCCGGCTTCGTCAGCGCAGCCAGATGTACCGCCAAGACGTGCAGAGGGTGCACGTCTCTGAGCTGAGTGGTGCCACTACCCAAAACTCGTCGCGACCAGCCGTTGATGCTCAGAGGATACGGTAGGCTGAGCGATACATTCTGGCCGCATGCGATACTGTCGCTAGTGCTCTTGTCCAGGATTAGATCGAACAGCTCACCGTCGTCTTGTTGGGTGTGAAGAAGAGACAGAGCAGAATGCAGCGAGAGCAGGTCCTTGCACGAATATCTCATCGGAGGCGGCAGTTCCGTATCTTGGACGCTATCGTGCTTGCCTGGCTGTAACAGACTCTCGACCTGCTCGCTAGCCAGAAGTTCCTGTTCACGCTTCGAAGCGGCCTGGATGGCGGGCTCGGAGTAGTCGACATTCAGGACATGCTTCGGGTGCTGCACCAACGATCGAAGCACGAAGGAATCCGCTGTTCCACAACCAATATGCAAGATCTGGGGCTGCTCCACGTGCGTCTTATCGATGACTTCTTTCGCGATATCGTGTACGACCTTTGCCGGAACCAGCCAGTCAAAGGGCTTGCTGTCTTTGCGGAAGCGATTGTCCCAGTATTCCTGCGATGCAAAGTCCGGCATGGTAATAATAATATGGAGTGGAAAAATGTACAAGTGAAAAGAATATCCCGCACGAGAACGAACGGCAGGTTTTAGATTTGCTCGCGAACAGGTTCATCACAGCGTGACCAGGCCAAGGATTCGAGAAGGTGTTGCCAGACCGATCCTCGGCTAAACAACCAATCACCGCTCAACGGCCACAAATAGCTACCGATCTTTCTGAAACCGTTCTCGCAAGCGTAGCAAGCATTGAGCAGTTCATCGCAGACTAACATTGCATTCGAGAAAGAACAGCTATCCAAAGCCTCTACATCACTACCTCCCCTTCTTCTCCTCATAATACTCCGGATAAGTCGTCTTATACCCCAAGCCATAGTGCCCCACCCAAGCAACAAGCAACATAACAGCCCAACTAACATAAACCCCCAACGTCTCCAACCCAAACGGCATCGGAATAGCCAACGGCACATCTATACTCCACAAAAACACAAACAACTGAAAAATCGACGGAGCCTGTTTTGCTCGTTTACAATCATTCAGATACCCAAAAAAGTTTCGGAAAAATCGACTTTCATTCTCGTAGTCTTCCGGATCGAGTGAGATGTTGATTTTCAATTCTTCTGTCTCGCTGGCATTTTCGAAACGATGATAGCGTTTTGGTGGTAAAGTGACTGTAGTTTTGGGGCCAGTGGCTTTGAGGACGGCGTGAGGGAGCGGGTCCAGGCCGTAGAAGAGGTTTGCGGTGCCTTGGATGACGTGAAAGGTTTCTTTCTGGTAGATGTGGTAGTGGAATGGAGGTTGCAGAACAGAAGGTTCTTTCTCGTCGGGGAGACGTGGTGGGAGTGTGTGGGTCATTGTGTGTTTGGAGCCTTTTGGGTGGTATTGGACTGATGAGGCACCATTCTCGTAGACGGTGAGGTCTGTGGAGGCCTGGTTTGTCTTAGGTGGGTGAGGGGCCCGTAGGAAGGAGATCATGGTGCCGGTAGGTCTGATGCCTTGTTGTGACGCGCTTCGTACTTTCGACTTCGAGATCAGTAGGTGTTGTTGATAAAGCAATGGGATTTATGCCAATGGCTAAGGTGCTGTAAGCCGAAGAACCGGCCCGAGGACGCCTGCAGTATGACGTGCTAAAGCTCCAGGTCTGAGGCTCACAAATCAAACGAGCACGGTCTGGGAGCTCTTGGATCGCTTCTATGTCTCTAGACATCACTTACTTACTGTCTATATAGGCTACAGCTCATCATGGCCGCCCTTGGCTTTTCCTGTAATTTCAGGCATAGCCATGATCTTGACAACCAAGCTCGTCCATCCTGTAAAGTGCTGGGTGCGTTGGCCAGCTCCTGTCTCAGGGTTATATTGTTCCCACGCGAAGCCAGTCTCGAGCCACGAGTTATACACTGTGGTGACGAGATTCTTGCGCAGTTCGCTGTACAACTTGGCGCAGCGTTTTTGTTCTGGTCCAGGCTGTTGGGCAAGGTTCTGGAGAAAGTCAGTTCGTGTCGGAGATCATAGCAACGTCAGCCAACTTACGTATAGCTCCTTGACGATCAGGTAGTTCAAAGGCATCCACACTGGACTCCTCCAGTAATTCTCATCAGTGCCGTATAGCTCATCTTTCTTGCTCAAGCTGCGGATGCCGTAAGGACTCCAGAGCTCCTCTTCGTCCGAGATGAGATCCAGGATCGCTGGCAAGTGCTCATGCTTCCCGTCGAGTAGCCCAGTCATGAGGGGGAAAATACTGATATAGCCCTTGTGGCAGACGTGTGCGGTTTCTTCGTAGTCATCGATGCTTGTATCACAGTAGGTCTTGTGCTCCTTCGACCAGTGCAAATCATCAACGTTCTTTCGGATGGCTTCCGTGATCTTGCCGTACTTTGCGGCGTCCTCGTTCTCACCAAGGTAGGAAGCAATGCGTTGGATGTTGCGACTCATCAAACCGACCCAAGAGATCAGATCGACATGAAGCTCACCTGGGTGTGGTGGCTGTGCGCGAGGGTAATCGTCGAGACCAGAAGTCAAGATATGACGTGGAGTACGTCCACGCCATCTATAGCCCTCTTTGGAGCTGAAGGCATTACGCTCGTAGGTCTTCATGTCTCCATACTGCGTCTTACGGTACCAGTCAAAGTTGCGCTGCAAGAGAGGGTAAAGCTCTTTGAACCACGCTTTGATCGATTCCGGGCTGGCAACGTGGTGACCTGCAACATGTCCAAGCGACTTGACATTCAGCTCAGCACCAGAACCCGCCTTGTGATCAATCTTGTCGAGAATCGCTTCAACGACCATGAACAGGGTGGGAGGATTGGCGTAGTGAGGGTACTGAGTGAGGAACTCAGCAGGCACCTTGCTTTGTGCTTCAGCGCCAAGAACCTGTTCACGAGCAATCCACCCATCTTCGTCCATTGTGTTGTACCACGAGCTAACAATCTGCATCGCAATTTCGGTGTCCCAGTCCAGGATTGGGAGCAGGTGGAATCCTTCGTCCCAGAGGAAGCCACGAGGAAAGAAAGGCCGTGATGGAACGGAAGTGAACAGCTCGTATGGGCCTTCGGGCTTCTGTTCGTTGCGGGCGCGAGCTTGTTCAGCTTCCTCCCAGAATCCCTCGTTCTCCTCCTCGTACTCTGGCGCATAGGATCGATCGATCACTTGCTCGCCATAGAAGTATCCGATGCCTCCAATCAGGTTACTGAAGAGTGACTTGCTGAAGCCGAGCCACTTCTCCTCAGTGAAAGGCGCCGCTGGCTTGTGTACTTCGAGATACTTCTCCTCGAAAGAATCAAGGACAGTCTTGAGGGATTTGCTAAGCTGCTCAGAGGTGGCAGGCTTGCTGGCAGTGTTGGGTGTGAAGAGGACGTCGAACTCGAATGGACCCTCGAAGGTTTTCTGCACGATATGCATGTTGCCAGGGCCAGGCTTGTTCTGAATGGTATAAGTCTGCCACGGAGGAGGCATTCTTTCCTGTGTGTATTCCTCGAGATACGCATCGATGGTATTTTTCAGAGATTGAAAGAGAAGTGCTGCTTACCTTGTCAGATACCAAACTGTCGCTGGCCTACGAGGATTGAGCGCGTCGACTTACGCTTTGATTGCCACAGAGCCTGCTCCTGGACTTTCTGAGAGTACACGAGAGTGCGGTCTAGAGGCTTGCTCGCATACGACTCGTGGTTGTGCACGGGATGCGCCTGTCCTTCAGGCTCCGTGACAACTAGCCGGAATTCACCAAGCGATGGTGTCTCGCCTTGAAGTATCACATCGCCCTCATAGCCCGTCTCTTCAGCAGCCTCAGCGCCTAGAGGTTCGATGCTTCCCAGACCCTCGGCACTGACAGTGAACCATACTGCAGTTTTCATGGTGTCTGGACCACCTGTGCTGCCCTCTCTCCTCTCAGCATCTTCTCGAGGTGTGCCTTTGATTCTTGCACCCCATCCGCCTTTACCATCTTCAAACTTGACAAAGCTCGTCTCGATGTCGATGCCATTGCCTTTGTCATGCACAGTCTGAACACCGCCAGTTCTTGGATCGTAGGCGTCCCAGCCATAACCAGCCATGCCAGCATGCTGTTCGCACGTATATCGTACATCATTCTGTACAGATGTATAATCTTCCACTCGTGCCCAGAGAAGTCCTGTGAGGATCGATTTCGGCACTCGCGGCCGAACGCCAAAGTACAAATTAGGTCGATACGGACCCCATAGCAAGCTGTCGTTCGAAGCCTTGCTGAAGACGGAGCTGTCTTCTGCTGCAACCAGTGCAGCACAAGTGGCAGTCAGCAACGAGCTGACACTCCACGTTTTGACCATTGTCGTTGTTAAAAGAAAAGCTCAGATGAGCTCAATGGATCGCAGAAGCACATATAATGAGAAAGCCACGTTTTGGCAGTGCACGGCTCACAATCGACACGCAGGGGAGCATGCAACCAAGAAACCTTAAACTTTCAAGCGGAGCTGCTTCCGCCCGCTTCACAATCGCCAACTCGTTGCTGCCCGCTCTTCCTCCAACCACCACAAACGGGGCACCCCCTCTACCCACCATGGACCTCCTTCAGACCGTCCGCAAAGAAGGCTCTCGTGGCGGTGTCAACTTCAGCTGGGACGATGTCAAAAATGCCACCAACCGCGAGAACTATCTCGGCCACTCATTAATGGCACCCGTCGGCCGCTGGCAGAAGAACAAGGACTTAAATTGGTACGCAAAAGCCGACGACGCGGAACTTACGCCAGATGAGCGAGCGGAACGAGAACGAGAGGCCAAGTGCGAAGAGATGCGAAAGGTCAAAGAGGCCGAGGAAGATGCGATGAATCTTGCTCTCGGGTTGCCTGTGCCAGATCGGTCGAATGCGAATCTGCAACCGTTGGGGGAGAGCAAGATTAGTCAGAGGGAAGTGAACAAGGCTTTGAGGGAGGCCTTGGGGGATGGGGAGGAGGATGAGGGGGCGAAGAGTAGCTTGGGGTCGAGGGAGAAGAAGGAGCACCGATCTCGCGAACATCGACGGAGGGCGCGGAGCCGGAGTCGAGACAAGAGGCGAAGACATGATGGGGACGACAGGGGAGGAGAGCGACGTCACAGGCACAGGAAGTCGAGATCAAGGTCACGAGAAGGCGATCGAGAGTCTCGGAGGCACAGGCATAAGTCGAGATCAAGGTCCCGAGAAAGAAGGCATAGAGACCGAAGTGAAGACCGAGAAGAACACCGCAGCCACAGACACAGAGATCGCAGCCGTGACAGAGATGAAGACAGGCACCGGAGGCGGAAAGAGCGCGACGGGCGGCCACGAAGTCGCAGTAGAGAGCGTGCGCATGACCGCAGCCGTTCACCATATGAACGAAGACGACGACGAGATGATTCACGATGAATGACAACATAGTTGGAAGACTCAAATGATACCACGTCACAGAAGGCACACCTTTAGCTGAGGAACAACATGCTTTCCAGCCCACGGGGTCGGCTACGCTCAAGGACGAGCCGTAGGAAATTGTCTGAGATGCAACTAGTGATCACGAGAAACGGAAAACACAACGTAATTCTCGGCTTACTAGCATACTGAAGAGGTACAGTAGCCCAACTTCGAGCTATCTGAGATATTGCTGCTTGCGTAGATGCGGACGGCAACCTGGAGGGAACAAACAGCAAAAGACTGTAATGTATACACCGGGTATCATCATCTAAAAGCTCAATCTATACACCACAGGAGAACTCAAAGCGCTTGCAATGCCAGAAACACACTCTTGCTATGCCATGCAGATACACATGTCCTGTACTCTGTTCGTTTCCTTCGCTCGTGCAAATTCCATCTCGCTATGCCATGCAACAGTAAAGTCTATACGTCTCTTTTCTTTTTTAATTTCTTTTGAGTCAAGTGTTCTTCCTCATCTATACTTGCGCCACCTCCTCACGCATTATGATAGACGTTCATAACGACCTGTTTCGTCTTCCCCCAAGCCCCTAATTTCTTCTGCCCTTGCGCTCGGGCATAGTTCTCTTCCATGACGTTATGTTTCGTAACAATGGACAAGAAAACTTGATCCAAAGTCGCCTGAGAGACAGAGTAGTATTCCAGACCGAGCTTCTCCTTATTCGCTTCGAGCTGTGCGAACAGCGAGCTGATGCCGTTGCTACTAGCAGAACCAGTAGTGACATGGCTCACGGCATTCTTCTTATCATCCAGACTCTTCTCTTCGAGAGACGAGTCGTCACGGTAAGCAGTGCGGTCAGTAGGGACGCTGAAGCGGAGTTGGCCGTGGAAGATGCGATCTTCGGTGATTGCTCCAGGGAAAGTGTTGCGGACGAAAGTCTTGATCTCGGCCATATCTTGGTCGCTGCTGTACGGCGCATCCTTGTGAACACAATGCACATGGTATGCATCTCCGTGCTTTTTACGAAGTTCATCTGCCGTGCCCACTGCCAACATGCGTTTTGCCATGACTGCGGCTCGGTCAGCTAGCGCGTCTGCCTCCTCCATGGAGTGGGTCGTGAGGAGGAGCGAGCGTCCTGCGGAGACGGAGCTCAAAGTGCGCCACATCACACGCTTCGAAGCAGCGTCCATGCCACTGGAAGGCTCATCCAGGATCAGGACAGACGGGTTTCCGGTCAGAGCGATACCCAAACTCAATTTTCTTTTGTTGCCTCCGGACAGCTTGCCAGCCATTCGGTTCTTGAAAGGCATCAGACCGACGGCATGGAGGATTTGCTCGACATTGTGCTCCACATCACTCACACCACGAGCACGAGCATAGAAACGCAGGTGCTCGATGGCAGTCATCTGGTCCATAGCATCGAACTGCGGACAAACACCAAGATGTGTTCGAGCAGCTGCACGTTTTCCAAGAATGCTGATGTCTTCAATTTCGATGTCGCCCTCGCTTGGCCGCATATCACCTCGAATCAGATTGATGGTTGTGGACTTTCCAGCACCGTTCGGACCCAGCAGTGCGAAAGTCTGCCCATGTGGAATACCAAACGATACGTCTTGTACCGCCACGAAAGGCCCAAAGGCCTTGGTGACGTGCTTGACGCGCAGCTGATCGGTCGCGCCATCGACTCGCTTTGCTTCGGTGTATACTTCCTCGTCCATATCATCAATCTCTTCCAGATCGGTCTTCCGGTGTTGCTTGCGAGCCATGAAAGCTGGTCTCCAGCCGCTGTCGTACCACACTAGCACAAGGAACAAGACAGCACTTTGAAGCAGCAGATAGAGGATGCAGCTGCCGTATACCCTGAATGAGCCAGGATACGAAGCAACCTCGTTGTTCCTGCAAAGGATCGAGAATTGATTGAGGGTAAGCAGGAGGGATCGTAGCAAGTTGGCGGCCGGGAAGAACAGCGACATGGTGTACTGTAAAATGTCCAGACTGCTGTCGATCTGTTCCGCGGGGATGTACGTGATGATGCACATGAAAGCCACAAAATAGAGCAAGAAGAAGCTGCACTGGCCACCGGCTGCGAAAGCAAAAGTTGCCAATTGACTCGTCGTGTAGAGCGATACGAGGTATGCCGTGAGTGTTGCCGAGAGCCCATACAAGAAGAATACGACGAATAGATAGCCTGGCGCGTAGAAAGCGTTCGAGACTGCCACGAAAATGATGATGGCAAGAGCGCTGACCAGCAGGACGATCATGAAGTCGAACAAAGTGTATGCCAGCCAGAGCGGACCAGCACGCACTCCGTTGCTGTAGTGAAGAGCTCGGACGTTGCGCAGTCGCTCAACGTTGACGTACAGTGCGAAGAAGCCGGGGAAGATGCTCATGGCGAGTCCAAAGTACAGGATGAACTGCAGACTCGATCCTGCATTTGGCGCCCAGGGTTCATCGAAAGGCTGGTACGCGGTTTGAATAGGGAGATTCAGAAGGCTGGCGTGCATCATATTCTGAGCTGCGACCGCAAACTGTAGCCCGTAGTCGCCACGCCACGCAAAGGTTGGAGTATCGCCGTCGAAGAATCCACCAGGGGTCGCGAAGGAGAAGTTCGTAGAAATGTAGTTCTGGAAGTCTTCGAAGCTGTTGACCAGAACGACTGCCGAGTTGTTTGCAGCCAGGATGGGGTATTCTTCTTGGAGACCATCGACTTGCTGCTGATCAGGTCCAGCTGGAATGTTCGCACCGAACGCGAGACCAGTGTTCAGAGACAGAGATCGCGCCTCACGTACCTGGTCCTGAGGCCGGCAGCTCAGCGCTTCGAAGTCCTGGAGGAAGAGCGTGACAAGGGCGGCCGTGAGGATTGGAATCAAAAGTGCGGCGAGATATGGCCACTTGTTCCTCATCAGGATCGTAATGCGTTTTCGGAACAAGACCCATGTCTGTGAGAAGAACGATAATTCCTTGCCAGGCATGAGCTGGAGTTTCTTCTCCTCGACCACGACAGTTTCGCTGTCAGATGTGGATGGGCTCTCGACTCTTCCCTTTTCCAGCTCATCTTTGACTTCTTCGGCAAGCTTGAGGAAGACATCTTCGATGCTAGGTCCATTGACTTGATAATCTCGAACACCAATCCTTTCGAGCTCTGTAATGAATTGCGCGGAGGCAGCTGAATCCGCGAGCTGGTAGACAGTTTGATCGTGATATACCTGCTTGCGCGTGGTGGCCACAAGCTTCTCTGGCAGTTCCTTCGCGTCTTCGTGGTAGATCCTCACTCGATAGCCTCCACCCAAATTGTGCTTCAACTCCACTGCAGAACCGTGTGCAACCAAATTGCCCTTTGAGAGAACAGCGATATCATCGGAGAGCAGATCTGCTTCGTCCAAGAAGTGAGTCGTCAAGATCATCGAGCGCTTGCCACGTTCTGCGAGAATAATGTCCCAAATCTTTCTGCGACTGAGCGGATCGAGACCACTGGAGACCTCATCAAGCATGCATACTCGTGAGCCACCAGTCAACATCATAGCCAGCTGGCATTTACGCTTCTGACCTCCTGACAGCGCGGAAGAGCGAACGTTGATCTTCTGGTCCAAATCACAGTCCGAGACCAGAGCCTGGATCTCCGCCTTTGAATCGGTCTTACCAGTGGCCTTGAGCCTGTTGAACAGTCGTACGTGCTCGTACACTGTGAGCTCATTCCACAAAACGTTCTTTTGAGGACATAGACCGATACCGCCCGCCGCGTCCATCTCGATAGTGCCGTTTGTGGGTTTCTGCAAACCAGCCAAAGTGTCCAGAGTCGTCGACTTTCCACTACCATTGGCACCAAGAAGAACCATGATTTGTCCTTTGATGACCGAGAGACTCAATTCGTTGACTGCGTAGACGGTCTCCTTCGGGTTCTTGGTAAAACGAGATCCCACGTTTCGTGACCACCAGCCAGGAGGATAGTGTTTTGACAGTCCAGTGATCTTGACAGTCTCCTGCGAGTTGCTCTCCTCGTAGCGTAGTTGGCGCGACTTGGTTGCGGTACCGTAAAGTCCACGCTCGATCAATGCTCCCACAACTGGATACAACAGAATCTGGAGTATGCAGAAGATGTACAGCACATATCCCGGCATTCTCCAAGGTGCATTTGGAGCAGCAAGCGATAGGTCGGCACCCATATTTTCCTGCTGCCAGTACGCCATGTAGATGATCCACAATGTAAAGTTGATCGGGGGAAAGAGCAAACTCGTGATATAAGCAGCTCCTGTTGACGGACTCGGGGCTACTTGAATGATGATAGCAAGCACGATGGACGTGATGACCACAGTGATACCAGACAGCTGCGCTTTGCGGAAGAGTGCAGCGAATGCAATCGAGAAGGAGGACAGAGCCAGACCAGCGAGGATGAAATATCCGACACAAATCCCTACGCTCGAGTCGGTGTAGTTCAGAACAGCTACTATGGCGCCCATTATCACCCAGCTCGGGAAATACAAGATGTCGAATGCGATGTGGAGAGACAGTAGTCGAGCAGCCTGTGGCATCCATCTCTGGCGATTTGGCATCATAGTCTCGATCAACTGGCTCATGCCCAGTTCTCGTTCGATCGCCATTTGTCCAGTCAATTGGTAGGCGATACCGACTATGCCGATAAAATACGCCAGACCGAGGATATCAATGAGGGTGCCCATATACAGCCTTATGATGTTGCGGTCTCGTCCTTCGGGCGTCTTCGTGGTGAAGACATATTCCTGAGTATTGTCAGGAAGCGTCACGCCTTCAACAGAAGCAATCGCAGCGTCGATAGCACGCTGCAGAGGCAGAGCGTAGATTTCTGCATCGTTGTCGTCCTGATCGACGTAAATGTTACCACCAAACGCGCCATCTGCTCTGATCGTGTAATTCCAGATTCCGCCTTGCCCCTCGTTCGGCGAAGATTCGAATACCACAGATCCAAAACACGGAGAGACTCCTCGGATGGAAGACGGACATCTCGTTAACAGTTCCTCTTCGTTTCCCACAATTTCAAAAGTCTTCCCAGCTCCCGTGATCGGTTCCCGAATAGTCTCGATAATCGAAGCAATGTCTCCACCTGTAAAGCCGTTGTCCACCGCGACAAAAAGATCGCGTCCTCCAGCACTCGCTGCAGCCGCATCGCCCAAACTCCGTATAGGCCTCGCTGGCCCGATTCCAAACCCACTAGGCGGCACAAAGAAATTCTTCGCAAACGCGATGATGAACATAAAAATGATTGGGGCCAGAAATGCGCGGATCAGCGTCCCCAGCCAGTGCCTGTAGAGGACGATAATCAGAGTCTTCTCGACCAGCGTCCATGTTTGGCGAAAAAACATGCTGCCTGCGTGCTGGTCCTGTCTGCCCGTTCCAGGAATGCCAGATGGCCGTCGTCAGGCAAGTGTAGCCTTTTATTGGAATTAGTAACAACAAAGTCGTGATATCATGGCAGGTGCTGTTCAGTAAACATGTGCGGCTGTGTTGAGAGAAAAGAGGCCCAAACTTTGTCCGTGGAGATGGTTACGGCCGGCAGCAAGTTCACTAGATTGCCACGCGCAAAGCGGCGACGACAGAGAGTAGTTGTTGAGTCCCGTAGGAGGCGTCCGCAGAGCCCGTCATCAAGCCGTAAACAGCCAAGGGCGACAAGACCAAAGCGAACCTTTTCCCACGCGCAAAGAAGAGAGCAGACACGCGGATGGGAGCCTTGGCCGTTGACGTCTTTGATGTCGAAGGAGGCTCGGCGACTTATTGGCGTGCAACTTCGCGTGTGCGGTTTGCCCGTCCGGGACTCTTTAAGTCCGACGGGGCTTGAACGTGTTCGGCTAATGCGCCGGCTCTTGCAGAACCTCGATCTTGATGGAGAATCCATCTTGCCAGCATCTTCTTCACTATGCTGACACATCACGAAATGGAAGTTGGATACGATCGGTAGAGATGAAGAGCTTGTCTGACACTATTTACCAGATGAAGTTCTATTGAGGCTCGTCGGCTTCTGCCGTCTTACGGACAAGGACAAGGACCACCATCGTGTTGATCGAACCTTGGTGAGCCTATTTGGACTGCGAACTGTGAAACCACAACAACAATAGTGTTGATGTTTTTACCATTGTTCCAATGCTGTTGCCCAGGCCTCTTGTGGTATGCTGTGCCTCCAGCGCCTATGTTGTACACATGCAGCCATTGCTGCGTCAGCATTCCGATCCTCTTCTTGGCGATGCTAGGCTGCGAGTCTCGTATACCTCGTACGCTAGTTCTGGCCTGTGTACGCACCGGCGCAAGTCGCCGTGGGACGCGTGTCGAACTGCTGCATCATGGAACTTCTGATGAGTGATGTCTTTCTGCCTTTCGTTCATCAGATTCGATGCCTCAGCCACTCTTTGTCGCTTCGGCCACAGGCGTCACAGGCTCGCTCTCTTCCAGTATGTCCTCTGCTTTGCTCTGCGTATTGCCCTGCGTCCCAATAGTCAAGAATGGCACAAGGAACACACTCAATCCTGCGGCAGCGGTCGCCATCCAGTAGACCGCAGCATAGGGTTGTGTCTCAGTGTCCCAGTAAGTTGACATGGTTGGCTCCCGCTTTTGCGCATTGAAAACAGCTGTCGCAATACCCAAGCCAATCGTCATGCACAGCTTGGTAACAGTTTGAAAAATGCCTCCTGCGGTACTTTGCTGCGATGGCGGCATCGAGGACATGACATACATGTTGGCGACGTTGAACTCCAAATCAGCTCCGACGACAATGAGAACAAGTCCCGGGAAGCAAAATGCCCAATACGAGTCGCTGCTCCGGTTCATGGCGAACAGAAGGCAAGCAATGGTGTAAGCAGCAGCGCCGATGCCCATCAGTAGCTTGTTTGAAATGCGGTTCAGTGCCCACCCGGCGAAGCAATTGACAATGATGCCATTAATCGCCATCGGCAGGACGTGCACGGCAACTTGCAGAGCGCCCATTCTCCATACAGTCTGGAAGTACAATGCGACGAAGAAGGCGGCAGGTGTGAAGGCCACGAAACCAAGCATGAGTATGCTGAGAACCAGAGTGAAGTTGCGGTCCTTCCAGATCGTCATGGGCATCAGCGGATATGGAAAGTAGAGCTCCCAGAAGACGAATCCGATGATGAGCAACAGCCCTACGATCAGGAGGGCAAGCACATAGTTGGTCTTCCAGCCCTCTGCTGCCGTATCTCCCAGTGATAGCGCAGCAGAGAACATGCCAATTCCTCCCACGGTTAGGATCGTGCCCACAAGATCGAAGCGTTTGACGGTATCCCAGCTCAGGTCCTCCTTGTCAGTAAAGTCCTTCGGCACGCAGAAGCATGCGATGACTGTAAAGACGATGAAGATGATCGCAAGCAGCCAGAAAGATGCTCTCCAGTTGAATATGCTTGTCGCAATGCCGCCAAAGATAGTACCCGCGACGAAGCCCAGCGGATTGCCAGCCGAGAAGCATGCGAACGCGTAGTTTTTCCTCTTACTGGGCTGTTCATAGACAACACCTAGCAGTCCGACAGCAGGCGGAACAGCAGAAGCGCTGAAGAGGCCCAGAACTCCTGATAGGACATCGACTTGGATGGCTGTTTGCGAGAAGCCGGCTCCCAGACACACGACCGAAAATAGGAAGAGCGAGCCCACAAAGAGCAATTTGCGCCCAAACAGGTCAGCGATCTTGCCGAAGAAGAGCAGGAAAGCACCGCTGCTGAGAGAGCTCGCGGAGGAGATCCAGGTGATCTCGGCAGTCGACATGTCCAGGTCTCGGCCAATGAAGCTAGAGATGACTGTCACCGTGCCTGCGAAGAACGAAGACATGCCAATAGCCATAGTAGCCGCTAGCACGAACAGCACTTCTTGGAAAGTGTTGTTGAAGCATGCTGGCCGGCCGATGGTCTTCTTGTGCAAGGTCTGGGCATTGTCGCTTGGTCCAGTTTCGCCATCGGCAGCACGATGTGATGTTGCTGCGTGCTTCTCCTCGTCGCGCTCTCCAGTTGACATCTTGAGGTGGTGAAGACTGGAACGCACCGGTCTGCGAATAGTAAGGGTCCATTCTTTCGAAGGCGGTATATAGCGTGTCGGCACATCTGTGGCGAGCTAACATACGATTAGCGATACATTCTGCCAAAGCGCGGAACGATGCCGGTTGAGGTGGTCCGCAGTAGGAGACCGATCACCCCACGTCGGCCGAGCTCGCAAAAGCCGAGCTCATATTTTCACGAGTCAGTTTTGTTGCATTTTGCAACATGCGTTGATGATAATTGCTGTGCCGTACAACAAGAGGCGCGCTTGGGGCATTTCAAAGCTTGATGACGTCCCATCCAGAGAGGTCCAAGGTTGAAAGCACGCCGCGCAGCGGACCTTGCACTTCTCCACCATTCGCCCATTGCTTTGAACCTGCCCAGTAGCTCAAAAAGCCCTCTGGTCCAGAGACGAACAAGATGTTCCGCCCACTGTCCGAGTCTTTCTGATCTTTGGTGAGCCGATAGATCATGCGCTTCACGTCTTCCGGTCTGATGAACGAGCCTTCCTCGTCCACGAAGTAGTCCACTGCGAGACGCGAGCTGCGACCATTCGATGCCGCTGACCGTTGCTTCAAACTCTCAAGAATAGTGACAAGAGCACCTTTCTCAGCATTGGGCAAGTCATCTGCCCGCTCGTTGCCTTTTGCAGGCTTCGACGATCCCCAAAATCCCCAGCCTGTCTTCTTAGGCTCGATTTGTGTATCACTGAAGCCCCCAATACAATCTTCTCGTCTCCTGCTCGCCCACAAGATATGCAAATCTGCTTGTCCAGCCAGAATATCTGCCGCTTGTGCCGCTGGGGCAATGCCCGTGCCTCCTACCAGAAACGCTACACTGTTCACATTCTCTGGTAGGATGAACTCCGGGTGCAGACCCCGTGTCTCCAGTTCAGCACCTTCTGGAAGTCTGTGTAGGAAGTTCGAGACTTCTCCCTTCTGCTCTCTCCGAATGAGAAATCGCAACTCGTCTTCATGCTGTCCATCCGCTTGCGGCAGAGAAGTGTACGATCTTGCGATCTGCAATTGCGGCTGCTTGAATTCGACGCTCGTGATCGCTCGCTCGAGGTTGGGATCGGCTAAGTCGACTGTCGTTCCGGTGGAGGGCCGTAGTCGGAATATCGCGCATGTTGAAGAAACGCTTTCCTTGCCAATCAAGGTGTATTTGACGAACTCTCGAGGGTCCGACAACCCGGTGCTTTTGCGAAGCGGTAGAGAATCGCTAAAGTAGTATCCAAGCGGCAGCCCTACAGCGAAGAAGGCCAGAGATGGAATGCCAAACGAAGCCTTCTTCCGCTGCGTATTATCCTTATTCTCGCTCTTCTTCTGTTGCTGCTCTTCGGCCAAAGTAGGCCCTCTCACTTCCGTCGTCTTTTCCTCAGCTCCCTTGCCTTCAGGCAGCTTCTCCTCCGCTTGCCTACTGCATTGCGAAAAGCGGGCAATGTTCGACCTCGTCCCCGCTGCTCGGCCCAAAGTTCTCCACGCTCCCACGCTCAAAGACATGACATGCACCGGAACTCCAGAAGTGAAATGCAACAAATACAGAACAGATGGCCTTCACCGCAAAGGTAGCTGGTCGCTTGACCTGTATGACATCGACATGGGGCATGGGCAGGAACGGAGACGTGTCCGTTTAAAGTTTAGCCAATGTCACATCAAATCCTCCGAGGCTTGTTCGGCTTCTTCACGTTACGTACATGGATTTTGCTGAGAACTTGAGCTGACACAACGACAAGAGTGTGTGAAATGCAAGCATGTGGTTCTGCTTGGTCCATTGACACGTTAACAGTATCATGACTATGTACCAAAAGAACTCGAATCCCCAATCCAACTGTTCACATTCTGGAATCACCTCTCACGATCTGGATTGAGCTACCGTTCGCCCTCACCTAGAGAGCGTGAGCAATCCAGGACGGTACGGCAGAGCATTGTAGTCGGACGGGTTGTCGTTAGGGTTTCGGCCTTGATAGAGGAGTTGCAGGTTGCAGGGGTCAATGGTCATGGTCTGATCGTTGTTGCTGCGAACCAAGTCACCGTGGCTGATGTCGTTGGTCCACGTCGCACCACTGTTGGCTTTACCAGCGAATGGGTTGCTCTCTGTTGCGGCCTGGGGTGTCCATGAGCCGCCCAGGTTTGTGGCAGTGTACGAGCGGAAGTAGCGTCCATTGCTGCCAATCGCCTCAACGATCATGAGGTACTTGCTTGTGCCGTAGGTGTAGACTTGAACCGCCTCGAACAGGTTGTTCCTAGTATCACTCATGACGACCGTCGACGCAGAACCAAAGTTGCCAGGGAAGTTTCCGATCGGCATACTGGCTCTGTAGATCTTGCCATTGTCACCGGCAAAGAACAAGTACATGTTGCTGCTATCCCCAATGAGGGTCTGGTCAATTGGGCCAGTGTCGGAACCACTGATGCTGCCAGAGAACAGAGGCTGCGCGGCGGACCAGCCATTAGCGTTGGTGGGATCGCTTGAAGTTCGGTACGAGAAGGCAGTGGCCCCCCATTGATAGGCGAGGATCCAGATGTTCTTCGGCTTGAAGAAGAACAGAGTTGGGGCGACCGCACTGTTGGTCATGGGGTTCTGCTTTGCACTTCCCATGCTTGAGAAAGAGCCAAAAGGAGCGAAGTTGAGCGATCGATAGTTGGTGCCATCGTAGTAGCTGGCGTAGACGATGTGCTGTCCATTGATTGTGGTCACCGTGAAGTCCTTGAGAGACTTCGCGCCATTACTTGGCTGTGCCAACGCACCGGAAGAAGTCCACTTGTACGAGGATGGAAGACCGCACTGTCTTGCTTCGATTGTGTTCGTTGGCGCGTTAAGGGCATCGATCAGCTCAGGTTCAGGCTTTGCGACAGGAGAACCCAGGGCACCTTGGATTGCCGCACCAGCAAGGAGGATGAACTTCGTGACTTGTAGCATTCTGTTAGTGGTAGTCAGATATCGCTGAAGATGTTCTCGTTATATTTCTAAGAAATCCTCTTGAAGACCTGCAGGCCTTTTGTATTCTGGAGTCATGGCCCATTCTCCATGTGCGGCTAAAATCAATCTCCTGAGGTCGTTTAGATACCAAAATCACATGGTCGCTCTTCGGTCCTATGGACACAGCATTGCACATCCTGAAACTTGAGGCACACACAGCCGAGTCTGGAGCAGAGTTCAATGCGTGCGATCTGCTAGACACTCTTGCAGTTTGCGTAGTTCTGGTTCGGCTAACTTCTACCTGACGCCAGGGCTGGGGGGTATGGGTCGAGATAGGTCACTGCATGTTAGCTTTGCTTCTTCGCTTGATGAAGTCTGAGCAAATGATATTCCGGGTAAAGGCCAAGCTTCGCGGGCAAACAACCAAAGGTTGCCGTTCGAGGCAACAGGCGCAGTTCCAAAGTGGCAGGTATATTACTGCGCATCGAGCCAAAAGGCGCTGACGACCGCAATGGGAAGTCAGCTCTCCCTCTCGCTGCGCGTGCTTAATATCAGTTACTGTGTGTCCAGTTCTGCAGAGGTCCAGACAATTGTCCATCAATCAAAATGAATCGACTAAAGGTCGCATGAGTTTCGAGGCCACGTCAGATGTGGCTTTTCTGTACTTCTCATGGCCTTGCAATTTTGCTCCAACGACTTCGCTTCGCTCATCAATACCAACTGCTCCACTGTGATACTTACCAATTCAAATATATGGAAGAATGTGGTTGTGAAGCGATGGCTCTGGATGCCGTGGGAAAGAGATATCGTGGAACGCCAGTGGAAAGCAGAGAAGGGAAAGGGCCGTGCGTGGGCACGGTCCATTTCAGGCTAAATGCACATCCGAGTCGTTTCAATCCTCACTCATCACGAAGCGTCCTCCCATCGGCAGTGTCACGAAGAGTCGCGAACGGATAGACGCAGGCTCACAGGCTCAAACGCTCAAGACATGCAGACCAGCGCTCGAAATATTCTCCGGCCATTCACAGCTTGTCGTGCACAGCTAAGTTGCTGCATACAGCCTGCATACACCCGCAGCTCAAGGTCAGGAACCGACCACGCTTCGAGATCAGCACTTACACGGCGAGGATGCCGCTCTCCAGTAATGTAGCATCATGGCAGGAACGCTGACACAGATGTCTCACGATACTACCAGCCCTCTTCGCCATTGAGATCGCAACTTGAAGAACGTGGCGTATGCCGCGGCCGCTAAGGACCGTGGTGCTCTCAAGTCTCGACTCGTGCAGGGTGGCGGCAGGTCATAGGCGAGTATCAACGATAGGCGCCTTCGTCAACTCATATCTCACGCTTCTCTCTCTGCATGATACATACACCTCACGCCTCACCACCACAGCAAAACCAGGTACATTATCAAGGATGTCGCCGAACGACCCATCCCCCCGCCATCCCCGCTCCTCCACAGAGACCGAACGCACATTAATCGCAGACGAGGAGCAACATCCCGCATCATCCTCTCGCGCCGCATCTCCAGCTCGAACACTCGTCGATACATCGACTCCAACTCCATACCGAGGCTTCCCATCACAAGCAGAATATCTAGCCGCACTTCGTGAATGGGCAGAAGAGAAGCGGTATCTACAGCCTTCGACAACAACACTCACGGGGTACTATGGAAAGGAAACGCTGCAGGCGTACGCGAATAAGCCGAGACATGAATTTGGTATCAGTCGAAAGTTGCGGGAGATGAAGGAGAAGAAGCAGGGGCGGAAGCAGAGTGTAGCATGAAACAAATGAGTTGGCCATTCTAGTGAGGCTGCGCGAACGGGTGCATGAGTTTATGAGACATGACAACAATACGATTGACGATTGGAACGAGGGACATCAGGAATTTGGAACGACCATCTTCGTGAAATGTAGACGCTGATGCATTCGAAGCATGTCTACAAAGTAGCGCTGCCATCTGTGCGCTGGTCCACGCCATAACCTTTGTCCACCATTATCGTACACTGTAAGCAGCAACAAGGAGCCACAAGGCCTCCTCCCATCCAGTCTCACAACGCCGACGCTAAACCGCAACATTCCATAGTCCGGCATGCCCACACCAAGCTCCAAGCTGTAGTCTAGGTCTGCCGTTTGTTTCATACTCTCGTAACTCATGCTCCGCCAGCTCCATTCTGCATCACAAGTGTTCTACACGTGCATGCGCGCAAAGCTAGTAACAGTAACATTAGCACTCTTAAAGTCTGGTGGCTCAGTGTCCTCTGTTGGAGAGGGTGGGTACTTCTCATCCTTGAGAACTCCAGCGCTGCTCTGCCTGTCGACTGTGCCACTCTCCTCCACGGGAATGTACTCCCAACACATGAACTGCCAGTTGAGCTCCTTGCGCCAGCACATGCCATAGCCAAGGCCGACCGGTCCGGAATCGTTCCTAGTCATCTCGGCAGTCAAGCCTCCAGTGGCTGGCATACGGTGTTTGAAGATGACTCGTCCAACTCGACTGTGCACCAAACCCATCGAGCACATTATGCATGGTTCGTGGGTAAGGAAGACTTCGAGCTTCAGGCAGAGATATCCATCTGGCTTGAGGTTGTCTTTCTCAAAGTAGCGTCGCTCCAGGTCGTTGATGGGAAGGTCGGCAAAGAAAGCATCTCGGGCTGCAGGATCGACGGACAAACCGCCCTTGTGGAAGTTGCTCTCTGCTTTGGCAGCGGATCGGGCGATAGCTGTTGTGGCGACTCGGAGACGCTTGCGTCCGACCATGCCCACAGCGCGCATGACGGCGTGGCCCATCATGTTGCCTTGCTTGATGCTCTTTGGGTTTGGTTCGGGGATGTCGGGGATTCGTGGTGCCCATCTGGCATCGCCGGCGACGGCAATCACTTCAGTCTTGCCCTCGAAGCGCTCGACGATGACACAGCCTGCCCCGGTGCCAATGCCCAGCCGGCGATTCTCTTCTCCGGCCTTGCGTGCGAGAGCGAAGGCTTGATCGACGCTGATATTGTCTTCTGAAGGTGCCTGCAGCTCCTCTTCTGCTTTCTCAATGCTGCTTGGGTGGGCGCCAAAGGGGTTCGTCTTGCGGTAGAAGGTTGGCCAGTAGTCTCTTGTCCAGTCTTGAGCTTGCTTGGGACTGGTAGGTGCGAGAAGTGGTACCGTGATTTCTTTGATCTCCAGTGGGTAGGCCCATGAGTCGGCGCTGGAGCAGAATGGCGTGTGGTCTCTCAACACCTCGTACAGGTCCCTCAGACCGATAATCTTGGTGGGACAGATGAGCAGGTGCAAAGTCGCAGGGCGATTGCCGCCGCTTCGCTTGGCTGGAATCGAGTACTCCCACGCGGTACTACCGGGTGCTTGCATGACCGTGGATGGTATCGACTCCCAGGCTCGCGGAACAGCGTACATCTCCTTGGCAAGATCACGTTTGCCAAGGACATGTTCGGGCAGGTACTTGGGTTTTGCGAATCGACGGAGATGCTGCAGGTCAATGGTGTCTTGACCAGGGACATTGTCCTTGATCACTCTGTTCCAAATCAGAGTAGACTCGTGAATATGGAGGGAGGTAAGGTACTTCAGAATCCCTTCAGCATGCTTGCTAGGCAGCTCAACGGTCCAAACTTGAATCGTCTCGTTCCCGAGGCGGCACTCCTCCTTCGTCTTCAGGTGCACCATGCGTCGCTTGGGCTCTGGCTCGATGCCGAGTTTCGAGTCGCGGCGGAGGAGCGTCGCCATGATGGCCGAGATGAACTGGAGTTTGTGACGGACAAAGTTGCGGAGAATGTTGGGGGGAGTGAGAAAGTTGAAGAGAAGCCATGGTGAACACCACGCGGGCAGCAGCTGGCGCAGCCCGGGCAACGCCATTTCGTTCCTTCTGTTTGTCTTCACTTCTGCGTCTGGAAATTCTGCAAGAGCTGCAGCAAGCCGCCACGGAGCCGAGTCCGACCCCTGCTAGCGCGACGCGAACCAACGCGCTTGAGCGCCTTCACATGTGAAGCGAACTCGACTTCAACAACGATGGGCTTCAAGATGCTGCCAGACGAGCTTCTGATGTCGCTCTCAGAGCAGTGGCCGTGTCGAGATGTGCCGCTGCGACATTTATATGCTCTACTATCGGTGCGTGGCCTCTCCCTTCCGACACTGTATTTTTATTGACTAGCACAGCCTGCTCAGTCCACACCTTCTTCGGTCGTAGTCTACGGCCCGAAGGCCACAGGCAAGAGCACTATCGTCAAGGCATTCCTGGAATCGAGTAAGCTGCGCCACGCGCTCGTCCGCTGTCAAGAATGCGTTACTGGAAGGCATCTCCTGGAGCGCATTGTCAGTGCCGTCCACGAAGGCATAGTCCAACACGAGGTCAACGGCCATGCCGAAGCATACTCTGGACGTTGCGAGAACATCAGCGCGCTAGTGGTGCATCTGCAGAAACTACTCGAGAGACAAGAGAAGTTCGTTCTGGTTCTTGATGGAATTGACGAGCAACGAGACGCCCCACCGACGCTCCTGCCCGCGCTAGGCCGACTGGGAGAAGTCGTGCCTCAGCTGGTCACCATACTCATCGTTAGGCATCCTTCGCCTCGCTTCCTATACCAGACGGGCGTTCCGCATGTTCACTTCTCTTCATACAGTCGAGCACAAACTGTCCACATTGTCGCCCAAAATCCACCGGACATCTTCCTCGAGCCACCACCCAATGAACTGGACTACGACGACGAGACCCATGATGAAGACAAAGCCTGGCTGTGGCCTCGCTTTTGTGCTGCCATTTGGGACGCATTTGGGCAGAGTGTGGCTCGCGATCTCGTTTCGTTCCGAGAGACATGCTACAAGCTTTGGAGACCGTTCGTGGCCCCTGTCGTTAAAGGCGATTTCGGCACACGAGATTTCAGCAGGCTTCTCGTAGCGCAGCGTCGCTTGCTACAAGAGGAAAACGTGCTTTTGGATTCGATCATCAGGAGTGCGGGTGCTTCAACAGTGGTGGCGAAGAACAAAACGCACGAACTGCCATACTATGCCAAGTGGTTGCTCGTGGCGGCTTATCTGGCATCGTTCAACCCAGCTCGACTCGATGCAGTATACTTTATGAAAACCACAGAAAAGAAAAGACGAAAGAAAGGCGGTGGTACAGCACGATCCGGAGGCAGACCGAGCCAGAAACGACAGATCCCCAGACATCTTCTCGCAGCTTCAGCATTCACTATCGATCGACTACTTGCCATTTTACACGCCATCTTGCCAGACGATGTACGAACGACCATCGACATGTATAAGCAGATCGCGACACTCTCCAACCTGCGACTTCTGGTCCGAGCCGGTGGGATAGGCAGCAGCGATCCGCTCGAGCCAGGTGGGAAATGGAGAGTCGGGCCTCTGGTGACGTGGGAGCATGTTCAAAGCCTAGCCAGAAATCTGGACTTCAACTTGATAGATTATGCAGTCGAGTAAGCTATAGGCGGATGATTTCTCCGCTGCGATCGATCCCTCCTCGGAAGAGATCCTTGATTACTTTCCCGTCAATTATCGTCTTCTCCACCAATCCTTCGACATGCTCTGGGGCAACTCTTCCATACCAGATCCCTTTACCCGCAAGAGCATTACTTGTGAACCTTGGTGGGATGTAGATGATCACATTGCCAGCCCATTTATGACCACCGATATGACTGATTAACCCTATTCTTGCGGCCGGTGCGCTTCGCACATGCGATTGCTCGGCCCCTTCTTCGCTCAAAGAGTCCGGCATTCCTCGCAGTATTCTGATATTCTCTCGCTGTAGCTTCTCCTGAAACTCGTCCCGGAGAATCGGTCCGAGCTTTCCACATCGCTCGTCCCTTCCACCATGCCCGCAGATCAAGACGAGGATCTCGTCAACGGTCCGCGTCCCTGTGAATTGTCGTTGACGTTCGGGCTCACGTAAGAGAAGATTCTGTTGTTCGCACGAAAGGGCTTCGTATGACTTGTGAAGTTTGGCTGGAAGGACAAAGGCTTTGATGAAGGCTTCCACAGCTTCTGGGTCGCTTGGTATTGAGGGCACGAATTGGAAGCTCGGAAGTAGGAACGCGGATGTCGTAGGGCCCGCATTGGTGCCGGAATGTGATGTCGGATCTGTCGACGTCTGCTGAACGCTTGGGAACGAGCTGGATGTGAGAAGCACATTGTGATATGGCTACGCTACAGGTATCAGTGTCTAGTATACACGATCTCAAGAATCTGTTCCATCCACGCACATCGACATATTTGCCGCCTCTTACGAGGTATTTCCTTAGCTGTCGCAATAATACCGCATCCTCCTCATCCTCAGTCTTGCTCTCCCAGTCCTCCTTGCCAGTGCATAGTAGGATCTGTTCTGCGTACGCTGCCATCGATCCATTGAGATCGGTCTCACGCTCGATGTCGAGATCTGGAGGCGTTTCTCGACATTGACATGTCGGCGAAGGGCATGTCTCGATCAATGGGACGGGAGGGGGCGTGGAGGGGAGTGGTATGGCAATTCTTGATGCTGGCCTTCGCGTGACGTGCGGTAAGGTGCAGCGGAGAGCTTGTGCTGTGCGCCGCGAGCCGTGGCGGAAGACAAACATCGCGCCTAGCTGTCGTAAAGGAACATGAGTTGGAAGAGCACACTTACGGTCCTCGTCTGCGTGTATTTGCCTCCATCACGAGCAGTTCATGAGAACGTCACAGGGAAGTCGGCCGTATCGGACATAGACTAACTAGCGCTCCTGCACTTGCCTATTGTGATCACATGTCCGCACCCAGTACCTCGTCAACACCTTCTCCATCTTATGCCGACGACTCACTCGGTCGCAACCTACGACCGCCAGTTCACAGCATGGCGCTGGAGCTGACCTTTGTAAATCATTACGGCGACAGTGCGCCCAAACGTAGGCGACTCGCGAAAGCCTGCGAAACCTGCAGAGCTCGAAAGGTAGTTTGTTTTTGCTCGCCGTGGCAAAGCAGTCGGCTCGCTGACTATAGCAGAAACGTTGCATCCACTTCGCCAATTCTGAAGACTCCGACAAAGACAAGAATCACGACGAGACTGACTCCGCAGACGAACGAGCTGCGGCGAATGGGTCTTCGAACGGCCACCTGCCGACACCGAGTACGCTCAAGCGCATAAGAAAAGCAATACAGCATCTAATTGAATAGTAGCAGAATCCACTACATCGAATGCCCGGCATTTTATCAGCGATCTCAACCCAGAGGCGACTTTCTTACAACGGCACCAGCCTGCTGCTCGCGCCAGCGACGACGACATTGGCGTTTGGGTCGACCGCAGAGAGTACGATGCACTCGTTCGACAGAAAAACATCGCGAGAGACGAGGCGACCGAAGCGGCTGCAGGCGAGATACGGCCTCCGGCGTCCGTTGTCAAAGCTCTGATCGATGTCTACTTTGCCAAGGTGCATCCGATTCTACCGTTACTAGACGAGGCCGGGTTTCGCGCCCAGTATGGAAGGGGAGTGGTACCAGATGCTTTGGTCCACGCGATTTGCATAGTTGCTGCGAAACATTCAGAAGCTGCGCCGCATCTTCGTCTGGAGGAGTCGCAACCTCCCATGCTGGCCCGCGATTTCTGTCGCAGGCTTCACAAAACAGTCATCGCGGCCTTGCGATTTCCCGGTCGATACGAAAAGATCACTCTGATCCGGATTCTTGCCTTGACCAGTCTACATGCTGAAACAGCCGACGGTGCTGAAGAAGCCACCCTCTGCTTGGTTCAAGCTCTGCACTATCTGCAGACCATGGGATGGCACCTTGGTCAACAGACTGGAGTACCATCCAGTGATGAAATAATGATAAAGCGGGTATTCTGGTGTCTTTGGTGCCTGGACCGGCTGAACAGTTGCATTTACGGACGTCCCATCACGATGAGCGATTGTGATATCGCCATTGAGCCCTTCCAGCCTGGCGAGAGCGGGTTCCCCGCCTTTGAAGTCTGGGTGGCCATCACTCACACGCTTAATAAGGTGATCAGTTTCTACCGGCCCGGTGTCCCTGTTGACTTGACCGGCTGGGAGGATGATTTTCCGTCCTTCGAAGATGCCTTAGATGAAGGCAAAGCGTATAATTTGGACCGGCCTACGATGACTACGCTGCACTTGTACTATCTTGTGGTCGCCGTGTTGTCTCACCGGTCGAGAGGTGTCAAGTACGTAAGACGCTCGACGCCGTCTTACGTTCGCCAGAGCCTGGCTTCAATTGAGATCAATCGATTGATGAGCTCCAACCTGTTGCAGACACTGTTGCCAATGCCTTTCCTGTCATATGGAATCTCACTTGCGATGTCAGTATCTTACCAGCACTTACGTCAATCACAACTCCAGCACCAGCAAGAGGATGCCCGTCAGGACTTCAAAGTCTGCTGCCAGATACTGCAGAAGTTGCGACGAACTTGGTCTGCTGCGGATGTGATTGCGACTATCGCGAAGAAAGTGCTCGATCAGCTGGAGAAAGCATCGGATCTATCAGTGTTTCGCATTGCAGCAGGGAGCGAAGAAGGCAGGAACAGCCCACATGTCTGTACTGCAAGCTTCTGGAAACCTCACACACTCGTTGATCACCCGGCTGCAGACGATCCCAACGCAGATGGGGCTGGTGCAGAAGTTGCCGCACCTAATGCTCAGCAACAGTCGACTGAAGCTGATTGGCATGGACTTTTCGAAGGCATGGACGATGTATTTGGCACATACTTGGATCCGAATTACCCCGTCAATCTTGACGACTTCTCGTTCGTGGACGACCTTAGTCCGCTGGATTGGAACATCCCATCGACTTGAGCTGATATTCTTGGCGTTGCGAACGATCATGAATTCAAATGAGACGACGCTTCCTTCCACGATTCGTGAATACACACAACGGACTGCATGTGGGAAGCTATATCCGACGCGCCCTTGTTTGTGTATGGCCAATGGGAACCCGGAGTGAGGATTGTAATCCTTGTTTGCGTGGCTGCCAGGATTCCCAGAGCAGAGCTCCACAGACGCGCTTCAAACGTCATACCATCGTTTAAAGCAGGCTTCGGAACGACTGCTGTACCACCACACCAGCCTCTACATTACAGACACACTCAGCCTCCTTTTGCGCAATCATCGGTCTTGGTCCTTTCAACAGTCGTGTCGCGTGTCGCTGATCATCAGCTCTTCGTTGCGACAACAACGAAGCTCGTCGAAGCTTCAAAGCATATCGATACCACTCCAAGAAGTTGCGCAAAAGTCTGCATCGCAATGTCTTCCACGACTTCAGCTTCAGAGCCGCGGGAGCGACCTCTTCATGAGCTCCTCTCGAGGGACATGGTGTAAGTAAATCGCTAAAGTCAAAGCATGCGACTCTTCGAATCTCACACTTTCCTAGCGACATCTACGTCGGCTCCGAAAACACCCACTGGGTCCTGCACGAAAAGCTCCTCTGCTATCGCTCCCGATTTTTCCGCAACATCTTTCACAACAAGAACGGTCGCAAAAACTCGGTCTACGGCCTTCCAGACGAAGAAGATGAACCCTTCAAGCTCTTCGTCGGCTGGCTCTACTCCGAACGCGTCCCAGCACCTCGAGAAGAAAAGGACCTGTCCCCTCTTCTAGACGTCTACCTCATGGCCGAGAAGTGGGAAATCAAACGCCTCCTCCACGAAGTCATGGACGCGGTCCGCACCTTCTACAACGACACGGACTCTTGGCCCTCCCTTCGCCGCGTGCAATACATCTACTCTAACACCGAAGACGAATCTCCCATGCGGAAACTCCTCGTTTCCTGCGTCGCCCGTATGCTCGTTACAGGCGAAGGTGTGCCGCAACACTGGGAGAATGCTCTACAGAAGAATGGACAGCTGGCTGTGGACATTATTCGATGCGTGCAGAAATGGCATGTGGATCCGGAGAAATTGCCTGATGCGAGGAGACAGAGTGTGGATGAGCATGTGGTTGCTGCGCAGGAGAATGGGTACAAGGAGGAGAAGGATGACGATGATGATAACAAGCTTGATTGGGGTGATGGATTGAGTGTGCCGAGTCGGGATCAGAGTAGAGCTGGTGCGCATCAGTCGCAACAGCAGACCGGTCAGAAGGGACAGCAGAATGGTCGCCAGAACGGTGAGAAGGGACAACAGAATGGTCAGAAGGAACAGCAGAATGGCGACAAAAGCGAGTGAACTTTTGCTTCGAAAGCGGTGGGGGTTTGATCATTCGAAGATTGTGTTTGCATCTTGAGGTACTTATGTAGGTGGTAATTTTTGGGACTCAGTGGTACCAAGTACTTTCTGATGCTTCCCAGTCTTGCTATGTCTGTGAGTGGATTTGAAAACGCGGCAAGTCATGCGTCTTGTTCTAGCAATCGTCAAAATTTGCACGTGTCTGAGTGGGTAGATGGCTGGCTAGCACCGCACTTCGCCCTTGTGGCATTCCCTGCTCGTGCTGTTGTTTCTCCAGTAGAAACACCATGGCAGCCGCAGCACATCTGGCATCTTGGGCGCGCGGATCGCTTCTCGCAATGTAGGCGCAGAACTGACACAATGACCTGTCACCTCAGGTTGCCTTGATGAGGTCTGACGAGATGAGGGACTCGTCGAAGACTCCGCCGCCGTGGATGTTGCGTTGATGACTGCCGACCTTGGGCATGAACCTATGCAGAGATTAGCCAGTGCTTTCGCTTTAAGGCTGTGGAGACAAGTCATACATTTGAAGCAGCTCACACGTAGCGATCAGGAGCTTGCGCATAGCTAGCTCGGGGGTCGGAGCTGTTTCGCCCTCGATGGCAGGAGTGAGGCCTTTCATGACCGCCGCAGTGTACTCGTTGTTGCCGAAGATGACAATGTCGAGTGGAGCGTGGCCATCGTTCTCCACAAGCGTGGCCGATGTGTCGACAGAGGCGATGTTGCGAGTGGTCGCTGGCTTGAGGAGCATCTTTGCGTTGGCTGTGTTCGTTAGTCATGCGCCAAGAGAACGGAGCGATCGAGTTCTTACCCAGAGCCTGAGTGCGCAGGCTTGACATGTTGTCGGATGACATGGTGCAGGTGCTGGCGATGTTGTCGTGATCTGTGTGAAGTAGGTCGTGTAGCGTTTGCAGAACGGGGTTGAGAGCGAAGTTCGTTGTTGTTTGAAGCGCCAACGTGTGCATATGCGGGAAGAGCGAACCGTTTGCTGCTGACGAGGCAGGTGCAGCTAACCGCAAGACTCACGACCAGCACTTTGGAAGCCAAAAGCTAGCGACGGAAGGTCGCAATTGCTGCTCTGACACACGGCAGCATAGATCTGGCTCAAAGGCGAGGCCGACTAGCAGAGACTTGCCTCTCTGTTCAGAGAGAGCTGTACCCATACCTGCAGACATGTCTCTCGGCAAGGCCCAATCCTCTTGGTTTGGCCGAATCCATCCTCGCGAGCTAAGCAGTCTCTATCTCCCCGGAGAAAGTGTGCTTGCTGGCGATCGTTCTGGGCGAAGTCATTCAGCCATTTCGGACTGTCTGATCATAGTGGAGAATAGTCGCGAATGCATGCCTGAGACGATTCACCCATTGCTACCATCGGTGCTGACAGTAGGTTGGCTCTGCTTTGTTTGCTCTGCGCCAACATCTGCCGCATGCGCCTTGCTGGTATCCTCGTATCTCTCCTCCTTGCCGGACTCTGGGCTTGCTGCACCCGCAGCTTGCTCCTCGAGTTGACGATACTTTCTCCGGGACTTCTTTGTTGCACTCGCTTTCTTCTTTCTGATCTTCTCAGCCTTTAGCGCTGTGCGTGCCAGCGGGCCCTTCTCTATTTCCTCCAGTCTCTCGCCCAAGATTCGCCTTGCATTCTTGCGATTCTGATCACGGCTTCGAGTCTCTTGATTCTTCACCACGATTCCTGTCGGTAAGTGCTTCAACTGCACCGCCGAAGACGTCTTGTTGATCTTCTGCCCGCCTGGACCTGAACCCTTCAAGAAGGTCTCTATGATATCTTTCTCTGGTATCACGATCCGTGGTGGCAGTGGCTTCTCGAGCAGGGCGGACGATGTGGAAAGTGTGCGAATGCAGCAAGTGAATGTCGGCTTCAACAAGGCATTTCTGATACAAGGTGGGCTGCGGAACATTTCCCACTTTTGACGTGTATATAGTGAGAGTTGAAGGGTCGCAGTGGTAGGATACTGTAAGACTCGGCAGCAGCGATCCAGGTCTGGGCGCGCCAAGTTCGCGATTCCGTCACGTCTTCCACAACGCGACCTGACTTCTTGCTTCGTCACAAATATGCTCTCTGCATGGCATGGCGATATTGCTATCAACGATGCACAGAAGCTCGAGGGTTTGTGCTCTGCTTGATATACAATCCTCCATTGCTGACTCGATGCAGGTATTACACTCTCAAGTCCAAACGGACAACAAACCCATATCTCAGCAGACAGCACTCTGCATTTGGTATCTATTGTAGAAACAGCACGTATACCACTATTCATCTCGATCGGCAAGTCGTATCACGTCACAACCTCAAACCCGGCAAGCGAAGCCTGGTTCTCCGGGACTCTGCTAGCCAGCACACATGGCGAAGATGATCCTACTGCTTGGTGGCAGACAGCAAGGTCCGATTCGCCATTGGGAGTCCTTGTAGGAATCAGCAGCCCACGACATCTACAAAACTCACAGCACGTTCCGAAAGCCACCGAGTTCTTATTCTATGCTGCTCGTGAGCCTACAAAGAATACATTTGGAGTCTATGCTCTGCCTCTCTGCTCGGACTTGCTCAAGCATCATGCACTTGCTGAGCCGACACCGCCGTCGTCACCGATCAATGGTGACTCGAGCATCGAAGCAAAGTTCTTGCCCATAGGCCTTGGGGAGCCTCGCGACGAAGTAATCAATGTGCCTCCGATCAGAAAGCGTAAGACTGCGATCGATACTTTCGATGAAGCTGCCGAGCGCCGAAAGCAAGTCCGCAGAAAGGGTGGTGAAGCGATCGCCGCAGCTGCCTCTCGCAGCGTCTCGAATGAATCAATCCCTTCCTTGAAACACCGAAGAACAGTCAGCAACACGCAGATCACGACAAGACCAACGTCTCGAGCATCGAGTGTATCGTCCCTTCGAGCCGCACCTGCCCGGGAGAACTCAGTACCAGCACAAGCCAAACGGTCTGCGCTTGCCAAAGTTGAGACTGTAGAAGGAGTCACCGTCATGCCAAAGCAGGATTCTCTTGAGTCCAAGAACAAGGACTTGATCACGAAAGTCGTGATGGCTGGTATGAGATTGTACGGTCTTGTACAGAGCAAGAATCGAAAGTCAAGAGCCAACTCTTTCGCAAACTCGCCAGCTCGAGAAGCCAGATCCGAAGATCTGGAACTCGATCGGAAGAATGACGAAGAGTACAAGCTGGTTTATCACCAAGTTCACAAAGGAACCTGCTTCGCTTTCCGTCAACATATCAACAACAAATCGCTAGCAAATCACAGCGAAGCATTGCGAGAGACCGTGGATAAATTCTTGGTCATCCATTGCAATGACCCTTTGATCATCGACAGCATGAACGCCGTAGATGAATGCACACCGAGTGGAAGAAAGCCCTTCGGCTCAGTCATAGCTGTCCCCAATTCGACAAGTAATCCCTTTCTCACCGCGCATGCGGCTGGCGGGGAGAGCAAGAGCAACACGCCATGTGATCGGAAGGCGTCGCTCAAACCCGAACCGACATGAAACGGTCGGACACTGCAGTATGCAGTACACGCATCACAGCCATTCCCAGGCAGCTCTCAAGATTCCTTGGCCAAAGGACGTTGCGCAACTAGATCAAGTCATCTGGTCACGTCAACGAATGTCTCACCACACCGCCAACGGAAGCACAACGCCAGCATCTTCGACATACCAGGTACTACCAATAGAGTCACCAACAACAAGTCAACAAAAGCCACGTACAACCCAAGCACATGCAAGAAGGATTCTGCACACCTGCAGCCATCCATTCCCCGCCAACGGTGTCATTGCATAAACGAGGCAAGCACAGGAAGCGACGGAGGATCTTGCGCGCCAACCCTGCCCGCCCGTGACGAAACACAACAGCCACGACAGAAGCACCAACGAGCACCAGCAACGATGACTGGCGGAAATGTGTCGCGCAACTAACGGATGACCGCAAAACGCGGCAGAGCGCGGCCGCTCTCGCCGTGCGGTTCTGCAAAGAAGGTGTTCGGATGGCTGCTTGCGTGGTGACTTCCGGCGTTCGGTTCGTGGAGGCAGACGATCCGCGGTGCAGGGATGTTGAGCCTTATTTGTACAAGATTGTGTCCGGGCCCTAGGGCTTGATCAGTCATATAGTGTTCAGTCATGGAATTGCATCCAGGTCAATGGCTGATGAATAGGAAGAAACGGATGCCGCATGAAGTGGTAAAAGTTCGTTGATTCGTTCTCGCGGAGCTGTGCCTAGCCAAATCATCAGCTCATTATTGAGCTGCTTCTACTCATATTGACCCTGCCGCAGGATACTTAGTCAATCAATTACCGTCTCGCCCGGATCACAAAGTCATGATCGTCCTCGCCCAGCTCATCACTATCCCAACCATCCTCCATATCCTGCCTCGCTAACTCCAAGAATCTCTGCAGTTCCTCCTGTTGCCGATCGTCCAATTCGTGGTGCTGGTCTCCCACATTCACAGCAGGAGGATTACCTCGCTGCCGCTGACGATTCCGACCAGCCCCGCCACCACGCTGTCGCTCGTGGTTACGAACAGCTTGAGCAGCTCCGTTTGCAGGCGCGCGGGGAAAATGATTTCGCTGTCGTCTCCCACCACGTTGCGGGGGAGCAGGAGCAGGAGGAGGGGCCGCAGCGAACTGAGCAGGGTCGAAATCGTCATCATCGTCTTCAATATTGATACCGAGTTGCGCCATTTGGACAATGATGGGTACCTGATCAACATGACCGGGAAGATTTGCCGGTACCGGAGGCAGCGCTCCGCGAGCATCCTCTTCCGCCTGAGCTTGAGCTGCTGCAGCGGCCGCTTCTTCCTCGTCTGCTGCGCGTGCGGCTTCGATCGCTGCCTGTTCCCAGTGCCGAGCTCCGTTGAAACCACGTCCGTCTTCTGGTCCTTGTCCTTCATCGCCTTCTTCGAGCTCCCAAAGGCGTTGATAGCAGGGGGAGCCTGCTTTGTTGAAGTGCTGATATGGATTTTCACCGTCTAGCCAAGAACTGCAGAGGTAGCAAAAATGCGTTCTGCATTGAAAGCAGGACATGTGGTTGCAGCCCATTGTCTTCTGCACCGGCGCAGTGCAGTAAGGGCATGGCGTTGTGTGCAGTCGAATATAGTCGTAGCTCGCCTTCTCTTCTGCTGAAAGCTCGTTGGGATCGCGGGGATAGCAGCGCGCGAATGGACCGTGCCAGCCCATATAGCACACTTTGCAGAACGCGAACTGGCACTTCTCGCATACTGAGAGCCTATCCGTAGGGTCAGGTTGACTGTTAGTCGTATTGACCTTCTTCGGAGGATCCGCCGCAGTGTCGTCTTTGCCAGCCTCATCGCCATCACTTTCAGCATCTGACATCGTATCCACATATGCAGACAAGTCGGCCGGTATGGGTGGGTATTTGCTACTCTTCGCGGGACCTTGACACCATGTCCGTGGGCAATATACAGTGTTCTTATCCGCTTCCAGCTTCTTCTTGCGCTTCATTTCCACATAGCGCCGGACCTTGTCCTCTTCGATACCCATTGCCAGTAGCTCGCGAGGGTGCAGCGTGCGCTCGCTCTTCTTTTTCTGCTTCTTCTCCTTCCCGCAACTGGGATCGAGACAGCGCATCACAGCCACATCGCCCTCTTTGATCGCGTTGTTGTAAAAGTCCTGTAGGCACTGCTTGCAGAAAACATGTCCGCAGCGTGCCATCTGGTAACATGCTGATCCCTTCTTCGGTTCGAGGCACACCCCACAATCGTAGGTACCTTCGTTGAATTTGACCAGCTTTGTGGAGTTGTCATATGTCACCAGCGCAGCCTCGAATGCGTCGGACAGTACGAGACATCCTTCGGGGCTCTCACTCAAATCGAAGCCCCGTTCAGCTGCCTGCTGCAGGTGATCGATATACGAGAACAATATCTGACATTGCCCGTACTCATCCCACAGCTCTGCAGCCTGAGTTTCGAGCTCCTTCAATTTCTGCTTGGGCAGCCAGTCCTGCTGAGCAGTCAAGGTGATACTCGGTGGCGCATTCGATGGATAGCCTTTCGGCAGGCAGATATGAAGGTCCAGTGGCGGCAAATGGGAGAGTCGGACATCGCGTTCCACGTACGAATTGCCCACAGCTTGAGCATAGTTCGGAGTGCCGGCATCCTTCGCAGGTACGAATCGAACGAGTAGAGGTGTAGCCGGTGCTACTGGTATTGCAAGAGTCGCTGAGAAGTCTTGCTCAAGGACAAGTTCTGGATAGATGGCAGTCAGTGTATCCAACTCCTCCTCTCTCTCATCGTCTCCTGACGAGTCCATTGCAAAGAGCTATGGCTGATCGATATGGAGGCGGTTGTAAGAACAGGTCGCACTAGTCGCGTGGACCTGAAAGCCAGTGCTATGAGGGCAGCATTTGGGATGGAAAGACCTAGAGCAGGTCTGAATCCGCCAGACAAACAGACGGAATTAGTCGAATTCTCGTCCGGGTGACCTTTTTCTACGCAGAGAGTGGCGAGCGGGCGAGAATTGGAGGAATCGAATCGCGAATGATGACTACAACAACGTCGGCGGCCCGAAGTGGTGGAACACCGACTGCCGATTCTGGACGCAAAGCAACGCACGGATCAATCTCCACGTGAAAGTTTGATTACGTGGGCAGTGGCACGAGTGGGCTGCACGAGCTCAAAACGCCGGATCCTCGAACATATTGCATCCTTTTCGTGCTCTTCTTGACAGCTCCACCACCGCCATGGAGCATCCGAGCCTTACATCCCTCTCGCTTACGCATGTTCGCTACGACCCGAATGATGTATATTCATGGATTTCCGCACATCTGGCTCTTGTGCCGCAAGCTCTCATGATCTCCTACGTCACACTGTTATGGGCGACTCGGGAAATAGAAGTTCTGATCATGTTTGCTGGACAACTTGGATGCGAGGCGCTGAACTTTGTACTTAAGAGATACTTTAGAGAAGCCCGGCCTACAGGTAAGGACATCCGGGATTCACAACATGGCTGTGCCAAAACGAAGAGGTAAGCTGATCAGTGCGTTCGTGATTTTCTAGAATTCATTGGGAAAGGCTATGGAATGCCCTCCTCGCACGCACAGTACGCGGCGTTCTTCTCAGTCTATCTGAGTCTTTTCTTGCTTCTTCGGCATGATCCCGTCAATCATCCAAATGCTTCAAGCACGCATATCCCGACGCCGTTCTGGCAAAGGCTGGGACTTGCAGTGCTTTCTATCGTTTCTGCGGGTGCTGTTGCGCACAGTCGGATCTATCTGAATTACCACTCGCCGAAACAAGTCTATGCTGGATGCGCTGCGGGTGCGGGTTGTGCTGTTGCCTGGTTCATTGCGACTGCTGTCGCCAGGCGGATTGGGTTGGTGAATTGGGTGTTGGAGCTGCCTCCCATGAAGTGGGCGAGGATGCGTGATTTAGTCGTAAGTGAGTCGCTGGAGGATGCTGGCTGGGAGAGATACCAATCCGCCCTCAAGCTCAAGGCAAAGGAGGCCTTGAAGAAGAATCGATGAACGCGATTCGTGCGGGTTAGAGACATCAATGTCAACCAACACCTAAGGTGTGATAGCTTGTGAGCCATGTCATCACGACTGGCACGGTTCATATCCGCATGATCTCAAGCCATCAAGTACGGCAAGATGATGGGTTTAAGCCTGACCACATGCAACCGTAATCAACGCCGGTCACTCTGTCGATTCCGCAAAACCTCCCCACATGGTACTTGACCTCCTGAGCTGGGATCTCTGTCGTTGTAGATGCACTTGCGTCGAGCGCTTGCGGTAGCCGAACGAAGAACATGCGCTTCATCTCGATTTCTTCCCAATTTTCCGTCAACGCAATGTCTGCACCGGGAGCGTTGCCGAAACATAGTAATTCCAGCCCTGAAGAGTGCATGGGTCGATGCTGGTCTATTCTTCTCTGGATGGCAGGTGCACACTGGCGCATGAGGCTACGGTATGCCGACTCGTACATGTGCGGAGGTGTGATAGAATCTGGAAAGGGCGCCGTTGGCCATGAGGCGATGTGCAAGACCTTCAGCTTCGGAAGTCTCGCTATGAAATCCTGGGTTCTGTCAGCAAATGCATCGTGAGCCATCCGAGGTTGAAGTACTTGCAATCCATTTCCCATACACGCCCCATTCCTGCCCTTGAAGGGTGGTGATGGTGGTATCCAGAAAATCCAGAAACAATTGTTCGAGGTTCTGACAGCATGTAACCATTTCGACGATGTCAAAGGCATCCAGAGCCGGACGTTCGAATGCCCTTACGTCGCTCGAAGCATACTTGAGCTTCAGGCGTTTGAGCGTGGCATAGTGAGTAGCCAAGCTGGCAAAGTTCATGCCTTGTGTGAGACCGTATGAAGTCTCTGCAATCTCAAAGGTCTCGAGGCCTGTGAAAGAGCTCAAAACCTTTTCCAAAGCTTTGCACACGATCTTGTGCCCGGCGCAACCGAACTCTTTCAGTTGGGATCCATGAACCTTGAAGCGCTCTCCTAGCCAATAGAGAAACAGCTCGAGATGAGTACATTTCTCAATTATTATCACGCTAAGTTGCTCAAATGCGAAAATTCTAGACCATCTTCCGGCATCATTACCCAGCTGAAGCTTGTTCGCTCGAAAACTCCGCAATTTGGAGAGCTTCAAGGGCTCGGCGTTGATTGTTCCGTGTTGAGTGTGGAAAATGGTCGCGAATAGGAGCCCATCGTGTGTTGCCGTGTTGTTCAGCTCAAGTAGATGGCCACTAGTGCTGTGCCAAGTGTCCGCGCCAGAGAGTGAGAGATGCTCAATATTGCTGTGACTCAAAGCCATGATATCGTGGTAGAATTCAAGATCGTGCTCGTTGCCTAATGGCGGTATGATGATTGAACGCAGATGCTCGAGTTTCGGTTTGACAAGGAAAGAAATCTGGGAGGCAGCGTCTCTGACTCTTCCAACGCAGACCTCGCGAAGGTTCCTCTGCAGCGTGAGTATCGCAGCGAGTGTTTCGGGCTCCATGAGTAGTTTCATGGGGAGTCTGAGAGAACGAAGCGAGTCTTTGGCTAAGCAATTGAGCGCTAGCCGGACGGTCTTGTTGGCAGAGACATGTTGTTCAAGCTTGTCCGAATTCTCCAGAGGCTTCAAGCGAAGATGTTCAATGTGCGGATGCCCAGGATTGCCTACCGCGAGAAAGCCGGATTTTGCAGCGACCGCCAGTGGGTCGATCACGGCGAATCGATAAAGGTATGGCGTTGCAATGGAACGAAACTGCTTGCAACTTAGGCAAAGCGATTTCAAATCCGATGGACGCTTGATGAGCGACACAACGTGGTCTTGCAGTTCGGGTGGAAGTAGGTCCAAGATGGGCGATGCCATCTCAGATGGTGATGCCATAAAGGATATCCCTGTCGTTTTCGATGTCGTGCGAGTTGGATGATGAACGGGGTAATGAGCATGTGTAGTATTTAGCGATCGAGTGGAGCCCGGGAAGGAAGCTGAGCATGTGAAAGTGAACGAAGGGTCCAGGCAGCAGGTACCCACTCTCATCTTCACTTTGCACAATCCTGACCACCAATACAGCACAGCTGCCGAGTACCTTCTATATACTGCACTCGTTCTTTAGATTTCGCGCAGGCAATGGTAATGCTGATCTAGGTCGACCGATGGTCTCTCAAGGCTGGCCCACGCTTCCACCAGGAACACATACGTGGTGGCCTCGTTACTATATCGTCTCTGTCGGCACTCATCGCCTGTTGTTTGCGGCTCACTCCACTTCTGCATCAATCGCGCCTTAGCATCATCACTTCTAGGGTCTGCTTGTTTGCTCCTACATTTTCTGGCTTCGCAGCCGTGCCGTGTTCCAATGTTTGTCGATGCACCTGGTGGGCAACAGCGGAATATTTCCTATTCACTTTACTAGGCCTCTCTAGCACTAGCAGAATTTGTGATACTACCGCCAGCTCTCGGCGAATGCTCTCGCCGATGTGTATTTCAAGTATCGGCCATGAAACACAATATTCAGACATGGTGTCTGTTACTTTCAATCCTACTGAGCGGGTGTGAAAGCGCTCTGCACACTTCCATATCCCTGCGGACACTGTCTCCCCAATGCCACACTGCCACTTCTCATATAGCAGATCTTCGCCTTGGCGCAAGCATCATTCGTGCAGTTCGGACTCAGAACACTCGTCTTCCCCTGAAGCGTATTGAAAGTGCTGACCAAGCTATGATCCTTCTCCATGGCCTCCGTGACAGCATGCCAAAAGGTCGCATTCAACGGAGCATCAGCTGGCCATCTAATCGCCGGTCCATAAGTTTCGCGAGTGGAGTACTCGTACTGGAACGTAGGCCCAGTGGTGGTCAAGTTTGAGAAGCTATTGACGTCGGCGTAGAACGTATGCGCTTCGTATACATCGAAGGTTCCAGTATCGACTTCATACAACCTGAATCCGCTGTTCACGTTGTTCAATGGAGTAACAGAGGGTCCGATCCAACCAGTAGCAAGAGCTGTCTCAAGAGACCTTTCTGTGGCGTTACCGGCGTAGTAGATCATGAACTGGTCCTCGTGTGTATGTCCAAAGAATACGTTAGCAATAACGTGCGGAGAGTAACGTTCGACAATTTCGTAGAACAGATTCGTAGGGTTCGGAAGAGGGTTGGATCCATCCCATCCAGAGAGCACATGTGCGAAAAGCCAGACGCGCTCGCCTGCGTCTTCAGCGGCTTGAAGCTCGTCTATCACGAATCTGAAAGTTCCGCTGACATCTGGATTCGTTGTGTTGATGTAATTCAAGAAGTTTCCTTTGTACCAGAAGTCCGAATTGAATGTAATCATGCGGAGTCCATAATGGTTCTTGATACTGTACGCGCCGTAGTGAAGGCGTGCTTGTTTCGCTTGCTCTTCACCAATCCAGCCTTCGTGCTTCCATAGAGCTGCAACGTGGTCGTAGTTCCAGCTCATCTGTGTACCCAATGGACCCGGTAACGACTGGGGCGCATTGATCGCCTCCGGATTCGTATCGTGATTGCCCAGCACTGCAAAGACAGGTCCTGTGAGATACGTCTTAAACAAGTAATTGAAGATTGCAGTCTCGGTGTACGTAACATAGTCTCGGCTCAGCTGAGACTGGGGGTCATGCGAAATCAAGTCCCCGGTGTAAATTGTCCATGCAAGAGGATCCTCCCTGGAAGTGCCAGTCAATGGTCCCACTGCCTGTAGTGCGGCCGCGCCCAGATCATATGGAGTGTCACAATCGAAGTATCCAAATTCTGGCGCAGGGAAACTAATCTGGCCCTCTGGCAGTTTGGGGTTAGGCCAATTACTTCTACAACAAAGATGAGAAGTACAGTTCCCCTCCGAGCCGACCTTGTACCTTGGATCGAGATGGAAGTCACTCATGTGTAGAACCTTGACACGGTTTCCACTGGCTTTTGGTCTTTGGGCATTGACAGGCTTTGGCTTCGGGAAGTATCTCTTAAGATCGATATCGATCGGTGCAGGTGTGGGACAATAGGAAAGATAGTTGCAAATGTATTGCCCATCCGCTCCAGTAACATCGGCAAAGGTCAATATTTGTGTCCAGATGGCACCATAAGTGTCTGCTCGGAAATCCTTGTCACACGCACTGGCCGAGCGTAGCCCCGTCTCATTGCACAAGCTGACCATAGCAGCTGGAATCAGAGTCGGAGCTAGCTGCGACGCATTCTTGCCAACAGAGAGTGCTGCTGTGCATTTCGAACAATTCCCATTGTAATCTGAGCTGGAAATGATGTCCTTGATTTTGATCAAAGCATCAGCGATGACATCGGCTTGCTCGGATGCGGACAGGTTGGCTGTAGGGCTTGGAAAGAAGACAGGATCTTCCGCATGATCTGGTATGTTATCTGGATCTGTTAGGTTCAAAGGGTACGTTTTATTGAGTATGGGATCGTGGCTAGTGTCACGTCAGTGCAATTCTTCAGCTATAATCTAGAGAATCCTACATCTCTGGCTGAGGTTGCTGGCCGGGGGGAGTCGGATAGTAAGACGGAAATATGTTCTTGGGAAAGCCTGAGGGTGCGACGAATGTTTGGGCACCAGGAATATCTGTGGTTTTCTGGCCATAGTCTGCTTGCGCATCGCCTAGCTGCATCAGCAAAGGAGACACGGCGACGATGCCGCAAATGAATGCCATCGACGCGATAATTATAGGGAATGAGGCATTTCGAAGAGCGACCATTTTGCCGGCGATGAAATGTATTGTGTGCGTAGACTAGGAGATGCCGTCCATGGTTTCGTGCTGACATGTCCGAAGTCTGTTCTTGGCAGAGCCCTGGCCAGAGCAAGAGCATGGGATGTCGCCCAGCATTGCGATATTGTAGCCATCGCGACCAATCGTACCTGCGTAGCTTACCACGTTCACTTTCAGTCGTGTGTGTATGAGGTACATCAGACAGCGTGAAAGAGGTAGGCAACGACCAAGTTCGAACCGCACGGCCCCACTTCGACGCCACTTGTGGCTGCCACGCGCTAAACATTCACTTCACGCAAACATTCGACATTGCACTCCTCAAACACTCCAAATCGCAAGGCCGTGCAGGTTGTGAGACGATTTCGAAGTAAAATGTGATGTCGAGCACACGAGCGTGTTGTGAGCGAGAATGTCAACCACGAAGTCCTCCAAAGAAGACCTCGTCTCGCATGTCATCTTTCCAGCCCCGAGCCTCAAGGACGTTCCAAAGCATGGCACCCTTAGCAAAGAAGACCGCCTCAAAATCATAATCTCCAACCTCGAGAAACACCAACAGGCCGTCCGCATCGGCACCCTCAACGAGGCAAAGACAAAACATCAAGCTTCTCACGCCGCTGCCCATGACAATCAACATTTCAGCAGCGACGATGAAGACCGCATGGACATCTCCCCTGGATCGCCTGCTCCAGAACAAACGGAAACCGACAAAAGCGCCACATCCCAACTCCTCGATACTTTAAGAACGCCCTATCGCGAGTCTTCAGGCGATCCGGTCTCTACAAGTCCCTTCAAACCGCCTCCAAATGTCCAGCAAAAGACCCAGCCACCAGAAATCCAAGCGGCCAAAGAAGCACTCAACACAATCGCAACGTACGACTCGCACGCTCTGCCGTCGAAGAGATTCTACATCGATGCTTTGGCGAGGCTGCAAGGCGGAGGGGCAAGTGGAAACGAGTCACGGAAAGCGTCAGCACCAAGCACGAATGATACGCGGAAAGCTTCAGTGGGGAGTGGAGTGGTTGATCCGCGGAGGGCGAGTACGGCCGCACCAGCTGAGGGAAGGCCGCTCCCAAACAGGACAGCGTCCGGGTCAGTAATGAATCGCAGCGCGGACCCCAGGCTGGCGGGGAGGAGTGCGAGTTACTCTCACAAGCAGCCGGGTCAGAGTCCTGCGTATGTGCAGAGTCCCAAGGAGAGGCCCACAGATCCGAGGTTGGCGAGACGATGAACAAGCAGAGGATCGCAAGAGATGATCGAAGACAAGGTCTGGGCCTGAGAAAGAACAGCACAAAGTAATGACTTCTTTTGACTACTGGCTTCCACCCCAGGCCAGCGATGCCCTCCCTCAGGCTATCTTGACCCACCCCTCGAACGCCATCGCTGGAAAAGCACGAATAGTAACCACCATCTGCGAGCAGCTTTACTTCCGCAAGCATCGCACTCAAATAGTCTCTAGCCCGTACGGATTCTATCCATAAGCTCCGGGACCAGGACCTCCACCAGGCCCGCCCTCATTCGCCATGCTCAGTTTCGAGCAAAGACCGAGGAAGACGACCGTCTCCGTTGCCGCCAAATAGTTCAGCGCATCGAGCAGAATTTTCAGATGTCTGGTGAAATGGTCTTCATACTGCTGAAGGATCGAGAAGAGCTTATCTAGCTTCGCAGGATCGTAAGCAGTCTTTGAGGACGAGGTTGACGAGGCGGGATTTCCGAGGTCGGGATCTGCGCCAGCAAGGTAGCGAGACAGCGAAGCAGTGTAATTCGCGAACAACGTGCATGTGGACATGACTTTGGAGTTAATCTGTTGAGTCAAGTTCAGCATGAAGAACGTCAGCGAAATCAAATGGGAGAGCTCACCCTTAGCAGTTTCGAGTTTGTCAACATGCACTCTTTGAGGCACGTTGCCAACATGTCGATGTGATCTTGCATCAACTCATCCACGGTCCTCTTCACATTCGCGCCCGCCTCAGCATCCCCAGCTTTGTCATCGGCTTCGGCTTGTGACAGACGAGACATGAAAGCCAGCCAATTCGGCTCAATCACTTCACTCGTGCAGAAGTAGAGAAGTTGTTGCACAAAGCACAGCATTCGACTGCGCAGACACCAAGCTCTCCGTTTCCAGTTTTCGATTTTCTTCGCGATGACAGGGTCTGACTTTGACTTGTGATACCATGACTTCACCTTGTTGTGCTCGGTCCAAGAATTCGTCAAAAGAGTTTCAAGATGTCGTAAGCTGAGGAGGTATCGGAACAGCAGCTGATACCGCGTCAACGTGACTCTGCTCACCACCAAAGACAGTGGGAAAGGCACAGCGTAGTCAAATGTTAGCGCCTCGTAGCCGGAAATCTCCTTTTCTTCCTTCTCGTTCGTCACGGCTGGTGTGTACGCTGACAGTGACGTGGCATCTGCGTCCATGCCCTGCACGTTCACAACTCGCATCAGCCATCCAGTCAAACCCACATCGTTCATCACGACTTTGATGTCCTCCTTGTATGGATCCTCAGCGGCCACTGAACCAGGCTGTCTAAGCACTGTTTCAAGAAGAGTCTGCAGCTTGCCAATATTGACGCTCTTAGCTGGCTTTCTAAGCTCCAGATGTGTGAGCTCGAGGAAATATGAGAAGAAGTCGCTGCGATCGAGAAAGAAATAATGCTTCAAACTTCGTAAACGAGATGGGAGTCCGTGTGTCGTGATCAGAAGCTTCATCAAGCTCTGATTTGCAAAGGTGTATGCTCCAGATACATTCTCTGCGAACCGAGGATCCTCGAAAGTGTGTGGAAGGTCGGTATTTGCATCGAGATTTCGTGTCACATTCTCAATGCCTCCACATTCGCGAACGACGTTGAGATACTTGCCAGCCAGCAAAACCTTGTCTTTCAAAGCTTCCAGTTGAGGCGGTACCAGGTCCTGGCGCAAAGTGTACCGTTTCTCCCAGTACTCGTCTGTGTAGTCCTGCTCAAGACCTTCTCTGCGGATTGACTTCTGTTCCTTGATCAAAAATTCCTGATGATGATCGCGTACATTGCCATGATGTAACCACTCGTTCAACATTGCCATGTAGGGGCGACTTGCCTCGCGGAGCAATGTTGTCAAGAGTTGTCGAGCAGGCGGATCACCAGCCATGGAAGCAAGCCGCCGAGTGAGTAAACGAAGCACAGTGCCACCTTTGCATACCTTCTTTCCTGGTAATTGGGCGTCCTTGCCCTCCTTCAGCGACTCTAGAATGTTTTCAAAATCATCGGAGTCGTCCGAGTCTTCCCCATTGTCGAGCATGCTATTCTCCTTCAAGATCTCGTGAGCAACACCATACAACTGGAGCATCATGTGTGCCGTAGGCCGGGTATGCAGGCTGAATTGATGTAATGTGAAGCCGTCGTTCGTCAGCATTTGGTGCTCTAACTGTGCGATCAAGATCATGTAATCTTTGAGGAGTTTCCTCATGGCTGCACATAAAGCATGATTCACCGTGCCCATTTCGTCTCTGCTCTGTACCTCAACAAATTCTTCGACGGCACAGAAATGTGTCGCCATTTTGAGCATTCCTCGGGCCAGGTCTCTCAAGCTAGGATCTAGGCCGTGTTGGATTTGGAATTGGGGCCCAGCAAGTTTGAGTTTCTCGTCCAGTGGATTATACTGGTCAACGTATCGAATGTACTGTCCTTCATATCCCATGAGCACGAACAATAAGTCTTGTACGATGGCCTTCTCCTGTGCATCGAGCGACAGGCTACTCAAAGAAGCCGGTTGCAACGTTGAAGGTGCACGTTTTGCCTCTGGAGGGATCGATATTCGGGAAGCCAGAGGAGCAGACGAAGGAGGTAGCAGACTCGCATGAGGAGTCCATGGCGCAACTACAACACATCAGCATGCGCGTCTGCCTTTAGCACTCCAGCGCGCACGCACAGGTCACATACCCGCCTCGTCAGGCTTCCTCGCGTTGCCCTTTGGCACTGGTCGCTCCACCTCTGTACTCTTTCGCGACGGACCATTGTCGCGTTTGACTGGACTCACAGTCCTCTTAATCAATGTCTGCCTGGTCTCCGTCGTCCGTCTCGTCTCAGTGGTGGTTGTGCCTTTTCTGTGCTGGCTTGTGGTCTTCGAGTCTACAGCAGAACGCCCCTCGTCTATCGGAGAGGGCACAGCAGCAGCGCTCGTGGCTCGACTTCGCTGTTGTCGCTGCGAGGCAGCTCGTCGCTCAGAAATACTGGCGCGCGTGGGTGGTTGAGAGGCCATGACACGTTGCTAGCATTGTTCCAGTCTGCTCGACATGTCCCAATCGAACTGATCGTGTATCCGTGATTGATGGTGGGGTTGTTTGGTGCCAGTCGCGTTGGCAGACTTCGAGGCGCGTGTCGATCCCGAGACGAGCATGGCTTGGCGTCACAGCTCTCAGGCAGCTCCAGCGTACGCAGACCAAACACATTGCCATCACCGACATCTCCGCTGCCACTTCCCTTCTTTCTCCATTCCGCCGACATCCAAGTGAACGTCTGGTACGCTTTACGACTCGCTACAGCACTTGACATCGACTGTAATTCCCCGCAACACCGCCATCATGTTCATCGCGCGATCAGAATATGGTATGAACATCAAGTCCACCACAGAAACACAAAGCTCCTGACTGACTGCGTAAACAGATCGTGGTATCAAGTGAGATGCGCACAGAGCGACACCTTATCCTTTCGTTCACTGACTCTCGCAGCACCTTCTCCCCCGAGGGACGTCTCTTTCAGGTCGAATACTCGCTCGAAGCCATCAAGCTGGGCAGCACAGCAATCGGCATCTCCACTTCTGCCGGTGTCATCCTTGGTGTAGAAAAGCGCATCACATCGTCCCTTCTCGAGACCAGTTCCGTGGAGAAGATCGTGGAGATTGATAGGCACATTGGATGCGCCATGTCAGGGTTGCAGGCAGATGCACGCAGTATGATCGAACACGCACGAGTTACTTCGCAAAGCCACGAATTCCACTACAACGAGCGGTTAAGCGTCGAGAGCTGTACACAAGCCATCTGTGACCTGGCATTGCGATTTGGTGAGGGAGCTGAGGGTGAGGAGAGCATCATGAGTCGACCTTTCGGTGTGGCGCTGCTCATTGCCGGATACGACGAGAACGGACCTTCACTGTGAGTGATGTGATACCACTCATCCCGGCTGCGACTAACATGACCCAGCTACCACGCCGAGCCATCGGGCACGTTCTACCGATACGATGCGAAAGCCATTGGTTCAGGCTCTGAGGGCGCTCAGGCCGAGCTGCAGAACGAGTTCCACAAGTCGCTCACGCTGCCCGAGGCAGAAGAGCTGGTGCTGAAGACACTGAAGCAGGTCATGGAGGAGAAGCTAGATTCCAAGAACGTACAGCTTGCTAGCGTGACCAAGGAGAAGGGTTTCAGGATCTACACAGACGAGGAGATGGCGGGCGTTGTGTCACGGCTGGAGGGAAACTGAAGCAAGAGCATGGAGTACGAGTATGACGCATGACTGGTATACACCAGATTGTATATTACGGATCAGAGCATTGCATCGGCGCGATGGCGCTGGTGCGTAGAAAGAGCCTGTTCAGATGCTGAATGCGACACGAGAGATCGATCATACACCTTCCAAGATCAACAATGATGCCGTTCGCGGCCCATGCATTGCTGACGGCACTTTGATCGAAGACGAATGGGCGATTGATGCAATAGCAGGAGTCTCGATAAGAACGACGTGTGCAACGCACTCTCGACATAAGTCGCCGATTAGCATTTGCGACAAATGCAACATAAGCTGACAACGTCGATATCCGTGTCATACCAGATACTCCTGATCGAAGCTCACGACCGCGGCAGATCTACAGGCCCAATTACCGTGATCGCTGCGTAAAACGCGGACGTGTTCACACGAGATCAAAGAGACCCATGGCAACCGAATGTGCAGACGCGCATGCGCCAAACAGACATCAACGATCGATGCGCGTCGCGGCCAGACGCGTGGTGGCGTGGCGGTGAGCATTTGACCTTTCGGGACTCTCCATTCAACGTCACGAGCAGCAACTTTGGCCCCCACGGTCTCGAACCTCTCCCAAGGAGGCTGCATGTCTCTCTATGGATCCACGTTTCGCCTGCTACGAACCCCAAGGGCAATCTCCAGCGACTTTTCCACCTGCAGTAGCGCCAGGCTGTCCTCAATTGCCTAAATAGAGCTTTGTGGCGACTGCGACGTGACGTGCGTGGTAGACGTTTCAGACCGGGATCCTATGAGTATCTATACCGCTCCAATACATCCGACTGGAGTGTGACATGGTAATCACCCCAACATTCTACGTGGACAGCACGTCTATTCGACAGCTCTAGGCCCAATGATTAGGCTCGGCAGCATCCGATGCTCGGCTCCAGACGTGGTTGAAGCGCTGTTCGCGGCAACCCGCTGCAACGCTGGATGTATGATGCTGGTTGCACACCGCTGCTGCAACACCACTTTCGCCCGCGTGGCTGCGGGAGGAAAACAACCACGAATTTCGATACGGCTTAAGATGACAAGTGACGTTCGTCGCTTTTCGTCCATCGTGACCAGTGTCCAAGCGTTGACTATAAAAGCCTCCCGACTCATCAGCCCGAGGTCTGCACTAATACGTACCAGCCACAACCAGACAAGTCTTCTGTTAGTCCTTTACGATACCCCACTTTCTGGAGTGTTGTATAGACCCACATCCCACTCCTTCGTCTCTTTCATATCAACAAGAGCACGAGTCAGACAACAACGCAAGATACGCCAAAATGCCTGTCGACCCGGCCTTCGTCTCGATCCTCGCCAATGGCATGACGAAACTCATGGACACTAAGGTCGGCGATAAGCTATGTCACCATGTCGGCAATAGAACGATCAAGGACGAAGAGAAATACAAGAAGGATAAGAGACACAGTGGCGACAAATCCAAACGTCACTCTGACAGCTCACACTCGTCAAGACGCTCATCTGAAGACGACTACGATAAGCGACCTTCTACTTCATCGTCCTCTTCATCCAATGACCGTCGTCGTGATGCCCCACGCCGCCCTTCAGCGCAGACGAGGAGGCACTCTTCACAATACTATAATCCTGAACAGAGGGGTTCGCGACGTACAGGTTCGAACAGGAAGCATCGTCGACGACCAAGGAGGATGACGGACGAGGAATTGGATGACTTGGCCGCTGAGGAGGAGTTCCGTAGGATGAGTCTTGCGGAGCACGAGGAAAGGATGGCGCGGTTCAGAGAGACGAAGAAGGGGTATGAGCCGGAGGCCTGATGGGCTGATCGTTGGTGTGGGGGCCATATGTTGCACAAGGTGGTCATGCGGAGAGGTTGAGCTGGCTTATGGGTGAGCTTTGCCACGTATAGGCTTTGTTGTTTGATGCATGGATCGATTGGGTCAGCGAAGCGAAGCGATAACTGGTGACGAATCACGATTGACCACGAGGAAGAAATGCTTATGGAATTGCTAGCGTTTGACGACACATTTGTACTACTATTACGACCAACAGCAACGATATCTACGACAGTATGAGTCGCACCAGACGATGGTATACAGCAAGAAAGTTATGGTCCGACAAACTATGGACAGTGAACATGACGATTTCATTCAAGCTGAAGCTCTAGATCAGACGACCTTCACGCTCAATTATGACCAGCACATTGTTTCACTCGACCTGCAACTATACTAAGCAATTCCAGCCTGGATCTACAGCCTAACAGATTTTCTGATTCGCTGAGAAGATCATTTCCGTGTGTTGCTGCTGCGTTACTTACTTTTATCCCCGCAATATAGTAATGCCCTTATCCCGTGTGTTGCCCGGACAATGATTGAGCGACCCTCCCTGGAAGAATTCGTTCTTCTTGTTTTGGCTCCTGAAGGCATGATCAGCAAGCCAACTCGGTCGGCATATTCACCACCCAATCATCGTACTTGCTCAGTAGGTTTCGCTACGAGGAAGGAGTCGATGGAACCATTTCGGCCCCGCCCGTGCCATAGCGCACTTGCACATCAGGACCAGGCTTGCGCCAAACTTCGCACTCCATGGGTTTCACTACACAAGTATGAAGATTGCTGATAGCGATGGAGCCACACGTCCCAACACCAACGCCCATATCACTCCCGATACCAGAGTCCCTGGAAGCACTTGCCTATCATTTTCCCTGGCAAGAAGGATTCGCGATGGATGAGACTGACCTCGAACGTGGCTGCCCCTTGGACCTGGGTCGTCATCACATTGACCCTCGAAACAACCTCGGAGATCTGGGTGCACTACCCGAAGAGCTTCTCGGCGACATTTTTGTTCAGCTCGATCTGCAGTCTCTCGTGGACTTTCGACGCGTCAACCAAAGAGCCATGCAGGTCATCGACTCCATCCCGCAGTTTCGGACAATAGTAAAGCACAGCCTATCTCCGCTCCGTAGCATGATCAGAACTAGGGCAGCACCACGAGTCACATGTCAAGATCTCTTCAGGGTAACGAGTCGCTGGAAATGTGAGCTGTGCGACGACTTCGCTGGCTTCATCTACCTGTTCGATTGCAGTCGACTTTGCTGTCTTTGCTTCAGTCGCATTGACGAGCAATACCACGAGCGGCTCATGATACGATACGATTATAGGGACTGGGGATCGAGGTTTGGCTCCCCGCCTCCTTTTTCTGTCTGGGATACAATGCTCGATGAGCACCGTATTTCGGGTCATCTCAGAACACTCGTCCGCGCGCCCTTTTTGACCTCCCCGGATGGCCCAGTGGAATGGGGATTCCATTGTGTAGGTTGTAAAGACTATCGTCGCCGACGGATGCATGAGCGAAGAAAGTACAACGTCGAAACATTCAATGCTCATGTGTTGGAGTGTGGACGAATCATCAATGGCGAGCATTAGTTTAGCAATGGGCAACAATCTGAAAGCGAGGAGGAATCCGATATCGACCAGGAACCTGAGGACGATTCAGAGTCTGATGATGAACCGGAATCCGACAACGAACCGGAATATGACGATGAGCAAGAATACCACAACTACGAGGTATCTCCATTACCGTGACAGCGAACGAAAATTAGGCCAGATAACAGGCTTCCAGCTAAAGCTCATCCGAAAAATCCTCTTCTCCCACTTTCCGCTCACACTCCACCCATTCCACCGCATCATCAGCTCTAATCGTTTCCAGCATATATCTTTCTCACAATACTCCAAAGCAAGACGATGTGCAGCGAAAAAGACATTCTTCGGATTCAACCCCATGACCGTCTTGGCTTCGATTAAGCGAGTGTGGTCTTCAAGCAAAACGCCTTCGCGAAGGAAAACGCAGTAACTTTTCTCAATTACATCTGGCTGGTCTCAGTTGTATAATGGTGCTGGGAACGAACGTGTCAAGAGTGGATCATTGATGTTGATGCTTTGTCGGCGAAGGATTAGCTCTCGTGTTGTTTCCCTTGGACATATTATGGCCAGTAAGGAGAACCAGGCGATGATGACGATGAGAGTGGGTATGCGCCACGAAGATATTGATGGCATCTTGGGTGTATTCGATTTGGTTTTCAGAGGAGAGAAAGATTGCTTGTTTTGGTAGAAGAAACGGTTAAGATGGCACGGAGTGCGACAGTCCACCTGTCTTTCCCAAAGAGGCAATTCGAGCTATGCCGCCACGAAGGAATTAGATAGCGGGATGACAAAGTAGGCACCTGACTTCGGAGTTCAGTGGGGAACTTTCTAACATCGCTATCCTGCGTGTCTGTGGTAGGGCGTAAGAGATGCCGACAATACTCGTTATTATCTCTCGCCGCTGCTGTGATCGTTTCGAGACGCCGAATGTGCAACTCCACGCGGAGTTCAGATTCCCTGTAAGCAAGCAGAAGTACATGATATGTCATTGAGGGGTCAGAGAGCTCCGTGCAGTCCACTCACTGCATGTGAAGTATACATAATCAGCTCGAACGCGATTGCATCTCACTGATCCCATCGCTCTCCATCTTACGAACTTCTGAACAAAGTCAGTTGCTCACAATGTCAACTTCCACCACGACACTTCAACCCAACATCGCGATCCACACGAATCCCGAACACGAACTGCACATCCTAGACCAGCCAGTTCCTGTGCCTAAACCCAACGAATGCCTCATCCACATCCGCGCAACAGGAATCTGCGGCTCAGATGTGCATTTCTGGAAACATGGCAAGATTGGATCTTCCTTGATCACCGGATCTCAAGGTCTCGGACATGAGAGTGCCGGAGAAGTCGTCGGCGTAGGGGATGAAGTGAAGAACTTGAAGATAGGTACGTTGGTCCTGTTAGAGCCTGCACATCGATGAGAGGTATTCGATCGTGGTCATTGGCCGCATAAGATCCAACAATTTGCCCGCACCACGACTTGATTAATTTGTCCCATGCTGAAGGATATGCCCTCTAGGCGACCGCGTCGCGCTCGAATGCGGCATCCCATGCTCCAAACCATCGTGCGACTTTTGCCGAACGGGACAATACCACGGCTGTCCAGAAAAGGTCTTCTACTCTTCTCCGCCAGTCAATGGTACTCTGCGACGATACCATTGTCACCCGGAAGCTTGGCTCCATAAGCTGCCAGATTCCTTGTCTTTCGAAGAAGGCGCTCTTCTAGAACCTCTGAGCGTGGCTCTTGCCGGGATCGACCGCTCCGGAGTGAGAATGGGCGATCCGCTTGTGATTTGTGGTGCTGGACCCATTGGTATTATTGTTCTGTTGAGCGCTAATGCTGCAGGCGCCGCACCAATTGTCATAACAGATCTCGATGAGAGTCGGCTCGCATTCGCGAAGAAACTTGTGCCTCGGGTGAGAACTGTTCACGTGCAGATGGGCGAGGAACCGCAGGCCGTTGGCGAGAACATCAAGAAGGTGCTGGGGCAGGAGGCAAAGCTGGTGATTGAATGCACTGGTGTCGAGACCTCAATCCACTCCGGCATATATGTGAGTTGTGCACCTCGATCAGGCCTGGGACCCGCACTGATAGATTTTCAGGCGTCCAGATTCGGCGGAACAGTCTTCATTATCGGAGTTGGCAAAGACTTCCAGCAAATCCCTTTCATGCACGCTTCGTTTCGTGAGATCGATATCAGGTTCCAATACCAGTAAGTTCCGCGATCGTGCACCCGGCATGATTCTTGCACGATGCACGGCTGCTGACGGGGTGCAAAAGATACCGGGAGACATATCCAAAGGCGATCATGCTTGTCTCAGAAGGACTGATCGACTTGAAACCTTTGGTGACCCACCGATACAAGTTGGAGCAAGCCGAAGAGGCTTTTGCCACGGCATCGACACCTGCTGCAAAGGCTGTCAAGGTCCAGTTGCTGGATGGCTGATAAATGCCAGCACCTTCAAATATCGATCAAGCAGACATCATTTTCAAATCCCGAATGCATTCCGGTTTCCACAATCAAGTCTCATCGTCATCATTCACCAAATCACTGATCTTGATCTTACTTCGAACGCCAGGTATCTCATGAGGCGCCCAGCCTTCAATGGCTCCGACACTCTCCTTCAAAGTGAAATTCGTATTGGGTCCATCATCCTCAAGTAAACGTGGCGTACCAGTTCCCACAGCCATGAGCCGATCAGACCATCTCATGAGTCGTTTGACCAGCTCCGGGAATGGAAGCTTCGCCATACCACCTCGCATATCGATCATGCGTCTCTGAGCACGTCGATGGACAGAACTTGACCCGCCTCTGTCTCCATACATGAGCTCGTGCAAAGCAATGCGGCCCACTGCAAGAATAAGTGCGTCTGAACAGCACTTGACAGGATCTCCTAGTGCCTCATTGATGGCTTTGATAGCCTCGGATCGCAGCCAGTATCTGATCTCAGCGCTCAAGAGCCCAAGCCGGATCATGTCTCCAGAGCCGAACAACAGTCGTACGTAAAACAGCGCCGGTTCCTCAAGCGACTTTTGCGTCATGAACCATTCCCAATTTTTTCCTTGTGGGGCCGTGATTTTCAATGCCGGCCAGCCTCTCGGCGCATAAACATGAATCATATGGTGCAAGATCTGGTTGAACAAAGGCTTGTAGGTCACAGGGCAGTTGTAGAAGGGATCTATCACTCCTGCACTGGGGTCCGCCTGGGGCGAAGCTGGAGGTGTGATCAAAGTCATATCGCTAACGGTCTCCGTGGGCTTCTCTGACCCATCTGCCATGCGCTTCCGTCTGGTCGATACATCGGCGACAGTTGTAGGGACGGCGGCAAAAGTAGTGACCGTTCCAAAGCCTCGCGCGGGTAGTGGCAGGAGGGAGGTGAAGTAGTTTTGGTAAGTGGTCTGCAGGGACTGGCCAGGTTTGCTCCCAGCATTGCTCTCCAAGGCAGTATCAAGCTGAGTCGAGATATCTCCGGCAGTCGATGTCGCGATCGGCACAAAAGTAGGAGCATCCGGGTTGAAAGCGTACGTAGCATTCGCGGCAGCAGCAGAATCAGGCAAAGGTGGACCAAAGAACTTTGGCCTCTTCGCCACTGACCCGGTAGATGGCGGCGAGACTTGCTGCGCTGCGGACGATTGAGCATCATGCTGAGGTGGCGTTTTCGACTTCCTTCTCGCAACTCCTTGGTCATCTAGCACGAAAGCTCCTCGTCCTCCACCAGCATTCTCGAGCTGCTCAAATATTTTCTTTCGTCGCTCCGGCCATGATTTGAGGGCGGCAACGGATCGTACGCGTTTCTTGTTGGCTAGGTTGCTTGCACTGTTGGGATCACTGGTTGTAACAATGAAGTCCTAAGAAAGCAAGAGAAAGTCACAATTAGTCATTGCTCAAGACTGGAGTGCAACGCGAGTCCACACATACGATCTGCTTCTGTTTCTTCTTTCCCGTGGAAGCTGTAGTCTTTGTTCTCGTGTTCGTTGCCATAGCGGCTGAAGCTCCCTTTCCATCCGACATGCTGATAAATTTCGTGTGAGCCGGGCACGCGCAGCTCGTGTCCTGAAAGACAGCGAGACGCGCTCAAGATATCGCATGCGCTCGTGTGGCGGGCGAAGCAGAACGGCGTGGGATCGCACAGTGGACTTGAGAGGAGCAGGTGGAGTTCCGATCGGCCATTGGCGAGCCCTAGTCTAGTCCGTAGTTCTGAGACTCAATCTATGTGAGCCCCGTCATTTGCCCAGTAGTTAGCCGAGTCATCAGCTGGGGGCGCGATATAGCGTGAAGAAGGTGTTCGGAAGAGGGGAGAGATTGACAAGGTGCGGCATTGCCGCGAGTCAAGCAGCTGTCAGTGCAACCTTCTCAACTCAAATTCGACCTTCAGCTGTCGGTCCTGTTGCAAGCCATTGGGCTTCTCCTACTACAAGCCTTCAGTGACAGATGCATATGTTGGGAGACATTCGGGATATCGAGCTTCTTGCGACCGTGCGTCGTTGTTCTCGTTCCACTGCAGCACTGAACACAAGCGGCTAGAGCCCAACGGGGGTATCTGCTCCCGACCGACATTCCCTGTACGACACCACCGATTTCGAGCAGGCCTCTTTTCCTCTTGATTGCTCCAGATCATCCTCCTTCGCTTTCGCCCGTCCATGTCGATCGTGGCGAGCATCTGACGTGCATGAAGCTAGACGTCAACCTGATCAATGCATCATTTTGAAGACGAATATGGAGACACTGGAGGCAGGAATTTCCTCCCTTGTGACGTGATGACGAGGACTACACTTCCGTACGACATCTGACGAGGACTTGCAGATTTGATCTTACCACCTGTGCTACGTCCGCATAGGCCGGCACGATCGCCGCGATTTTGTGCGCAGCAATTGGCTGTTCGAAGCATCGCACTACCTGTCGTACCGTTGTGCTGGTAGGGCATCGGAAAAGAACCCGTGGAGTCATTACATGATGACAAGCACTGTGATTAGTATGAAACACCAACATGGCGTGCGTGGTGCACAGAGATCTGTTCGTGTTACCACCGAGGCTGTTAGAGAATCACTCATCAAGGCGTTGGGTATCATGTGCAATGACAAGAGTGGTCGGCGAAAGGCCTGCCGAACAGATATGGCGCCAAACACGATACCTCCTTGGCACTGGGATCGCACCCAGCTGACTGCAGGCTGCACGTACATTGGATCAATCTGGAACAGCCATCCGTGATCTCCAGCACCAGATGAAAGGAAGCATCGGATGGGGGCGATCAATGTGTTCATGCACACTGCCACCTTCATCTCGGTATCATTGCGAGTAGATCTCTTCTCCTCATCTTCAGATTGATTATATCAAGGTGCGTCTACCTCGACGATCTTCGGCACAACCCACCACACATGCTTCCTCTCTTTGGCCTCGGGCAATGTCACCGTCACCACTCCCTTCAGTGATAGCCGAGGGCTCGACTCATGCTCTTTCCCGGCCTTCTTGCAAATACTGACAAGTTGTCCGAGAGCGATCTTAACCGCCCAGCATGTTGCTTCGAGATGCTTGAGTTCCTGGAGTCGGAACGAATCCTCCTTGGGAGTCGCATCTCTCACCTGCTTCAGCTCCTCGAGAATCGTCCGCTGATGAGAAGCATTTCTCGAGAAACCCATTATCGCCTCTAAATGTGATTGGAGTTCTGTCGGATTATAAGCATGCGCTGCTCGATTGGATTTGCACTTTCGTAAGTCATCAAGGCTCGGTATGACTTGATACTGCACTTTGATGAAAGGCTTCATTCTCGCCTCATACTGTCGTTGTTCATTGTGATAAGGCCGTTGTTCGGCCAGTGGGAGGAGGTCCACTTTCGACAGGAACTCCCAGAAAGTCGCAAGCACCACAGCCAGGTTCTGTTGAGCGTGTGCTTCTTGCTGCAAACTTGATAGCCACCTAATGCTGTTCTCTCGCGCCACGAGCGAGGTATGCCGTTTCCTGCTCTTGGCCTGTGCCATCGCAGACAAAATGCTCGTTCGAGTGGACTTCTCAATCTGTGCAAATACCGATGTGAGCACATCATACATTTGATAGACGCCATCATCCTGGTACAAGTCGGACTCAAATCCGAGCTGGATGCTCCATTGAACCAGACGCAGCTTGTACATCCTGGTCCAGGTCCAGATTGCATAGTATGCCTCAGACTGTTCCGGCGATGCGATTTGGGGAGAAGTGATCTTCATGATCTCATCGTCAGCCTCGAGCGCAAGGACCTCCATCTCGTCAAACAGTGTGATCGACTGCGTGAATAATCTTCGCATCCTATCACGGTTCTGGCAGATTACGCGATAGAGGTTGAGATATTCGCCGAATGCTTTAATCATGAAATCTTCGAGGATTCGAGATGTTCGATGTCGTATATCGTGCGTCGCCTCTACCATGAAGCTGGCTGGATCTGCGAGAGGGTCTTGGGGCAACACTAGCTCTCGGATATCTGCGAGCATGAGATCGAAATGTGATACATCTTCCGCAACTTTTTCGTCAGAGGTGATCAATTCTTGGAGCTTAGCGCGCGCGAATGTGTTGGGAGCTGGGTTCCTACTTGAGAAGCTCCAGATTGCCGATTGCAGGAGATGAGGACTCTTGACGTTGTCAGATGCTGTGACATTGTACCCAGCAAGGATATCGTCGCATAGACGAATCCACTTCTGTTGAGCTTCTTCCCATGTCATTTCTGGCATTGGTCTTGGTGGTGTGCTTGACGCGAGTTGACGTTGCACTTTGTGCGAGAACGCAGATGGGAGAGCTTTCCCCAGAGTATGGTTCGATGTAGCCTGGTTGAATTGTTCTCGTAGTCGGGTCCAGTATGACACGGTTGCTGCGCTTTCTGGAATCCGTTCCAAACTGCAGAGTAGATGGTAGCGGATCTCGAGTCGTTGTATAAGGGCCACTGCGAGCCCGATTTCGAATTCGCTCTGATCCTTCTTGCAGTCCTCCAGCATTTCAGTGATGATATCAGATAGCGACTGAGTGACCTCGTCAACACTGATGTTAGGGCATAGTTCCCTGCCAAAGAGGTAGGTCACGAAATCCTCCTCCTCGTAGTACGTCTGGGCTTGAATGCATTCGAGTACCAGCTGACAGGACTTTACCACAGCCAGGCAGTATATTCGAAGGATCCTTTGTGTGACAGAAGGATTTCCTTTCGATGAAGTCAGATTGTAAGGGTAAGTATTGCCCGGATCAACCAATCGGAATATGTGTAATGAAGTGAAGACATTCTGTGAGAGAGGATATCTGTGGGACAATATTAGCGATTTGGTTTCGATCAGACATGATCTCTGCTGAAACTCACCCTTCATGGAAAAGCATCTCCAACCTCATAAGCTCGTCCATAATCCACAGGGCCTTCTCAATCGTCAGACCAGTACGTTTCGACATATACGCAAATCGACAGTAACACTCACTTCTTCGCCACCTATCTCGTCCTCATCTATCACCTTCCACTCCGGCTCGAACGTGTCGGTGGGCTCAACGAAACCACTATCCATCTTCGGATCCATGATCTGCCAAGGCTGGGTCAGCCTGCGAATATCTCGCCACACGCGAGGCAATGTCGAAATGACTTGCATACCTCGAGAGCACCAACCGCTTCAAACAACGTGAAGTACTCATCCTTTACCAACTCGCCCGCCTTCAACTGGCCACTTGCAGCAATGAAATTGGACGTGACATCTTGAACGCTTCTGTGGCTGACGAAAGCGGAAGGCCGCCGTTGCTGTTGATCCATCATTGCTTGTGCTTCTTGGAGCAGTCTTGAAGTCGCTGCGGTGGCGTTATCAGGTGCCCCGTTCGGGTGAACAGAGAGGTCTGAAGTGGGGGTCAGTCAGTCTCTACATTTTCTTGATGTGAGCCAGTATTTCGCTTTGACCTTACCTTTGGCAAGTGCATCGTCGTCATCCTCGAGAGGCATCCTATGACCATGTGCACATGCGTGAACTTGTGACTGGCATGTTGTTTGTAAAAGCGAGACAGTTGCGACGGAGTCAAAGCGCTGGCAGAGGTGCTCCACCAACCAAGTCTTGGCACAACCAGTCTGTGAGGCGTCACTTTCAAAGTGATCGTGGTAAAAGGCATCTCTGCTCGTATTCAGTGGACATCCATTAGCGCTATGCTTTACGCTAGGCCCGTGTCGACAATACACATGCTAATGCTACCGACAAATGTCTACACAATGTGTAGGAACATCACGCCAGTGGATAGTGGCAGTGATAATCAGTGTCACCAAATGAGACAGGTATTAGCACACAACCATCGATTCCTCAGCTTTATATACAGATGTTACAGGTGTCCTTTTCTGTTCCTGGAGATAGAAGCTCTCGTCCAGCTCACAGCTCTCTGCGGTCTCTTCTGACGCAGTCCTTCTGAGCCTTGCGTCTCAGCTCCTCACATCTGTGCCACTTCGCGATCTTCCATCGTCACTGTCTATTGCGATGCCTGCTGCGCTGAAGCTTCAGCATTGGCGTCGGCAACATTCTTCATCTCCTGCTGCTTGCCGTTCTGCGAACAAAGTCTCTCGTTAGCATATGTCCACTTCCATACCCAGTTCTATTCCTTCTCTCGCCTCTCTGAGAAGCGATCCGTCCATTCTTCATGCTCCTCCTCTTTCTTGTCTCCTCAATTTCTCCTTCCCCATCCTCTTCCCGCAGCCGTGCCTAGTCGTTCAACTCACCTCCCACTTGGCAAACCTCAAGTCCATCTCTCCTCGGCGCTCGGCCTGCAACCTCTTCTCCTCCTTCAACGAGCGGCGGACGACGCGCGAAGCGACGGCGATGTAGCGGTTGTAGCTGTTTCGAGCGCAGATAGCGTTAGCAGTCGTACGTTCCAGGAGTATGTCGCCCTGCGCGCGGCAGGAGCAGACGAGGTCTAGGACGACGGGACATACGTGATACCCGCAGCTTTCCACGCGAAGACCATTGTGTCGGAGTTTGATGTGCTGTGTGTTGAGGTGCGAGGTGTGGTGTGGTGTTCAGTCTTCAATGGTGCTTCGGCATAACTCGGACAAGCTGTCGTTGAAAGGTCGAAGAAGCTTTGGCGAGAACACGTGATTTGCCCAAACTGAGCGTTTCAAGACACGACCAAGTCAACAACTTCGAGCAAACAGCACAAATCACAGTGAAAAGAAAGACATGAAACTTTCATATATTGTTACAGCTCACTATGTGCGCCTGAATTCGCAAGGAAACTTTGTTCGATGACAGGATATTTACACACGAAGTCCCAACTCTTCAGCATAAGGCAGAGCATAAAGGTCTCCAACAGCACTTACGGAAGCCTTGTTCTCAAGAGCCTCCTTAGCGACTTGTTGCACCTTCTCTGCTGTGACGCCATCGATCGCTGATGCAACGCTGTCAATCTGGTATGGCTTGCCATCGCGGACAAGGCCAGCACCAGTGAGCTCAATGCCAGCTTGTGTTGATGCGCCGTACTCGAGCTCCTTGAATTTGGCCAGAGCCTTGGCCTTCTGGAGGTCCTCGGAGTTGACACCTGCGGCAACGGCCTTCAGTGCCTCAACGACCTTTGGTGCAGTCTGGTTGATATCGCGGGTAGTTCCATCGAGGGTCACGGTCAGAAGACCGGCGTCAGTGTAGATATGTGACTTGGTGGAGACCTTGAGGAGTGGTGTGTCGGCCTTAGCCTTGGCCAAAAGAGAGAAACCAGGAGTCCACTTGATGCTGGACTCGCCGCCGAGAAGGGCAGCGAGGACTGCGATCTCGGACTTGTAGAAAGCGCCGGTAGCAGAGCTTGATCCTGGGAAACCAAGGACGAGGGTGTTGCCAGAGCCGTGAGCAATGCGCTCCTCACCACCGTAGTACTTGGCCTGCTCAGTCTTGAGAGCACCAGCAGGTGAGTCTCCAACGTCTGAGAAGAACTCGCCAACCCACTTCTGGAACTCTCCCGACTCAACACCGTTACCCACAATGGCGAAGTTTGGCTTGGAGAATGCCTGTTGAGCGTAGTCGCTCAGAGTGCCCTCGTCGACGTATTTCCTGATAGCGGCAGAAGAGGTTGGGACGACGGGTACGCCAAGGCCGCGGTGGAAGGCTAGACCGTGGGCGCTTTCGGTAGCAAGAGCAACAGTGTTTGCGAGGTGCTTCTTGACATTCATCTCGGCGAGTGGCTGGATCTCCTCGTGAATAACGTGTGCTATGAGGTGTCAATTCTGCGGTACCCTGTCTCCTTCCCAATTCGTGATATGCACTCACGCTGGAACTTGGTCAAAGTCGCGACCTCAGCCAGGAGCTCGAGGAAATATGGGAGGTCATCGCGCAAGAACTTAGCGCCAACCACGAGGTTCTCGCGGCCGTGCCAGCTCTGCAGCTCAGCGCCCAACAGTTCCGACTCGCGCTGTATCCGGAGAGTCGATCGTCGCTCGGTGCTCTGTACATGTCCTCATCAGCACTCTCCTCTTCGATATCCCAACAGTCCTCATCTCACCCTAAACGCGTATCGGTCCAGCGCCTCTGCAAGACCAGGCCAGGTCTCGTATCTAGTACCAGCTCGGGAAACAAGGGCGACGGTGGAGACGGGGCCGGCGATATCTCTGCTCGCGATCTTGATGCCATTGGAGTCGGCAGTCTGGTATTGGAAAGAACCGGAGGCAGCGGCGTAGCCCCTAGTAGACTGGGTCCATGATTGCCGGACAGCACGCTGAGCCTGCCGGGAGATAGCAGAGCGCGCGATCATGGTGGTGATGGGCCCTCGCGGGTGGTGTCGGCGGTGGGGAGGGTGCAATGGGTTGTTGACGTTGGTCGGCCTCTGCAAAAGCTCAAAGTATTCCGAGACGTCAGGTCGGCCGAATAGGTAAGCAAGGAAAGTCGTGGTCCGGCTGCACATAGCCGTGGGCGCACAATCGTCGTACACTTTGCGTTCGACAATAGCACTGAATGATTGTTGAGTTTCTATTGACTGTTATGGACTATATAAGTGAGGAGCTGTTGTGTGCAATCTCCAAGTGAATTGACTGTTCATGCCTGCCACGAAATCTGCCAACCACCGTCAGTCGACTCGGCAGCGCCCGTGCGGATGAATCTTTTGTGCCCGCACTGCTGGAGACGGTCACCCACCAGCCTACGACGAACTTCGCGAAGACTTACTGCGCAGTCATAACCGCTGCCTCTGACGACGAGCGAGATCCCTCGTCGCGCAAATGCAAAGACATCGTCGGTAGCAACACGCAACTCTGACGACGTGAGAGGTCCTCAGAGTTCCATCGTCCACCATGAGCAAGGTATACATAGTCGACGACCGCCGCCGCAAGCCACTCGCTCTTGCTGCTGCTGCGGAATGTGACTGACAACGCCCACCACGCAGCGACTCCAAGAACTGTGCACCCTCGTGGTCAACGACTCCTGCGGCAAGCTCGCCTCCGTATGCCAGCGCCCGCGCAATGTCTCGTCGCAGGCTTGTCCGCTAACCGCCCGCAAAGCAAATCTTCTCGACCCTCGCCCAGAAGGGCCGCCGCACCCTCCATGAACTGCGTCGCGAGTTCCCGCACATCACCGCCCGGCAGATGCGCCAGGCCCTCGTCGTCCTCTTGCAACAACACATCGTCCTCTACCACCAGCTCGAAGATGGCCCGACATACTACCACGCCGACTGGCGCAACCCGGCTCGATCGATACGTGCTTCCCTCATAACAGCCCTCGCGGCCGAACGTTACGGCGATGGTGCAGCAAAGATCGTCAGCAATCTCGTGGAGCTCGGACATGCCAGAGTTGGGGACCTCGCGCAGGCATTCGACTTTGCGCCAGCCTCGAAGCGGGACAGTGGGTATGAGAGCTGCAACGGCTATGCAAACGGAGCTGTCAAGGTCAACGGAACATCGGACGCTCACAAAGTGGCCGGCGACAAGGTCGCAACTGTTGGTCAATTCCACAACACTCTGCGCACACTGCTGAAGGCGGGCATTCTGGTGAAACGAGGGAAGCAGGCGTATATGCCAGCCGCGGATCTTCAAGCTCAGATCGAAGCTGTCGTCATCAGTGAACAGTTCCCAGACGGTAAGATCACTGGTGGCAAGAAGCAAGCCGAGTTCCAGGCCGCTGTCAAGACACTCAAGCGCAAACGTCAAGAGGCCGACGAGTACTCCGCCACCCGCGATGCCGAATCTCGCGGCCAGATCAAGCGGCCAGGTGCTGCCTTGAACGAACATGCTGCAAAGCGCGCCAAGCTGAATGGTGGAATGACAAATGGCATTCATCGTGATGAAGATATCGATGCGGACGAATCTGTTCCAAAGCTTCCGGTACTGTGTTGTGCCAATCACCCTCTTGCAGGGTTCAAGTTACTGACACTGTATAGAGCGATTTGATCTTGGCGGTCAATTTCGCGCAATACCCCGTCGCTCATCGCAGCCAGCGGCTCGAGCAATTTGCCCAGGCTCACTTCGGTGGCGTTACCGCTACAGTATATGCAGCTCTACTACAAGCTCTCGAGGCCAAGATCAAGGCTCGTGACGATGACATCCACGAAGAACAGGATGCGGAAGATCAGGAGGCCCGACTTCCTTCTGTTACTACAATGGATGTCTCAGAGGTACTGAAGACGTGGGCACCCCTAGACCTCACGCTTGGCCTTGATCTGAAGGATGCAGCTCATCTGTACAAACCAGCAGCCGAGCGTGACAAGCCGAAGAAGGGCAAGAAGCGCGCTGTTGATCAAGAGAACCAGGAAGATTGGGGCGACATCGGCATCAAGATGGAACTGCCTTCCGAAGACGACGATGACGATGCGCCAACGAATGGGTTCATGTCGTACCGCGACCAGAACAAAGTGCTTTCTCTTATCGAAGAGCATCTCAAACTGTTGGCGGAACACTCGACGCGATTCTGTCGACGTGTCGGCGCCGCCGGTCGTGGCGAATGGAAAGTCGACTTTCCTTCACTGACCGAGGCGCTCATTGCCCACGACATCGACGAGACAGTCAAGGCTCGTCTCACCAGAGTCCACGCCATGATCGTTCGCATGCTTCGCGACGTTGGACGCCTCGACGAGAAAGACATTGCAGCTCGGCTCATGATGCGCGTCAAAGACGTACGTGCTATCCTCACCCAGCTTCAATTTGCCGGCCTCGTGGAAGGCCAAGAGGTTCCCAAAGACAACTCCCGCCAGCCTAGTCGAGCCATCTACTTATGGTATCACGATCAAGACCGCGTCGCCAACCTCCTGCTGCAGCAGACTTACCAAGGCATGGCACGCATCCTACAGCGTATGGGCAGCGAGCGAGAGACGTATCGTGGCCTGATGGAGAAAGCCGAGATGATGAATACGAAAGAGGAATCGCTCACCCAACCCGAGCGAGACGCTTTGATGCATTGGCGAGAAGTTGAGGAGCGATTGATGATTCAATTCCTGCGTATGGACGAGCATGTGGCGCTTTTGAGAGATTTCTCAGGCAAGGATACGAGTTTGATCTCGTGATGACGAACGATTGGCCTGCCTACCTGCCTGACTGTGGCATTACTACTACTGTTACCCCCTACTTCGGATGATCTGGGTTGGACAACAGGGAAGAAAAAAGTCAGCTCCAGCTTGCATTTTGTGACGGCGTTCACGGGAACTTTGAAACAATGGCCATCGAGTCAGAGGGCATGGGTGGACTACGGTCTCCGCTTCCTCGTCTTCTCACGGGGTTGCTGCATTTATCTCGGCGTTCAACTTCACGACAGAGGGGAAAGACGATTTGAGACCTATGATGGGATCTACAGGGACTTTCGACGGTGAGCTCCTCCCGGGCTTCAATACAGTGTTTATGCCCTCAGAAGCTCTGCCGAAGCTGCTGCTGTACATGCTACATAACAAACACAAGCAACATTCAAGCTGGTAGGAACAGCGAATGTGAACGCTATCCCGCACTCGCCACTCTTCATTTTCAGATGTTTCCTCTGGGACGGAGCTGCGTTACGTGCGCTGCACGTACAAATTCTCCATTTTCGCTCTGCTCTTCTGTTGCACTGGCTCGTAAAGCATCGTACCCAGCGACCCGTCAAACGACTGGACGGAACGCGAGCTTTGCTGTTTAAAACTCCCCGGCCATCGTGTCAACTCACTTCGTATACTCTTCATCTTCTAGCCTTTCTTGAAGGTAAAGTAAAATGCTGAGCCCCAATCGCTTTTGAGGCCGTCGCAATCTGACATTTGCTCGTTATCCTCTAAGAACTGGTACGCACCCATGTCATGCGTAATCTGTCCATTGGAGGTTTCAAGAACGTGTCGCCAATCTTCTTGACATTCTCTTACCCGGTCCAGCCATCATTATCACGCCTGGTGCCCCAAAAGTCCTTAGCTTGCCGGCAGAACCTTGAAGTTGAATCGTGGGAAGTGCAAACGCAAGATGCCCTGCTCCTTGGGCACCGGACTCTCGATCACCACCTCATCCTTCGTCAGTCCCACTAACTTGCCTTCGTCTTTGTGCGTGAAGCCAAAGTCAGTAGGCGAAATGCTGATTTTTTGGCCCTTCTTCAGCCCCAACACATCACTCGCATCGAATTCGAGGTCGCCCGCTTCCGTGAATTGAGCTTTCAAAATCCTCTCAACGACAGCATCCTCAGCATCGCTCCCTTCACCCAAAACACCCGCGCCCAGATTCCTCTGCTCACCCTCCGCAGTAACCTCCCTAAACCTCCTCACCCAACTCCACACCTTCGGAAACCTCTCCTCACCCAACTCCCTCCTCAAGTCCTCCTTCGCCGCATACCTCCCATCCGGCACACCCTCCGCCATACTAATCGCCCAATCAAAAACCCACCCCGCATGAATCTCCGCCAAACCCGGCCCCTCCCCACCAAGCAACCACTTCCTCCCATCCCCCAACAATTTCTCCACCATCCCAAAATACAACCTCTCCTGACTCAAATTCCATTCCCTTAACTGCAACAATTTCTCCTTGGTGAATTGCCCTCCACTCCCATCAAATCGATCTTTCACCCAAACTGGATCTTGCATCAAAGGAGAATTTACGGGAATCAAGCCGGCAGTACGCCAAAATGGTCCGCCATCGATGATGAATTCTTCTAGGATATCTTCGATTCCACTTCCGAAGGAGTCTTTGGCTCCGAGACGAGTTGATGGGTCCCCGATTGTGTCGAGAGATTCTAATTTGCGGAGAATGAGACGCGTGTCGATGTAGATGTCTCGTCCTATTGAGAGGACGGGAATGCGTCGATAATGAATTCCTAGTCTTTCAGAGAGGATGGGTCGAGGCATATTTGGTGGAACGCGGATTTGAGTGAAGGGAATTTGGCGGAGGTTGAGGTAGCGAACGATTCTTCGACCATAGACAGATTCGGGGAAGGTGAAGAGGATGATTTGATTGTCATGTCTGCTCTCATCTCCTGTCGTGGTTGCCATTGTAGGAAAGGTACGCAGTGCTCTGTGGTTATGGTCTTGGAAGTCTGGTCTTGTTCGATTATCAAATGATTGACAAGCCTTGTGTCGAAGTGCTTGTTGTCCCGAATTTGCGCACAGTCTGAATATTTGCTATCCTCTTGACGTCGTTTGCCAACCTGATATCACATGTATGGACCTCTCATGTTAGTGGGGTGGTGGGGAGGACAGTCGAACTTTGCCGAGGTCATGAGAGCAGTCGAACGGTGGCCATAGCTATGCTTCCAGCCGTGGAGACTGAAGCTCTGCAACTTCTGCTTGACACTGATCGTCTGACATGCATGAGTATCGAGGCGAGCCTGCAGGGAAGTGCCTGGATTCCGCATCCGGCAACTTCAAACTTGGCGCTCGCGTGCAGGAGGCAAACCGTTCCCAAGAGCGTGTTGAAAGCAGAAATCATTTCATTGCAGTCTCGCGAAACCTCTGGATATCTCAATGTGTCAAATCAGGACAACGACCTGTCAAACGCCAGCGAGCGCACTTTCCAAACATCGTGATGATCTCCAATTGTCAAACTCCTCTGTACAAGCTCCCACAAGCTTACCAACCGTATTCCAAATTTCAAAACCTCTCCAGTCGTAAATCAGATCTGTTGCTCGAGCATTCTTCTTTTGCTCTTAATGTCCAGCTAGTCCTGCTGCAGAAGACTGACCAATTGCTGCATGGCAACTCGTGGCCAGCTGGGTCTAAGACACAGCACGCCTTTGTGCCGCTTCGTACAGAGCGCCAATTGCCCCAAGTCCTGCGCCGATCAACAGAGCGTTGGAGCCACCCCAAATGCCCTGTTCGATGCGCAGGACAGTCTCGGGGTCGATCACGCCAAAGGTGACACCTTTCTTGAACACCAGCCAGGTGCCGAGTGCCTTCACCAAATTGTACGTCATGGGATCTGCCGCGTATCTGGCAACAGCAACGCGTACATTGCCACGCTTGACATCCCGGATCGTGAGATTGTAGAAGTAGGCGAACAACAATGGCACGAAGATCGATGCGAACGACCACGTCAGGGTGGTGGACCAGTAGAGGGATGTGAGGAGGATGAACAGATTGGGAAGGTACACTGCTCTGGCTGGAGTGATGGCGGTGGCTGGAATGGAGAACGCATAGTCCCATGGGAATACTTTTCTTTGCAGAGCAATGGCTTCCAGCAGGAGAACCGTAAGGTGAATTCCTTGGACGCCCGAAAGGATTTCGCGCAAGTTCGCGATCTGTTCATCGATTCCAGATCTGTTGTAGAGATCCTTGAAGTTGGTCACAACCTCACGGGAGGCGTCTTCTGCGAGTTCTGCCACTGCGGCTGGCGATGGCGGTCCCGGAAGCTGAGACTGCCTGCGAGCACCACCACGCAGACCGGGCGTGCGTGGGTTCAGCTGGGTTGATGGGGACAAGGCAGACGTGACGGGCGATAGAGCGTTGCTCGCAGAAGCCACCACGGCTTGCACAGGAGACGAAAGAATGCCTGTGTCATCTCTGCACTTCTGTCAGTATGGTCAACACGCGTCGTGGATGCGGTGTCGTCTTACTCGGATTCCTGCTTGACCTTTGTTGGACGCCGTCCTCTGCTCTTCACCACACTCTTGACTTCCTCCACCACTTCGCCTACACTTTCAGGTAGGAACTCGCTAGCGCTTGCGCGTGGCCTGCCTGGTGTGGCGCGTGTACCAAAGTAGCCGGAAAATGCAGGCTCACGCGACAGACGCGTGGAGTTGGTCTGGAGGTATTCGTTCAAGGACTCCACGATATCGTCTTTGCGGGTATCTTCATCTCTGTACCACCGTTAGCTTCACAAACGCCGTATGTCAGTGGTGGGCGTACTGTTTCAAGCCCGCTTGTTCCGAGAGTTCGAGCAGTTGGGCTTTGCGTTGCCGTTGAAGCCACGAGGTCGACATGGTGGTAGGCGGTAGGATAAAACCCCGGTAAATGTGGTATAGTCGGAGTCGCGTAACTTATGCGATCGCGATGCGCGCAGTAAGAGGTGCTGTAGAGACAAGTCAAGTATGGTGGATGTCGCGTAGACTTGAGACGAAGTGGTGGTCGCGATAGTCAACACAGAATCAAAACAAACGGGAGGGCCCGGCAGATGTCTTGGCAGTCGCGATGCGCCCGATGCGGTAGGCAGGCTGCTGTCCAAACAATTGGACAGTTGCGTATGTAACGCGTGTCTTGTCGTGGCGTGGATTGCGGATGTATCGCAGGTTGCGCCGTCTCAGGTGCTCGTCGATGCGGTGAGGCGCGTGGGCGTGAGATGTGTCGGAGTGTTGCACTTCCCTGTGACGCAATGGCAGCGTCTGTCAGCGAACGGAGGTCCGACATTTCTCTCCCGCCAGTCTGCCGTTGCTGGTACACAGCGAGAAACGAGAATCCCAACACCATTTCCACCGCACGCCGCGCATCATTGACTGCAATTCATTTGAACACTACATACAGCTCATCGGCCTACTGAGAGCGTAGAAGTTGTGTCCCGCGAAAACCGCCTCCTGAAGGCTCGACGAGCACACGGCCGACCCTGTTCATGCTGCCCGGAGGCGGGATCAGCTCTCCTTGCTAATGGTCCTGGCCCGCGTGGCTTCCTACTTTTCCTCGACCGCAGAGAAGCAGCCCGATGCGCCGCTGAATTACATTGACCATGGATTCGACGATACGAGAAGACGGGCGGCAGAAATGTCATCCGCGGATAGCCAGAGACGCCCGTCCGTCTCCTCGGCAAAGGCCATAGACGTGGATCATGAGGATTATCGCCCGCCGTACGCGCACGCCATGTTGGCAGGAGGGTTGGGAGGATGTCTGGGAGATATGTTGATGCATAGCCTGGACACGGTCAAGACGAGACAGCAGGGTGATCCGCATATGCCGCCCAAATACACGAGCATGGGCAACACGTATTGGACCATCTTGAAGCAGGAAGGCGTGGGCAGAGGACTGTATGGAGGAGTTACGCCCGCCTTTGTGGGGTCTTTCGTCGGAACTGTTATCTTCTTTGGATGCTACGAGAGCAGCAAAAGGGCCATGATTGACTACGGGATAACGCCAAGCGTGGCCTACTTCGCCAGTGGGTGGTGCGCAGATTTGGCTGCCAGTCCACTCTACGTGCCTACCGAGGTACTGAAGACGAGGCTACAGCTGCAAGGAAAATACAACAATCCATACTTTACCTCTGGATACAACTACCGTAGCACGATACACGCGTTCAAAACCATCTACCGCATGGAAGGCTGGAGAGAATTGTTTTCGGGCTACAAAGCGACACTCCTGCGAGATTTGCCTTTCTCGGCATTGCAGTTCACCTTCTACGAGCAAGAGCAAAAGTGGGCGAAAGCATGGGTTGGACCGGGCAAAGAGATCGGTCTGCCATTGGAGATTTTGACAGGCGCAAGTGCTGGAGGTATGGCAGGTGTGTTGACCTGTCCAATGGATGTGGTCAAGACAAGAATTCAAACAGAGCTAGATCCCGAAGTCGTTGCAAAAGCAAGAGCGAAGGCCGCTGAAAGCGATGCGAAGAGCAATAGTACTAAAGCCGCTGCTCCCAGCCAAACTTCCGCTTCGGCAACGAAACACAGACCGACCGCAACATCTGCGACGCCTCAACAGAGAAGAGGAATATCCACATCAGGGCCTGGAACAGCACTCAAGCACCATGGATTGACCCCGCTCGATACTGAATCGGTGTACAAAGCACTCAAAATCATCTACAGGACCGAAGGACTGTCAGGCTGGTTCCGTGGCGTAGGGCCAAGGGGTGTATGGACCAGTATCCAAAGCGGCACCATGCTTGTCGTCTATCAAAAGCTTTTGCGATGGTTTGATGCGAACCCGCTGGTCAAGATAGATCCCGAAGACGGGCTGCGAGGAATAAGTTGAGCCGCAGCAACAGAATATGTACGATCAGACGCATAGCGCGGCGTCGATGATAAGAATCCCGGTTAAGGATAGCTCTAACTTTGTATACATAACTTCGCTTTGCAACACCAACAACGTTTCGAAACTCCGCCTTCGTAAGACACAATATCTCAGAGGCGTTGAACAGCCCTGATAACAGTCTCAAACATCCAGCGCAGGCCCCTCGTCCCCATAAATCGGATCCTTCGCAAACCAGCCCAAACTCTCAATACCCTTCACTTTCCCCTCCTCCCCTTCCCGCCCATAACACATATCCCATTGACAACCTTCCGGATAACTCCCCACCATCTCAAAGCCTCCGCTCACATCCTCCCACAGCCTATGCGCCACGCCCGCAGGTACAACAACCACATCTCCCTTCTCAACAACTTCTTCCACGCGTTCCGGATTGTCTTCGTGCCCGAAGCAGAGTTTGGCTTTGCCGTGCGAAATGCAAAGGACTTCGTGTGAAGTACTGTGGAAGTGAGAGGTCGAGTACATTGTATAGCGCCATTGAGGTATTACGACGCCAGTGGATTCCAGATGGGATTCGATCTGGCTGGCGGAGGTCGTGGAACGGAAACAGGATTTGTAGATCAGGAGAGGTTTGTTTTGTATCGAAGTGTTGGGTGTTAGGCCATGTGCGGGTATGAGGTGTTTGAGCACTTGAAGTTGGGCCAGAGGGGTGAGTTTTGTTGTGGTCATTTTTCGTTCGGGTTGAATCCTTTGATTGCGTCTGATTTGAGCTGGCGATGCTTTGAAGAGAAAGTGCCTTGAATTGATCGCCTTCGCTCGAGAGGCCCAATGTTTGTGACGTCAGCAGAACGCATGTGTACGGAAGGCATGTATGAATTGGTTGTTCGATTTAATCCTATGCATTGTTTCTATTCCGTGCATTCATCGCACCTAGAGACTGTCGCTGTCGATATCTAAACTCCCTGCTTCTTCTCATTCGGATACACGCTCTCCCTGCTCCACTCCCCTCTCGCACGGATCCTCTTCCCAAAAACATAAAAGCAATAAGGAATGGGTATCATCGCCACAGCCAGAAAACCAAAAATGCTTACTCCCCAATTGATGCCCAGATTATGCAGCATCGGTGAAATGAAGAGAGGGAAAGCAGCCGCAAAAGCGCTTCGCAGTGCTGTATTCGCTGCAACAGCGCTCGCTGCATATCTCTGGAAGGTATCGATGAGGTAGTTCAGTGCGGCTTGGAATATTGTGAAGAAGCCGATACCCTCAAGGGCGATGCCAATGCAGGGCACGATCCAATGTACTTCAGGTCCAGAAGACCATGCGAACATGAAAAGTCCCGCGGCGAAGAGTACGGATCCACCCATCATCGGAGGAAGTCGTGCTTCAGGCACAGGCCGATAGTCGTTCGCTTTCAGTCTCTTGACATAGAACTTCTGATTGAGAAAGTTCGCGCACGCTCCGAAGCAGATACCGACCAGCATTGCAAGAAAAGGTAAAGATCCCACAAGAGCGTTCCAGCCACGAGTCTCCTGAAATTCGATCGGGAAGGCGGCTAGTGAGGCGTAGAGAATGCCATAGCAGAAGGAGGCGTACAATGCCATCAAAGCGCAAATCGGTGTGGCGAGAAGTTGAAATGGCCGGACCAGGTATTTATGCCCCAATTCTTTCAGCGAAACATCCCACTCTTCGTGCTTTGCATGCAGAGCCCAATTACCGCTCTCATGCCTGAGTCGTCGTGCCTTGGCCACCAGCAAAGTCGGCGCGTAGCTCTCGTCCACGATGAGGAGATCCAGAACCAAGAACAACATCATCAGGATGCCTGTAATGTACTGTGTCCAGCGCCAGCCAACTCCACTGACGATAAACGCACCACCAATGATCGGACCAAGCGTGGGTCCTCCGACCACAGCCATGGCATAGCCAACCATCGCCGCACCTCTCTGCTCTGCTGAGAACAAGTCACCCAGAACGCCTCCCGTATTCGTGACCGGCGCAGATCCGAATATGCCCTGCCAGAACCGACAAATCATCAACGCCTGAACATCCTTCGCCGCGCCACCACCGAACGCAAACAGCGCAGAGATGAAATACGGAATCAAAACAGCCATCTTCCGTCCATAAACCTCACTCAGAGGCGCCCAAACCAGTGGTCCAATTCCAAACCCAACAAGAAACAACGAAATCCCCAACGTGGAAACTTCCGTACCGATCGCGAAATCTTGTGCAATCTCACTCACAGCAGGACTGTATACCGAAGATGCGAACGTCGCTCCCATGGCGGTGAAACCATATAACACGGTCGTAATAGCTTTCTTCTTGAATGGCCAGTTGAGAGGTCGATAAGGGTCATCTTTGCCATCGAAGTCCACAAGCACGTCCGCCAGAGTCTTTTCGTGCGTCAAAGGATGCGTAAATTGTCCTCGAGGCGCTCGCGATCGAATGGCAGAGAGGACCGTAGAAGCTGTAGTTTGTGCTCGTTCGAGATTACGAGACGTCGTTCGCGAAAGACTTGTGCTGGGGCGGCGTAGACTTCGTGGTCCTTCCATGTGTCGGCTTTCAGAGAAGACGCTCGATGTATCGGACGTATCATCCTCGTCCTCATCGGCGTCGTGTTTCTTCTCATGTGGTTCTCGCTGCTCCGATTCTGATGAAGATATTTGTTCGGCTCTGCCAAACTGTTCTTGATCTGGAACCTCTGCTGGCTCATAGTAACGTTCCGTCTCATCCGGCTGTCGAACACGATCTTGCTGAGATCGGAAATCCATTCTCGCGGAGCAGGTGAATATCGTTGCCACCAATGGTAACGATGATAGAAGAAAGCAGCCAATGTGATAGGCAGAATGCTGGAGTTGTGAAGATGTGGGTAAGTCCACAACAATCGACGCTTTCCGGTGTCATCATGATTGCGGTATCCGAGGCCAATATATCAATGGGAAGTGCGCGTACAACTTTTTGCCAAATGACGTTGAAACAATGCCGAATGCGCTGCTAAAGCCCGGCATTAACTCCTCCGCTCGGCACTGCAGCGGCCGATCACGTGAGCTCCATTGCGGTCAAAGACTCCAATGGCCGGATAGTGCGGACGAGGCACAGAGGCGTCGTGAACATGCCGCCGTTATCGGGTGCGTGTCGGACATAGATTGTACGTGTGCGGCCGAATGTCTGGTGGCAGGCCGGTGGGTGATGACATCGACGGCACGTGTGGCATGCCGATTATGCTCTCGTATGCAAAGGTCAATTAATGATGGCTACCCAGCAGTGAACAGGACACTTGACTTACCTCAGACCAACGACTTCTCCCGGTCTATCTAGCGCTTCGATCGATCAGTGAAGTGTCTGCTGTGCTGGTGTTCGTTGCAATCAAGGCCAATAAAGCGTAGTAGTGGTAGCTCTGTATACCGTAGACTAATACCCTCTTATAACACAAGGAAACGTCAGCCAGACTAGTACAATACACGAAGCAAATAAAAGTGCCAAGGCTCCATGGTATCTTTTTCACAACATCAGAATAATCCTTTCCCGTTCCGTACAGCAGCAGCAACCTTATCATAACAGAGTGTTGTAGGTGGCGACCTGAGTCGAGCGAGCGAAATGGGTCGGATGGCATGACTTGTCCAGAAACTGGTTGCAGAGGAAATGTAGATTAGTGACATTAGTAGCCAAGTCCTGCTCGCAGTGCCACAGATCTCCAGCCGTTCCCAGGTGACAGTATCGATGTCAGAGGGTACAGGCAGGCCTTCAAGACATGGCGCTGCTCCTCTGTACGCCCACCGATCATCGTACCTGTTCTTCCCGAGACCAACATGAACAACACGCTCAAAATCGAAGTCACCTCGCGTCAGGATACATTCTAGCCTCTGAGCGAGAATCCACCCTTGCGGCCCTTCTTTTCTTCGACGGGCCGTCCGCTCTCGATGCGTTGCTTCTTCTCCTCGAGCTCTTGTCGCTGTCGGTCGAGTTGCTCCTTCATCTCGCGGTGACGGGCGTAGAGTTCTTCCTCGCTCTGCTTGAGCTTGTTCTCCTTTTCTTGGACCTTCTGTTGGAAGACCATCTTCATCTCGAGCTCCATCTTTGCGAGCTTCTGCTCGTGCAGTGAGCGCTCTTCCTCTTGCTTGACCGCTGGGTTGACCTCCTTGAACACGCTAGGATCTTGGGCGACACCCATCGAGGTGAGCTTGTCGGATCGGTAGTTCTCGTACAAGGCATTGTTGGTGTGCTCCTTGAGGTCTTCCATGTGGGTCCTGATGAGCATTTGTCGCAGCTTGACAAAGTCGCAGTGCTCCTCGTTGTCGACCTCAATGACGCCCCATGGGTATCGACGACCACGAACTTTGCGTCCCTCTGGTGTTGACACCTCGGCGTTGGCACCGACAACTGCGAAAGGAACCTTGGACATGATCTCGTTGTTCTCGGCAATGGTCTCCTCGTCATCGAGCTCGTAGCGGGGGCCTTCGAAGATGGTGATGTTGTGGTAGTGGATATCGGCAAGAATCTACAATGCTGTCAGCTTGAGAGCACTATGAATGACTTTTCACGAGACTTACGCGCTGCTTGAATTGTGCAATCTCCTCATCGGTGAGAGTGTCTGCCTTGGCGATGACCGGGATGAGGTTGACCTTGGTGTGAAGTCTGCGCATCACCTCGATATCAAGAGGCTTGAGGGAGTGTCCAGTGGGCTGAATGAAGTAGACACATGCGTGGACGCGGTTGTCGACGATGTTCATGCGATTAACCTTGTTCTCGGCATCGAGATACGCGTCGAAGCGCTGTTCAATGTTCTCGACGATTGGTCGCCAAGAGTCATCGTTGTTGACAAAGTCACCGAATCCTGGTGTGTCCACCACTGTCAAGCGCAGACGCACGCCATTCTCCTCAATATCGGCTGAGATGGACTGTATGCTGACGGTCTTGGGTGCGAAGTCAAGGGATGGCTGCTTGCGCTCCTTTGGTGGGTAGAGGGAGGTGTTGAACAGCGTGTTCACGAGAGTCGACTTTCCAAGACCGGATTCACCTGCATGTCCCTTGTCAACGCTCCTTCCTCATGTGGTAGATATTCAAATCTTGCTTACCAACGACCATAACGTTGAAGTTGAAGCCCTTTCGCACACTCTTGCGATGCCACTGGTTTGGCAAGTTCGCGAAACCGACGTATCCTGTGAGTTTCCTGCGCACGATATTTCTCATGTCCGTAGCTGCTTGTGCGGCTGCTTTTGGGTCTTTCGATGTGACAGTCTGAGGCGCAGTCGTTCCGCCATTGGGGTGAGGGTTACTCGTCGCAACCAGTGGCGATGATGGCTTGCCATTCAGCACTGAGGATTCAGGAATGGGCGATGCACGAGCCGGCGGAGGCAGGATATTTCCGTTAGGAGAGGCTGCTGCGTCGAATACAGAGTCAGTTCGTTCTTTGGTGACATGCAGCTCCTTGACTGTCAGGTCCAAGCGATCGGGCGTGACGACTCGGGCGATTGATGCCGTCGCCGTGGACAGCACAATGGGGCGGCCCGGCGAGTCGTTGGTGCTGCCCGTGCGGACGCTGCTCAAGGTGGATGTGGTGGACATTGTGGGAGCGGTCCTTTCGCTGCGTGCGGCCTGCGCCGAAAATGTGTATTGATCGCCGCCGGAAGGGCGTCGCTCGCAGCGCGGTGGTGGGATGGGGCGGAAGAGGAGCGAGAAGGAGTTGACTTACCCATGGCGAGTGCGGTCGGGGTGTTTGTTGGAGCTGCTCAACGTGGGACTCCTTCTTCAATGGTTCTGTGGCAGATGGCAGTTGTCAGTCGCGGGCATCGGATGCGCGGGCGCGTGCAAAGCAAGCAGCAGGTGCAATGGTGCCGGCCGTGATGGGGGAGCTCTCGTACAAGCAATTCTGTCGGTCGTCTGGTGGTGCCGCGTGTCGTTCCACTCGCGCTTCAGGGTGCGCCGAACTGGGCTCGCGGCGCGGGATGGAGATGGAGATGGAGATGGGAGAGGATGAAGGAGGGTCGAGAAAGTATTAACAAATGAATCGTGATACTCGGCGTGGCCGGGCGCCGGAAGCTGGAGTCGGAGGGTAGGTGCTGGCTGGAGGCTGCGAGGTGGTAAAAGGCAAGAAGCTGGACGACGTTGCTGCACTTGTGCACCAGAAAGGGGACTTGGGCTACGGGACAGGGGTTTGCGCTCTAGTCTTGGCCTAACACTGCTCTACAATTTCTCCACGAACGCCCTAAACTCTGTTCCGACCTCGCGTCCACACGCCTCACTGCTATGCGCACTCCCCGTCACCATCTGCCTCCGTCGCCGGTGGAGCAGGCCTCATGTCGTACCTCTGAAGGCGCTGAAACGACCTGCATGATGCCCGCGCTGGCCGCGTCAATGGCCTTGCCGTATTCGAGCTGCAAGCTACTGTCCCATGCCGCAGCCTGCCGCGCGAGCTGGCCGTTCACACTCGATGAAATACGAACTGAGTTCCGTGGATAGGCGTTGAAAAGCTGCTTTGAGCCGCAGTCAAAGCTTACATACAGCGCGCAGAGGGTTTAAAACAAGTATCGAAGCCTCTTCTGTTCCAGATGCACCAGCGATGCCTGCAATCCACGAGATAGAGCTGTCTCAGATACTGTTGCGGCAAGTGCCAAGCTTTGGGTGGAGCACGCGGCTCAATGTCGGGAATTCACCTTGGGTAATCCTAGACGGATGTGAAGGAAGAGTCTACATGAATGCCGCTACGGTACAGCGCGCATTCGTCTATATTGCACACAAGTACTCGACCTACAATTCACTTAGAGTGACAGCACGGCATTGGCAGAGGGTGGCACTGCAGATGCAATGCATCTTGACTAAATGAGGCTCGGCACTACTTGCACCAATTAAATCCACGGGATCGTCACTCTGCATTATTCCCTTTCAATCTTGCTAGATCCTACTATACAATCTTCATACATCCATACTATCGTTGTCCCAGTTGCTCAATGACGTTGAAAGCGATATCACACGCACGAGTCAACCCAGCATACCGACCGATAGGCATCCGGAAATGTGTACAAGCCGCTGTTGCGTTGATCCGTTGGTGAGCTTGATTTCGGCTTCTCTGTCACAACGATCCCGTCTGCATACGCAACTCTGCCCCGAGCGCCATTTGGATCGATCCAAGTCGGATTGCTTCGTCCGATCGCTGTGGCGACCGCGACGACTACGCCGTGGCCGAGTGCTTGTTGAGCGCCATAGTTGCCTTCCCGGTGGCTGCAGTATTCTTGCCAAGGGTATCTGCGTCTGAGAGTGGATGTCTCTTCATCATCTGTAGTAAGCTCATAAGCATGTCCGGCTCTGTGTCTGCGGCCCTGGTCTCAACTCTCATCTACTCAGTATCTGCTCGCGCGGCGCCCAATCGTTGACCACCTCTTTCGTCCGATGCGGCCCCGGTCCATGCTTCGCAGCACATTCGCAAGCTGCTTCGCCCCATTGATGCTGCGCTGTTGGTAGCAGATCCAGTCAAGCCGGCTATGTCCCCTTTGAAATTCTAGGAATGAAATTGTCGTGCCCTGGCCCTCTCAGCAGTCGAGCCATGTAGCCCTGGACAACTGTGCTCATGCACCAATCGGCGTGCAAGGTGCCACATGCAACCACACACGGGCGTGATCTTGGGTTGGAGTGGTTATCATGTTCGGTATTCCCAGCCATTCCTCGGTCCATGAAGCGTTAACTTAGTCCAGCCAGGATAGCGCTCAATTGACTCTTGTCAAATTTCACATATTTGCCTTTGCCCTTGTCGACTTCATGGTATCTGTCCCAGAAACGGGCGTAGAGTGGCTCGATGAACATCTGAGCATCGCGCCCCAGCTGCCGCCGCACCTCAGGCTCCATCTTGAACGTTTTGTGTCTTGCAACGAGCTCGTCAAAGGATGCATTGAAGTTCTTGAACTTTTCCTTGATCGCATCCTTGTCCTTGCTTGATAGCGACTTCAAGATTGCCGAGCTGTCGACAGCATGGCCAGTCGAAGGTGGACGTGGCTGTTTTGAGGTATATTGCACGTCCAGCAGGTGTGCCGAGGGCTCTTTCCATGCATCGAGGTACATTTGCGTGGACTTCTTCTTCCATGCGTCAACCTTCGGCTGAGCGCTTCCGAGCAATGTGGCCAATTCAGATGCCCTGATCATTCTTTCGACAACTGCGATATTGTTGGCAAGGAATACACCGAGCAGACTTTTGCCTTTCTGTAGGCCACGAGCTTTGGCGTCCAGTGATGAGATCAATGTCTCGATTGTGTCTGTGGCATAATGGGCAAAAAGTTGCTTTCCATCTGCCCCAACGTCAAAAGATTTCATGGTGGGCACAGAGGATGCAGAATTGCCGGGATTACCGGGCTGATTCCATCCACCGTCCCCCAAGCTACGCATGATGCTTGCAAGAGGCACAAGGTAAGCAGCCATCGTCTGCAGTCGGGTCATGACTTCGGTTGAGATGGGTAGTGCGGCGCCATCCGCGGAAATCTGCAACATTTGGCTGACCTTGACCCGGACGTCGTTCAGCAACGTCGACAGAGATGACTTAGAAGTCTCTCTGACTGGTTTGAGCGCATCATAGACGACTTGTTTAAGCTCACTCGTGTGCTGCTCGATGGCGAGACCCATCTTTGTGACCACGTCAATGATCTCGTAGCCGAGGTAGCAGTCCGTCATCATGTGTGAACGAATGTGCGAATCAAGATCACGTAACGTGCCAGTAAAGGTCTTCATTGCTTCTTGTAACGTAGCTCGAAGGACTGCGCCCCACTCTTCCCTTTGGAAAACAGGACATATGCTGTCGTACTCGGCAACGATCATGCCTTGCAAGCCAGTTGCATAAGTCGTGATCGCACAGGTCCCCGGTCGATATATCGCATCTGCCTGTGACTTCTTCGCTGTAGAAAGTGTGGCTGAGGCAAGGTTCTGGAGAGACAACGCAATGTATTGCCCACGCTCGTGGGCATAAACTTTGCCGGAGTGTGTCAGCTCGCTCGGAGGTGCCACCTGAGAGTGGTAATTGGAGATGTTGGTGTTGATCGTCCGCAGCTGACCCGATTTGTTTGAAGATATGCGAGGAAAGTCCTGCGAAGTGGTAATCTGTTTTAACGGCTCAATGGGCTGTGAGTCTTGTCGCAGCATATCTCTGAATACATTCTCAAGGTTGCTAGCACCCGTCGCCAACAGCGAGCTCAATTCTGAAATGGCCATTTGATTTGATCGCAGATTCGTAGTCTTGAGTTCCCTCAGGGCCTGGTTCGTCCGGTCCATACTCGCGATGTACTCCGTCAAGCCTACTTTGTCTGGCCGACTCCGCAAAATGCGCTCCTCCTTATTGCGCATGTCCAAAGGTTGCTTGACCTTCTCAATGGCTTGGAGTATCCGGTCTACGTTGACATTTTGCGTCTGTAGCCTCTGGGTGTTGCCATATATGGGCCCGATCGCATCCTGCACGGTCCTGCCGGTGTCATTGAGGCGCGACATGGAGCCCTGAATCTTCTTCGACACGCTCTTCATCTTGTCCAGGCTCGCATAGAGCACTTCGACCTCCGCCGACTCCTCGGCGAAGGCTGCATGGCGCTGAGCAACCATCTTGCCGATGATGGCCTTCTGGCGGTCCCTGCCACTTTCCTCCAACGTTCACCGGATCCTCAGAGGCAGCCAGCCATGCGGTCTCGAGGACATGCAGGTCGTGTGGTGGATTTCGTAGTCGTGCTGCCTGTGATGTCGAGCGAGCTCACTGCTCGGGATATGCGCTAGCAGTGAGATGTCGAGACGGACCGAGCAGCACGCATCGTGTCGTGGACTCGTGGAGCTGCGGCTGCGGAGCTCCTGCCTGCGACACGCGCGCGGTAGCTGCCGAGAACAGAAAGCGGAGACATTGCTTGTTGCCCTCGATCAACATTTCTAGAAAACACCTCTACACAAGCGGGTATTCGATTCTGACTACATCTCTCTTCGATCCGCTAGCTTTGCTGCAGAGCTCGTATTCCGTAGTCCATTCATCAGCCCCTCCGAGTTCAGCTCGTAAGCGTGTTTCTCGCCAAGCCTGACGGATTGGGTCAGCATGACGAGGGCGCGGAAAAGTTTGGCGCGTTCCTGGCAAATCCAGGATGCCCTGTTCTGTGGACCAGACTTGACGACAACTCCACTCTCAAAGAGCTTGTGCTGGGCTTGACTTCACGTCGCGTTGTATTCCTTCTCTTCTTCACTTCTACGAGGCCCGATCATATAGTGACAGCCTTGGCCCAACGTTCACCGCTGCGGCGATTGGATATGCGACACTTTCCGAGACAGAATGCAACGCGCATGGGTGTCGTTGCGCAGATCCAATGCCAGACTGCTGGGTTATAGTGCGGCAGGCGCTTCTTGCGCGTTCCTCGGTCATCAACAATGGCAGAGCCGGCATAGACCTATCCTGCTAGACAGCAAGACCAAATGGCCAAACAGGACTGGAGCTGGCGACAACGACCATTCGATCACTAGTGATGAAACTCCGTTGCGTGAGAAGTTCAAACGCGCCGCACAGATTCAAGCTGGCGAGGTCGAAGATAGCGATGAGAACCAGAGCAATCCACCTCCACCTCCTCAGACCAAAGGTCATTCATTATTTAATGAGGAAGGGGATGCACCAGATGTCTTTCAAACAGCGTGGCAATCAGCTTCTGGCAAGCTTGTGGCTGTGGGCGAGTCAGTTTCTGGGCTGGACCTCAGTGGCCTGAAGAGTGCTATCATTGGCTTTGTGGTACCTGGATGGCTGAGAGAACTGCCAGACCTGTTGACCAAATTACAAAACGAGCTTTCTATGGCACCTTGGTCACTCAGTTGGGAAATCTGGGAAGAGGCTCACGACCCGGTTATCAACCCTGAGATTTTGTGGGACGCCAACGTACGGATATCAGAGCAGCTTTGTGTAGAGGAGCAGGACTTCCTTGCGAAGCGCAAACAGCACACGGCGAAAGCACTTGCGCGATATCTGGAACTATCAGAATCGGAGGTGCATCCAGAGGATGTGCCTACAATAGCTCTTTGCGGATCTGGTGGAGGTCTGCGTGCGCTCGTCGCCGGCACATCTTCCTACTTATCTGCCCACGAGTCGGGGCTTTTCGATTGTGCCGCATACACCGCCGGAGTCTCTGGAAGCTGCTGGTTGCAGACTCTGTACTACTCATCAATAGGCAACTTGAGCCACCAGAGCATCATCGACCACTTGAAGTCTAGGATCGGTATTCACATTGCATCGCCCACTGCCGCTCTGACTCTCTTCAACCAGGCGCCAACCAACAAATTCTTGCTCAGTGGTTTTGTAGAAAAGCTGAAAGGTGTCCCGGATTCCGATTTTGGTCTTGTCGATGTATACGGACTGCTCCTCGCGGCGAGACTGATGGTGCCCCGTGGCGAACTGGACGTGGATTACTACGATCTCAAAGTCTCAAACCAGAAGTATTACACAGAAGAAGGTTTGCAGCCTCTACCGATTTACACTGCGGTGCGACACGAGATCCCAGACGCACCCGCAGACTTCCGCAGCCAGGCGAAGGAGGCCAGATTTACGACCAAACACTTTGACTGGTTCCAGTGGTTTGAATGGACACCGTACGAATTCTTCTGCGAGGAACTCAATGCTGGCATCCCAACCTACGCTATGGGTCGGCGGTTCGAAGCCGGCAAGACCGTCTGGAAGGAGAACGGGCTGTGTCTGCCAGAGCTGCGGGTACCACTTATGCTTGGTATTTGGGGCTCTGCCTTCTGTGCAACTTTGTCTCACTACTACAAAGAGATCAGACCTATCATCAAAGCAGCAGGCTTTGGTAAGCTTGACTCCGTTTTGTCGCAGAAGGACGAAGATCTCGTCAAGGTCCACCCAGTCGATCCCGCCGTGATCCCAAACTTTGTTCTTGGGCTCCAAGACAAGCTGCCGGCAGCGTGCCCCAAGAGCTTACATGAGTCCGCACATCTCCAGCTCATGGACGCAGGCATGTCTAACAACCTGCCCATCTACCCCTTGCTGAGACCCGGTCGAGACGTGGACGTCATCGTTGCATTCGACGCATCCGCAGACGTCCGAACAGACAACTGGATCAAAGTCGTCGACGGTTACGTGCGCCAACGGAACATCAAAGGCTGGCCTATGGGCGCAGGCTGGCCTCCAGCGGGCGAGTCGACGACAGAGATAAGCCAGGACATGCAACTTGCAGAAGCAGCGGCGGTAGCGCACGCCCCAAAGACTCTGGATGCAGCACAGAGCGGTCATACTACCAACATGGAGGAGCTAGGACCCTGTACAGTCTGGGTCGGCACGAAACAGGAACGTGAAGAATTTATGGAAGACCCGCCCACGAAACGCCTAAAACACGACGCCTCCGATGACTGGCATATCCGCGATCCAGACGCGGGCATTGCCCTAGTCTACTTTCCTTTTCTTGCAAACGACAAAGTCCCAGATGTTGATCCTATGAAATCCGAATTCATGAGTACGTGGAATTTTGTGTACACGCCTGACGAGATCGACAAAGTTGTGCAGCTGGCGAGGGCAAATTTTGAAGAAGGGCAAGCGCAGACAAAGAGGGTGATTAAAGCTGTGTGGGAGAGGAAGAAGGCTGCGAGGTTGAGAAGAGAGAAGGAAGAATTGGATATTAGGAGATCTGCTAGAATGCAGAGGGGTTCCGCTCACAGATGGCGGAACGCTGATCATGGTCAGGGTGATCAGTTTGGTGGTGTATGATTGGCATATTTCGCTGCAAAGGAAAGCAGTAGTTGGTTGAGATTGTTATTTGTATAGACGAACGTATACCCCAGATTTACTATTGTGAGACTTGCACGACGACCTCTGGTGTATCCCTGGACTATTCGCTACAATGTCCCGGCTCCGAATAAGATCGACGAGCACGAGCACTGCGGGAGACGGGTGAGCGAGGCACGGAGAATGGGCCGGGGACGTGAAGTGTTGTACATCGGCCACTGTATGGTGGAGCTCTCTTTGACAGCTATGTCTCATGCTGACATTACCTCAAAACGCCGCGCTCAAAAATGCACTACCTTCAAACCTTTTCGCATGTCCACCGAAGTCCCAGGTGCTCTATCGTGAATTTCTACCCAAGCACTATCGCCGTCCGTTGATCTCCTCCCAAGCCTCGTATTCCTTCCTCACGTCCTCCAACTCCCGGTTCAAGTGCTGTAATTGCCCGTCATAGTCCTTGAGAATCTTTCTCGTTTTCGCTAGAACATCTGCGGGCACGCCCTGGTTCCCCGCCGCTCCATTTTGCTGCCCTTGCGATGCATTCTGTGAGTCGACCTGTGCGGCTACTCTCTTCCCTTCTTCCTCCAGCCAACGCGCTCGCTCGCGCAGAGCGACCATTCTCGCCCAGATCTCATCCTCTCTACCAATGAACGATGGATCGGCGACTTGGCGTTCTAGACTCAGAAGTGTCTTTCGCAGACCTTCTTCTTGCGCGTCGAGCGCATAGCCACGGTTTCGAAGCACTTGGACTTTGACCGCTAATCGTAGACAGCGTTGTGACAGAACCTGATGTTGTCGCTTCGCAGCTGCAATTTTGACTGTTATGCGTTGCTGATGCGCATCCATGACGGCTGAAAGGGAGTTGTTCATCTCGTGCAATCTTGACCTCATCTCCTGCACAATCTTGGCTTGCGTCTCGACGCGATCTCCCAGTGCCTTGAAGCCCACCACGAGGATTGGCACATATGACTGCCCTGTAACCTCCTTATCATCGATCTTGGGTAATTCGGGCTTTTGGCTAAGGGCCTCTTCCCAGCTCTTTTCATCTTCGCCGCGGTTGAAGTCAGGATAGAAGAATGGAGCGTATTCCTTTGGCACGGCATTGTACAAATACGTCTGCAGTACCGTCGTCCGTCGCGAGTTTGTCTGGCTGTTGGGGTCTTCTCGAATGTCCGGATTCCACTTCTTTACTACAGTCAGGATTTGGTCGGAAATCTTCTTCTCATTAGGAACAGTCGACGCGCCGCTGAATTGGAGACGTTGTAATTGTGCATTGGTCATGGTGTGGCCTAGCCCACCGACCGTGACGGTCTGTGGGTTGAAGACGGATGCATTCGCCACTGGTCCCTGCTGCTGCTGCTGTTGTTGTTGTTGACTCTGCCCGGCATTTGCAAAGAGGCTTCCTGTGTTTTGATTCTGCTGATTCGTGTTCGAGGTACTCGCGCCGAAGAGGGTAGTATTCGCTGGGGGCTTCGCGAAAAGTGAAGTGCTGCCGCTCTGGTTCTGATTCTGGTTTCCGAATAGCGATGTCGAATTGTTATTGTTAGCTGCGTTGCCTCCACCAAAGAGTGATGACCCGGCATTATTGGCATTGTTCGTGTTCGTAGCACCGAATAGTCCTCCCCCTGTGTTACCGCTCTGATTTTGTGTGGTATTCGTGTTCCCAAACAGCCCACCTCCGCCAGTGTTGCCGCTCTGTGCTTGAGTGTTGTTGTTGCCAAAGAGTCCTCCGCCTGCAGTATTTGTGTTCGCAGCCGTACTTGACCCGAAGAGTCCTCCAGTGGTGGCATTGCCCGTCGTCGCAGTGTTGTTGGACCCGAAAAGGCCGCCTCCGCCCGATGTGTTATTGGTATTGGCCGTGCTGGCGCCGAACAGTCCTCCGCCGGTGTTGCTACTCTGGTTCGTGTTGGTGTTGCTGCCGAACAGGCCTCCTCCCGTGTTGCTCGCTGGCGCTGTGCTCGATCCGAAAAGGCCACCACCGCCTGTAGTTGTGTTGTTGGCGTTTCCGCCGCCGAATAAGCTCATTGTTGATGATACTCGAATGCGCCGTCTCTATGTAGATCTTCCGTGATCGTTGGGTCCAATGATGGAAGCGGAGGCAATAGGATGAGGGGCGCTGGAAGAGCAGAAGACGGCGACCAAGGTATAGGCGATGGAAAGGCAGCAGAGTCGTGTGCTGACGGGCTCCCCTTCACTCGCTGTGTCGCGCACTTCGCGAAGCTTTGAAGCTCGACGAGAAACGCGCTTCAACCGTGCATATGCGACACCGCCACATGTTCAGCCACAGCGCAAGCCTCAAGACCAGCTCGTTCGCGACCTCACATCCAGCACCGCTCCACTCAGCATCACCACCCATTGCCCGCCCAACACCGCCGCCATGTCGGGCAGACAACCGCGGTATGCATCTACGGACTATCAGCTAGGCGAAGACACTGACACAATCGCGCAGCTTCAATCAGCAAGTCCTCATCGACACCACTCCCCTGCCGGACTCAATTCCTAAAGTCGAAGAAATCGGCGCCTCGTCTGCCCCGCTGCTCTCCGCGTCCTTCTTCATTGGCGCACGCTGCAAGTCTTACAATGATGACTTCATGCACTGCAAGACGGAAGCCAATGGCAAGGGCGAGTCGGAATGTTTGAAGGAGGGAAGGAAGGTCACACGATGCGCTGCCTCGGTGCTGGACGATATCAACAAGAGCTGCTTGGACGAGTTCAGGAAACACTGGCAATGTCTGGACAACAACAACCAGCAGCTTTGGCAGTGCCGAGGGCTGGAACGGGGCCTGAACAAGTGTGTGTTTGAGAAGCTGTGCGTACCATTCCTACAACCCCCGGGACTGGTGGGTGGATGAGACACTGACATGGAAACAGAAACTTGGAGAAGAAGATTCCCGGTGCGCCTGAGAACGAGGTACCGGTTCATCTGCGAAAGAGGCAGATATATGCTCACTCCATTTTCGGTAAGTGAAGGTGGACTGAACTATGGGATACATCACTGACATGAGTCTAGGCCAATAGATGTGTACAGTACAGAGCAAGAGCGCCCGCCTACAACAAGGCTGATTATGATATGCTTTTTACAATCCATCAGTGCGCATATTTGCTGGATTTTCCAGCGGAGCTGCCAACTTCCATTTCGTGCTCGTCGCCCAATTGTGCTACGCCCTGACTGACAATGAGGAGTGACGTCCCATGCAGCCATTGATTGCTTACGTATCTTCAACAGTATCAACCATCCGCTGCTGTCTATGGATTATGGCTTGCCCCTGTTTGCCAGCAGTCGAACGAGCAGCGTGGTCCTGATGCCGCCAGATCTATATGGAGAGCCACCTTCGGAGGCGGTACCGACGCAGCGAAATATAACGATGCACATATCGACATCTCAAATCTTTCAAAGCTGATGACTTCGAGAAACAATCTTGACAAAAGCCTCGAGACTGGATGTACTCTCAGGTACGCCATCGAATACGGACCGCGTGGGGTGTGGAATCACCACTGTTTGTGCACTCCAGTTCTGGGTTCCGACGAGCTTCCGAGGCAATCCCGGGAAGATTCGCCCACAAAGCCCCTGTTCGATACATTCTGAGCGATAGACGAACTCGACTCTGCGTTCGCCAGCGCAGCAATGCTCCCAGCATCACTGATCGTCTTGCTGTTTCCCAACATGGTGAGGACGCTCAGTAACTGTGCAACATCCCATTTGGTATCGAAGCGCGACCCAAAGACGAGTGGCTTACCGCGATCACCGGACCAGTCTCGCAAGACATTCCCACCAGCAGCAACTGGCGAGGGAATCGACGGTCAGGTGAGGACCAACACACGCGGCCGCGACTCGTTTCGCGCGGTGAGCGTTGAGAGTCGTCCTTTGACAGCATACACTCTGTCATCTACATACGCCAATTCAAGGAATATAAGCTCAAGAACCTTTGGGAGCTCTCCTGCCAATCAGCTGCCCTCAGCTGCCCTCAGCCGACTGCCAAAATGGTCGAAGATCCCCAGTGAGTGAGATATTCCATGCTAGCCGATCTCCGAAGGCAGGTGACAGACTGTATGCCCTACACAGGCAAAACCAGCAGCAAACCAAATGGCTGGGCCAAAGCTTTACTGGAGCTTTGCTGAAGCTTGCTCAAGCTCTGGCTACAGGCCTCAAGCTAAGGTACCGGATGTTGGCGGTTCGCAGGTAGCTGGAGGATATGCGCGGCTATGGTCCGTATATCGAAGTATACAGGTTATACTGATGGATGTGCACTCTTGGCGTTTTCAGAATTCGGACAAAGTGAAAGTTTGTGCTGCAGCTGTACCCCTGTCGTGCCCGAGTTGAGAAGGTCACTATTCTTAGTCGGAGGGTTCGGGCACTTCAAGCTTCACATGGGTACAGGACCAACACAGAACGATACTCGAATCAACGGCGCGGAATGCTGTAAGGCTGACCAGGCCACCGAACTCTTCTGCTAATTCTGCCAAACGGCGTTTTTCGAGCCTGTCGAATGAGGCTATTCTCGCGACCGGCTGGCAAGGCTCCTGGTTAACACAACGGCATCGACGACATCGACTTTTGGGTATAGCCGAATCCATCCGTGAGCGGAACAACAATGCACTGAAAGTCAACTAATGTTAGCATTGTGTTTGTGAACTGACAGAAACCTTCGATAGAGATGGGTGGGCGAGTTGGTATAAGAATGGCCGTCGCCAACGCCAGACAAGAGCATCAAGCAACACAAGCCTCTTAGCATCTTAGCAACAGAAGCACCAGTTTCCTATCTGCATCTCCTCGCATCTCAAGGCCGGGCCTTCCGAAGTCGAACAGTTTCCCTTGAGCACTTCCAACCAATCACAAGGAATCAAGACAAGACCGACCACCAGCAAACATGCAGCTCAAGGTCGCCACCATCCTCCTCGCCTCCACCGCCATCACTCAGGTCGCAGCTGGACCAATGCCATTGGCGTTCCAGGACGGCTTCAAGCATCTGCAAATTTGAGACGACCAAGCCGTACAGGCCCAGGCTGCCGCCGCGCAACAAGCAAATGCCAATGCTGCTCAATTGCAGAATGCCCAGGCAGCTACCCAAGACACTCAAAAGACCGACGCTACACAGGTGCAAGACGCCGCTGCTCAACAGGCCAATGCCAACGCGGCTCAGGTGCAGAACGCCCAAGCTGCGACTCAGGACACTCAAAAGACCGATGCTGTCCAAGCTCAGAACGCTGCTCAGCAGCAATCCAACGCCGACACCGCCCAATTGCAAAACGCTCAAGCTGCCACAAATGGTCAAGCTACAGCACAAGACGCTCAAAACGCCAACGCTCAGAATCAGAAAGACGCTCAGCAGAATCCGGACGCAGCGAATAACAAAGATGCAGCCAATGAGGAAGACCTCAGCATCGGACTTGGGCTCGGACTGGGCAATCTCCTCAACATCGGCGCGAACGTCAACATTGGTGGATCAGGCTACCGGCCCTGGCGCCCCTGGTCCGGAACTTCTTTGTACAGTTACGGGTATTCAGGCTGCTACTCGACAGCTTGCTACGTGCCTAGGCGTTGCGGTTATTGTCTCTACTAAAGAAGTCGGTCTAATGATACAGGAAGGGGACAAGTAGCGGTTGGTTTCAAGTGGGGAAATTGGAAGACTGTACGACGCAATGACGACGATAATGATGGGTTTACGAAAACTGTAATGACGATCTGGTCTCACGATAATGCGGATGGCTTGCATACATCGGTGGCAAAATGGGCACTGGGCGGGACGGGCTTCGGGTCGGGAAAGCATTGTGTAATTGGGATATTGAAAAAGGCAAGAAGGGAGACTGATAGTAACGGTCAACTCACAAATCTACAAAATTTTCTCTCGTTCAAGTCTCCAATCGCGATCAGCCTCAGCTTTCATCTATCTTCTGCTGGGTATAGTCTGTTTTTGTCTTCCCATCTGGTGCAAGACTACCACGCGATCAAAGAGTGAGATCTACGAAAATTTGAGCGCCGCCCATAACAGTGAAATAGAGGCAGTGTGCAAGTCCACAGAAGTACTCAAGTCAGCACTACAATAACACAGGCTGGCGGCAAAGATCTGAAAAGACGAGGTCGTCGAGCTTGTCGACCAATCCTCTCCTCAGTTCAGGGCTTCGACGGCTTGCTAGACGGTACGTTATATTCATCGCCTACACGCAGACTTGCATTGTCTCTTCCTCCTTGTAGCCAAAGTTCCCCCAATCGCCCATCCCAGCGCAAAGTCTATCGTCTGAACTCTTCCCGTCTGCGGGACTTCATGCGCAGCACACCTAACATACCCCGACGCTTGATCTCGCGCAAGACCAACAGCCCCGCCGTCTTGTGGGGGCATGTGCAGCGGACGGCGATGACTGCTTGGTGCGTGTGGATTGAGACACCGAATTCAATAGCCATGAATACGGAACCAGCACAGATGCTTTGCTCATCAGATCGACGGCGCTCGCAATGGTACTCAAAGCGTCTCGATGCATCTTCGTTTCGAGCGATAGTCCGAGCCTCATTTGATCACTTGGTCAGCAATATAAGCGCTGGCAAAGTCCATCCCTGATATTTGCGTCTGAATCTGGTCAATCTCCTTCGAGATTTCTTCGACGTTGGAAGACAGTGCCGAGACTTCATCGAACTTTCTTCGTTTGTTGGCCTCCGCAATCATTTCCGACACCATGAACTTTTGTTCTTCAAGCACGATTAAGCGTTGCTTGAGCTCTTTCTCTTCAGCTTCTAGAGCAGTGACAGCTTCGGAGCTCATGCTGCTAGCTCGGCTACTACCTGGTCGATGTGCGCTGCCGTTGGCGATCGAATCGTACTTGATGGTGGCCAGTGCACCCTGCGGCTTGCCATTTGCAGCTGTTGGTGGCTGCCTTAACCCATTTGGTGTCGCATGCTTCATGATCTTTGGTAGGCTCTTCAGCGGTAGCATATGAATATGCAAGAAGTTGGAGGCTTGCATATAAATAGCCTTTTGCAAGCGTTCCTGTGTGGGACTTTCCGTAGGCATATCTCGTATCCGTCGTGCGGCGACATCATACTGTGTGAAAGCCTCCGTGAGTCGCTTGCGCACCTTCGATGCATCAGCGAGCTGTGCTGGTGACGGAGGGTTCTCAGGGTCTTGCAAAGGCCCAAGCAGTCGCTGGAACTTGGGCAACAATAGGCGTATGCCTTGCTCGAACTGTATGAGGTTGTTATATGCACGCTGGTCCGGTGTTGTTTGGTCCAGTTCCCGCGCGAAGTCGGCTTTACTAAAAATCGTCCGTTGACAGTCCCTACACATCCGTACATCAACTGCTACCTTTTCGGCACCATCTTTTTCTGATATGACGTTAGCCGCTGCCCAACATCAGCAAAGTTAGGAGATCTGCAGGAGATAACTTACTGGTTGCCACATCAAGACCTATCTCTGTAGAACACGATGTAGCTGGATCTCCGCAGACGACTCGCCCACAGATTCGGCAATGATGCCTCCGGAAAGTATACTGTGAAAATGGCTGATGGCAAAACGGGCACTCCACAACCTTCGTGTCGTCTTCCCAGGGTACAACAGACTGCTCCAAAGCTCGGATTTGGGATTTGTTGCCAGCGATAGATGACCAGAGATACGTGCTTGCTCTGTTGTTCTCCTCGGCAGGGGGTGGCGGATCGGCAAGTAATTGTGTGAGTCTCGTCAGTCTGGTCTCCAGTCGGCTCGTTTCGAGGTACTGCTTGTCGACAGTCCTTCGCCGCACCTTGCTAAAGAAATCGAAATGGTTCCTCTCCAGACCGTGATGATCATTGTAACCAGGCCTGCTCTTGTAGCACGTCTCACATACTCGGCACCACAAGCCACGCACTGGCTCGTGCTGTGCAGACCGGGATAGCTTCATCTGGTACATGGTATGCTCCTCGCAAAAGAGTCTGCCGCAGTGCCGGCAATTGATCTGGCCATTGGCAGCTCCTAGACGCTTCCCGCACATCGGATCTGAACAGGCATCGTTCCCTCGAGGCCGTTGCCAATGTGCTCGAGTGACCACCTCGTCTGGGTCCGGAGCTTCCTGCACCTTGGGCACAGGTGCTGGTGCTGGCGACGCATCGCGACTGCTTGAGGCGATCCGTGGAAGTGCAGACGGAGCTGCAATCTCGTTGTTGGATTCGAATACCTCTAGCCCTCTCAACTTCTGATTGATTAGGGCAAGCGGCTGGAACTTTTTGGCCTTTGTCATTTGTTGCTTGAACCAGTCTTGTGCTTCCTGTTGCTCAATACGTTCGAGATTGGCGTGATTATCGTCAATATGCCTATGCCTTCAGTCAGGCGGGTTCCCATCGCTGACAAGTAGCCCTCCTGGAAGCGCGTACCTACCTATTCAACTGAAGAAGAGTGACCTACTGCGGTCAGTCATCTGGTGTCCCAATATTCGATATTGCCTCTACGTAGCATACCATCTCTTCATTGCAAATGGGGCAGACCATGCGGTTGGTGGCCGCAGCTGCCTGTTGAGCCACGCCATCGGTGTCAAGAGCTACTCGCGAAGTAAGGTCCTCGGTGTCGGTCGTGATGGGCGTACTCGAGGCGCGGGAGCTGAGGGATATCGAGCTATTCGACGGTGAGAGCAGGGCGGGTCTCTGAGCCAGCTGCCCATTCTTGGGCGGCGCGGGCGACGCGGACGGTGTCGCTGGGGCGAGATTCTTGCCGCTCCCTAGCACTCGACCTCCGCCCAGACTCCGACGCTGGGCCATGTTGGCAGGTTATCATGAGACGGGAGACTCCTCGTCCGGTCTGCCATCCATGCTGGGCCGGCGCGCAAGTCGGATGTGCTGGATGATCCTCCCAAGAACGTGAAGCCGGTGGGTGGGCTGCGTCAGTGCCTGAGGAGCAGCAGCTACTGAACGAAACGTGGGGCTAAGCCGGCGAAGTGAAGCGCAACAAATCAGCTCCGAGTAAGATAAGATTATACCAATTGAGAAGTCAATACAACAAGTTCAGACGAAATAGATAGAACGAAGAGGCTCACAATCGCATCCCTATCCAACGCCTCGCTGTGTATATCTAACTTAAGCAGAGAGACAACCCGTCTTCACACAACGCACGCCCAACCAAAACTACCATCAAACTCCCAAGGTGGCCCACGTATATCCGTGAAACTCGGCACCCGATTCTCAGCATAATATTCCAACAACCGCTCCATATCCTCTTCTTCCATATCACACAAATCCTCCAAACTCCACTGCACGCAAACCTTCGACATCCACCCCATCCTCTTCGGCCCAGCCTCAACCTCCGGCACCATCTCCCTCAATTTCCTCCTCAGCTTTCCCACCTTCTTAATCGCATCTCCCATATTCGGCGGCAAACTGCTCGCGATCCGCCTCCTGACAATATTCGCCATCTTCGGCCCATTCCCATTCGTGCTAACCATAATCTGTAACGGCCCATCGCGATGCACAGATCCAAAATAGAAATCGCATTCCGGTGGTACATCTGCAATATTCGCTGGGATTCTCTTTTGTTTGCAAAGTTTCCATAACCGACTACTCGCGTCCGGATCATCGATTGCAACAAGCACCATACTGATCTCTGGATCGTCGAGATCCCATGGCTGGAATACGCGAGGGATGTATTCGACCTGTTTCTGCTCGACGCGGTGTGCGACTTCGGGGTTCAGGCCATCGCGTGGGGCGACGAGGAGCACTTTTGCGTCGGCGTTGAGGAGATTCAGGATGCGGCCGGCTGCTACCTGGATTGTTAACATCAATATGTATGCGCAAAGGGAGAGAGTGTCGCGTGGGCTCGTGCAACTCACCTCGCCGCCGCCAACGACGAGTACTTTCTTATTCCGAACTTGCCAGGCGAGGATCAGCGAACCGCCGCCCTCGACTTGGGGAAACTCTTCTTTTGCCATGTCGATTTGTGCAAAGGATGTGGAAGCGTGGGAGGTGAAAGGAAAGAAGCTCAATGCACGATTGTCCAGCGATAAGGCCGGAGAAAGTCAAAGCATCCGTGAATATTGATGACGGAATCCTGCCTTAGCACATCGGCCCTGGCTCCGCCCATTTCAAGCCTGTGACAGCTTCTGAGTTCTGGACAATATTTCGAGCGACATTCATCACAGTCAACGAGAGTTGGTATCAAAGATGAAAAAGGTCATTGCGTCATTACAAATGCATGATGGATTGTCCTGCCCGCCTGTACTTGGTCTTTCCTTTACTTTTTGTGTTGAGGTCGCTCAGCCGGTCCCCACGTCCGACACCTGCAGCCTTTGCTTCTGTTCGGAGCGCATTCAGTTTATCGAACTTCCGTTCGAGTCTTTTTAGGGCTCTGTAGCGGTCCTAAGCGCCATTGGCTTTCGGTGGCAGAGGCTCGACGTTCCAGATCATCTCAGCATATTCGTCAATGCAGCGGTCGCTGGAGAAGAAACCCATTCTGGCAACAGAAGTGATCGTCTTGGTCAGCCACTCTTCTTGGTTCTTGTACGCCTCATCGATGAGATTTTGAGTGTCAACGTAGCTCTTGAAGTCATCGGACACGAGGTAGTAGTCGCCGTGATCGACGATCGAGTTGACGAGAGCCGAGAATTGACCAGCGTCACCGAAGCGACCCTCCTTGATGGTCTTGAAAACGCGCTCCAGCATAGGGTCAAGGTGGAATTCGGAGTAGAAGTGAGAGTGACGCAGGTCTTCGACATCTTCCGCAAGGTTGCCAAACAGGAAGATGTTGTCTTCACCAATCTCACGGGTGATTTCGATGTTGGCGCCATCGCAAGTGCCAATGATAAGGCCACCGTTGAGGACGAACTTCATGTTGGAAGTACTGCATCAATGTTAGTCAAGCTTTTCATCCTCTGAAATCTGATGTGTCAATCACTTACCCCGAAGCTTCAGTTCCAGCAGTCGAAATGTGCTCTGAAATGTCGCTGGCTGGCACAATGATCTCCGCCTTGGAAACGTTGTAGTCTTCCAAGAAAACAACCTTGAGCAGATCTCCAATATCCTTGTCGTTGTTCACGACTTGGCTGACTTGATTGATCAAATGAATGACAGTCTTTGCCATCCAGTATCCTGGTGCAGCTTTGCCGCCGAAGATGCTGACACGAGGCTGTACCTTCTTGCGATCCTCAGGCGACATCTCCTTGAGCTCCAGATAGCGGTGAATCACACCAAAGATGTTCAGCTGCTGTCTCTTGTACTCGTGCATACGCTTCACTTGGATATCAAACAAGCTTGCTGGGTTGACTGTGATGCCATTCGTCTCTTTGATGTACTTGGCCAAGCGGACCTTGTTCGCGTACTTGATCTCTTGGAACTCCTTGCGGAAGTCCTTGTCATCAGTATAAGCCTCAAGCTTGTTGAGGAGAGTAAGGTCGCTGAGGAAATCGTGGCCTCCAAGCTTACTGGCGATCAGCTCAGACAAGCGTGGGTTGGCTTGGTGAAGCCATCTGCGTGGAGTAATTCCGTTGGTGACATTAGTAAACTTGTCTGGGCCGTAAATCTTCACGAAGTCCTTGAAGATAGTGGTCTTGATGAGATCGGAGTGCAGCTCAGCGACACCGTTGACCTTGTGCGAGCCAATAACTGCGAGGTAGGCCATGCGAACCATCTTTGGCTGCGATTCCTCGATAATCGAGACACGTCCAAGCATGTCTCGGTCCTTTGGAAAGTTCCTTTCTACGTACTGCAGGAATTGGAGGTTGATGTCGTAGATGATTTGGAGATGACGTGGGAGCAAGTGCTGGAGGAGTGGTACGGACCACTTCTCGAGGGCTTCTGGAAGCACGGTGTGGTTAGTGTAGCCAAAGGTCTTCTGCACAATGCTCCATGCGTCGTCCCAGTCGAGGCCTTCTTGGTCAATCAAGATACGTTGGAGTTCAGGAATGGCGAGGGTCGGGTGGGTGTCGTTGAGCTGAATCGCGACTTGGTTGGGGAACTCCTTCCAGGCCTTCTTGGACTTTTTGAATCGACGGACAATGTCAAAGAGCGATGCAGCACACCAGAAGTATTGCTGCTTCAGACGAAGCTCTTTACCACGCTCCAGGCTGTCGTTAGGGTACAACACGGCGGAGATGGTCTCAGCGCGCTGCTGATCCGCGACGGATGCTTCATATTCTCCAGAGTTGAACTTGGTGAAATCGAACTCGCCTCCCGAAGCCTTGCTAGACCACAGACGAAGGTTGTTTGTTGTCGATGTGTTGTATCCAGGGACCGGAGCATCGTATGCAACAGCAGTGACGATCTCGCCATTCTCCCACACGCTAATTTGCTTGCCATTCTCGTCTGTGTACTTTCTCACATTTCCGTAGAATTGAATGTCCACAGTGACATCGTGTCTTGGGAATTCCCAAGGATTGAAGTCGAGCCAGTAGTCTGGAATCTCGACTTGGTATCCGTCAATGATCTCTTGCTTGAAGATACCGTATCGGTAGCGCAGGGCGTAGCCCCAGGCGGGGTAGTTGAGAGTGGCGAGGGAATCGAGGAAGCAGGCAGCGAGACGGCCGAGACCGCCGTTGCCCAGAGCTGCATCACGTTCTTGGGAGATGATGTCCTCCATGCGGAATCCCAAGTCGTGCAGACCCTCTGTAAACAGGTTGTCAGCCTTCGCGTGTATACAGTTCGCAAATCGACATACCTCTAGCGACATCTTTCATGCCAGTGTTGAGCATGGCATTGTCAAGGGCTCGTCCCATCAAGAACTCCAATGAGAGATAGTAGACACGCTTTGGATCAGCGTAGGTCTGGTTTTGCTGTGTCCTGTTCCACTCGATGATCAAACGATCTCGGAAAGCTAGGGCAGTGCCCGAGTATGCTGCAGCCTCATCGCAGTTGAAGAGCGATCTGGCGAGAGTAGTCTCGATATGTCGCACAACATCTCTGTCAAATTCGTCCTTGGACTTGAACTCGGACGCGGACTGTAGTTATTTCCATTAGCGATTGCTTGCGTGTTAGCGAAGATCAGGAAGTGCTTACGTATTTTCTCCATGCCTCTCGCTGTGGCTCTGGGATGCTCGCCTCCACGCTCTTGATCTCTTGAGGACCAAAGCCAGTGACGGTTCGCTTGTGCTTTGGCCTCGAAATGCCAGACGGCCCAACAGGTCCCTGGAAGTCCGTGATCGGCGCCGATGAGGATGGCTTTCTCTCGCGAGTGGGCTTCGCGTCGTTCGTAGCCGCTGCTGAAGCCATGATGGGCATAGATGAAGCAGAGTGCTGCTGTGAGATCAACCCCGCTCAAGTCGTTGGCAGTCAATGGTCCTGCCGAAGAGACTGTCGAGGAAGTGATTGAAAAATCGAGGAAGCTGTATGTTTACAAAGGACCTAGCTCGAGCTCAAGATTGGCGCCATTGCCTGCAGGTCGTTCAACGCGTTGCAAGTGCTTACACGTCGCAATTGGTGGTACTGCCATGGTGGATGGCGGGGTAAGAGCTCACCGCGGGCGGGAGGCGGTGACGACTGCTCCATCGATGATTGACGCCGATTGACATGGACCTTGGAAGGTTATTTTGAGTGCTCAGCACGCGGTGCGGAGGGCGCTATGGCGAGCGGAGGCACATGCAGACGGCAGACGGCGTGTCATTGGACGTGCGACAACCATGGCTCGACTGAACTCCGTCGCTTCGGCGCTTCTCCAGATGCCCAGCCGTCTCGAGGCGCTCAGCAACGGAGTTCTGGGCTCGTTTGGGGGACATGGATCCACTTCCCATGCATTTTCAATGCAAGCATCTCGTGTGCAGACAGCTGTGGAAGCATCACGTCCTCGTCAGCGGCTGCACAATGCTGCAGGATTGTGGGCATGAGCCTCAGCTGAGCTGTGGAGTAGGTTTGTGCAAGGGGAAATTGGCCATTGTGCTTGACTCGGCATGCAGTTGGATATCAGATGGGCAGGCACAGTGGTTGAAATCGACGTGCCAAGCAGCACGCGGCAGAAAACGTGGTTGCTCCAGCACAAGTACCTCCTAGAGCTCACACGATATAGCTCATGCGGCTTCTCATGTGCATCTAGTCATTGGTGAGACGGTGTACAGCTCTCACTACCCATGCACATCATACCAATCAATCGTTCACAAACTGCAGAATCGAAACTGTGGTCTTTGGCAATCAAACGCTTCAACTTCACCTCCTGGCCAAACGCACAGCCGCGAGGTTCTCGCTCAGGTAGTCTATCACCTGATGCCCAACATGTCCTTGGTTGTAGAGGTGTTGAGTGAGGCCCTTGACCAACGCGATCTGCTCATCAGCCGAGAGACCAGTGATTGCTGTCTCCAAGACTCCGCCCACGCTCGCCTTGTGTTGAGCGATGAAGCTCTGGTAGTACATGAAACTGAAGAAACCCATGATGAACTGGCAATCCATCCTGTCCGTCATGCCTCCGTGTCCCGGAATCGAGTCGCCGAAGTCCTTGATGTTGAAGGTGCGCTTGAGACCTGAGGCGAAGAAACCGCCGAATGGCGCTATCAGGGATGCAAAGGAAGCCAGTACAATGATGTGGAATTGAATCGGCGAGATCACCACGGTCTGCGGAAGGAAGTCCCAGCTGTGTGGAATGAATGGCAAGAAGTAGGTGTGCGCAATGAAGACTGGGTTGGGGTCACACTCGAGGCCGGTGAAAATGTTCGCTCCGAGGTCGTTAACCGGGCAAATGAAGTATTTCGATCGCATGAGGATGTTGGTGAAGAAGAAGCCCAGGAGGATGGTACAGATCCACGCACCGACAAATCCTGTCAGGTGATTAGTATATGCGCGACAACCACCACAGATGAAGCCTCTTCTTCGTACCTTCGACAGTTTTCTTGGGACTGAGCTTGATCAATTGTGTCCGGCCAAAAGTAATTCCGCAAATGTATGCAAAGATATCATTGATGATGACCAAGCTGACAGGCAGGAAGAACCAGATCATGCCTTCGAAGATGTTGTTCATAATGAAATGTGCTTGGACCACAATCAGGTAGAGGGCCATATGGGTCCAGGCATACTGTGTGAATTGGAATTTGTAGTGGCCTTTCTGCAGCGAGCCAACGAAGAATACGAAGCCTGCGTGATAAAATGTCAGTGCTGCACTAGCGACGCTCGCGGGTTCACATACCCAGAATGTAGAGCATGAAGCTGATGAATCTATGGTGTGTCGCAAATGGGAGTAGCACTCGATCGATCAGAACAATGTGCTTGAAGTAGTATATGACGCTTTCGCCGTAGAGAAAGTACATTGTCGTTCCGAGGAAATACCAGTTCAGTGTTTTCGTGAATCGAAGTGATCGGGCTCTGCTTGGAACGTTGGCGATGTTGATCACCTCTTTGAAGGAGATGATTTGGCACGCGGTCACGATGATAATCATGTAGATGTGGCCTGCGAACATGCCGATGAAGAAAATGGCGATCATCACGAAGGTCCATATTGCCCGTGTGATGAAGGTCTGTTTCTTCTTCTCATATTCGGACTGGGGCTTGACTTCTGTCTGCTCGCTACTTGTCAGTTCGATATCGCCAGGTCTTCTTTCTCCACGACGTACTTTCTCGTCCTCATTCTCCGTCTGCCACCCACTCGCGGTCGTGTCTGTTCTCTCCGCGATTGGCCTAATGTCTTCCCGCGACCTGCTGACGGACCCATTACGGTCACTGCTCTTCGATGCATTCAATCTTCGCGTCGGGCTTCTCGACTCGTTGGGCGACTCGTAGTTGATGTCTGACATGCTGCTCTTGCTCAACCTCCGTTCCCGGTGGTTGAACTTGATGTCCTTCTTCGATTTGGTCATGGCTGCCTGATGGCGATCGTCCTATCGGTGGGAGAAGTAGTGTCACAGCCGGAATGCGCGACTGTGTCCAGTCTCTGGTCGTGTGTCGCGCAGTGTCGTCCTTTCCTGTTTGCTGCCTGCCGGACGTGCGCGGGAGAGCTGAGTAGCTAGTGCTGCAGCACGTGTTCGACGCGGTCGCACCAAGTTGTCGCAAACGCGAGATTCGTTCAGGCGCGGAATTGGTGTTGAGCGTGCATGCTCTCGCGATCAGGGCGAGGACGGAGGATCAGGCAGAAAACTATTGCTGTCATGAAAAGAGAAGGAGTGGAGCACTAAGGGAACGTAATCCTGGCCAGCTCTATCAACGTCACAACGCAGCGAGGCTGTGAGATGAATCCTTGGCGAGCTTGTGATGCGGCGCCGGGAGCGAACACGAGCTTGCTTCCGCTCCAACTCCAGCAATACTGTGGGAGAGGCAGTGCACAAGTCTCAAACCAGAGGTCACTTTGACGATGGCTCCTGCTCTGGTGCAGTGCACTGTTGCTTCGATTCCAGCCCTTCGAAAGGACGGAAGTCACGGAGCGTAAATAGCCGCCGGCCGTCCATGCAGCCCAAATGAGTTGCGCCTCCGCTAGGACCGCTACTGATTATTGACCTCCCCGTGGAGGGTCCATACGATTTGATGCCGCTCAAAATTTGATGAGAGTTGTTGCAGGTGTTGCTCGTGAGAGACTCAACGTGGTCCACACGCAACTCGTTCGCTGCGTCGCCTATCATTACATCTGTACTGGCAGGTTCTTCCTGGACTACTTTCACAAGTGAAGCGAGACCTCTGTACAAGCGTATCGTGATGCCGACAGTTCAGCTATCGAGAATCTTCAGCATTTCCTCTGCTGTCCTACACTTCTCCCTCTCTTTTCCCTTCGCCCGTCCCCTTCGGACCTCTTCAGCGTCAATCTTCTCCCAGTCTTGCCAGTTGATCGGCCTCATTCCCCGTTGCTCAGCAAGCTTCTTCACATCCTCCCAGCCTCGCTTCTTCTCGCCTACCCCGTCATTGAACTTCACGTTCTTCCGCCAGTCACTGACGATGACATCTGCAGTTGTGAAGGCATCGTCTAAGGTGCTCGCTATCACACCAGTGGGCCCACGCTTCACCCAGCCTGCGCAGTACATGCCAGGTACGTGGCCTGCAGTCAACTCACCCGGGCCTAGATCAGGCGAGAGCACGCGGCCATAGCGATCGTTCGGTATAATGCCCTTTTTCTTATCGAATGGCACGCCGATTTGGTCCATTCCAGCTATTGGCTCAGACTCGTACCCGATGCTGCGGAAAGCAAGTGATGCTCCAATTGATGTCCGTTTCACAGGCTCGGCCGCCCTGACTCGAAGTCCACGAAGAGCATTCAGTGTCTGTTCGGGATCGCCAGAAATGACTGAATCCTCAGGGGACGCCACGTATTCTGTCATTTCGAAGCCAACAGCATCTAGAGTATCTCCGTTCCTTGATAGGAATTCCGTAGGCGACCTCAGGTATCCTAGCTGCCAGGCCTTTTCTGCTCGCTCGATCGGTGTCTTGCTTCCCTTTTCGAGCAACTCAGCGATGCGCTTCAGTTGTCGAGGCAATTTCTTCCGCTCCACCTGAATGAGCTCTTCCCAGCCCTCAGGTGGCGGCACGAAGCCCACTCTGGGCAGATTCATAAGCTCCCTGAGCTCCTTGATTGTATATGGCGCCTGCAGTGGTCCTCTTCTTCCTATGATCTTCACGTCTCTCACTCTGCTCTTGCTCAAAGCCTCTACAGCATGCTCGGCGATGTCTGTCTTCTTGAGCTCGTCCAAGTCCATGAGGAGCATTCTTGTAACGTCCAAAGCAACATTTCCTTGCCCGATCACGATCGCAGTCTCTCCAGCCTGCAAGTCTGGATTGAGATCCGCATATTCTGGGAGGCCATTGTACCAGCCTACGAACGCTCTTGCGGAAAGAACGTTCCTCAAGCTCTCTCCAGGAAGGTTCAACGTCTTGTCCTTGGAAGCGCCGTACGCGAACAAGACGGCATCGTAGTGTGGTGCTAAAGTGGTCAGTGGCAACTGATCCGGCTCATTGCCGATGGGAACATTGCCAACGTATTGGAACCCCGGATACTTGGCCACATCTGGCAGTGTCTCTGAGCATTTCTGTCACCAGAACTCACCTATCAGTTCTCTACTCTGCTGTCGGCATTGATGACTGTCGCACCTTTGCTTCTGGATGGTCTGGAGCAATTCCAAAGCGGACCAAACCGTATGGCGATGGCAATCCCTCGTACATGTCCACACGAGCGTCTGGCAGATTCTTCAGCAGTCTGTATGCTGAATAGAAGCCCGCCGGTCCTGCTCCGATGATGGCGAGGTGCAACGGGCGTTGCTGTGTACTCTCCACGCTGTACGGTCGTGTGCCAGCATGCCGAGCGATGGTCGGCCTCGCGATGGTGCCATGAGAACGCGCTGCGCTCTGACAGCGTCTGCACACCCACGCCGCCGTCGTCCCCGCCGACATGAGTACCGGAAATGTGATGTCGCAGAGAAAGTCAGAGCGAGATCGGACAGCTTGCTGCCGCATCGTCACCAGGCATGCGCCCATGCTAGCGCGATAAGTCTATTTTCGGCCTAGCCGTTGATTATTGCTAGGGAAACAACCAATCCGTCAACAAATGGTGAGGAGGATCCCGACGACCATCTCATCATCCTGGCACCAGAGCGACCACTAGTTGACCTCTTGGACCTCTGTGGCCACACGCTATTGCTCTTATTACATTCCTCTGCGATACTTCTCTCGTTCATCAGTCCTTCCGCATCGACAGTCGCTACTAGCAGGCAGCTCGCGCAGCAACAATAGCATTGTTGTTGCCCAGCAGCTCGCCGTCACCATGGTCCAACAGCCCTACCTCTATGGCCAACTAGAGGGCTCACGAACGTCCATCGCCTACCCATATTCCGATTTTAACCCGCGAGCGGCTACTCAAGCTCACTATCAAGCATTCGCTGAACGAGCGGAAAGACAGAAGAAACTCTCTCAACAGGATGGGCGTCCATTGATCAACTTCAACCAGCATCCGGACAGCTACATGGTGGTCAACAACCCTGAAGTGCACCACGAGCCACTGCCTTCCAACACAAAAGGCAAGATCATTGGGACAAGATGGGTACAGTTCGCGTTTCGGATATTGCAGGAACTTGGGGCCCTGGGTGTCCTGGTCTGCGTTATCTGTTTGAAGATGGCCAATGATGGGCCGGGCTGGATCATACGGATTGCTGTGAGTCAAAGTCGCCCACCTTGAAGTTTACATACTGACTAGTGGTAGCCTGCGTGGGACGTGGTCATCAGCATGTACGCCATCTATCACCTTCTCCGGCCAGCAAAGGGCCGTACGCCGAATAGCAGCAGCAGCTACCACTTCTTCGCGCTGTTCATGGACGTAGGACTGATTCCGTTCTACGTCTTCATCGCCTTGTACTCCAACCAAAACTACAACATGCAGCCTACTGAGAAGGACCGATGGACGAGCTTTTTCAACACCAACTTTGCAACCTCGACTGTCATTTATGTGACCTTCATCGCAAGCATAGTTGTGGGAGGACTGCACCTGATCAGCGTCCTTCTCGACATTTATTTGATCATCATGTTCCGCAAGATTGCGAACCTGCCTCCAGATATGAACCCGCTTGAGGACAACTTGACTGGCAGCAGTCGCAGAAGGTCGATGAAGCACAAGCACAAGAACTCCGAAATGACGATCTCGTCTGTCTCGTCGGACATGTCGGAGAAGAAGTCAGGGTACTACAGTGGCAGCACTATGAACGGTTCACGTTCGTCTATGGTTAAGGATCCTGAAGCGAGAGTCATTCCATGGTAAGTGTGGTGCCCTCGAGAGACGTATACATTCCTCTTGCTAACTGCGTGATTTTCCTCTACTAGGGGCCACAGCAGAACGGATTCAAACCAGGCATACTCACCTCATAACCCTGATTCTGCTCGTTTCTCCAAGCAACAGTATGATGAGGTCACTTATCATCCAGGCCCACAATCTGCTCGCAGTTCACGCGTATCTGTGGCTGGCTCTGGTCATCGTTCGCGAGCTGGTACCGTGGTGTCTCCGGCCGAGCATGGCGTCCCAATGTACATTGAAGATGTCCCACCCATTCCTGGATACACAGATCGTCCTCTTGCGAACCAAGGCACACCAGAGCGGTATACATCCGCCCCGTCACGAGACGCTGTTCGAACACAACAGAAGGCCGGTCTGCTGAATGACAACTGGTACGTGATGCCTGACGCGGACGTAGCAGACCTTGGCACACCGCGTACGCATGCCAGCGACCGACCTTTTACTGCTCACTCCCGCGAACCAAAGCTACCGAACGTCGAGCTGCAGCGAGCGGACTCGTTTGAGCCACAGCAACAGCAAGTGCAGCCTTTAAAGATGAATCCTCCAACCCCGCCTGTGCCAGAAAGCGAGCTGGGCAAAGCTCTAACGCAGGAGGACAAGGAGAATTACGATCCTACCGAGATCGGTGTTGCTCGACAACTCACTGTAGCCTCGCAAGGCACTGTCGCTTCATCAGTGTACTCCGAATCGGCACCTTCATTGATGACCTCGAGTATGGTCAGCGGTGGGCGATCGAAAAACAACACCCCAAGCAGAAAGCAATATGGCGACTTGGCTGCCGCAACTCGCGGTGTCCGTGGAAATCAGAGTGGTGCATTCCCGCACTTCAAGGCTCCAGCCCAGCAGAAGCAAGGCACGAGAGTCATCTCCAGGACTGGAGCGGACATTGCCGATATGAATGTGTTTGGATCAGAAACTCAATCCAGGCGGCGTGATGTTAGTGGAAAAATTGCGGAGGAGGGCAGAGGTGGATGGTAAGACCTCTCAACACATTGCCCTCGACAAACCCACGCTGGATCGTGGATGCGCATAAGCGACCTGCCAGCTGCTCAGGCGATGCCAGTCCACCATTGAGGTGATGCCAGTTCCGCCATCCTGCTGTCCCGTAGTGGAGGCAGGATTCTACGCGCTCGACTATGTTCTGTTTTGAATGGTGTTCCAGTCACCTACTCAATTCATCCGTGCGGATGGAATGAGCGTGGAACTGATAGCATGCCAGGGACTATTACGATACGACACTCGCCAGCCCGCCCCCGACGCCACCAACGACGAATGAAGCTGTGAATGAACGACCGCCTCTTAACAGGACCAAGAGCGGACGTTATTATGCGACCAGGACGAAAAGTGTAAAGGAGAGGCGTGATCGCCGTGACCAGAACGGAGATACGCGAAGTATCTCATACGGACAGACGGGCTCTGCTTGGCATCTGATCTTGAGCTGAGAGTTGTGTGTGGCGCCAGCTTGGAAGAGGGATCATGCTGGATGACCGTGATGAGGATTGACGCTGATTGTAGAATACGATTGCCGATAGTATGCAGTACGATATATGAGCGGGGATGAAAATTCTGGCATTGAGAACAAATGCACGTCTTTGAGCAGTGCTTTCGACGAGTGGTCGTCCGATTGCTGCAAGCCAGTGCGTCGCCGCGCAAGGGTTGGCGCGTTGGTGAGACATTTTCGGTTGAGCCGGATGACCTTGGTATTCCGCCAGTGTATGCGTATCATTTAAGCATATCTGCGGTCTTGCGATAATCGATCTCGGAACCGAAAGCGGTCTCGTATAAGGTGAATAAGCAAGCTGTTCCCTGCACGTCCACGTCGATGGTGTTGTCGATGGTGCGGTGGGAAAGAGAGGGACGCGCCCAGCTTCGCCCAGGCTGCGGTGCTCTCAAATCGCCGTGCGAGGCGCGCTTCGGGCCAGGTTTTTGGAACACCAGACGCAGAGCTGCAGCGTGGCTGGGTGCGTGCAGAGCGTCATCGCGAACCCCAGCTTCATTATTGCAATCTGCTGAGTTCCGCCTCCGGGCTCCACCACCTCCTGCACCTTCATGTCCTCTCCCCACTGCGCGCGCATGCCTGGGCGGTGGTGATTCCGGCGACTCCCTTCCCTTCTCCTTCTTCCTCTCTTCTTGCGTCCGACCGCCATGCAGATGTCACAACGCGCCACGCTCCTTACCAGTAACCCATACCAGCCGACGACATCCACATCGCACGCTTCCACATCAACCGCCGAGACCGTCGATCCGCATCAACCCGGCTCCTTGCCGCCATGGATACACGCCAACGATGAGCAGGCGCCCTTCATAGAGCCAGCGCCTACACTACCCAACACGCGACATTACAAAGTTCCCACGAAATACCAACCCGGACGCAAACTTGACGGATATCGGGATGCAGAGCCGGGACTGTTATCTGCCCCCATAGCGGAACACCAAGCGCGATGGATACCATTTATGCAATCAGGGCCGAACCCCAGGGAACATCGCGGCCAAGGGATAGTCAGGAGCGCATCGTGGATGCGAGAAAATGTGCCCATCTACGATAGAGGATGGGAAGAGGAAGACGAAATACATCTGGACAACAAGAGACCGCGTGGGTTTCGAGGCCTGCTCTTCCGAGGGAAATGGCTGATCAGCCCGGAGAGGCAGGAGAGAAGTGTGCGATTTTTCTGGCGTCTACTGCTTAAGAACGCTTTCGTGCCCTTGGTCTTCCGTCTTGTGGTACTGGCATTCTCTTGTGGCGCGTTGGGCGTTGCGGCCACTATACTACGAACCGTGAACAGAGTCAACAGGGACAATGATCGCTTTAACCAGTGTGCTCCCCGCGCCTCGACGTATATGGGCATCATTGTACCAGCTTTTGCGATACCCTACATTGGATACATAACATGGGATGAATATACATCGAAACCGTGGGTACCGAGAGTACATGATCGCACACGGCTTGTTGGCTAATATGTTCTTAGTCTCGGATTGCGTTCAGTGGCTGCTAAGACGCTGTTACTGCTCTGCGATCTCTACTTCATCGTCTTCTCCGCCTCAAATCTCTCCCTGGCCTTCAGCGCCCTAGCAGATTCCAGTTGGGCGTGCTATGAGCAAGGAACGCAAATCATTGGCGACATACCACTTCAAATACCGAAAACATGCCCTAACAACGCAGAAATTTGCTACAAACAGAAAGCTCTGAGTGGAGTGCTACTGATCAGCCTGGTGGCATGGCTTCTGTGTTTCAGCATCAGTGTTTTGAGGGTAGTGGAGAAGCTGCGGCTAGAGTACTAGCATGCCTTGCGACGCCACGGCCTCGGACTGCCCAAGAGAAGGAATGAAAAATTTCTCGTTCCTCGGCGCGAGAGACTTTGACGACTGATGAATGATGATTCGGCGTTTGGGAGGATTCGATACCCTGAGCGTTCTGAGTTGTAGCTCTTTTGTATATATTGGATGCATTGGGACAAGCATAAGCGCGGCGCTATGGGCAGCAATTGGGATTGGCATACGCTTTAGTAGCGATTGGGAACACCCTATACAGCTGAAAAGGCCTGAAGGTCAGAATTGAATAATGAACTGAAAGCCATCATTTTGGCACCTTGTCGATCCAGGTTCAGGGGCGAATGAATGAACCTCTGCGGCCCCGGCTCCGCTGACTCCGGCTGAAACTCGGAAAACGCGCTTCGCGTTCTCACTTCGCGTATAACTTACTGCACTCGACCACGATCTTGGGACAGCATTATTCTACCGAGCTTTCGTTTGTGTGCATTGATCAATGAGCTTAATCTGAGAATTTGTGCATCTGGCTGTATATGCAGCGAGTCGCTGAGGATATTGTCTCGACGGCGAGTCGACACGTCTTCTGTGCTCCACCCCGTGATGGTGCAAGCGAAGATCTGTTGATTGATGATGGCCGGATACCAGCACTTGACAGCACCGGCTGCTGACTCTGTATTCCTATACGCATCGCATGGAGACGGGTCCAAATGGCTTTCGCCAACGGGTGCGGCGTATCGCCGCATATTAAATCAAGACTATACCGAAATATTGCAAAGCTGTCGGCAACGTGGCATTGACTCGACGGTCACATCTTTCATGGTGGAACAGCTTGCCGAACATTGCGGTGCAACGAGCGACAACTTCGAAGTTCTTGTGCGGGAAGGTGCGCAATTAATCCAAAGATCTTTTACCTTGAACGATGAGGAGCAATTGCGCTGGGTGCCTACAGACCTACATGTGCGACAAGCTATTCAGGATCTGGACCTCCAGCGGAGCGCATCACATGGCTTCGAGATCTCACAAGCTCCCTCCGATAGGGCCATCATGCTTCGCTCGTACGTCAACGGCTCAATGATTGACATCTTGCAGTATAAGCTGAGCCAACAATTTGCGCACAAGATAGCGGAAATAACTACTGCTGTATCGAACAGTGGGAATCCGCTGCTATCTGCAGCCAACAAACCGGCCGTTGAGAGAATGCCCTTAGCGCAGGCCTCATCCAATCTGCCGTCTCGCAAGGAACTGGCACCGGCGACAACTGAGAAGCGTAAACGGGAAGACGACATGCAAGGAAGTGGCCCTTCAAGGTTCCTACCTGGTAGCGACTCTGACGATGAAAACGCATTGGAAGAACAGGCAGCTGGGCTCCAGGCGAAGATTGCGTCCATACGTGCAAGGACCGCTGATGAAGACGTGTCCATGCCTCGGAAGAAGGCGAGAAAAGCAAAACTGAAGAACACAAGTGCTGCTTCGCTGGTACGCGGTTCACAGCTTCCATCTCAGCAACCCACCGCTCCTGCTCACCTGCTCGTCCAACCGAAGATGGAAGCCGAGCTGCCTCCAGCCACAGTTACAGACAAATCAGCTGTATCTTCTTCGAATGGAATCAAGCTTATTCTGAGGAGGCAAGGAAAGCCGGACTACAGGTGTAAAGCATCCATGGTAAGCTTGCGCATGTCTTGAACTGCTGAATCCAGACTGACGTATCCAGAACACAACCTTCGAAAAGATCATCACAGTAGCCAGGAAGGAGTTCGAAATCCCTGTCACACAAGCAGTTTGCCTTCACTTTGAGGGTCAGAGGTTGAGTGCCGCAGAGCTTGTGCGTGAAGCAGGCCTTCGAGACTACGCCTGTTTGAAAGTGTTTGACCTTCCTGCGGCGAACCCTCACAATACAAGCGCAGTCGACCTGAAAACCGAAAACAAAATGTTTCAGGACGAGGCAGTTCAACAGCGTCAGATTGCGGGAGCGGTTCTCGCGAATCTCAGACCCATGCCGCCAGTCGTTGACCTCACTTCGAGCTCGCCGCCACAACACGTGTCACCCGCAGCGGCACAAGCGCAACCGCCACCGCCACCTCCACCTCAATCCGAGCCTAAACTGTGCGGTGAGCAGCAAGAAGTTGTAGATGCCATTCTAGCAGGGAAGAATGTGTTTTATACGGGTTCGGCCGGCTGTGGTAAATCTACCGTATTGAAAGCATTCGTGCCGCGCCTTCGCGAACTTGGTAAGACAGTCAGGATCATAGCCCCGACGGGCAAGGCGGCTTTGGATATCAACGGCTCTACAACTTGGACATATGCAGGATGGACTCCCGGGCACATGAAACGACCACTTGATGAACTTGTCAATGCAGCACATGGCAAGTTTGTCTCGAAAAGGTTCAGAGACACGGACGTACTGGTCATTGATGAAGTTAGCATGGTCGAAAACCACCTTCTCACCAGGCTCAGCAAGATCATGCAGGCAGCTCGCGGAAGGGATTTGCCATTCGGTGGCGTGCAGCTGGTTGTCACAGGCGACTTCTGTCAGCTGCCTCCCGTGAAGCCATTTCAATTTTGCATGACCTGTGGCAGGGAACAAATCAGGAAAGTGGGACCCCGAGGAGAGACACTTTATCGATGTCCGCTGCACGGAGACTGCAACGATGATGACAAATGGGCTTTTCGAAGCGCGGTCTGGGAAGATTGCAAGTTCAAGCACGTCAACTTGACCAACATTCATCGCCAAAGCGATGAGGTCTTCATCGGCATTCTGCAGAAACTGAGGATCGGAAAGCCGCTTACGAACGCTGATCGTCAGCTCCTACTGGACCATCCCTGCGATGTCAAGAATGCCGTCAAGCTATTTCCGACGCGAGAAGAGGTCAGGCGAATCAACCAGACCGAGTTCGACAGGCTCAAGACTGCCAAGCGGGAGTTTCGTTGTCTGGACTACTTCAGCTGGAACGAAACACACGGCAATCTTCGCGAGAAAGGTCGACGCTCGCCAGTAGACAACTCGCTTGAAGCTTTGCGTGAACATCGCCTCGATACCCTTGTAGAGTTCAAAGCGGGCATGCTTGTTGTGCTGCTCGTGAATCTCGATATCGCGAACGGCCTGGTCAATGGGAGCCAAGGAAGAGTGATCGGATTTGAGCCGTACGCCGAGTCAAAGCTCCCCAAAGCGGCAGTACGCGAAGGCGGTGGAAGACTCACGTCGTTCTCTCGCTCTAGCGGCAAGAAGTCTCGATACGGCAGAGAGACTTCGCCAGAGCCATCCGAGAGCATGGTGCAGGGAGAATTGCGAGGTGAATACGCCGAGCTCCGACAAGGTCAGATCCAAGATTTCATTCTGCAACCTCGCAATCAGAACAAGATGTGGCCAATTGTGGAGTTCGACAATGGCCTTAGAAGGACTGTCTACGCGGATTGCCAGGTCAATGAGCTGGGGGACGAGAAGCCCTATACTTTGCTGGCAAGAACGCAGATTCCGCTGATTGCGGCATGGGCTATGACAATTCACAAATCTCAAGGCATGACGCTCAACCGAGTGATAGTTGATCTTGGGCGAAGTTTTGAGGAGGGACAGGAATATGTGGCGTTGAGCAGAGCGCGAAGCCTTGAAGGGCTGAAGGTCATGGGGCTGGGAGAGAATGTTGGGAAGGGTGGCAACGCGCAGGTGAAACAATTTCTCAAGGAGAAGTTCAACCTGTCATAGATTGCTTCAAAGCGGTGCGTACAGGTCGACTGTGCTGTGCTGGTGCTGGCTGTGTGATCCACGGATGCGCCGACGGATGTGGTGGATGAGCGTCGCGAACGCGTCGAAAGTGTTCCTTCCCTTGACGCGAGAAGAGCGATGGCTGCCTCACACTCCAGCCATACTGCCAAATCCCTCCCAATTTCTTCTGCGCAAACGGTGCGCTGAACTGTACCCACGACACATTGCCTCGACACGATGGCAACGCAAAAGAAGCGCAAAGCTCGTCCTTCGACTGAGAACCAGAAGCTTGGTGGACATGTTGCTTCCCAGCCTGCATACCCGGGTTTCAAGCACTGGAGAACGAAGACATCACGGCCGAAGCACGCGAACTTGTCAGAGACCTCGGTGGTAAGTTCAGAATACATGCTCTTGTCCCACACCTAGATCGCCCGCTGACGTTTCCAGTACGACTCAAAATCAGGCAGCTTTGTTCAGCAAATCAAGGTGAAGCACAGCGATGCTTTCAGGCTCAGACCAGTCAGTTGTCATGAGATGTACATCGTGATGTACATGCTGACAGTCGCAGCTCACATTCACTGAAGGCCCGCTGAAGGGACACCACATCCTGTTGCTCGAGCCTTCCACAGAGCACTTCCCTTTTCTGGAACTGCCAGCGGAGATTCGCCAGATGATCTATGACGAGTGTTTTCTGGACGATGACGGGATTTCCATTAGCCAGCTGAGGCGCAGAGGACATACAACCCGGGCAGTCAGTACGGACCGCTTCCGTGAGACATCGACTCATTGGGACAAGAACAAGGAGACGTGGGTCAATAAGCCACCGAGTGCGCTTGGTCTCATGACAGTCAACAAGCAGATCCATCACGAAGTGGCCTCGACCCTGTATGGTAACGAGTTCAAGTTTTGCGACTTTACGACCTGTCAGACGTTCCTCGAAAACATTGGGACGATGCGAAGCTTGCTCCGCGATGTCTCATTCGGAGAGCTGTCGTATAAGAAGACCAAAGCTCGATCGGTCTTCTTCAAGTTGCGAGAAGCAAAGCGTCTACGTTCGCTAGCGTTCGACTATAACGACGTCAGCAGCACATTTGATCACGCTGGCGGTGTCAGCACTGGCACATTCGCCTCGGATTGCAAGACTATGATGGTGTCGCTCCACAAATCACGAGTGGCTCAAGACGATCTGCCGGACGTGCTTGATCTGGTCCATTTGACCTGGGAAAAGTGTCTTTATTGCCAGTTCAAGTCCTTGGGCCATGGCCAGGAGGACGCGGCGAAACACCATCCACACGGATGTCGATGCGACCATGCCAAGCTTGAATGTGCAGAAGTGCAGAAGCACATCCGCAAATCGATTGCAAGATCGGTCGGTGTTGAAGGCTAGCGCTGCTCGAGAGGGCGAGCATCCGAACCCACAGTCTCATCTCTGCCCTGGCTTCACAGAGCTGCTTGCAGGCGTGGGTAATGGTTTGATCTTCTTGGTTGCGAGAACTTTCTGAACACAAATAGAACTACATGCAGCGTCCACACATGTAGATTCGTTCCGTCCAGCTGAAGAAGTCCTTACGATGAAGAGCCCCCAGCGTCAGCCCGCGTCAGTTGCACTTCTAGGCTGTAGAATATCTTCTCGGCCACGGCGTGACATACTGTCGTTGATGAAAAGGCACGTCGTTCTTTGATAAGAGGAGACCGCTCGAGGCAACTCGATGCACGCGTGTCGTCGCTTCTCATTTCACGCGCTGCACACGGCAGTCGCGTTCCTGCAGCTTCAATGCAGCAATCCGCGTTGCGCACTACGGGCAGTTGAGCTGCAGAGAAACACGGCAAGGTCGGCCAAAACCGCGTGCGTGCCATTACCAGTGTGCCTCGTCGTCGACTCTGAAGCTCAACATCTTCGAGGTCCTTACCTTAGTCGCTCGTTTGACGCCCTCACACTCGCTACCACCACCGCGATCGACCTTCATCACGACATTGAGAAGCAGCTTTTGTCCAACCCGCATTGTCAGTGCTGCAGAGCCGAAGCTGTTGCATCAATTGAAATCAGAAGCACTCGACTTGCAGACATCCGTCCACGCCTGCCTCCTGCCTTCGCCCCCCGGCTCGAGTGATACCTGCCTACCGCCAGACCGCAGTTGCTCGGAAACCCGAAGCCATCGCGTCGCTCATGCACATGGCGTACCTGTAGCCGTCGACTCGAACCCAGCACCGCCCGCCGTCCGCTCAGCAACATCGTATGGCCTTGGAGGGACCTTAGTTCATTCGCTTACAAGCGATGGCACCCTCGCAACCCCGTAAACTGACCAAGCATCACCTACAACCAACACTGCGGGGGCCACAGCGGACATTGGACGGCAGCGACGACAGGCAAGTTCAACAGGCTGGCCGGTCTGCCACCAACCTCAACGCTCAAGCCTCTGCACAGTCGTTGCGCGAGGCCTTACGCCCCAGTTCGCGAGAAGCCTCTCGGGAAGGCCGAAGGTCCAGCAACGGGCGGGCGAAGGTTTCAACAGCACAAGCTGCGCCATTGGATGGTCCTCGACCCGAGCCACGACGGCAACACTCAGGCCTTTCACCATATGCTCCGCCCATACCTTCTCCTCTGGGTCCCGTCGCCTCGAACACCACTGCGGAGTCGGGTGTGCGAAAGAATAGCGGCTCGAGCACAGCCAGCTCGTCCGAAGGGCTGTCAATACCTTATCGAAACGTGGCCCTGATACCCGCCACAGAAGATGTATCATACAATGGACCGCACACACCGCCACGACAAGCTGTCTCGGCTACAGAGATGGCACATCAGGGGTCGTATTCAACATTGTCACATCCCACTCCCAGAGCTGTGCAAGATCTCGGAACAGATTATACGCGCTACTACAATCCATTCGCTACCAGGTCGAACTCGGCGAATACTTCTCAGCATGATCTGCCTGCATGTGCTCCGCCAGCAGTACGGTTACCAACGTTCGGCTCGTCCGACCACCACCTTGCGCCTGCCAAGACAAAATCATCCGCAGAGCTGTCGAATCGATCGTCGGTGCAGTCGAACCCCTTCAAAGACGACCACCGCGTGTCACTCGCTTCACTTCGAGAGGCCAATGAGGATACACCGACATCTGATCAACCGGACGCAGAATCCGCAGATCCTGTTACCACAGCAGCTCCAGTGGCCATCACTCGAGCGGCGACGCCGACCTTTATACACAACGCAGACCCCGAGAAAGCGGCCTTCATACCCCACTTCGTGGATGATCGACTCGGCGCTCCGTACGTACTTTACATGGATGAAAAAGAGGATGATGACGATATGCACATGCCTGCATGGGACGATGATCGACGATACAAGCTCACTCTTCGAGAACGCTTTTCCAGAGAGAACATCGTCAACACTATCGGCATTGTTTTCTTGCTCACCGGGCTCTGCACAATCTTCATTGTCTTGCCCGTTGTTTCGTTCCTCGGGACGAACCTCATACCATACACGTATGAAACTCCGCTAGACCAGATGCCGGGCCACACAAAACCAGAGCCTTGGGCTCATGTCAACGATGAGGTATACCCGTTGTTGAAGAACATGAGGCGTGGCCTCATTGATCCAGACACCCCGGCTTCAGCAATGACCCGCCAAAGTGTCAATGGCGATACTCTGAAGCTCGTTTTCAGTGACGAATTCAACGTAAAGAACAGGACCTTCTACGAAGGTGACGATCCGTACTGGTTCGCACCCGACATCTGGTATGGAGCCACCAAAGACCTCGAATGGTATGACCCGGATGCTGTCAACACAGGTGAGTATTTGTGTATGGTGTCGCCTTTGAACAAACTAACGGAACGCAAGGTGACGGCAGTCTACAGCTTCAACTTGATGCCTTTCGCAACCATGACCTCGACTACAGATCAGGCATGTTGAATTCTTGGAATCAGCTGTGCTTCAAAGGAGGCGTCTTCGAAGTTTCGGTCAGCTTGCCAGGACCTGCTGGTATCCACGGCCTGTGGCCGGGTGTCTGGACCATGGGTAATCTCGGAAGGCCTGGCTACCTCGCATCGACTGACGGTATGTGGCCGTATACCTACAGCGACTGCGATGTCGGCATCACTCCCAATCAGTCATCACCGGATGGCATCAGCTTCTTACCCGGACAGCGCTTGCCGAGTTGTACTTGTCACAATGAAGATCATCCATCACCTGGGACTGGCCGCGGTGCGCCTGAGATCGATATCATCGAAGTCAGTGCAGACTGGGGCAGTCTCAATTTGGGGGTGGCCACACAATCATATCAGGTGGCGCCGTTCGATCTTTTCTACTACCCCAACTACGACTTCATGGAGATACCAGAGTACAACTTCAGTATGGTCAACACCTACACCGGCGGGCCATTCCAACAAGCCATATCGACTGTGACTATGCTCAATAACGACTGGTACGACGGCAAGGCGTTCCAGAAGTTCGCGTTCGAATATGAGCCAGGGAGCGGCGAGGATGCTCATGTTACCTGGTTCGTGGCTGATGACGAGATGATGGGCTTCGATGGTCGAGCGATTGGGCCGAACGGCAATATCCAGCAACGACTGGTCGCTGAAGAACCATTGTCGATGATCTTGAATCTTGGCTTTTCCCATAGTTGGGTCGCCATCGACCAAGCCAACCTCAGGTTCCCAACTATTATGCGCGTCGACTACGTCCGATGGTATCAGAACACCGACGCCGACTCGAGTCATGAGGTGACCTGTGACCCGAAAGGATACCCAACCACGGAATATATTGCGCGGCACCCTGAAGCCTACCGCAACGCGAACCACACGTCCTGGAAGGACGCCGGCTATCAATGGCCAAAGAACACACTCATGCATGGATGCAATGCATAGTCTTGCTCGCTTGGAAACCATGTTCGACATGTTACCACTGCTTTGATCGAGGCGCACATTTGTACGGTGCACATTTCTATGCCGCACAGGCTTTATTCGTGGATGGTCAGCGCATATGTGTACCAAGCCATGTTGTGAAGGGGGCAACATCTCGATGAGACATCTGGGCTCAGCGGCCGTGAGCTAGGCGCTTTGATTCGGAGACGATGGGATCGGGAAAGGCTGGGAGCATACCAGTACAGGGCATGCTGATCACACACAGTTGTTCAATCCAGGCATGCTTCACTGTACAATTACAGTTCGCGCTGCTGTCTGATCAGTAGGGCCGCGAAGAGCTTAAAATGTATAGTCAGTTTACATGTATGGACATTTCGAACGCACTTGTACTGACCAATGTTTGATCTCATTTGACTTGATAGAGTGGCACATGAAGTGCAGGGATGTTATGGATCTGGTAGCGAAAGGAACAGAGTTCTCACCCCCAGCAGAGTTGGCCAAGCAAATGATGGGGTGATTAGAGTTTCCCTTTCCTCGACATCCCGGATATCCAGCCTCGTGCTGTCCAAGCCTGTCTTCAGCTCCATTCCATGACTTCAGCAGCGATACCATATCAACTAATCGTTGTCCAGCAGGAGATGTGTCGTCTCTCTCTAGCACCATGTCTCGGGTAGAGCTAGATCAGCGGCTAGTATGATCAACACCAGGCATCAATACACGACTGCGAATCAATATCGAGAGCAAACGTACAAGAATTATTATGGACATCAAGTATCATCATTCACTCGCGAACTCCACATTTCAAAGCTTGCGTATGCTGTGTAACGACGCTTTCTGCTGCTTAGCAAGCACATTCTAGCGAGAATGGGAAATTTGTGTTCGAACGCCAAGAACAACCATAGCTCGGACCCCTGGGATGAGAGTGTTGGTGATGGATGGCCGAGAAATGAGCAGCAATTGCAGGAGGAGTATAGGAGGTATTTCAAGAGGAAAGATGCGTTGGATGGGGACGACAAGAAATTTGACAGAGAAGATATGGGGTTTGGAGCGAAAGGCAAGAAGAAGACTAAAGCCGAAACACATTGCGGGTATATGATTGCGACGATATCTGAGCTTGCCAGAGCGAAGCAGATTAATGTGAAGAATGATGAGACGGAAGACAGGCTCCGGATCTTGGACGTTGGTTGCGGTTCGGGAGAAATTACTGTTGATGTTGCTGAGATGTTTCCTGAAGCACAGGTTGTTGGACTTGATGTTTCTGCTGCGATGTTGGAGAGCGCGAAAGTTTATGCGGAACGAAGAGGGGTTAAGAATTTGGAGTTTGTGAAGGGGAGTGTATTTGATCTTGAGGCGTTGAAGGAGCAGGGGAAATTCAATGTGGCGTACACGCATCAGGTTGTAGCACATTTACCTGATCCGGTGTCAGGATTGAAGGAAATGGTTGAGGTTGTAAGAACGGGTGGAGCGATCTGTTTGAGAGAGGGTGATCTGAGAAGTGGGAGATTTTGGCCGGATGGTGAATATGACGAATTGCAAGAGTGTTTTCGAACGATCATCAAAGTGCATGAGGGCAATGGAGGGACCACAGATGCTGGGAGGAAATTGAAAAGCTGGTTGAAAGAGGCTGGAATCATTGACAAGGAGATCCTGACCTCGACGAACGTCACTTCATATGATTCTCCTGAGGGTAGGAGGGAGTATGGTGGTCATTGGCCTGGAAGGTGTACCCAAGGACTTTTCGCTGATCGTGCCATGGACATGGGCGTGTCATCCGAAACGTTGGAGAAGTGGGCAATGGCTTGGAAAGACTGGATTGAAGATGAGGATGCTGCATTCGCCATGATGCACGGAGAAGTCATTGCGCGAGTGACTTAGTTGGTGTTGCTCTCACTATGGACTACGATGCTCAGCCGTACAGTCCACTAATATCATATCGACCAACACGATTGCCGCTCACATCGGTAAACCACACGGCATCGCCAGGACCATAATTGACTGCCACATCGACATATGGCGGCACATCCAACAATGGCAGGTTGATCGATCGCGGGAAGTTGATATAGCTGAACTTCAGGGTGTCGGTGTTGAGTCTCGCAAGACCATTGACATTGAAGAAGCTCGAGTATACGCCGCCGTATTTGTCGATGGTATCCTCTGCACCGAGAGGAGCGAGCTTGTTGGTGTGAAAGATCTCGATCTTGTGTGTCTTCATGTTGATACGACCGATGCCGTTTCCAGTGAACAGGGCAAAATAGACCCAGCCATTGCGTTCGGCTCGGATTACGGTTGGCATTCTACGGCTCTTGGTCAGTGACTTTTCGAACATCTGGATGCAAGACATGGATCTTACTGCAATGGCTCCGGAATCGGATACTCATTGATTTCATTCTTCTCTCGATCGAGCACCAAAATCTTGTTTGCCAGCACTTCAGCCACATAGACTTTTTTGTCCGAAGCGACGTAAAGTCCAAGCGGCAGAGAGGCTGGAGTGGGGACGTTGTAGGTCTCCCAGGTCTCACTCTCGTAGTCGAACCTCTGAAATACATTGCCCGTCGTCTGAGTGTACCACATGCCATCGTCGGATGTGTACAAATCATTGAACGGCTGCAGGTTTCCAAGTGCGCCGGTTCCAGGCGGCTGCAAGACTTCAATCTCGCGTGTTACGGGACTGATGCGGACGAGCTGGTTCCGCAGTCCTGTGCAGTCAATTCTGATCAGTTCATAATCTTCTCTTGAATGAATTTACAGCTCTTACCGTTTGCAGCATACAGATTCCCATCTGCACCTCTCCGAATAGCACACGAAAAGGCCGCTCGCTGACCCAAGATTGTGGGGATGGGTATTGTCTCATTCGAAATAGGCGTGGTGAATGGAATTGGATACTCTTCCACTAGACCCGTGCTTGGGTCGATACGAAAGATGTTGTTGGCGAGGATGCCTTCGCCCCACAAAGCTCCATCCGGTCCATGTTCGAGATCGCAAGGACCGGTCAGAGGGGTCTTGAGTGGAAAGAAGCTGAAGCGATTAGCTTGCCTCGCCGATAGCTCTTGTTCGCCCAATTCATCGGTGATGGGATGTGCATTCGCATTGTACGCCAGCAGCGTAAGTGCTGTGGCGAGAGCTGTGGAATGCATCGCAATAGCAAGGATGAGAAGATCGACGGCAATGCAACGAGAGAGGAGGACGGAAGTGGAGCTATATCGTTAATTTGTTGAAAGTCAGTGTAGAACAGCCGCATAGATAGACGCTAATTTTCGAACATCACCGAATCGTCATCATGTAGTTGTTGTACCTTCGATGAACTTCACTTCCTATTTCGAATGGTCGGTTGTTTTCGTGGGCGGAATTGGCTGCTTCGAAGCTTCAACGCTACGATGCTTTTATGCAGATCTGCAGTTTGTGGCTTTTCCCGATGACGATCATGACCATGGACATTCCAAAGAGTGCTTAGCCGGATCTGATCGTGCAACATCGCTGACATCCTTCCTGGCCGAGACAGATAAGCGACTGTATATTGCTTGCTTTACCGATCGATGGGTTTGCCGAAATACTGGGTCGAGTCGTTGTTCATTGAGTTGGATATGTAGAGCAGAGTATCGTTCTGCCGATGCTGTGCAGTTCTATGTCCTGAATCCCGACAAAGGTCGAAAGAAAATCGCAGTCTAGTTGACACCTCCAACGCCTCGCTAATATGCTTAATGTAGAAGGATGCAACGATCACAGCCCACGCTGTTTCTGAAATGCAAGATCCATCAGTCTCCTCGCTATGAGGCTTTCATTGTTTCCATTACCACTCCTTCTCTCCCGGCTAAGGTCTCGTTCGAACGTGAAAGGGTCGTCCAGCTTTGGAATGCTTCGCCTCATCTCATCTCCCTGTGTGGATGCTGGTGACAAAGGTGAACGTGTCCCTTGTGAGCCAGAATCCAGATCCATGTTATCGCTGAAGCTTCGACTCGAAGGGCGTGACGGCAAAGTGGGCAATGTGGTGAATTGTCGCGGTAGCGTCGGTGTCGGCACATCGTATTGCTGCTGTGCAACCGGTTCGGTGTTCGGCATGGATTGTGCTAGATACGGTGGAGGTGGCCATCTCGACTCTGACATTGCAGGATCGAGAGCGCTCCGTCGTCGCGCGTTGTCTTGCGCAGGTGTACAAGTCGTGCTGCCAACATTCGATTCCCTGCCAGATTTGTACGCACTATAACGGGGCTCTGGCATCTGTATCTCGTTTCGCAGTTTCTCTTTGCCGTCGGGCACTCGATTCGCAAACACAACGCGAACTGATTTGTACAAAAAGTATCTTCCTTTCGAAGGGCAGCAGATATGTAAATGGATCAAATATCGCAACATGGGTTTATCGTTGGGATCTCCAGTCGGGCTCAGCGCAGCTTCTGGCCTATCGGTGCCGTAGTTGGCACGCGAAGTGAGCGGCATATCAATGATCGGTCCAGCCGAGTAACTGCGCTGACGTATGAAGGTCTTTTGACCTGGTTCCATATCGGAGAGGTCGTAGGGCACGAGGAAGAGCTTGACAGCAGTTTTGTTGGGATTCTTAAGCACAATCTGCAGCTGGCCTTGCTGGGGTATGCGATAACTGCCGCCTGGCGGTGCTCTAGGTGAACCAGAACGGCGCTTCTGCTTAGTGCGCCTCCGGCGCGTTGCTGTGTCGGGCCCAGAACCATTTGGCGAGCTAGCACGACTGCCATTATTACTATGTGAGGCTTGTACCCTCTCTCGTCTTCTGTCTCTAGGCTGTTCAGCACTGGGTAGACCATTTTCCAGATCTACGAGGCCGACATAAGGACTGGGCTGATCGATCGCTGGCGTCTTGCTTGCGGCACCATAGCTGTAAAATACTGCGGGAAAAGGTATCTGTACGTGAGGAGGACATCTCAAATTTGACTTGCAATTTCCTCTTCCAAGCACACCGATTTGCGCCATGAAATTTAGAGGCTTCGATGGCGTAGTAGACATACGACCTCGGAGTATCGACTCTTCGTATGAGCCAACTAGGGGCGCATGAAGAAGTGGTAATTCAGAGACAGATGGCCTTCTCTGCCCTGCTCGTGGGGTATGTGGTAGACTGGCGTAAGGCGATGTGGGATTTACGGATCGACTGGGCTGGTGGGCTTGGTACGGAAATGATTTCTCTGATCGCAAGGGTGGTGCAACGCGGGCTACAGTCGGATAGTTAAGCGCCGATTGGAAGTGGTTGAACGAGCGTGGCGAAAAGGTATGGCGACGACTTTTCTCCGGACTCCGCAGGTCTTCAGAAGTCGGCGGCTCAGGCGTATCAGGCCGCGATGATTGCACGAGTGGGCTGGTGGGTGGCTTGTAGACGAAGTTTGCAGCAAGTGAAGCGTTTGAGACAGTACGGTGTCGTTCGGGGCGAGGGATCGGAATGGCGTGCTCAGCACGAGTTTCGTCTTGCTCTCGGCGAAGTGTTCTATATGTTGCTGGGAACGCCGGATGCCATGGCACAATAGGCGAAGTCGAGAGCACAGTATGTGACTCTTCTTTGATAGGTGTTTGAGCGCTGAACTGCTCCGATGGTTGACTTTGCTCCCTGAAGTCGCCGCGGTGAAGAGCAGATCGCGGTCTCTCGATCTGCAAGCCCAATGCCAAATTGTCCTGCTGTGCTTCTGGAGACTGTGCCCGCACATCTTGAGCGTTTGCCAGTGAGGAGAAAGGCACTGGTGACCTGCGCTTCCGCTCCAATCCATTCGAGACCGGCCTCTCGGGCTCAGGCGAAGTTGGACGAGATTCTCTGCTCTTTATCCTAATGATCCTGCTGTACTCGCTCGAAGCGGGTCGTTCGAGCTCAGGCGAAGATGGCCTAGAGCCGCTCTTGATCCTCCTGATCAGCTCCTGCCGATCCAGCGTGCTTGACTTGCTCCCGTTGGCCGGTGTCCGTGGTCGTCCGGTGTAATATGGATTGAAGATGTTCGGATTCGCGGTACCATTGTCTGGGCTCACCGCCCTCGCCTTCGCCGTACTGCTCCTCTCCTGCTCGCCGCTGCTCCGAGACGACATTTGTCCGGACTGTGGCTGGCATTCAGGGCATCCATTATTCACAGCCATTCCTCGCTCGGAGCCACCAGTCTGGCCCCGAGCACTTCACGTCGTCACAGGGCAAGTGGGAGTTTGCAGGTTTGCAAGATGATTCAGGGTGTGACTCTCGCGGATTTGTGCTTATTGTGGGCGTGCCACTATGACCATGTCTGACGTGGCGAGAGGGGTATGGGAACGGCGTCTGAGGTGATTGGAAGTGCGAGTGGGTGTTTCAGGTGGTCGACTTCCGTGCGGCGGTGTTGGTGACAAAGGAGTGCTCCAGCGTGACGTCCACCTTGCTGCCGCACCTGAATGGCTGCGGGGCGTCGCTTCTGCAACTGGGTCGAGTGTGAGGAAGTGGGAAAGAGCAAGCAAGAACGACCGTTTCCCCTCCGGCTCCTGTCTCCCCTCCTCTGCCGCCACGCCGAGTCATCAGCCAAACGAGTATCACATGGTTCATCTCGCGTCATTTGACTTTCGGCGTTGCACGCTTATCGTCTCCGGATCGATCCATGTGGGGCCTTATCCAGGCGAACGACGATTTTCCCGACTTCCGACATCGATTTCACGCTTGCCCTGCAGTACCAATTAGGTTCCTCGATAACAAGTCGCAAAGATGTCGGAAAAGAGGAAACGAGATGGCGACGATGGCGGCGAGAAGAAGCGTCCAAAGAAGGGCTTCCAGGTCGGGCCTGCAAACTTGCCGGATGGCGTCCACCGTCGAAAAGGTAGAATCGCGTGTCGCCCGCCAAAAGCTAGCGGAGAACTGACAGGAAGTAGTGCAAAAAATCAAGGCCGACCTGATCGAGAAGGCGAAGATACGAAAGGAGTACGGAAAGCTGAAGAAGCAGGGGAAAGTGCCTGAGCAGGAAGAGAGCATTCCTATCCCAGCCTCCATGGCAGCAGAAATCGAGCAACAACAAGAAGAGCCAAGTGTAGCACCGCATCCTGACCGACAAGTCTTGATGGACCAGGAGGAAGAACCCGAGCAGGAGCGAACGCAGCGACGGGAATGGAAGCGCAGGCCGAAACATGCGCCTTTCAGCAAAGAGTACGAAGAGGCACAGCAGAGAAAGGCAGAGGCCGAAGAAAGGCGGAAAGCCCGCGAGGAGGCACAGCGGCAGAGAGAACAGAAGATTGCCGAGCGCGAGAAGTTCAGGAAAGCAATGGCGAAGGCTAGGACGGGAGGCAAGAATGGCCAGAGGAAGCTAGGTCGCGAGAGTCAGCCGCTGTTGGAGAAGGTCAAGAGGTTGATGGGTGAGACGTGACGTGAGGCTTGGACGTGCACGATTTTTATACAACTGTTCTGCGGAATTATATTGCGATGACTGGCCATGGATCTGGAGATGATCGATCAACCTTGCAGGCATGGCAGAAGGGCAGGCTAGATCCTGCAGTCCTCCTCGCCATCTCCTACGGAGTCCGTTGATGGTCCAGAAAAGATTTTTTTGCGTGGCAGACGTTGGACTCCTTTTGCCGGTCTTCTGAAGCTCTGGACTGATATGTCCAGATTGCTCGCGGACTCTTGCTCACTGGTCCCTTTGGACCAGTATTCGGGACTTCCGTGTACGACTTTTCAGAAAGCCAGAGCACTGAGTCTACGTTACAAGGAAGCAGCTCGAAGCGCTAGAAGTCTTGGATGACATGAACACGACACGAACTGCTGCAACCACACATGTAAAAGTCCGTCTACTCTTTGGGAGCGCCTAGAGCGGGAGTGGAATGCCTGGGCGTGAAAGGAGAAGCCACAGAGCATTCACCCTTCAGTATCGACGTCACAAGCAAAGAGGGCTTTTTCTCCCGCCGCTCTTTCAGATCTTCCTCCCATCCTCTCCAACCTTGAACGATGTCTGTATAGTCAGTGCACGTCGCAGCGATGAGGGTCAAGCGACGCCCTATATGCACGACAAGGGTCCACCGCACAGTCAAGATCGACACCGCCTGGAATCCACAGGAGGCGACAACAGGTCTCACTCTACGCCCGACGACGGCGCACAGTGCCCCTCCTAGTCCTGAAGCAAAGCCCTTCCGTTTACGCGACCTGCCCTCGGAGGCTCGAATCGAGATTTACAAACATGCTCTCGTAAAACTTGAGCCGATCAGACTCGAGCTTCGCAGCGGTTCGAAGCACGGCCGAGAAATCGTCAACGCTGACCACAAACGAAACTATAACCACCATCACAACGGGCGGTTTCAGGCGTACGACAAGACGAAAGGCGAATGGGTCGATGCGCCTCCTATTGAGAACGCCATTATATTCGTCAATAAGGCAATCTGCCTCGAAGCAACGGCAGTACTATACGGCAGTAATACGTTCACGTTCAAGACCACCACGGCACTCGACCACTTCCTCGACACCATTGGTATGCGCGCTCAACACCTGCGGCATGTCATCGTCGGCCCGAAAGGATATGTCAAATCCACAGTCAAGTCTGCAATGGTTAAGCTAGCTGCTGTGGCTACGGATCTTCGAAGAATCGAATTCTCTCACGATGAGTTCTGTCCCTACGATGATCCAAAGACGCCTAGGATCAGGGATCTCGTTCAGAATTGCGCGCCGCTGCTTCGTGTATTGGAGAAGGAGTTTGCCAACCGCAATGTGGATGTCAGTCAGATCCTCCAGATTGGTGGCGAATTCTCGTGCTGCTGGGAGGATGCAGGAAACTCGGGCGAATTGCAGAGATGTATACAGGAGATACTTGATGAGGAGCAGTAGGATGGACGTACAGGGGGTAGAGAGGGGGGAAAGACGAGTTGATTTGGTTGGCGCATTGGCTCTTCTACGCAGCAGAATATGTATGTCACATGTCGAGAAGGATTCTCATCATGATTGACTATTCTCCGCGCGGGAAGGGTCGATCGTGGTTTTGGATACCACCCTTGCAGAGTTGCTTGTGGTAGCTTGCCAGTATTACGCTACACATGACATACATAATCACGACACGCAAAGCATGCACAAACAGTCTGCTTCAATTGTCCATTCGTTCAGCTAAATGCTGCAAGCCTACGACCACGCTCTTCGTAACACAGTCGAGGGAGCGACTGTCAAGAATAGACCTGAGCGCCCATCAACCACAGCCATTGCCCCAACACATCTTACTTCGACTTCGCAGCCCACTCCGCGCCCTTCTTGTTCATCGTAGCCGTCGCAGCCTTTGCAGCAAGATCTGCTGGGGAAGTTGTTGACTGTTTCGTCGGCCTTGGCCCAGTATTTTTCCAAGCGTCGCTAGGACCAGCAGTGCATGTCATTCCACTGCTGCTACTGCCACTGTAGCTCGTTGGTTGCCTTGTTGTTTCTGGCATGGTTAGAGCTGATGAGGGGTTGTTCGTTGAGATTGGGAGTTAGGTTTGGTTGATTGGAGGATGATTTTGGAAGGTGTGTGTGGAGAGAGAGTAAAGGGAGGTATGGCAAGAGGGTTCTATATCGATTTCGTGCATTTGGTCAATATTGAGAGTGGAGGAGATGTTGATTTGTATGTGTTCTGTGGCGTTTGTAGAGGTTATTGAAGATAGATGTGTATGTGTCGATGGAGGATACTATGTTCCAAGGCTTTAACATCGTTAAACACCCTTCAATGTGTGTAGTGGCAAGCAGATTGTTTTTCCAATCTCATCGATCTTCTACTCGTGGCCATTTTGCGCTACACTACTCCGTACATGATTCGAATTGCGCAGATAGGGGGAAGTATCGCGGTGAAACGACTGTAAAGCATTGTTGATTGGAGACAGGATTTGAGATCTCAGCATGAGCTACGATGCACTGATCTGTTGCAATCAGATATGTGTTTGCTCCGTCGACAGCCTGCACCGGCCATTGCAGGTACTTCCTATCGAACGAGACTGCCCATGGCTCCCAAACCCCTCAACCCCTACTTGTTTCCAGCAGTTCTGTAGGCCGCTCTCTGCGATGGGTAGGAGCCCTCTGTCCTTGCGATCAAGAATATCGTTGGGTTGGATCCGGTGTTTGTAGGTAGAGACGAAATGCTTTTGCCAATCGAGAAAGAGAAAGGAGAAGAGAGTAGGAAGACGCTCTCTGATACAGAGATGATGCGCTCATTCTGGTAATTGGAACAATCGTTGGGTCGTATCGAGTGTGCAGAGAGGAAAAGGTTTCGGCATCCGAGAAATAGAAAGGAGAAGGGGATATGTGGCGCTCTCTGATATAGTGGTGAGTTCCTCATTCTGGTAATCGGAACAATCATTGGGTCGTATCGAGTGCTGTATGTAGAGACGAAGAGCTTTTGCCGACCGAGGAATGAAAAGAGAAGAGGTAGAAGGGCGCTCTCTGATACCAAAAAATGACCCCCGTGCTTACGTTTGCAATAATCGCTGGCTCGTATCGCGTGCTTGTATGTAGAGACGAAAAGCTTCTGCCCTCCAAGGGAAACGAGAAGAGGCCGAAGGGTTGACTCTGATACCAGGAAGAGACGCTCGTGCTTGCGTTTGCCATAACCGTTGGGTCGCATCGTATGCTTGTATCCAGAGACGAAAGGCTTTTGCCACCCAAGAGAAAGGAGAAGAGGACAGAACGGCGCTCTCCGATGTCAGGACCAGACCCCTGTCTTTGCGTATGTAACAATCGTTGGGTCGGGTCGCGTGCTTGTATGTGGAGACAAATATATTTTCGCCAGACGAGCAAGAGAAAAGCGGAGAGGGCAGAAGGACCAGGTGAGAGTAGAACAAGTCAGCCATCGGTGCTGCTGTATGTCTCCGTAGTTTCGGGTTCGACCTTGCCACTGGGGGTGTCGTCTGGCTCCGTGAAATGACAGTCGTGATCTTGGTATTGCTTATTCCGACTGACCCGTAGCGCTTGAAGACCATTCGAAGTTCAACGCAACTCTATTGTTCTCGTGTATGTTCTTGTGCGAAGATAGGCGAGCCCCAGATTGATATCCGTGTATTTGTGCTTGGAATAACGCTCCGTAGCGGAGATCTGTATGTCCATACATAGAAAACAATGCTTTTAGTGAATTAATCGTGTAGAACATCGAGGCTCATCTCCGTACTGTGCCTTCTCACTCTTCATCGAGGTATGCTCTGGCAATCTCCCTGAAAGCTCCCTCGAAGACCTCGAAGTCCTCTCTGGACTGGCCGGCCATGTCGTTCAACCACACTGTCCCACGTGTGAATTGAACTATATCGCTGACCTTCCAGACCCGATTCGATGCCTTATACTTCTTCTTCAGCTCTATCAGAAACAGCCGAATGACTTTGTGGAAGGCGCAGGCCCACGATTCTGGGTCCTGTGGGTCTTTGGCAGCCTCCTTCGCCTCCCGATAGACCAAGCGCTCTGGTAGGTACAACCGATGAAGACCGCTAGCGTTCTCCAGCGCTCCCAAGATCTGCTTGAGCTGCTTGAAACCTCGGACCTTCTGGACTTCGACCTCTCCGAGGTGCTTGGCTGAAGATCCAATGACTTCCACAAATCGATCCACGCGACTGAACACTTCATTCTTGAAGATGAATCGGTTCATTCTGTAGGCAACAGGTGCTGCCTCGTGGTGAATTTGTTTGTTGACGAGCAATAGGCTCAGTCCACTCGGGGGACCGCCAACCCACTTCGCCGTCTGATGGTCCCAAATCTGGCCAATATGGGTCTTGCGGTTGCGAAAATTGGGTCCGCAGACCAGCTTGGTACTCTCGGTTGGACCGCGCTCAACGCCTCTCTTTCTGCTGAAACTGCCGCTGTAGATGTCGATCTGGTAGCCTTTTCTCTCGGCGAACACATATCCATAGATTCGCTCGCGCAGTTCAGGCGGGAGATCAAGGAGGCGAAAGCCAACCTTCGTCTGAACTTCGATAATGAGTCGACCCTTCATGGTTCCATCCGGGACTACGGTTGTCTTGATGCTGAAGTCGTTGTGGTTTTGCGAACGGAGCTGTTCCACCATTCTCTCTAACGAGACGCTGTTGGGCATGTGGTTGTCCGGTAGTGTCGACATGGCTTGGTTCTTTTGTTGAGTGTCCAGTGAATGAGTACGTTGTGTAGTGAAGTGCTATTGATCAGGGATGCGAGTCGACTGTTTTGGTGGATGTATCGTATCGAAGGTCAAAGGTGTAATTGGTGAGAAGTTCTGTGGTTTTATGGTAGCTGTTGATGAGTGAATGCAACTTTTCATCAGCATCGGCACATGATGGGCAATCTTGTGCTCTACCATATTGTCATGTGAACTCCTGCCTGCCTGGAATAGAGCCAATTGGCTTTTCAAAGCCGTGCCTGCCTGTCGAAGTGAATAAGTAATCGTGAACTGAAGGAAACTGCCCTCGAGATTTCACTTTGAAGTCTTGCAACTGAAGAACATGAAAATTCCACACAACTTGTCATCTGCTCCTTTGATGGTACATCCCTGGGCTACTATCAACGAACAAGCACAAAAGTTGAGGGGTTAGATACTTGACACGTGCTCTCATATGCAATATCCATCCCCTGTGAAAGACCCGTCTGACTCCGTCGCATTTCGCTCACTATACACATTTCCACAATCAAGATGCAAATTTCGCCTGGGTGTGCTGCTGCTGCTGCTGCTGCGTTTGTTCCGCAGCTTGTCCTGGCCTGGGCTGTCAACTTTGACTTCTATAGTCTGTTGGTGCTCCTCTCATTTCATGTCTGCTTTCCAATCCGTGGAAAATGCTTATAGCAGAAGCTCGAGTGGGTTCTCGATGACCTTCTTCAACTCGCGCATGAACTCGCCACCAACCGCACCATCGACAACCTTGTGGTCGAACGAGCCAGTAAGGACGATCTGCTCTTCCCACTCAACACCCTCACCATCCTCGCTTGGCACGGCAACCTTCTTCACGGCACCGACTGCCAGGATGGTGGCTTGAGGTGGGTTGATGACAGCGGTAAATCGATCAATGGCGTCGTTCATGCCCATGTTGGAGATAGTGATAGTGCCGCCCTGGTATTCCTCTGGCTTGAGCTTACCATCGCGTGCACGCTTACCAAGGTCCTTGATTTGTGATGAAACAGCCTCGAGACCAGATCCAGTAACGTTCTTGACGATAGGAGTCATGAGTCCAACGGGAGTAGCGACAGCAACGGAGACATCGACAGTGTTGTGTTGACGAATGAAGACCTTGCCGTTCTCTTCACGCCATGAGCTGTTGGCAGCTGGGACCTTGCGGGCAGCGTGCGCGAGAGCTTTGACTAGGAAGTCGTTTACGGAGAGCTTGTACTTGCCGTCCGCCGATGAGTTGAGTGCCGCGCGGAGCTTGAGGAGCTTCGATACGGAGACGGCGGATGCGACAAAGTAGTGTGGGTTCTGGTTCATGGACTCTGTCAGGCGCTTGGCAATGGTCTTGCGCATGGAGCTGGCCTCGAGATCCTCGAAAGTTGGTGCTGCACCAGCACCGGCAACTGCTGGAGCAGCGGCGGACGGCTTCGCGTTCTCAATGTCCTTCCTCGTGATCTTGCCACCTGGACCACTGCCCTTGATATCCTTGAGTGAGACGCCCTTCTCCAGAGCGAGCTTCGCAAGAGCTGGTCCGATGACCGATCGCTCGATCGAAGGCTGGAGCTTCTCGCCAGTAGATTCGGATTCGACAGCCTTAGGAGCCTCCTGCTTTGGTGCTGGTGGTGCGGTTCCAGATCCCTCGGTGTTCGGTGGCTCTGATGCGTCTGCTGCTTCTTGTCCACCCTGCTTCTTGCTCTCGGAAGCAGACTTCTCTCCACCGGCATCCTCGATGCTGAAGCCCTCGAACGCTGAGATATCACCTCCCTCTTCCACCATGACAGCGATTGGCTAGAGATGTGCGTTAGCATTCCCCGAAGTTATCCCAATGGCTTGTTCTCAGCTCACGTTGCCAACGGCGACATCCTTCTCGCCCGACTCCTTCAGGACCTTTGCGAGGACACCCTCCTCTTGGAACTCGAAGTCCATCTGTGCCTTGTCTGTCTCGATCTCGACCAGGACGTCTCCGGGGGAGAGGGTGTCACCGGGCTTCTTTTGCCAAGCCCCAATGTTTCCTGCGGTCATGGTAGGCGAGAGGGCGGGCATGGAGATGATGGTATGCGGCGGGTAAGCTGTACATTGCCTGTTAGAGATTGTCCGAGATGCTTTTCAGGTTTTCCGGAATGTATCATACATTTAGAGGCATAGTAGCGGGCCAGTGCCGATAGGGCAGGTATTCTGCTGCGAAAGGCATTGCGGTCAGCTCATGCTCCAATGTCGCCAATATGCACGTCTACACACCTCGAGGCATGTTGTGTCTTTAGCTGTGTCCATGCGCCCCGTGTTGCGACTCCCCGGGAAGCTCGTGCGAGCAGCGAAGCGGAGCCCATTGTGTTTTTGCGGCGGCAGCTAGCTCTGGAGCTGTGCAGGTCGGGAGGGAGCAGAGGTGGCCGGTCGCTGCGACACTCTGCACGCGGAACGGGGCAGGGTGCGGTGGAGGAGAGGCGCGCAAATGGCGAGGAATTGATGGGGGAGGAAAGGCGTGTGTTTGGGGGCAGCGAGCGGGTGAGTGAATGGAATTCCTTGGACGTTGAGTAGCGTTCGGGAGTGGCAGGATCAGTGAGAGCTCCGACGACAATCACTTTTGTCTGGAATCGGCCCGCAGTGACCCTGCTCAGGCTGCTCTATACTTGTCGCGCGCAACCGCAACTCCGACGACGCCTTACGTTATCTGCAGCGCGCCCCCGACCACCGCGGACGTGTTTGTGCAGGCGAGTGCACCAGGATATGCGATTACAGTTCTGTAGTTCAATGTTCCGACGAGCAGGCGCGGAAAGTTGCACGGCGGGCATTTTGCGCCTAAGACAACACGTTGCGTAGGGCTGGCGGTGCGCTAGTCGATCTCCCTCACAAAGAGAGGGCCAAGTCCATAGTCCCCTATTGAATACACCTTATGCTCCCTCCGCACCACCACTGGGAATTCGTCGGCGTGACCCCACGAGTATATGAGGAACATGTCACGAGCGTAGCATGCTCGACGAGACAGCTGCTTCCACCCTCCGTCGCATCGATTCAGCCTGCTCATGGCCCACGACCAAGACGAGCAGCAAGCAACCGCTTCCCCGGCGGAGCTCGAGCTGACAGCACGTGAACATGGAAATGCGCCCACAGAACAGTCGCCAGACATGGACCACGACACAGATGCTGCCTACGAGCACGTAGATTTAGATGACGAAGCTCCCGCCGACACCGAGAGCACAGCGCATGAGGATACAGAGCAGCCGCAGGAAGATGTAGCAGCACCGGATGCTGTCGACAATACCGAAAGTCAGCAGCATGATGCCACAATGCCTACGGTCGAGACGAACGTCCAGTCCACGCCGGACAGTGTGGCCTCGCCAGCGACCGCGAACGAATCGACCCCAGACACTCCCACCGCACGATCGATAGCCGGCACCACCCGGCAACGAACAGACTCGCAGTCGACCACTGCCACGACTGCTACAAAAGCATCAGTCCGGTCCACGCGGACGAGCATGGTCTTTGTAGTGTCAGCCTTGGAGAACATTGCTGCCTCCAAAGATGCCCGCAAGCGAAAGGAGTTGCTAGATTCGACCCAGCGGGCACTCTCTGCGATCCGAGCTGCTCAAGGGGATGCTTCTCAGATCAGCCCGGAGGTGCTGTTCGAGCCTTTGAGTTTAGCATCAGAGTCAACGACAGAGGCGGTGGTGGTCTCGGCACTGGACTGCATAGGCAAATTGATCAGCTACTCCTACTTCTCCATACCTGCAACATCGGAAGGAGAGTCAGCTGAAGATGGCAGACGACCGCCGCTCATCGACAGGGCAATCGACACTATATGCGATTGCTTCCAAGGAGAGTCGACTCCGATCACGGTGCAGATGCAGATCATCAAGAGCTTGTTGGCTGCCATTTTGAACGATAAGATTGTGGTGCACGGTGCAGGCTTGCTTAAGAGCGTGCGGCAGACATACAACATCTTCTTGTTGAGCAAGAATAGTGCGAATCAGCAGATCGCACAGGGGACACTGATGCAGATGGTAGGCACTGTCTTTGAGCGGGTCAAGGTGCGGTTGGCGAACAAGGCATCTCGAGCTCCTACTGGTCTTGGGTCAGGCAATGGCGTGGATGGACACTCAGATGCATCATCTGTGGTAGGCGGAGATGAAACGCCGTCCGTCGCAGAGGTAGCCACTCCGGACGAGGAAAAGGCACAACCCAAGATGACCCTGCAGACATTCGAGACACGCAAGTCATTCGACGACGCTCGGATTACGGACAGCGCTCCGACCATGGTGACCAAGGCGAAGAGGCCTGGCAAAAGGTCAAGAAATGGATCCGGACCTGATGTCCCATCGATCACTGTGCAGGACGAGAAGTCAGAGGCCGTGACTGAAGACGAGGAAGAGGACGAGATTTACATCAAGGACGCCTTCTTGATCTTCCGAGCAATGTGCAAACTCTCTACAAAGGCGCTGCGCGTGGAAGACGCCGTGGATGTGAAGTCGCAGGGGATGCGATCGAAGCTGTTGAGCTTGCACATCGTTCATACGGTTCTGTTCAATCATTCAATCGTGTTCACATCTCCATATTCCACGATCCGGAGCTCTTCAAATACCGAACCCACTGGCTTTGTGCATGCGATCAAGCAGTACCTCTGCCTCAGTTTGAGCAGGAATGGGGCGAGCAGCATCAATAAAGTTTTCGAAGTCTCAGCCGAGATTTTCTCCTTGATGATGAGACATTTACGATCACACCTCAAGCGCGAGCTAGAGGTGTTCCTCAAGGAGATTTACATCGCAATCCTGGAGAAGCGTAATGCTCCACAATGGCAGAAGAGCTACATCGTGCAGCATGTCTTTGGGCGAATCGGGTCTGACCCGAGAACGCTTGTTGAAATATATTTGAACTACGATTGTGATCGGCAGGCATTGGACAACATGTACCAGCGCATAATCGAGCATGTGAGCAGAATGGCGAGCCAGCCAGTGACAGTTAACGGCCTGCAGGAGCAGGCATATATAGATGCTACTGCAAAGCAGAACAGCGCCATGTACGACTGGCGAGACCGGGGGACGATGCCCCCGAGTCTCACGACTGCAAACATGAGCTCGCCACACGAGGCTGAGCAACAATACCCAGCCGAGTACGCGATGAAAATCCAGAGCTTGGAGTGTCTGCTGGAAACGCTTCGCAGCATGGTGAACTGGAGCCAGCAAGCGCAATCGGAGGTGCCCAACGCCCCTTCGGCAGACTCTGATTCACGATTCTCAGTCGAGGATCAACGAGAGAGTATCGACACAAGAGGCGATGCTGAGGCTACTGAGGTCCCTCCCACACCACGAGTGCCTGACACTCCATTGCCGGAAGATGATCCCGTGGAGCTCGAGAAGGTCAAGCAGCGGAAAACGGCGTTGAACAATGCCATTCGCGCATTTAACTACAAACCGAAGCGCGGTATCAAGCTGTTGATCGAAGAAGGTTTCATCACTTCTCCAGATCCTCAAGATGTGGCCAAGTTTTTCTCCGGAAACGAGCGCATCAACAAGAAATCGCTTGGCGAGTTCTTGGGCGAGGGCGACGAGGAGAACATAAAGATTATGCACGCGTTCGTCGACAATATGGACTTCTCGCGAACGAGGTTCGTCGATGCATTGCGACGATTCCTGCAGTCCTTCCGTCTGCCAGGTGAGGCGCAGAAGATCGATCGTCTTATGCTGAAGTTCGCAGAACGTTATCTCACCGGCAATCCATCTGCATTCGCCAACGCAGACACTGCATATGTGCTTGCTTACAGTGTAATCATGTTGAACACTGATCAGCACTCTGCACAGGTGAAGAAGCGCATGACCGTGGAGGACTTCATCAAGAACAATCGAGGTATCAACGACAATGCGGACTTGCCGGACGAGTATCTACAGGGCATCTTCGATGAAATCGCGAACAACGAGATCGTGTTGGACACGGAGCGAGAGAATGCAGCGAACCTGGGTATGCTGCCCCAGCAGCCAAGTGGACTCGTCAATACCCTGGCCAATGTCGGTCGCGATCTGCAGCGAGAAGCTTATGCGCAGGCGAGCGAGGAGATGAGCAACCGTACTGAGCAACTCTTCAAGAGCCTGTTGCGAGCACAAAGGCGAGCAGGTGGAGGCGCTGCTGCAAGCGCAAAGGGACGATATCTTGTCGCGAGCTCACCTAGGCACATTGGACCTATGTTCGAAGTGACGTGGATGAGCTTCTTGACTGCTCTGTCGGGCGCGGCACAAGAGAGCCAGAACATCGAAACCATTCGCCTGTGCATGGAAGGTCAGAAGCTCGCAATTCGCATCGCTTGCGTCTACGATTTGGAGGACCCCAGACAAGCGTTTGTGAGCAGTCTGTCAAGGAGCACAAATCTCTACAATTTATCCGAGATGAAAGCCAAGAATGTCGAGGCACTGCGAGCACTGATCGAGATTGCTTATACTGAAGGCGACTATCTCAAGGAGAGCTGGCGAGACATTCTCACATCAGTGTCACAGCTTGATCGATTCCAGCTGATTTCAAGTGGTGTAGAGGAAGGTGCTGTTCCTGATGTGTTGAGGGCGAACAGCACATCGCAAAGCCCACAAGTCAACGGCAATGCCAGGAAAAAGAGCCTCAACGCACAACGACGGCCTGCGACCCGCGCTGGCAATAGCAATTCATATCATGCCGAGATTGCAGAGGATGCAAGAAGTGCCGACATGATTCGTGGTGTTGATCGCATCTTCACCAACACAGCCAACCTTTCCGGCACAGCCATCGTTGACTTTGTCAAGGCATTGACGCAAGTCAGCTGGCAAGAGATCCAATCTTCAGGCAAGTCGGAAACACCGCGGACATATTCCCTGCAGAAGCTCGTCGAAATCTCAGGCTACAATATGCTTCGTGTCAAATTCGAGTGGACAAGCATTTGGAAGATCCTCGGACAGCACTTCATCGATGTTGGCTGCCACAACAATACACACGTCGTCTTCTTTGCACTTAACAGCTTGCGACAGCTGAGTATGCGTTTCATGGAGATCGAGGAATTGCCTGGTTTCCAGTTCCAAAAGGACTTTCTCAAGCCGTTTGAGCTGATCCTGAGTAACGCTCAGCAGGTCACAGTCAAAGATATGGTCCTCCGCTGTCTGATACAGATGATACAGGCCAGAGGCGATATGATTCGATCCGGATGGAGGACGATGTTTGGCGTGTTCACCGTTGCTGCCAGAGAGCCGTACGAGAGCATCGTCAATCTGGCCTTCGACAACGTGACGCAAGTGTACAATGAGCGCTTCGGCGTGGTGTTGTCTCAATCGGCTTTTGCGGACTTAGTCGTGTGCTTGACTGAGTTCAGCAAGAATATGAAGTTCCAGAAGAAGAGCTTGCAAGCTATCGAAACGCTGAAGTCGACAGTTTCGAAGATGCTCAGGACGCCCGAATGCCCACTCAGCCAGAAAGCGCCCGGACACAAGGACGCACCACAGGCTACTAACATACCCAAACAGCCAGTGCGACGAACACAGGAAGAGCAGTACTGGTTCCCGGTGCTGTTCGCTTTCCACGATGTCCTTATGACTGGCGAGGATCTGGAAGTCCGTTCGCGAGCGTTGAACTATCTCTTCAATACTTTGACCAAATACGGCGGCGACTTCCCTCGCGACTTCTGGGACGTGCTGTGGCGACAGCTGCTCATGCCAATATTCATGGTGCTGCGGGACCGTAAGAGCGTCAACGTGGAGGCTGCGAACTCGGAAGAGCTGTCTGTTTGGTTGTCGACGACCTTGATCCAAGCACTGCGGAACATGATCAGCCTGTTCACGCACTTCTTCGACAGCCTGGAGTACATGCTCGACCGCTTCTTGGAGTTGCTCACGCTGTGCATCTGTCAAGAGAATGACACGCTCGCACGAATTGGCAGCAACTGCCTGCAACAGCTCATTCTCCAGAACGTGAAGAAGTTCAGCCCCAGTCACTGGGAGAAGATCGTGGCAGCATTCGTCGATCTTTTCGCGAAGACGGAAGCGAAGGAGCTCTTCTCGGCAGCTACGTCGTCGAGCTACTCACGAGAAAGCTCATACACAAATGGCGCATTCGAGAATGCCAAGGCACAACCTCGCGATCTTGCTGCCGATGATGCGGCGTCCGTGATGTCTGCCAACAGCAATGCGCTGGGAATGATCAACACCGATGAGCCTGAAAGGCCGAACGGGCTTGACCGTGCCCCCTCGAACACTCTTTCACTCTCCCCTGAACACGAGGACCCAAGCCCCTCGCCTTCACAAGGACCCCGCCGACGCCAATCCGATGCCCTCGAAGACTTCAGCAACACAGGCGCCTCCTCCCAACAACAACAAGCACCCGTCGTTGTGACAGCCGCACGCCGCCGCTACTTTAACCAAATCATCACCAAATGCGTCCTCCAACTCCTCATGATCGAAACCGTCTCAGAACTCTTCAACAACGACGCAGTCTACGCTTCCATCCCCTCCCACCTCCTTCTCGAACTCATGGCCCTCCTCAAAAAATCCTACCACTTCGCAAAACGCTTCAACGAAGACCGCGAACTACGCGGAAGACTTTTCCGCGAAGGATTTATGAAACAACCGCCGAATCTCCTGAAACAGGAATCCGGTTCTGCGTCTGTTTACGTGAGCATTCTGTTGCGCATGTATGCGGATAGTTCGAATGAACGAGCGAAATCTCGACCGGAGACGGAGAGGGCTTTGATTCCGCTTTGCAAGGATATCATTGCTTCGTATATTGGGCTTGATGAGGAGACACAGCAGAGGAATATTGTGACGTGGAGACCTGTTGTCATTGATGTTCTTGAAGGTGTTGCTGGGTTCCCTGATGAGGAGTTCGGGAAGCACGTGGAGGCTTTTGCGCCGCTTGCTGTGGGGTTGATGGCTAGCCGCGACCCCATGGGCGGTGAGTTGCAGAGGGCTGTGATGGGGATTTGGTCGAGGGTTTGTGAAGTGAGACTGGGGATTGAAGTCCCAGCGGAGCTTGTTGGTGGCGCTGCGGGAAAGGATGGCGGGCAAAATGCGACTAGTCCTGGAGGGACGCGAGACAGGCCGGGCGTATTTGGTGGGAGAAGGATGAGTCGGGTGAATAGTTTGAATAGTGGTGGGAGGTGAAGCTAGAGAGGATAAAGAAGAATATGATATGAGATATCGTGAAACGATGTCTCTATTAGGCAGCCATACACGCGAGCTGGACATTCCGCGCGCGTGCTTTGATCAATTGCAGAATGTCCCCTGTGTACACGCAGACTCGATCACTATTCTGAAGAGATATCGAATTCCAGCTCTACTGATTTTTCGCATATTGCTAGGCATTCAACACGGGAATATTCCGTTCTAAATACCCGTACCACTTCGGCAAGGTACGCTTAAAAGGCGTATCCTTCATAAGATCTTCAATCGCCGAGGCCCATTTGATCAGCGCATCTTCTCTCCACGCAGTCTGCATCAACGCAAACCCAAACGGCATCCCGCTATCAGTATTCACGCCTGCTGGAATTGTGATCACTGGATAGCCAGCTTGTGCAGCAATTTGGTAGGTTTGGCCCACGTCAGGAGGAACGAGGATGGCGTCTAGTTTTGTGCCGTTGGGTCCTAATGATAATGCGTGATCGATGCCGCGTTCGCGAGTGCTGGTTCGGCAGAAGTTCAGTGCTTGGAAATATGTTTCGTCTTGTATGCCGTTTGTTTCGAGGCTGGCGAGTAAGCCGTCTTGACCTGAGTAGAATGCTGGGTTGCCGAGAGGCCAGGGGTTGCCGCCTTCGCTGCCATCATTTAAGTAATTGTAGGCTACGATGTCTTCTAGTGATCGCATATTCGTGTTGTTCAGTTCGGCGAGGTAGTTCTTGAGGTCTCGATAGAAGTCGACTTTGATGTAAGTGTACTCGCTCTCGTTGGGAAAGCCGCGGGTAGTTCCTGGTGCTTGTCAGTCATCGTTCTCGGAAAAATATTTCGAGCATACCGTAGTCCCAGTTCCAGCCATTTGGTGAAACGATCCTCTCATAGTCCAAAATCTCTGTGTTGTTGACGATTCGAGCTCCGACTTTCTCGATGAGATCAATCATCGAGGTGAGCACTTCCTGTTGTTCAGGCGTAGCGAAGCGCCAAAAGCTCTGCCATGGCACGCCAAATGTAGCGGTATGCAATGATGTACGATCAGACAAGAACTGAGTATAGCCATGTGTTGGTGTGCGGTCAATCTGGGACAATGTCTGATTATCCTTCTCGTCTGGTCCGTAGATTGCATCAAGCACGTAAGTCGCATCCCGAACACTCTTCGCGAACACGCCTACAGTATCCTGGGTGAGTGACTCTGGGACCACGCCGGCGCGAGAAGTCAACCCAACAGTCGGCTTGATCCCAACAATTGCGTTGCGTTCTGCTGGGTTGATGACACTGCCATCAGTCTCCGTGCCAAGGGCAAATGGAAATACATTCGCGGCAACACCAACAGCTGAGCCACTACTACTGCCTCCTGGATTGACTGTCAGGTTGTAGGCTGAGCGACATTGGCCACCACGAGCGGAGTACCCTTCACTGTAGTTATTGCTTCTCATACTCGCCCATTCGCTAAGTGTGGCTTTGCCGAGCAGTACTGCTCCTGCTTCTCGAAGCTTACGAACAACATGTGCATCTCGAGGCACGATTGAGCCCTGTAGTGCCCAGCTACCAGCGGTTGTCTGCATTTTGTCTTTGGTTGCGATGTTGTCCTTGATCATGAATGGAAGCCCATGTAAAGGTCCTCGCACATGGCCGGTCGTCCGCTCCTGATCTCGCGCAGTTGCGATTTGCATGAAGTCCGGGTTTATCTCGAGTACGGCATTCAGGTAGTCATCTGTCTGCCACATTCGCTGCATGTAACAAAACGCAAGTTGTTGCGAAGTGAGTGTGCTTTGCGTGAGATAGCTCTGGATCTGGTCGATCGAAGCTTCTTCGATTTGATGCCCATGGCACAGCGGCATTGGAAACAGGTTACTGCTGTTGGCGACATTCTGACCCGGGAATGCTTGGTAGTCTGCCACTTCGGAGTAAGGCGAAAGACATGTAGAGTTGCTGTGATTGTTGGTGGAATGGGCAAGCACTGTGTCCAATAGTAGCAGCGCGATGTATGCAAACATCTTGGGCAGAGCTACCGTTGTCACTCTGGCCTATGGAGATGGCCGACTGACTGATTCGAGGCTGTTCATGTGTGCAAACGAAAGAAGCAATCATACCTCAGCTCTGGCGGCGTCATGGCAGGATTCCTTGGCATGCATTGGTCCTTTTGCGATAGTGCCACAGTTACTCCCAGCATGGAAGGGAATAGGCAAGCCGCCCAACATGGCATACAAAATGACGAGGTAATGGGAAAGAGTCGCCCTTTCCTTTCGAGCGTATCGCGCCGCCAAGAACTCGCGCTCGGCTCCACCTGGGCATGCACTTGGATCGCCACTGCAACTTCATCTGCAAACTCATCAACAATCATGTCGCCTCCATTTGAGAAGTGGTTCATTGCACGATGCACTGCCGCAAGCCGGCAAGCCCTTTACTAATTCGAGGACTAAACCTCCTCCAGGATGTGAGGAGCTGACTGATCACTCTGGGCAGCATTCGATACCGATTGAGGGAGGCCGTGTAACGCCCGCGCTCTCATGGAGTTCGTATCCCCGGGTCTGATCTCATCGCACGGCCTCGTCGTCCACTGCGGTGTTCAGTGCCAGTCGAGAATGAGGTAAGACAGCTGGGGCGACCTATTCTCCCATCATGGGTGAGTAGGCATCGAAAAGTGCTGCCTTCGCTTGGGGTGCGAGGACTATCTGGAGGATCTGGAAGGTCGTGGTGCTGGTCCGTACAGTACGAGAAGTACTGTCCGGGGAGTCGGATTGGAACTTCTTGCGCCGCCGCCGCTCGTCTCATCATCGGAGACGCGTCTTCGCGTGTGTCCTGGTCTGAGACATCGTCCTCGAAAGTCGGACTGCGGCGCAACACAGGCACCGGATACGACTGCTCCGACAGCTGGACGTGAAGTTGAGCTTGAGCTCGCTTCCAAGAGCTTGCTGCGCCTCGACGTGATCGAGGGATCTGGTCGAGACTTCAAGCATCCATCTTCGTCATTCTTCCCCACTTTTAGTGCAGACCTTCCCACGAGGCCGAGAAGCTAACTAGAGCACAGGTATGCCCGGCCACGGGCGAACCTCCAATGGACAGCGAATCAAGGTAACACCTCGAGCTTGGCAGGCATGGGTAGTAGAGCCACATGCCTCGTTTACTAGACCCGCTGACTGCATGGCTGACGGGTCGACAAACACACCTTAAATCGACAACCCTACGTCTATCTCCCAGATTCGCCCCTTCAGAAGCGCTCGACTCAGACTCTTGACATCGACACTTACAGTCCACTCACCAACAGTTCGAGGTCTAAATGTCACGCAACGGGACTTCTCCATTTGAGGTGTCCGCGCCATTGAGCTTGTCCTCAGGCCCTGACTCCAACGAATATCCCTCTACAGATAAGAAGCCGGATCTGGAGCGACACATCTCCCACATACCGCAAGACAGCGACCTCGAAGATGAAATAGAAGAGGAAACCGCGCACGATACTTCCGGCACATCCGGCGGCGGCATCAAGTCCAAGCTGAAAAAGCTCAAGAACCGTGTAACGCACCACTCTCACGACAAAGATAAATCCACCACTCTCTCAACAGATCCCACGGACCGCATTGAGAAACGTCACGATTCAGGCAACGCGACTTCAGACTTCGAGATCACTCCCGGCATCGGCGGAGTCAGCAGCGCGAGCAATGCTGGTGGAGACTACCTGACTGCTTCTTCTGCAGAACATCACAAAGCTATCACGCCAAATCTGGAACGCCATATATCAGCCATCGGGCCTGACGGGACTCTCAGTCCGAGTGCTGCGAGTCAACAGCAGCCAAAAGGTCGATCACCGAAAATGGAAAGGCATATTTCCGGCATACCGCAGGACGATTATGACAGCGATCGTGAGATTTAGCGAGTGGAGTTGAGAATTTTTTCTTTCTTGCTGGTGTAGTTTTTGACATTGGTGATGCGAATACATATCGAATGGCATGGCATGGCGAGGAGTCAACGTTTTTTTGTCGGCACGAAGCTACTTTCTCTACGGCTGCGCCAAATTTAGCTCTGCTGAAGCTGCAGAATTATACCTATGATGTTGATACTGGAAAATTCCGTCGCGCATCTAGTCGTATCCCGCTTTCGAGAACGATCACAGTGCAGCCGGGTGTCAGTGCGATCTCGAAACCTTGATGTGTCGGAAACACTGGGCACGGACCTGTACCGTGATGATAGACGCAGAGAGCATGCGCATTCGCAGCCTTTACTAGAAGCTTATGTGCGAGTCGTAAAAGCTGAAAAGGTGATTGGCAAGGCCAAAGGTCGAATCGTGTTGTACATATCTCATTTTTGGTCCGTATTTCCGTACTATTACAGCCAGATCCAGCTCCAACTGACACAGGCTAAGGGTATCTCATCTATGTATGTACACACCACGACCAAAGTCCTCCCTCCAGTCAGTCGTATCACAATGCCAATCCAACCTGACTAGGATTCTGCACATGCACCCACTGACCTGGTGACTTTCTCCTCGTAGATTTTACATCGAACTCCGATGTGCAAGCGGTAGAAGGCGGCGACACTAGCGAGCGCTCTCTGCTGTGTCCCTTCGAAATGGGCGACGATGACGCACTGATGCAAGGTGACTCGAGCTCCGTCACGGTGCTAACCATCGAAGCCTCTGAAACGGTACGACGGCGCACAGAGTAGAAAGGCTGAGGTGTCGTTGTTTCTGCTGATGCAGTGTTGGAGGACAAGATGTTGGAAAGCCAGCCCGTCACCCTCGAACTCGGTCGCCTGACCACTCCGACTTCTTGCACAGTCACATTAGCGTCTGGCATATTAGTGAACGGGCGCGAGAGGCGAGATTTGACAGGTGATTTGAAGGGTGACACTGCCTCTGGAACAGCTTGACAGTTTGTTTCCAGGCGGAGCGGACGGGAGAATGCAGAGCCGATGTCACTGAGAGTTTCTGACCTCGCACGAAGTCCCATGGCGGGGGCGACAGCGGGAACATGCAGATCCTCGTGACTTGGACCCCGACCTGATTCTGCCCTGCGCTCTTCGACGATTGTGTTGAGCTCAAGAATCTCTTGGTCGAGGTCCCTGCTGTCGGCGGAAGACATGCGGTTGGACTGATTCGAACGCTTCCGGTGGATGCGAAGCCGTTCCACAGACGGGCGAGACATTGATGACGGAGTGCCCGAAGCGCTGGTCTCGATAGCTTGACGACGCAGTGATTTGATTGAACTGGAAGATGATCGAGTCGATAGCGGTGGCCTGGAGGTGTTTTGCTTCTTTGCAGTCTCCTGCGAAGGAGGGTTGTCTTCTTGCGGGCGTGGTGGCGAAGGGTCCCTGCGAGCTGTGGAACTCATCAGCTGGCAGCGCTGCCATGGAGTGTCGCGTGCCTCGCGGTACGAGTCACGATTGGTGGCATCATCAGCATCGGATGGCAACGTAGTCTGTGCGAGCTTGACACCATCACTTGCCACACCAGCTTCGTGACCCTTGAGAACGACAGGCTCTAGTTGCAACGGTTTGAGCGATCGACGTTGCTTTTCGGTCATATCAAGCTTTCGGAAGTCTTTGGGTGGACCGATGCTGATTCTTTTTGGCGACCACAGCAGGTTCGTAGAACTTTTCCTCCTGCCATGGAGTGCCATTCTGCCCATGAGAGACATTTCCCCAAAGTCCAAGGGCTTGAGTGAGGGCGGTCGCTCTGAGATGGGTCGGACACGATCGTCTTCGGTGAAGCTTCCATTCTTTTGTCTGGACAGTGGTTGGGTTGCGTTCACAGACATTGGCTGCAGTGGAGTCGGCTGGTCATTGCAGACTTGTGGTCGCGAAACGTTCGCTACGAGGGTCAGCCATCGATGCGTAGTAGATGTCGAAGGGCAAGATACCTTTTGTGTTTTTCTCTCCATACGTTTCATCGTCCCCCATTGCTGCCCAGCAGCAGAGCAAGGCGGCCAGCCAGCCTCGCACATGTCCATCTTCGTGCACGAAGAGGCCCATTGACCTCGAACTAAGGGATCATTAAGACTGAATGGTCCCGCCCGGAGAGAGAAAGAAGGAAGGAAGGGAGTAGCACGCGGGCGAGTGAAAGAGCAAGATCAAGAAAGGAAAGGACAACGGGTAAAGCAGAAGGCGCAAAGAAGAAGGCAAGACGGGAAGGAAGGTGGTGTGGTGTGAAGATGGATAGCGTCCATGTCGAGGCCGGGCCCTGCAGGTCAAGAAATAGTAGCGCGAGGCCAATCGCGGCTGCGGACGAGGGCGACAGCAGCTGCACGAGCTCGTGGCACCAGATCGCCCACCACCGTCTCTCCTCGCTGCCCCAAATCGTCAGCCTTTTGCTCGACTTTGTCACGCTCACATGCGCTGCTCGCACGAGAACAGCCGTTGGCATTCGGGCCTGAAACGGGGTGCGTCGTCGCAGCGCCGGCCGCTCATTCCTGTGGCCGGCGAATGAGCATCGCGCCCGTGTGGGCAGCCTGACGCCTCGATGGCGGCCGGCGCTCGTTCAGCGCAAGGGAAGGGCAGGAGGTGCTGCGCGAGCGCGTGTGCACGTCGTCTGCGCTTGGTGGTTTGCAGCACAGCACGAAGAGCCAAGCTTTGCAAGGGCGCATCGACCGGGTCCACCGCGCCTGCTGATTCGTCCACCCAAGAATGCTTGGAGAAAGAACGACGTCTGTGCGTGGCGGGCTGCGGATTGACTGGCCGACGCTCTTCATCACTGCGCGCTGCACGCTAACTAGCTCTTTAGCACCTCACACAACATCGACTCCCATGCTGTCGGCGGCAGGTGAGCAAACGCGAGCAGCCTGGGGATCGACAACCACGTCGGAAACGGCCATTGGCATTTCTTGCCTCTGACGAAGGCCCGTTCAGCAGAGGATACCGCTCGTGTTGCCCTCGCTCCAGAACAGCCCGTCGCGGTGCCAGGCGCTTACAGGCGACCACTGCTATCAACAGTACCGTGATCGCCACCACTGCTCCACTCGGTTGTACTCGACTATGCAAGCCAGCTGCACCACTGCTGACCCTGGACGCGTTCAGCCTGGCTGGGAAGAGACTGCCTGTGCTGTTGCATCATCAGTATACAAAGTCAGATCTGAAACACTCATGCTCAATATTCCATCGGCCAATGACGGATGTCCACAGCTGCAATGCGTCGACACATGCAAGGCAAGGCACGGCTACTGCTCGCTTTGTTGCTGCAGTCTGACACTTGCTGCGACCCAAGCATTCTCCTATGCCGTGCAACGTTGAGCAGCAGACAAAATTACTGGGGAGAGATCAAGTCTTCCTTACCTAATACTCCTCGACTTGTCACTAATTTCCACATACCAGGAGGTTTCAGAGCACAATGGCGAATGTCAATGCGCGACTGACACCTCACGGCTGCCTTAGGGAACAATGATGTCTCCTGTGGCGGTGTGCAATGGTCAATTATATGACTCGCAGGCAAATATAGAGGTACAGGACACAACAGCTACCCCGTGTAGAGGCAACGCAGACATGAGGTGATGTCTAAGAGTTCCTCGACTAACCGTGAGCCTCTACCAGACTTCGACCCTCCTAACCAATCCGTGTGCCACAATCCTCTCCATCACAATGTTCGAGAACCTCACACATGGTCATCTCCTCTAACAAGCCACCAAAGACAGACAGTCTCACAGCAACGAACACCGCACGACATGCTTCAAGACCGCCACAGTTCCACAACAGGGCGTAAGATATACATAGAAGCTTTCCAAGACAGCATCGGACAGATGTATTATCAGAAAGCAATGCTGGTCGCAGCTCATACGCAATGCCCACCCGTACATAACAAGGCTCCTGAGACGTCTGTCTCACGGGCTCTCTACGTCACCCAGTCTCAGGCGAATGCTCATATGCTTCAATGGTATATGCTGGTACGTGTCGAGCTGCATTGAGCTTGAGTAGCTCGAAAATTCGGCTTGAGCGGCATGCTATTCGGATTTGCGTTAATGCAGACTGCATAGCGAGAAGATGCACTTGTGAAATGGGCTTCGGCAGTCGAAGATCTAATAAAGGATACGCCTTATAAGCGTAGGTTGCCGAAGTAGTACGGGTATCTGGAACGGAATATTCCTGTTGTAAATGCTTAGAAATCTGCGAAACGTATGCTGAGCTGTGATTCGATTGAATACTCTGAATAGTGATCAAGACCACGTTTTGAGCGCGTGAGTGAAGCATGTGAGCGCTGGATCACTAGTCAGTAACGCAGAACGGCTTTAGTAGCCTGTGAGCTGCGACACTGCCTCGAAGAGGGCGAAAGAGAGCATACAGGATTCACTATGGGCCGACCGAAATCATGGAATGTATGCGATTCATAAGAGAGCGGTCAATTTTCGACTCCAGATTTTGTAAATTTTGCAAAGATCGAGACCGAAATATGCATACATTTGAACATGAATATCTGTTTCCCATAATGCTTTCATCAATGTTCAATTCATTAAAAGTCATGCAACCTCTAAACAACGTTCTGCTCGTTGACGAACAGACCGGCCATACCCTGTCCAGTACCAATACACATAGTCGTCAACAGAATCTTCTTCTTTTGTCTCCTGGCCTCGGACAGACCAGTCACAATCTGTCTCGCACCAGTACAGCCCAGTGGGTGACCAAGAGCAATAGCGCCACCACGCACATTCATCTTTTCGTGTGGGATCTTCAGCACGTCCTTGCAGTAGACTGCCATAGAAGCAAAAGCCTCGTTGAGTTCGACAACGTCAATGTCGTCGATGGTCAAGTTGTACTTGCTCAAAAGCTTGGGCACAGCGATCGAAGGACCAATACCCATGATGCGAGGAGCGAGACCAGCGACTGTGGCTCCAACGAATTTGGCCAAGATGGGCTGGTTGAGTTCGAGGGCTTTGGAGCGCTTCATGAGCATGACAGCAGCGGCACCATCTGTGACTTGCGAGCTGTTACCACCGGTCGATCGGTCTCCGAAATCTGGGAAAGCTGGACGGATCTTGTTCAAAGCCTCGAATGTGGTTCCGTATCGTGGACCCTCATCACGAGTCAATGTGACCTCTTTGCCATCGACCATGGCCTTGATTGGCACGATCTCGTCATCAAACCAGCCAGCCTTTTGTGCGACCTCTGCTCTTCGGTATGATTCTGCAGCATAGCGATCTTGCTGTTCACGTGTGATGTTGAAGTCCTTGCCAACGTTCTCTGATGTCTGACCCATGGGCATCATGCAATCTCTTGCTTCTTGGTTGGCCTTGAGGATGTCCTCAAAGAATGGTCGCTCCAATCTGTCGCCACCTGCGGTCATGGACTCAGCGCCGAGGGCGACGCCGATTTCGATGTCGCCGTGCTCAATCTGGTTGGCGATATCTTGTACGGCCTTGAGGCCGGAGGAGCAGAAGCGGTTTACTGAGGAACCGGCGGTGGTGTTTGGGAAGCCAGCGGCGAGCATGGCTGCGCGGTTGTAGTAGGCGGCTTTGGAGTCGGAGACCTGGTGTTTCATATCGTCAGTAAGATGTCAACTCCGGAGGGGCACTGAACATACATTTCCCAAGCAGATGTCCTCGACCAGTGCAGGGTCAATGTTTGACTTCCTGACGACCTGCTCGAGAAGCTTGAAGACGATGCCGTCGAGCGGCGTATCCTTGAGTCCACCCTTCTTGCCCTTGCATAGCGGCGTTCGGATGGCGAGAGTGATGACAATGTCGTCTGGGTTCTTCTGGGTGCTGTTGATTGTCACCTGTCAGCATTTTGGTGCTCGCAGTCTCTCGTGCAACGCTCTGCTGCGGGGACTGGAGGGACTCGTGGCGGCGAAACTCACATCTTGTCCAGCGGCGTCTGGCCGGGGAGCAATTGCCCGAGAATCGACTTGACACGTTCGGTGGCCATTTTTGAGTATTTCCAGAGGTATGAGTGGAGGAAAGGCGAGGAGTTCAGTCGCGAGAAATGTAAATGTCGATCGCAGAAAGTGAAATAGACTTCGGGGTTGAGTGATCCCTAGACTGCTTCTGATCTTGCCGAGGCTCTTTCATGGCTAGGAACGGCATCGCAGTCCATGTCGGCAAGTGGACCGGCGAGACCTGCTCACAAAACACTCTTAATTCACCTACCGAACAACCCCCGGCCGAGGCAGAAAGACAACTTCTCGACAGCCGCGCGGACCACAAGCCTGCTTACATCGTAGCATTGCAAGAACTGTCTTGGCCCGCATGTCAGCCGCAGCGAGCCAAAACACTGATGATGTCGGCTATACCTTCTCCCACGGTAGCCGCATCACTCACGGCTCAGGCGCAAACATCAAGAAGCCCTTCGATGATATCGACCTCACAATGCACGAACTCTCACCTTCCAACGAGCGTGGTTTTCGCGGGCAGCTAGGATTCATCGAATTCACGACAGACTACAGGCTACCTCGACATATCCACATGTCATCAGACCAGACGCGTCTTGTGGACGAACGTATTATGGTTCTAAACGGCGTAGCACCGCTGGAGATAGCGGGGGAGTACTATGCTGTAGCACCAGGAAGTCTTGTCGACACGGTTGGAGGCGTTCCGCATACCTTCACAGCTTGCCCTGCTGGGGTGAAATTGCCCGATGGTACTGTCAGCAATGGCAAGTTCACAATGGTGTACGAGTATGAGGAGCCCACGAGATTCTTTCCTACTGTTTCGACCAAGGTTGTTAAAGATGTGTCTGAGTACAAGGCATGGGAGGGAGACCTGGATGTCATCAAGTTGCCGAAAATGAACACTGATCAGGTGGTAGCAAAAGCGCATGTAATTTTCGACAGACTGAAATGCAAACTGAGTCTTGCTTGACGAGTGCATTATGCTCGCGTATCAACATACCAAAGTTATGTCTGCCAATCGCTGAAGTTGGGGTTGAACTATCAAACGACAACACAAGAATCGTGATAGCGCCGTGTCGTGTGATACATCTCCTGCCGCTGAAAAAGTCCTTCGTAACCATTAACGCCGTCGCTGTGCCAAAATTATGCTACTCTTCTTCATCCTCTTCCACGCTCGCAACCCTCGGCTGCACATGCCTCTGCTGCAGTCCCTCAGCCGGCGCAGATTCAGCGCCTGTGGCAGCGGTTTGTGTCGCTTCCACCACCCCCTGAGCAGGCTCTGGCACTGCAGGCGCTGCCTGTGCATTTGCCTCGACTTGTTTCTGCTTGCTCTTCTTGCTAGACGGTGGCAGCTCACCACGCGCTCTAGCTTCTCTGCGTGCCTTCTTTGCTGTCCGCTCCGCCTTCTTTCGCTTCTTCATATCCTTCTCACTCTCATGCCATGCCCAGACCGGTCGGAACGAGTCGAAGAAACCAACATCCTCGAAGAGATTCGGGTACAGCCAGAGACCAGGCTTGACAGTGAAGAATGTGATCAGGAAGAGGATTAGCCGGAAAATCGCCATGCCGAAGAAGAGACCAAGCAGACCCAGCATTCCCATACTAAGGTACCAGACACCAATGCGCAACGTGTAGGGCCAGACTGGAAAGAAGACGACAGCGAGGATACCGATGAGCGCAAGAGCAGCATAGAGCTTGTTCTTCCACTGGGCGGCAGTGCTCTGATACAGCCAGACGTAGTAGTACTCATCGGCAGCTTCCTGTTGTGGCTCAACCTTGACTGTCCACAGTCCCTTGACTCGCTTCTTCTTTGCATGGTTGTGACCTTCGTGACCAGCATTCTCGTCGACTTTAGATACGCGGAGGGCAAGGAGTGACAGTGGAAGCAGCTTGAAGGCATTCTCGGCAGTCACACGATCCTTGACCTCGGGCAGCAGAGGGTTCTTCTTACGAGCCTTCTGGTACGCCTCGCTCTGGATCGCGCGAATCGCACGCTTGACTTTGAACATGTCCTTCCTCTGCTCGTTGAAGATGCACGTGCGATTCTTCAGATCCTGCGACTGCAAAAAGGTAGCCATGGCAATTGCCTCTGGCTTCGGTGGACCAGGCTGAATAGGAACTTGCTGTCCTGGCTGTGCGCCTTGTGGCCCTTGTCTATGTCGCTGCTCTGCCTCTGATTGTGGTGGTTGTCCGCCCTGCTGCTGCTGCTGTTGCTGTGCCTGCATGCGTGCCTGTGCCATCATCTGGGCTTTCATGCGCTCGACGTATTCGGGCACCGTCAAGCCGTGCTTCTCCGCCTCGGCAGCGATTTGTTGCTGAATCATCTGAATCTGCTCGGGCGTGGGCTGTTGACCTGGCGCCAACTGGAACGGAGCTTGCGGTGGTCGCATCGGTTGTCCTTGCGGCGGACCTTGCGGCGGGCCTTGCTGTTGCTGGCCTTGTGGTTCGCCCTCAGCCTGTGCAGTCTGCGCCTGTGCGGGAGCAGGGCCCATATTGGCGCCCGGAGGCGGCTGCGCCGTGTTGTGGTGATACATGTCGAGTGTATCAGGCCAAGTCACGTTGGAGCGCGGGTGTTGTCGAGGTGTTTGTGCAAGTGGAGGGCAGAAGGCGGGATCACATTTATTTCGGGATCTCAATACGTTGCGTCAAATGTCAAGGCCAGTTGTCCAGGGTCTTCGGCGATTCAGCGCCCAAACATCTCACAACGTCAACAGCCACTTGGTCACAACATTTCTGTGAGCGCGGATGGGCCGGAGAGTAAGTCATGTATTCATAAAACGCTCAAATGTGCTATCAATCATGGCTCAATGTCACGTCTCGATGTGTAGCACGCCTACACCTTCTGGTGGTCACTAGCATCAGAACCGTACCGATAATCCTTGCCCTCCTGCACAATCCCGACAGTACCAGCAGCTTCAGCAAAGTCCTCGTCGTTGCTAGCTGACATGGAGCGACCTTTCATCTCGGGACCCAGGAACGTCAAAACGATGACATAGACGTACACGCAGGCCATGAAGATACAGATCTGAGAGAAGTCAGCGTGAGCGTCTCGAGGCAGTGCAAGATTCTCAAACGTACCACCTTGCCGTACTCGTAGCGGGAGACGGACTTGCCATCCACAATCTTTGGCTCCAGGGGGAACCTCTCTCCGATGGTCGCTTCGATTGTGCTAGAAGCGGAGGAAACCAGGTTACCGAGCTGGTACGAGGTACCAACCACGAACGCCCTCAAAGACCCGGGAGACAGTTCCATCAGATGGATTGGGATAACTCCCCAAGCACCTTGAACACAGAATTGCTCGAAGAATGCCGCAGCCATGATTCTCTCATTTGGCACGAAGCTGTATGGGTACAGCAAAGCACCACCAACAATGCTGATGAAGATGATACTAAACCTTCGTCCAAAAGTTTGCGACAGGTAGCCGATCGTCGTGCCACCAGTGATGGCGCCCAGATTTGCAACGACTTGGGTAACAGTGACAGCGTTCGCCGAGAAGTTGTACTGGTTCTCCAGCATTGTAGGGTAAAGATCCTGCGAACCATGCGACATGAAGTTGAATCCCGCCATCAAGAGAACCATATAAATGAGCAGCATCCAATGCTTCTTGAGTGCGACTTGGCCCTCTTTGATGAACGTCTTTCCAGCATTGTCGTTGCCTTCTCGAATTCGCTGACGCTCCTCGTACGCTTCGGTCTCTCCGAGACACAGTCTGAACGCGATGATGAGCACGGGAACAGCACCGCCGAACCAGAACAGTGGGCGCCATCCATGGGGCGTCGTATCCACCAGAGCTCGGGCAAAGACTGTGGCGAGCAGGTATCCGAACGCGTAACCTTGCTGAAGCATACCAGAAATAATACCTCGCGCTTTCTCGGGGCAGTCCTCCAGAGCTGTTGCTGCAACATTACCATAGAGACCTCCCATTGCGATGCCGAACAGGGCCCGAACGGCAAGGAATTGGTCGTAGGTGTTGCAAAATCCTGTGCCAATTTCGAGAGCGATGAAGAGCAGGTTGTTCACCACAAATGGCCATTTCCTCCCATATCTATCAGATGCCAGGCCGAAGGCAATAGCGCCCACACTTCGAAACATGAGCACGAGTGTGATGCCCCAGGTGATGTCCTTCTTCGACTTGTCGAATTGCTCCGCCAGGTTTGACACTGTCAATGATACTGTGAAGAAGTCGAAAGCATCCCAGGTCCACGCGATGAATGAACATAGGAAGAACAGCCATTGTTTCCCATTCAGCATTCGTAGGAGGGTGATCGGGTTCTCGAGTTTGTCCATCGGCGGTTTCAGCGTGCTGAAACGGGTTGCAAAATACCTTCCGACCGACATGTTATCTGTTGTGTGCGTGTGTTGTGCTCTGATCTCTTCGCGTTCGATCGCGTGATCGACGCCATAATCTTTGCCAGACATGATGGGCCGTTAGAAGGCGTGTACCCTATGACGAGGAGGTCAGCCAGATGTTCTGTAGCTCAGCCTCATGCTGGTGTGTAAGTTGTCCCCAGATGTTCTCAACACGAGCTCATCGACATTCATGTAATGGTCGAAGTGCGACACATACAGCATGCCACTTCTGCCCGACCAGATCTTGCGTGTTCGATATGATCTGGATGTGCCTGCGACCGAAAATGCCAAAAGCTTACTCACCTCTCAAGCTCTCAGCCAAGACGCACTTCCTCTTGGCCAGCGATAACAAGCGAGGAACAAGATGCAATTCGAGTGTGTCGAGACATGTCTGGAAGTGCAGAACCAAGGGCTTTAGCACTGCTCAAGCTGGCAGCAGCTATCTCCGTACCAGTGGACGTCTCTGCGCCACGAACCTTCAGGCTCAATCATTTGACAGACTTTCGCAGGCACACAGCGCCCTAGTCACCGCTAGGGCAGAACTGTGACGGTTGCATTGTGGGGATTCGCATGAAGCGAGGGCACACTTCGCATCCGCCACGGGGTCTCCAGCTTTGAGTAGCCAATAGCGAGTGGCTTTTTCATGCCGTGGAATACCGCTTTTCCTTGAGCGCGTCTGAATCGCAGTACCAAGCCGGCCCGGCGAAAACAAGACGGCAGCTTATCGAGCTCAAGCTGTGCCGTGGCGCATAGAAGCGTTGGCGAATGTCTTGGACTACGTCTTGAGTCGGTGGGTGGCTTGCCGTGCGTCCATTGAGCTGCAGGTTTCGTGTGCGGTGAATTGAGGTAGCTGCCGCCACCATCCTCGTGTCAACGTAGTCATGCGTGCGTGTCTGCTACGGTACATTCTCGTTCCAAGCCTTTCGAGCTTCGCGATGCTGGGGTTGCCGTCCGATCTGGAGAGGCAGGAGCACGCTTGCAAAAGGCATGTTCTGGGCCGTGACTTGATGGCACGGAGTCATTCTGGCACTGTCATTTGCTAAGTTCCACTTGGTCGGCAACGGTGACAGACATCCTTGACGGCCATGCTGCATCTCCGTACTTCGCGTGGCCTCCATGTTCACTCCATGTGGGTAAACGTGGAGTGGTGTTGGTGTTGTGAAGTCTTTCTGAAAAACAGCTGGTGATTCAGAAACGGTATCAGCAAAGAGTCGTCTTTTCAGATGATCAAGGCTGCACTGCACAGCAGTGAGATGCCACCGGAGAAAGAAGGGCAGGGCGCAGGGAACGAAGCCTCAGGCCACGCACTTGCTAGGCCAACTACTTTCGACCGGCGTTCAACCTTCGTTGTGCCCTTCGACTACGACATCGACCACTACCCATTACGAGACCCCCTCGTCTTGCGCCACACTGCATGACCCGGCCTGGTCACGATATCCTACTCGTCAAGAGACAGAGGGAGCGATATCGGCTCGGGCCCTCCACGCTCGGGCCGAAGGTGGTGAAAATTGTTCACACAAACATATACCAACATAAACTTCACCCTATCATCGGCGAAGTAGCAAAGTGGTTACTGCGATTGACTAGAAATCAATTCCCTTCGGGGGCGTAGGTTCGAATCCTGCCTTCGTCGTCGTCGTCTATCTAGGATTAACTACCTAGATATGAGATCCTTTTTTGATTTTTTACCTCACATTCATCATGTGAATGTGAAACACCTTCGCACAACGTTCAAGGCCTGTGTGGGTTGAGATCGTTTTGCGATCCCTCTAGGATTTGCGCTGCCCTTGGCCATGATGGTAGTTGGTTGCGGAAGTGTTTTCCACGATTGGATGGCACGCACCGGGCAGAGTCTATCGTACACGAACCACCTGGGTCAGTCGTGCCTTGAGAGCTGTGGGCACTGCCGATGCGATGAGTGTGAAGTCATATTACATCTGACCTGACTAGACTTGAAGGCGTCATTCGGATCATGTACGTTTCTGAGCATTCTGAGTCGCCAGGCTGGATAGGCATGCTGTCATGAAGACGGGAGTGGACGTTTTGGCATATGGCAAGGAGCTAAGCCGTTGATGAGTGTCAGAGCCGTCTCTGGTGTCTTGTTGCAAGTCTACATTCAACACGATGTACGCGTTGTTGCAGCTACATAGAGGGATGCACAGTTCTGCGTTGGCAGGAGTCGCCACAGTCAGAGCTGAGAATCCTCCCAGGTTTCATTCGACAGCTTGGCCAGCCACATTGACACTCATTGGAGTGAACTCTAAGAGGGTGTATGAAGGACAAATGAAACGCAGAAATGGTGTCAAGTTGACATGCTCAAACCGTAGCGAAAGCTATTCGAGTCATATATAGCCGCTAGCATACCACTTGCTTTCGCGCTGGTAAAACCATTTCCTCGCTGCATCACCCGTCTTTTGCGCACGAGAAGTGCCAACCAGCACAATCAGGCGGAATGTTCGACGCAGCAGTGATATGGCTTGGCACCGCACGATTTCTAGGCATAGTTTGTCCCGTTCTGTTCGCAGGAGTAACCATTCAATGTACCACGTCCACAAGCTGGGGAAATGTCGAAGTGGTAAGCTGACCGTCTTCGTGATCCAGACTCTTTCATCCTAGTGGACCCGATTGTAGCGCATGCACCGAACGAGAAGATCATGGCGAAATTGTGGTTACACGCATACCAGCTGGGTCCTTACTGGGTGCCGCCGCTCATCCTCCCGGGTACGCTAGCGAACGCTTATCTCGCATACCTCTCGCCTGTACAGTCCTGGCAGAGGTTTTCCTACATCTTTGCAGCCGGTGGGATATTCAGCATCCTTGTGCCAATCACGTTCTTTATTATGGAGCCGGGAATCAATGGGGCCTGCAAATGGAAAGTGCAAAGCTTGCTCAAGGATGAGGACTTCAGTATGCCGGAAACCACAATCTGGAAGCCATCAGCGCATAAGCATGGAGGGACACAGAAGAGCAGGAGATGGGCAGAGAAGACAAGTATGAAGGAGCTGGTCCTATATTGGAGGTGGATGAACGACTTCCGGTGGGCGCTCGGAGGGGTGGCGGGGATTGCGAGTGGGTGGGCGACATTCTCTTCTGTGTAGCATATCGCAGTCATTGCGAGATCATCGGGGTGAAGTTCGTAGCAAAATTTGAGAATGGAAAGAAACGGAGGAGGACGCTCGGCTTAGAGGCTCGGATCCGTGCCAATGAAGGCGCGGCCCCGCTCGAGTGAACGACCCCACCTACTCGGCGAACTCCAATGCAGTGTTATTTTCGGCAATGGCATGCTTCTCCTGTCTTTCTTCTGTCCCTATCAACCAAATTGCAGCTCTGCAACTGCTGACTAGACTCCGGACACTGGCCCATAATGACTACCGCAAAGACTCCCCAAGCTGAAAAGCTCTGGGAACATGCTTCTCCCGAAACCACAAAACTTTACGACTTCCTGCAGAAAGTAAATAAGAAATACAACAAGTCATTTCAGACATACAACGACCTTTACCAATGGAGCATTACGGATATTTCCGCCTCGTGGGAAGAGATATGGCATTATGTTGGGATTCGCACATCCGCTCCATACGAAAAAGTCGTCTCATCAGAAGACACAATGTATCCCCGGCCTGCTTGGTTTCCAGGCGCGAAACTCAACTTTGCAGAGAACCTGCTCTTTCCAGTCCCAGATGTGGATGAGAATGCCCCTGCCGTGATTGCAGCTACCGAGACGACACGCGAGAACGTAAGCTGGAAAGAGCTACGGGAACGAGTGCGGAAATGCCAAAGTGGGATGAGAGCTCTTGGGTTGAAAACTGGTGATCGCGTGGGAGGCTACGTCGCAAATCACACCAATGCGCTCGTGGCAAGTTTGGCTGCAACCTCTTTGGGAGCTATTTGGACCGCTGTTAGCCCCGACACTGGCGTCAGTGCTGTTCTCGACCGAATGGTACAGATTGAGCCCGTGTTGCTCTTCACTGACAACGCTGTGATGTACAATGCCAAGACACATCCTGTTCTGCCTAAGGTGAAGGGTATTATGGAGGGTTTGCCAACGCTGAAAGGTGTTGTGGTGTTCGATACTGTACAAACCATGGGAAGTGAGATCGAAGGCCTCGACACCGATCTGAAGGCCAAAGTCCAGACATACGACAGCTTTGCATCGCAGGAGTCGGACTTGAAGTCACTCCACTTCGAGCAACTAGATCCTGATACACCGGTGTACATCTTATATTCGAGTGGTACCACAGGCGCACCCAAATGCATTGTACATGGCGCGATCGGCACGTTGCTGCAGCACAAGAAAGAGCACATCCTACAATCCGACATCAGGCCGGGCGATCGACTATTCTACTTCACGACATGCACTTGGATGATGTGGCACTGGCTGGTATCTGGTCTGGCTTCGGGAGCAACACTGGTGTTGTATGACGGCAGTCCGTTCCAGTACCGCGATTCAGAGGGAAAGAGCATCAAAGACGATTATGCCATGCCCAAACTGATCGATGAAGTCGGCATTACTCAGTTCGGAACCAGCGCGAAGTACCTCTCCGTCCTCGAGCAGCGGAATGTCATGCCTCGTGAGGCGAGCGTAACTCTGAAGGCGCTCAAAGCAATATACTCGACGGGGTCCCCACTGGCACCAAGCACATTCCAATACGTATATCGTGCCTTCGGAGCAATCAACCTCGGATCGATCACGGGAGGAACGGACATCATCTCCTTGTTCGGTGCACCTTGTCCACTCCATCCTGTATACACAGGGGAGATACAAGTCTTGGGTCTAGGAATGGCCATTCAAGCCTGGGATTATAGCGGCAAGGATGTATCCCAGACGGGTGAGCCTGGAGATCTGGTCTGCACGAGAGCCTTCCCATGCCAGCCAGTCATGTTCTGGAAAGGCGATGAAGGACAAGCCAAGTACAAAGCGAGCTACTTTGAGGAGTTCGAAGGGGTGTGGCACCATGGCGACTTCATTCGATTCAATCCAGAGACAGGTGGTTTAATCATGCTTGGACGATCAGACGGAGTTCTCAAACCCAGCGGAGTGCGGTTCGGCTCAGCAGAGCTTTACAATGTCCTCCTGAAGCACTTCCCTGACAAAGTGGAAGATGCGCTGGCGATTGGAAGGAGACGAGAGACGGACGATGATGAGACGGTTGTGCTTTTCCTGAAGTTGAAAGAGATTGGAACGCTCGACGCGGATCTCGTGGAAAGCATCAGGACGACTATCCGCAAAGAGCTTTCGGCGAGACATGTGCCGGGCGTAGTCGATGAGTGTCCTGATATCCCCGTAACCACGAACGGCAAGAAGATCGAGAAGTCTGTTAAGCAGATCCTTTGTGGTTTGAACATTAAAACGAGTACCAGTGTGGCGAATCCAGAGAGTTTGGAATTCTACAAGCAATGGGCAGAAACGCACTAGCTAAGTTAAAGCTAGAGAGATGAACAGAATCTCAGAAAGAAAATTGAAGGGCTTGCATACAACTAAAGTACTTTCAGGTGCTGCTCGTAATCTATTCTCAGTTCGTCAGCCTCCACACATGATGCTCTTTTCGAAATTGCTTCTCGAAAAGTAAGTCAGATGAAGGATTCGTAGGACACAAAGTCTACCGCTCGTAGCTATAGTCTCTTCAAGGTAGCCCTGGAGCATAGACAGATCAAGTGGAGACTTTCCCAAACTGCTCTCATGTTTGAAGAAGGCAGCTGTTGAGTTTGCAGCGAAAATCATGTCACGTCCTCACACAGGGCATGAATGTAGTGGACGATGTTACTAACTTGGCCCTCGTTCGAGCAGAAGCGACCCCTATGAGCGGCAGCGTCCAACGAAAGGACACGTGCTGATCGAAAAACGTGTGTGGAGAGATTGACCAGACCGTTTCGAAGCAGGTCTATTACCTTTCTGTGAAGGACAACATCGTGATCATGTCCTGTCGAGGATGCCTTGCCGTGACAATTCCTAGGTTCTGTCACAGTTAGTGTCTGCACATACCATGGAGGACGAAACTGATTTATCGAACGCGATATCAACACGACCTGGGAAAGAGAGTCCAGAGGGACAAGACTCTCCGTTCACGAAAGGGTCTGTGTCACGTTTGATGGACAGGTCAACCGTTTCGGGAAATCCATGGTACCCAGCCGTTGACAAAAACTGTGTATCCGATCGTTGTGATGTGTCGAAATAGACTTCAGTGCCACGGAATCGCCCTCTCAAGCGCAATGTAGCACCACTCGCAAAAAGACAGGAGAAAAAGGGAAAAATCATGAAACTCGTGTGTGTTCGGCGGCAAAGTTGTTCCATACATTCGAAGCTCAGTGCTTTTTCTCAATCCATCATCGCTACCATTTCCAGCATGGGGCGAGAGGCAAATATGCACACACTGGCCCAACGAGTACTACGCAGCAGCAGCAATAACCAATGAACCCTTTCTTCTCTCCAACAAAGGCGCTTCAAAAGTGCAAATTCATACTTTGTCAAAGCAAAAGCTCTTGCAATGTTTGTAGACTCCATCCTAATCACTTGTGTCCCTTTCTCCATCCTTCTCCCGTGGGTATCCAACTTTAGTGGGCAGCCGTCCTCACATCCTGGTATTCCCCCCATCCCGCGCGAAAAAAAAAACACAATAAAAAAAGTTGTTTCCGAGTTGCTCCCTCGTTAGATGTAGATCCTGTTTTTTTGCAGTGATCCACTTATCGCTCGCACAGCGGCATCCGTGTTGAACGCCGTACTAAAAATTAGAGATTTCGTAAAGAGCCAGCGCCAGTTTTTGCTTCCCCAAGTAGTTGTTTGTCAACTCAAAAGACACCCCAAAAAGCTTTGCAAAAGCATCCACACAGAAGAGTCGGGTAAATTATGAATTAGAATTCTCGAACGCCAATCGGTAAGCTTCGGCCGTATGCATTTGGCCTGTGTAAGGCACTTGTCGTAATCGTCCAGTGTCGGTCTCTGTCTTCAGAGCAAGCTTCGGGCATCGCTCATTGCTGCTGTCCGAGGTAGTTTGGATCAACGAAGCCAAACATCTGCTGGTTTTGCATGTCAAATCCGTTGCCGGGGCTTTGATGCTGGAACATCTGCTGCTCATCCGGTACCTGTTGCATCTGACCAGGGCTGGTGTACATCTTCGCGTCGTTATAAAGCATGCCGGAGTCTCCGGGAGTGTGGAACATTGCCGCTTGGTCTTGAGGTACATGCGATGGTGTCGAGAATGAGACCCCGCTGTCCTGGTGCTGTGCAGCAGGCGATTGATAATTCGAGCCTTCATGCTGCGGAGGGCTTTGGTAGTTCATCTGCTGTTGGCCGTTCATTTGCATGTTTGCGTCCTGACTGTTCGATGGCGGTGACTGAAAGTTGAACATGCCATCTGGCATGGGCGACTGAAAGGCATCCTCTGCCATCGGACTGCGGAATGGGAGTGCGATTTGCTTGTTGAAGGACTCCGACAAGTACAGGTCGTCGCTCCCAAGCTGTGCGTTTTCGTTAGGTGTTCCAAACAGATCAGCACTTTGACTCCGTCCCATTCCATTCAATGGCGGTGAGTGGTCGGCGATGACCGGGTCGCCGTGACTCGTCATCGAGAGGGGCGTGGTGCTAGTTCCGAGCATGTGTCCCGAGTCCACGGTCAAGAACCCATTGTTCATATGTGGGTTGAACTGGGTGGGCTGCAAGGCTTCCGCGGGTGGGGCTTGCGTAAAGAAGCCCGGAGTGCCAAACTCACTTGGTGAGTTGGCGGTCGTCGCCGAGACGGATCCGTTGAACTGCATGCCCATGCTGTTGTAGCTCTGAGAGGTGTCGATGCTCAAGTGCTGCGGACCAGCACCACCCGCAAATCCTTGTGGAATCTGGTGCTGTGGCACAGGCGCAAAGATGTTCGGATCCTGCATAGGGACGTGGGCGGGCTGGTTTTCTTCCTGTATGAGGAAAGAGGGCATTGGCATCTGACCAGTTCGGAACATGTTGAAGTCGATAGCAGCAGGAACAGACCGGCTGCGTTGGCGCTTGTGGCCGCGAGGTCCTGGAGGGCCCATCATGCCTGCATGAGGATCTTGTGGGGGAAATAGGTGCATCCCGGTGTGCGGGTGCATCATGTGGTTAGGCTGACTCGCAGGGCGTCCCATGGGTGAGACAGGTGCGGACACTGCGAATGCGTTGGGGTCGAAGATATTGTGTCGATTCTGGTATGCTTCGAGTGAAACCAGCTTCGCAAGCTGCCCACTAAGCACTTTCGAGGGTCCTCCGAGGTGGTGAACCATCACCTGGCTAGCCTGCTGGTCCTCGGTGAAGTCGCCGCACTCGTAGAAGCCACCGCTTCCGGAGCTGTCCATGTAGAATTTTGGGGGTCGATTAAGCTCGATTATAAGACCACCAGACCTCTGAGAAGCACCCTCCGCAGCAGCTAAGACATCGCCCTGTTCCAGCGTGATGTTCTTGATCCACGCGAATGGGTATTCGATCTTGTACCCCGCGGAATCGTTGTTGATGTAATACGTGACGCAAGCTTTGTCGGGAGAGTAGAAAATGACGAGATCCATCGTGCTCTGACCGACTCGTCGCCATGTTCCAATGGATAACGAGCGGCAGTGGAAATGTTGGATGACAACCTTGCTAGAAGATTGGTCGTGGTTGAGCATTAGTCCCCCATTGCCGAAGTGACCAAATCCTGGGCCACGACCGAGCATGTTTGCCGGCAGGCCCTTACCGGGACCGTACGCTTGCATAGCAAGATACTGGCGCATAGATTCGGGTATGCTGTCACAGTCCTCCCCGCTTTCGATGCTTCGTTTTGCAATGTTTTTAATCTTCGCGCGTCTGTGGCACGTTAGCGCGTTCCCCAGGGCTGTATGCAGTCCGTCGCGGCCTACCTGTTTTGGAACCAAATCTGTACGGAGCGCTCGGTCATATTGATTTCTTGTGCTATGCGCTCCCTCACCAGTGCAGTTGGGGTTGGATTCTTGTTGAATTCAACCTCCAGCGTCATCAGCTGGTCCTGGGTAGCTCGTTGACGCTTCTGGTTCTTCTGTTGCTGGGTGAGGGTGCTTTTCCGCGGCGGGCGGCGGGATGCGCTATTGCTGACCGAATTACTGCGTTGCACGCTTTCGGGGGAGGTGGATGAAGCCATGCTTGACTTTGTGTCCTGGGGTGTCTGTGCCTGATGGGCGGGCGCTGGCGGAGGCATTACGTCGGCCATGTTTGCGGCCGCTGCGGAGAATTGGAGCTGAGATGGGGTCGTCTCGTCGTGGCACAGCCTGTGCGGTCGGAGGAGAATCGATATCAAAATCGTCGGTCGGCGCGTGAGAGGTGCGCGGGCGGAGTGGTGGGTAAGTGTGGGCCAGCCTGCAGTGCGGTGAGAGCGCACAGGGGGTAGTCGTAGGATCAGGCGGAAGCGATAGCAATACCACTGGATCTCTTCGCGTCGATGATGTGTCGGTCGTCGCTCGTCGAGATTGCTGCTGCCGGTGATCCGAGCCTCCTGGCGCAGCCGCAACTAAATGAATGAAGTGATAGTTGGAAAGAGGAAAGAACGACTTCGCGCCGAAAGGAGTGACGGCGGGACAAAAAGAACGTATGGCAGTGAGTAGTGGAAGGGAAGTAGGACAAAGCACAGCACCAGAACAGCACCAAAAGAGTGACGGCGAGGCAATGATGCTGCTTGAGAGGGATGAAGACGGGGCGATAAGTGATGGGATTGGGAGCAAACGCGTGGTGGGTAAACTCGATTTGATGACTGGCGGGCGCTGTCGCTGGGTCTGCTCTCCCAGACGAGACGAGCACGGGGCGCGCGCCCCCCTTGTCCACACACAAGCCGAATCCTAGAAGTCGTGCGGGCTGTCGTCGATCCCGCCGCCGATGAGACCACTGGCAGGGCAAGCTCAGGCTCAGGACAAGCGGACCCAATGGTCACGCCCTCCAAGCGCACGCTAGCGCTCACGCAGCATCTGGTACAGTGCAGTACATGCACTGGGTACAGTACACCGTACACACACAGAGGCGCACACAGCGCCGGCGCTGGGATGCTGGAGTTGGACGCGCCGGGCAGTCTGCACAAACCACGCTTCCCTCGCATTGCTGCGGCAGGCCGCATGCCGCATGGTTGTCTTGCGCGGCTCTGCTAAGTCTCTTTGATAAAACTTGTCTCACAAAGCTCCAGCGGCTGTTCTATGGATCTTGCCTGCTGGCGGTCCAAGAGACAGATCGTGTGATGTAGCGCACCCGGGGTGCGAGGGGGTCCGGCCATCGCACGCACAGCACCAGAGCAGAACAGAATAGCCGGCCCTGCTCGCGGCGGTGCAGCGCCAGCGCGGAGCGGGCCTATCACGCGTCACCTGCGCCCGCCAGGAGCATACTAGGAGGTAGGGGCCTCCACCAAAACATGCCAACGCTGTGCTGTACGTTGAACGACGGCTTTTGCCCCTCTGCCCAGACTCACCCGCACGCGTCTGAGCGCGTGCGGCAATGGCGGTGCAGAGCGTTTCCAGTGCCGTGGGAGCTCGTCGTACTGCTGGCCAGCCTCGACACGGCGACGGCCTCGACGTGATGCTGCTGCTGCGCGTTTCAGGAGGTCCGCTCAGCCGCATGTGCCTGCAGCCTTCTGACTTGTGTTGTTCGCCCGGCCGAGCGCGACTAGGATGCTGGTGGTGCGAGCCAATCGCTGCCGATCGGGGGTTTGAGGCTTTGAGAGGCGCTGGAGCTGCAGAACAATCCTGGTGCCGAAGTGCTTTTTGACTCCGTACCTGCAGAAAAGCTGGGCAGCGCGGCGAGCACAACGCGTGCTACACGACTTCAGCTTCCAAAGGATCGCAATGCCATCCTCTATCTCCGCGACTCCAACGCGAGACACGAACTGATCGGGAGGGAAAAGGCATTTGACTCACGTGTACAGTAAGCAAGAGCACGAGGGCAGAAAGTAGGTATTTCTGGCTACACTCCGTGCACTCGGAAGGAGCGAACATGGATAGCTCCTTCCCTATTCGACTGTCAGCGCGCACGGCCTACCGCTTTGGTCTCCGAGGAGTCTCTCTCACCAGGTTCCAACGCTGTCGTTCCGCACGTTGACGCTCCCTTCCAGGTGACCCAGGGCACTTGATCATTCTAGCTGCTCGAATGCCGCTTAGTTCACTGATCAGATGCTGCTGCAGTCTGAGGACGACCTCGCGCGCTCATCACGGATCTCACCTGACGCTCCCGACAATGCTATCGACAACACAACGAGACGGAATACGGTTCATGTCAGCCAACAGAGTCTAACACGATCGTCCGGCTGATGAGGAGCCCTGCCCGGTCGACGCATGTGTGAGCCAACCTGCAGCAAATGCCAAGGCGAGGTTCCCGTCGCTTCAGCATTTGTTCTGCATGAATCAAGGTCCAATGCTGCTCAAACACTTTCTGCGGGGGCCGACACTGGCCCGTCAACCGTGACACGCCACAGGTTGCATCAGACCTTCTCAACGGCCTCTCCACGAGCACCAGCAGCCACACCCCACGCCTGTGGATGCAGCACCGACTTCAGCCTACTCCGTTGAGACAACATGAACTTGATCTCGTCGGACAGGCTTGTCAGAGTCTGCAGAGTCCTGGCTCGATGATAGCTGGAATGATGCTTTGTGCAGACTCACCCAACACCCTTTCATACTACGCACAAACACGCGTGGCTTTAGGATTCGAGGGAAGGGGTCTTGTCAATTCAGACGCTCCACAAGGCTCTGAACGTTCCGAGAGGAGGGCTCCTACACGCGCTGGCCGCTGCAGGACAAAAGTTAACGATGACGATGAAACCGTACTGATCAAAACATGCTTCGACGTTTTGAACGCTGTTGATGTATGCTTTGTCTGTGCAACTATGTCGTATTGCCAAGCAATGCTTGAGGGAGATTGACAGAAGGCAACACCCTCGCATAGAACTCAGATGCGAAGATATGGCTATCCCAACAACAAGACTCATGCACGAAGCAGGTGCTGGCCAATGCTCAATCTTCAACCGACTTGACCTCAGCACTGCGGACGAGTTGCGGCATGACGAAACGAGAATCGATCGTAGTCGGCGCGATCCGATCAGTATGGACCTATCAGTCTCACAACATAAGGCACTGTCACAGATGCCTAGCCACCACGAATGCTGACTTGATACCACATCGCTGCTACAACATCAAACATGTCGCGCACAACTGACCAGTTTTTGACAGCAGTTGGCGAGAGCTGGTTTGACAGGTGTCGAAAACCGTGCACAGAACGTAGAGGGCAGAAACGGGGCAATGCTTGTACAGAATTTCAAAGATGTCTGGCATTATGCTTTCCTGAAAGATCATGATACACGTAACTCTGAGCACCGCCACCATCATCGTAGTACGCCACCGCCAAAGTGTTGGAGCCTTCGACGAAGCTCGCCACCCTTCAGCCTCAACTCGCTGGGATACCATCTCATTCTTTCATGAGTCTTGCGCAATCAGCTGTTTGAGAAAAGATCATCAGGTGTCAACAACGGCGCAAAGTCCGTGCATGCTGTAGAGTTCCTCTGCCGTCCCTCACGTCAAACCTTGGCAGTCAATCGGCTGCTGCCTCCTCACCACAGCGTAGCATCTCGATCGAAGCGCTCAATCTCCTTCTCCGCATCCTCGACGTCTTTCTTTGCCTTCATGCGCATATAAAAGATCGGACAATCGCGACTCGAGCAAATGACCTCGTTGTGCATACTTCCCTGACATCTCTGGCACTGCGTCCAGAGTCTCGCAAATCGCACTTCAAGCTCTGCCGTTTTGGCTAAGCTTCGCTGATACAATTCTCCAAAGCGCGGTCGGCACTCAGCTCCGACCGCACCGCCACTCTCTTCTTTTGATGTCAAGGGTTTCTTGCAACCCAAACACGTCTCGGTCTTCTTGGCAAATTTCATGAGCCCACCCATTGTCGGCGCCGAAACTGTGACTGAACGAGTGTGCTCTCCCGTGAGGAGCGAGGCTGCCTTCTTCTCGCCGAGAATGGGTTCGAAGATACGTCCCAAAGGTTTCGCGAGTTGATTGTCCAGGTAGTACTTGGTATCGATAGGCAAGTTGTTCTCGAGCACGAACATGGGATCTTCCGATTTCTCGTAGCCTTTGGAACCAGCAGCTCCTTTCACCATGACATACGCCACTCGATCACCGAGCGCAGGCGCCGAACCGGCATCCCGCTTTCGCATGCGCTCGGCGAGTTCCGTATGTGCTTGTTTGGAGGCATAATCCGTCTTCGTCAAAGCTTTTGTGATGACGAGGTTCGAAAGATCGATGCGACCCTGCAGAAGCTCGGAAATGGTATCCTTGACATAACTATACGGACAAAATTAGCAATTGTGCAAACTGTAGTTGTGTTGTTGTGTTGCATCGGATGGGCTCGGGAACAGACCCTGCCAGAGCTTCTGCGCATCAAAAGGAGGAAGGCAAAGTCAAAAACTTACTCCTGAGCACCCTGGACGTCTTGATCGATGAGCAGCATCTTTAAGCTTGTTTCGATGAGATTCTGCACCAAGCGGCAATTGTCTCGGCGAACAGTCTCGATACCTTTGGTATCCATCTTGTCCCACTTTTCTGGCTTCGTCCAGTACAGGCCTGCGTAGCGCTTCTTGTTGATAAGAAGATAAGGATAGTACACTTTTTCGAATTCGAGCTTGATGGGCTTGATGAATTTGCTCGAAACGTAGTCTGCCGCGTCATTTCCCAGCTCCATGGCTTTGGCGAGGTCGTTGGGTCCAAACTTCACCATGACAGAATCCGTGTCTCCATAGATAACTTGAGCATCGTGGCTATAACCGTTTGCGATGGTGTATCTGGCTTCGACTTCCTCCTTGGTCTTTTCAATCATTTGACGTCCATATGATGTGGTACTACTGGCAATGGCTAGACAGGGCAGCTTGCCAACTGTCGCTCCAGTCAGCCCATAGACAGAGTTGGCGCTGATCTTCAATGCTAGCTGACGACCATTTAGCACAGCTTTCTTGAACGGATCTGTTTCGACTGCCAATTCTTTCTTGGCACGCTTTCTCGCTCCGAGAAGCTCCTCAAGAATTTGTGATAGAAGTCCCTTCCGGACTTTGGTAGTGCAGAAGAGATCTCCGTTTGGCGTGACGATATAGTCCTCATCCTTTTTGAGGTTCATCTTCTCAACGGCATTCTTGTTCAGAAGGGTGGTGTAGCAGAGGTTGTGAGCCTGCATAATACTTGGATACAGGGAGGCGAAATCGAGCGTTGCTACCGGTACGTCGTAATATCCTCTGGTCGGTTCGATGACGGTCGCACCTTCATACTGCTCGTCTGATCCCTCAGACTTAAGATCTGGGACCACCAGCTGTTGCTCGAGCGCTTTTCTGAACAGCTGACTGATGAATTTGACCTGCTGACCTTTCGATAGCAGGAAATTAAAAGGAACTCCCGTGACTCTTGCCATTTCCGTGTAATTGGTCAGGCACATCAACTTGTCCATCAGCCTCTGGGGTAAGAAGGCATCCTTCAGACAGTACACCGCTAATCTGCGCCTCGATTCCGGTGTTCCGTTGTACAGCTCCGTAATCATAGTATGGTGCACATCTTCTTTTTGTTCCTTGAGAAAATGTGCCGATACTGAGTTGAGGGTGTAGCTTCGAAGCTGGTAGTCTCTCTGAACAAGCTGGAGCAAGTCAAGTTGCAATCTGCCGTTCGTATTCGTGGCTTTCGAATCTCGGTTGCCCATCTGCTTACTCGCGAAATTGGTGTCTTTTGCTACCGACTTGACATTCTTCAGGCGCGACCAAAATGGAAAGCGGCCTACTTTGAGATGTGCTGCGCGATCCAGGAGGTAAGGAAAGTCGAAGTTGGCAATATTGTACCCGATGATGACATCTGGATCGACCTCTTCCAGGAAATCCCGCCAGGCCATCAACATTTTCTCTTCGTTGTCGAATTCGAAGAGCTGTGTGTTCACGATACTGCTGACAGTGTCCATACAAAAGACGTTCCGAACGAATGGCTTTTCTTCACCATATCTCGTCACTACGTTGGCAATTTGTATTACAGGATCGACGTTTGCCTCTGGGAAGACGCCCTTTCGTCCGGCGCACTCGATGTCGAAACTGAGCACTCGCAAAGGTGCCATTTTGGACCACTCGCCGTCGACTGGGTGTGCGATGATGTCTCGGTAATGACAGTATGCTTCGATTTGACAATGTGATTGTCGATCCCGTTGCGGGATCATATGGTATTTGCCAGAGTTGACACCGACCCACGACATTCCAGCCACAGATGTGTCGATCATGAATCGCAATGTATACTGGATGTTGTCGAAAGTCAGAATGCCGCCCTCTGCCGACTTCCAGAGTCCTTTGTAATTGGCATTCCCGGTTTGTATAGCGGTTCGTAATCTGCTGATGTATTTGGGATCTGTAACGGTGATCTTGAGGTAGGGGCTCTTGGTATTGCCTTGAAATCCAAACATGTTTTCTCTTAGCACCATCTGCACCGAGTGGATGGCAGCAGAATGTTGTGCCAATGTCGACTCCAGGAAGACCTTGAACGGCTCGCAGTCATTCTTGGTGAATGAGATAGGTGCCGCTACATAGAGGTAGTGCAGGAAGTCAGTGACGTGCAGCAGCACGGAGTGACCCTCTTCTGTTACGCCAAATAGTTTGACAGTTGTCTTGCCTCCATGCAGCGTGCCTTCCTCAACATCAATATTCTGGAAGGTCAAAGTGTCGCTCTTCTCATTGAAGTCATCGAGACTGGGCCGTGCCCATTGCTGGTCTTTCTCGGCATTGTTGTGCTTCAGAGCATCGATATCTTGTGTCAGTTTCTCCAAGACCTCCTCTTCGAACTGGCTCTTCGGTTGGCTCGATCCGACGCCATTCTTTCCTCTTGGTCCCGGACGCTTGAACTGGGGCTTTGCATCCTCGAGCTTGCGTTTCTTATTCGGTGAAACTTGCTGGTTGCGACGAAGAGCTGTGCTGTCCTGCAACACACGCTTGCTCGGAACCTTGGCCGGCGACTGAGTGAGGACGCCAGGCATTTCGAGGGTGTGGTGATGGGATGGGAATGGTGAGTGGGAGAGAACACGAGAGCGTGTCAGTGACGCGATCGAGGAAGCGCGCCTTAGACGCGGAGCAGTGGCCCGAGCACAAAGCTGCTTTACAGCTTGACAAGTCCCCACCTGGGCGTCGCTATCGCTGTATCATCATCTTCGCCATCCATCATCTCCGCTGATCAGTCCTGCCCGCACCAATTGATACAAAACGCTCGCCGGTGTATTACTCGGCTGCGGAAGTGTGGCACGTCCCGCTCAGCAGCAAACGAAGGCGCAGAACATCGACCACAGCTACAAATCCGCTTAGACACTTGATCGCAGGCCAAGTATGACCATCTGCGCCCAGTAGTGGCCGCTTTCTGCTCTTCTCTTGTCAGTTCGCTGCTCTTTCTGACCTTGCTGCACCATGGACAGCACCGCCGCCGCCTTTGGTAAGCCATGACCTTGTGCACATCCAAAGTCGACAGCCCACTGACGCTTTCGCAGACACGGCCAATACTGTCAAGCTCATCGATCCCACCCGCGACGCCCTCTACAATTACGACTCGGCCGAGCAGAAGAAGATCAATGAAGCGAGGCCATGGCGTTCAGACCCGCATCACTTCAAACATGTGCGCATATCGTCAATGGCCCTGGTGAAGATGGTCATGCATGCACGATCAGGAGGCGACATTGAGGTCATGGGCCTGATGCTGGGCTATGTCGAGCACGAGACGTTCATCGTCACAGATGCGATGCGCCTGCCTGTAGAAGGGACAGAAACGCGGGTCAACGCGGGTGATGAGGCAAACGAGTACATTGTCAATTTCCTTGAGAAGTCGCGCGCGGCAGGGCAACAGGAGAACTCCGTGGGATGGTACCACAGCCATCCTGGGTACGGCTGCTGGCTTTCTGGTATCGACGTGACGACTCAATTCAACTACCAGACCTATACCGATCCATTCCTGGCAGTCGTCATCGATCCGCACCGGACGATCAGCTCGGGCAAGGTGGAGATCGGAGCTTTTCGAACATATCCGGAGGGCTACAAGCCGGAAGGTCAGGCGTCTTCTGCTGAGGGCATGGCTGCCGTACCCATGGCAAAAGCGCAGGATTTTGGCGCTCACGCAAACAGATACTATCCACTCGAGGTGACACACTTCAAGTCGACTCTCGACAATAAGCTGCTTGAGGCACTTTGGAACAAGTATTGGGTGCAGACCCTCTCATCGACACCTCTGGAGACCAACCACGACTATGTTACTAACCAGATCGCGGATTTGGCTGCAAAGACCAAGCAGATGCACGGAGGCACAAAGACATTCAACGCCTCCCTCGCGCCGTCTAAGAAGGGCAAGGGGGATGAGCAGATGGCAAAGTTGGTCAAGGCAGCTGAGAAGATTGCCAGTGAGGAGAAGATGGGCCTCATGGCTTCCGTTGTCAAGGAGGGTTTCTTTGCGGACAACGCGGTCCAGGTTGCTGAAGCCGCGGAAGTCGTCGAAGGTGGCGCAGATACCAAGATGGAAGAGTAGATGGCACTGCTCAGCTTGCCGATGCGCATGTTGCGCTACGCTCAACAGATATTGAGCGCATGACTTTACGAACGGTAGTGCAGTCTGTTGACTCTGCACTGAGCGAGTAGAATCTGTCAGTATGCACAAAGAGACTGCAGATTCCTACGCGCCTTTTAACATCAGTATGCTTTACATCTCTTTTCTTTTACAACCCTGCACCATGCATGGGGAGCTTCACAACCTTGCATGTGCAATCTCCTACTCGATCACTCTTTCGAGCTCAGTTGAGCATGTCGTTCTTACCACAGACAATAGCAGAAAATGGAGTGTACAGCGTCGAGTGCTGCTCGGCTCATGAAGTGGCTAGACAATGACAGTAATTCCAGCTCTGACAGCTCATCGAGTTGTGAAGTAGAAGACAACACAGTCGCTGGCCACTCGGACAAAGCGCAGAGCTTCGTGTCACCAGTAAAGCAGACCGAGCAAGCAGTTGAGATCATTGTAATCAGTTCTGGCGATGAAAGCTCTGACTTGGACGACGCAGGTGCAGCTGAGGCCAAAGTGAAGCGAACGGCATGTGAAAATGGCGCTAAAGCTGCAGCAACAATCGCGCCTTCCGTGAAGGAAATGAAACGGCGATGGGACGAATGCAAGCAGGTCATGCAGAAAGAGTCACTTGAAGAAGACGCACCTGCGGACCAACCAGCTATTGAAATTGACGGCATTCTGGCTGCGGCCATCGAAGAGTACTCCAAGCTGGAAGACGGCGATCATCAAGCCGGTCACGAGAGTCACGAAACGTGGATCGGAGAGGATCTAATCGAAGGCGGAGACGGAGATTCAGTGATTGAGAGGATGCCGCCAGAACTGGAGCCCGATCAACAGCGCGATCAAATTCTCACAGCACGCGAAGCAGGCACGCAATGGCTGCGATCCAACGAGTACGACGGCGATGTGGATTCTGAGCTTGGTACCAGCGAGGATGACAAGCACTTCGAAGCCAAGATTGATGGCAACCGCAAGGGGGTTGGACGACTGGTATCAATTGGGAAAGACGTGCAGTGTAGACGACCAGAGCAGCTCGAGCTGGAGAAGAGCAAATCGATGCTGGTGGCTGAGCCTCCTCTCCATCCTCACATCAAGAAATCAAAGAATCAGCAAGAGCTATCGCGAATCTCGCAAAAGCCATTCGGTAAAATCGAGGTGAAGGTAAAACAGCGAAAGCCACCAAGAATCTCGCAAAACCCTCTCGGCCAAATCGCAATCAAGACGAAGCTGAGAGAGGAATTAGTACCGGTTCAAGCGCTGAGCCCGTTCAAGAGCAAAGGCATTCTCAAAACTTCATCGGTCGCAAAGAAGTTTCGTGGACAGCATACACAAGACAGGACAGCAAAAGGTAGAATTTCCAAAAAGCAGCTCACGGCACTTGTCCCGAAGATGGAACTGTCAGGCAGGCAGCAGCTGCTCAACTCTCAAGTCAAGCTACGCAAAGGGAAGAGTATTGGACATCAAGACCGAAGCGTTCGAGCTACGGATTCCAATGGCAAGACGAAACTTGCACGTCGGAACAAACGCAGAAGGCAGAACAAGAGCAGAAAGAAAAGAGGCGCCTCAATTGAATCATAAAGGTGTGCTCTCGACGTTCCTCCAGCATGTCTACTGGACTTGTACGGAATGAGGCAACAACTTAAGACATGAGGCTGTACAGCACAAGACATGAGGCTGTACAGCACGTCTGCTGTTTCTCAGACATTAGCTACACTCCACCGCAACTTCTTGCCACGTACGCTATAAGTAGAACAATGTACAATGTCGCTGTCTTTTGATTCTCTCTGGCGATAAGAGCATCCAATAGATGCATGCCTCCTATCGCTTGATAGACAAGAACTTCTTGATGCGCGGCATGCTACCCCTGTCGCTAATGTGAAGTGGCGGCTCGGACTCATGACCTTCGCCTTCTTTCGCAGATTTCCGATTGCCCCCGTCACCCAGCTCATCTTGTTGCTCCTCCCTCTCGCCCTCAGTTTTCGGAGTATTCAGCATCGTTTTTATCGCAACGGGGATCTCTAGCCCACGCTCGATGAACCATTCGGCGCCCATTGCTTTCGCCCAGATATCATTGACGTAAAGGCCACTCTTACCACCACTTTTGTACACTACAATGGTCCCCAAGATTTGCATTTCCTTGTCCACCGCTTTGCACATATCGTAGACTGTGAGTGCGGCTGCGGCAGCAGCTGTGAGAGCTTCCATCTCAACACCAGTAGTTCCATAGCAGTCGACTCGTGCTTGAATGATGACCGAACCGTAGGGAGTCCCGGGCAGCCGCCGCCCAAGCCTGCCTTTGACAAGCTTCCTGCTCCTTTCGGGCAGTAGCTCAACCTCCACTTTGGTTATTCCAATAGGATGACACAACGGAATGATATCAGAAGTACGCTTCGCAGCCATAATTCCTGCAATGCGAGCCACACTGAGAACGTCGCCCTTCTTGTTATTGTTCTCTGCAATGAGACGCAATGGCTCATCATTACTGAACCGAACGCGGGAAGTGGCGATTGCAATGCGTTTAGTGCTCTGCTTGCCGCCGACGTCCACCATATGTGCTTCTCCGGTTGATGTGAGGTGGGTAAGGTTCTTGTTGGAGCCTGTCTTGCTCTTCTTGGAGCGGCTCGCCGCAGTAGAAGCTTGACTCGGCTCATTGTTCGAAGCTTTCTCAACTGCAGTGTTGTCCTTTGCAACGGCCCTGCGGTCGGAGTCTTTCGTGACACTCGGCTCGATAACGTCTGTAGCCGGTTCTCGATCGGCCGACGTTAATGACTTGTTTTCTGTATATAGACCCCATGGGTTCTGAGCACGCGAAGGCAATGTACCGGGGTCTTTCAACTCAGAAGCCTCGTGACTCCTCGTAATGCTCGGGTTTGGCGGAGTGGAGAACGGGTTTGTCCGTCTCAACCCTCCGGCACTGGCAGCAAAGTTTGCAGTACTATTATTGGGCTTCCTTGGCCCTCTTTGCCGTCTCTGAGTCGATCTGATCGCGCTGCCGGATGGCAGTCGTCTCGCTGCAATAAATCGTCGGCGAAATGCATCGCCAATTTCGGCAACAGTGTGCTCTCGTTGCGTGCCACTGATCGTTGATGTAGAGGTTGCGGTAATGCCAACACCTTCATTATCCGCCGAGACCTCGTCCACGGGTGATGTGCTGCTCTCTTGGGCTTTTTCCGTGGTACCTGTCACAGCGTCGCCACGGATCTCTGGCTCTTCGCGATTATCAGGAGTCTGGGATTCTGTGCTGCCTTCGGTCTGACGCTCCTGAGGACTGCTGTAGCGACCGCGCTTTGGCTGTTCGAAAAGTCCACTCAGGCTTTGAAAACGGAATGCGGTGGCTAGGCGGGTCGCCGGCTCAGATTTGTTCTCTTCAGTGGAAGTGCTATTTCCAGCGTCTGAATCGCTCTTTGAAGAGTAGGTACGCGCTTGTGACCCAAACGAAGCGGGCTGAATAATGTGCAGTGGCACCCGTGACCAGGGCGAAGTCCTTCGCTGTCTAATGGGGATGTGCTGGGAAGAATTGCCAAAGGATGTAGAAATTCCTGGCTTACCTATATGCTGTCAGCGACAGTGCTTTCCTACAACAGTAGTGACAAGACAGATATGTGTTCGCATGAGGCCGTAAGCTTCGTCGATTCTTCTCATCGTCAATCATATCCTGCTAAACCGCTGAATGTGACGCGAGCGACATCGAACATGCGAATAAGACTGAAGTTGAACCTACCCACCAATCAAAATCATGGGGCGGTTCTGCATGTTCTCAAGATCACCCATATCAGCATGCTTGGCAGCTTTCCGCTTGACTGCTGCGCCAATGACTTCAAGGAGCTGACGTTCCTTGGTCATCCATCCTTCTTCACCATCGAGAAGCAACTTTCCTCGCTCGGTATTCCTTCTGTCCAGCTCAATCTGTCGAATTGCTTCAAAGGCCTGCTCGTCCATTGGGTTTCCGGAATTGTCTGCCCGCAGGAGATCACGCAGACTGACTTCTGCATTTCCATGCAGACACACCTTCAGATTACCATCAGATGTGATGCGCAAACGATTGCAAGTGCCGCAAAAGTTGTGGGTCATGCTTGTGATGAAGCCCACGCGTCCCTTGAAACCAGGCACTTGCCACGTTTTTGACGTGTCATTCTTTGCATCTTGTAGACGCGAAAGTGTAGGGTATTGTACTTTGATCAAGTCCACCATTTCTGCATATGGCAACATCTTTTTCTGCGCCCATCGGTTGCCGCCGAAGGGCATGTACTCAATAAAGCGCACCTCCAGGTCCTGCTCCCGCGTCATCTCAACGAACTTGAGGATCTGATCGTCATTAATTCCTCGCATCGCAACACAGTTGATCTTGAGCTTGATGCCTGCCCCCAGCTTGTTCATCTCTTGCACGCGATCAATGCTCTTCATGACGGCGTTGAACCCGTTCCTTCGGGTGAGCAATGGAAATTGCAGTGGGTCCAGAGTGTCCAAGCTGATGTTCACACCAGTCAGGCCTGCCTCGACCATGTCATCGAGCTTGCGATGGAGCGAGATACCATTTGTAGTCAGAGCCAATTCTTTCAGCCCATTGCGGCGTAGACTGCCAATCTGCTGCATCAGAGGTACAATGTCCTTGCGCACTGTAGGTTCGCCTCCCGTCAAGCGGATCTTGTTAACACCTTGGTTGACAAAAAGTGCGCTCAAGTAGTAAATCTCGGGCGTAGTCAGGATTTCTCGGTCGGGCGACAGCTGAATGCCCTCGGAGGGCATGCAATATGTACATCGGAGATTACAACGCTCGGTCAAGGAGATGCGCAAGTAGTCGTGCTGGCGGTCGAAGTTGTCCGTGAGAAATTCCGAGAACGGCTTCGCGTCGCGGAGCTTTTCCTTTCGCGCGGGCTGGGAGGGCAGTGACGGCGCGAGGGGAGGTATTCGCTGGTCGACGGTGGGGAGCTCGCGGGAAACGGCGGCAGTAGCAATGGGCCGTCTATTCAGTCGAGTCCATTGCGCCCTCTGCACAGCTCTGGGCAGGGCGCGCGGCCAAGTTGTTGTCGCCATGGAAGGCGCCAAAAATCATCTACAAGGAAAGAGAAACATTGCTCGAGCGGTGCTTGAGACTCGGGCGGGGCGGAAAGAGGGCGGATCAAAGCATGACGGCAAGATGGTGAATGGCATCAAAACCATGGGTGGATGTTGTTCGCCTCTCGCCGGGAATGTCGCGCCAAGCGGAGAAGTCTCCTTTCGGACATTCGCAGCGAGCTGCCTTCACGTCTCCCCACCTGCTGACATATTCTGCTGTGTTATCGACTACATGATCGCCCACAGGGCGCACCAGTAACAAGAGCATCTGCCTTGCCCAGATCCCAGTACTCGAGCCATTGATACGACGTCTTAGCAAGGAGAAGAAACGCCGTCGGTATCAGATGCCGCGTCAATGGACACTTTTGTCTGGTCCTCGATCTCATGCAGAGGCTATACCACTCTGTCTCCGCCGACATTTGTGTATATCGACAAAGAAGTCCTGCTGTGTTTCGCGAACACAATCCTACCACACTTGAAGATGTTTGGCGGACTGGCCACAGCATACTCAAGGCGATCCCTTTCATCCGAATCTGCTGGTCGTGTTGTTGGGTTCAACGTCCACAGTGTCTCCTGCGGCTTCAAGTGTCTTCAAGTACACCTCGATCCAGACCTAAACAGCGCATGCCGAACAACTGTATGTATGTTTACTTACTGACACAGTACTGCTCTAGCTAGCTCTCAGTACTGTGGACCCTCCACGAGGAGCGAGACGAGGCTTCGGCAGCGGTGCACCGAACTCGCTTGCGGGGTCAATGGTAGACAACATCTAGCCGTTCATTTGGTAAACCTGTTGCTTCCTTTATGTCATTTTTAATTCTTAACATTTTGCGGTACGATCAGAATCATTCACTATTCTCACCATGACCAGCTTATCAACCAAGCTCGCCGAACGCCAGGCTGCTGGCAAGCCAATCCAGGTCGGACTGATTGGCGCTGGCAAGTTTGGCTCCATGTTGTGAGTAGAGCTTAATGACGAAATGACATAATGGCTAAACACAAGAAAGCATTTCTCAATCACACCGAACTCCTGGTATGCGACTAGCCGGCATCGCAGATTTGTCAGTCGAACGAGCTGTTGCCGCTTTGCAACGGACTGGTTTTCCCAACGATCGATTCGATGAGACTGCGTCCTTATCAGTCGAGGATGGCATCAAGGCAAACAAAGTCGCCATCACACAAGACTCTGCTGCTTTGATCGCAACACCCGGTATAGATGTCATTCTGGAGGTCACTGGTAGCCCAGCTGCTGGTATTCGGCATGCGTTGCTCTGCTGTGAGCATAAGAAGCATATTGTGATGATCAATGTGGAAGCGGACGTACTCGCTGGTCCTTTACTGGCACGCAAAGCACGCGAAGCCGGCATAATTTACAGCATGGCGTACGGAGACCAACCCGCCTTGATCGCCGAATTGGTGGACTGGGCTCGGACTGCCGGTTTCGATGTCGTGTGCGCAGGGAAGGGTACAAAACATCTGCCTCAATATCATCAGTCGACTCCAGACACAGTCTGGGATCATTATGGCTTTACCAAAGAGCAACTGGCATCGGGCGACTTCAACCCTCAAATGTTCAATAGCTTCCTCGACGGCACCAAGTCGGCATTGGAAATGGCTGCTGTGGCGAACGGATGTGATCTCACACCTCCTGACAACGGCTTGTTATTCCCACCTTGTGGTACTCACGATCTACCACACGTGCTGCGGCCCAAAGAAGACGGTGGCCTGCTTGATAAGAAGGGCACAGTCGAGGTGGTCTCCTGTCTAGAGACAGATGGTCGTGCAACCCACAACGATCTGCGCTGGGGAGTGTATGTGATCATTGAGGCACCTGGCGAGTATCAAAAAGAATGTTTCAAGCAGTACGGACTGCAGACTGACAGTACAGGCAAGGTATGTACACCGATATCTTTTGACTGTCTGCGTTCGCTGATGCTTCGCAGTATGCCGTCCAGTACAAACCGTACCATCTGATCGGGCTCGAATTGGGCATCTCAGTCGCCACAATCATGTGTCGAGGAGAGCCAACAGGTCAAACACGAACATGGGCGGGCGACGTAGTAGCAACTGCCAAACGCGACCTCAAAACAGGAGAGAAACTAGATGGCGAGGGAGGCTTTATGGTCTACGGACGACTGATCCCTGCCGAAGCTTCGATGAAAATCGAAGGACTGCCTATAGGGCTCGCTCACGGCATCGTTCTCAAAAACGATGTCAAGCAGGGACAAGGTCTGAGCTGGAACGATGTCGAATACAGCGATAAGACCCAAGCAGTCGGGATTCGGAGGGAGATGGAAGCGCTCTTCCGGGAAGAATTCCAACAACAGAGACGTGATACCGTCACGAACGGTACAAACGGGACATAGGCTGCCAGGTTTGTCATTCGACCTCAGACGCTTTGTAAGCTCAAATCGAGGAGTTACGCACGAGTTGCGGGTAAATATCACTAATCCCGTGAAGCTTGCCATGTCCGAACTAGGGCTTCCTTTGGCGGAGGTGACAAGACAGTCGACGCGATTGGTTGATTTTGGCAGACCATGTTGCAAAACAAAGTGATTGTGAGATGCAGGTCAACGGTCGTCCATCATTGCTATTAGTGACACCTATGTTGTGTCAATTGTGGCTCAATGTCTCGTGTAGGTAGGAGGTACGTGAAGCAGAGAGTATAATGATCGTCAACAAACTTCAACAGGTCCGGGATCAATCGTCAGAGCTCTGGTGCCGAAAGTCCCTGACCGACTGTGCGGAATGCTTCTCGGATTCTACTGTACGCATACGAGGCATTGTGATAGACTGCAGCATCGGAATTGCCAAGACCTAGAGCGCTGTGCGTCCAAGGCCCCCTAGACTTGTCTCAACATTTCACAGAGGTCAAAGTTGCAACGCATGGCAACCATGATTGCGAGCTGGAAATGGAATTTACAGAAGCCAGTCCAGTCAAAGCTTCCCCTAGAACCTAATATGCTCACCATGCAATGCAATGCGTATATATAACTGTACACGAGCACCCAACCATGACGGGAATCGTTTCTTCATAGCCTGACGCACAACTCAACCGCACGCCATGGCATTCTCCTTACAATCCCTTTCACTCCTAGCTTCGTTCACGCTGTTGCTCGGCTACCTTCTTTACCAGAAGCTACTGCCCAAGCCCATACCTGGCATTCCCTACAACAAGACCTCAGCGCGTCGTCTGCTCGGAGATGTTACCGATGCTTTGGCACATTACGCAGAGACCGGCGAGGTAATTTCTTTCTTGTGTAAACGATGTGTCGAATTGGACTCTCCTGTTGCACAAGTTTTCATGCGACCTTTTAGTAAACCATGGGTTGTACTAGTCGACGGCCGGGAGTGAGTCGCAGACAAGACCCTTATTCCGAAGGCGTAGGATTTACCGACAATTGGTTATTGTGGCACCAGAGCGCAAGACATTATGACCAGACGAACGCGCGAGTTTGACAGGTCGGACTTCTTTCGAGAATTATTCATCTCCCTCACGCCCGTAGAACAAGGGGTTCTTCCCACCAACGACCAATGGCGTTTCAATCGCAAGCTCATGGCCGATGCCATGAAACCCGAGTTCTTGAACAATGTGGCAGCCCACATGGTCCACGAAAACGTATTACACATGATCGCTCTGTGGAAAGAGAAGGCTAGGTTGGCGCAAGGCCGTCCATTCAGTGCATCCGAAGATCCTCAAATGTGTACTGTTGACACCATTTGGGCGGCGACCTTTGGATTCTCGCTCGAGACGAGCAAGACATATGCGGATCAGCTGGCCAAAATACAAAGTATTGATCTACCGCCAATCGACTCGGATGAGGTTGTGAAGATGCCTGCTGCGCAATTGCCAGAAATGTATCACCACGTGAAGCTGATAACCCAAAGTTCGGAGATAGCGATGACCAGTCCACTCGGCAGAAGACACCACTGTGAGCAGATCGACTCACTCCAGCAAGTTTCTACTGACTGTCGTGTCCAGAGTTCGCGGTAAACTTTTATCCTTCGATGCGCAAAGCGATCAGAGTCAGAGATAAAATGATCCGTGCCAGGATCGAGCAGGCCTGGAAACTCTACGAAAATGACCAGAGCGGGGAAGGAGAGGCGCGTATAAAGTGCGCACTGGATTTGATCGTCGAGCGAGAGACATCGCTTGCGAGGAAAGATGGACGGAAGCCTGATCGGCACTCTCAAGTGCTGTTCGAAGAATTGTGTGGTTTCCTAACTGCGGGATTTGAAACCACCTCCACGACGGTAACTTGGGGCCTGAAATACCTGACGAAGCACCAGGACGTGCAAGCTAAGCTGCGAGAGAGCTTGAAGCATGCGCATCAACAAGCCTGGGACGCGGGTCGTTCACCCTCTGCGGAAGAGATCGCGAAAATCGATTGTCCGTATCTGGGTACGTGCAAGGGTGGACTTGAGGAGCGGAAACCAGATTGCTGACAGGGAGCAGAGGCTTTCATAGACGAAGTCATGCGACACAGTGGCATAGTGTCCGGCAATATAAGAGTGGCGACTGTGGACGCGCCATTACTCGGGTATATCATTCCCAAGGGCGTGGACGTTTTTATGCCAGTAAGTGGGCCGTAAGTTATTCTCTCGGGGGCACTCCTAACTCTTGAGCAGACCATGGGACCGAGCATGCTCTCACCGGCCTTTCCTGTAGACGAGGAAAAACGCACCGCGACAAGCCGGGAATTCAAAGGCGATGCAGATCGATGGAACGAACGCAAGGACATGGCAGAGTTCCTCCCCACTCGTTGGCTAATCACCGACGAGAACGGCAAAGAGTCATTTGATAGACGGGCTGCTCCGTTACAGACCTTTGGCGCAGGCATCCGAGGATGCTATGGTAAGATCCAACTCGCAGCGAGCCCTGCTCTTCTTGCCGGCACATTTTTGCTGACAATGCGCCACTAATAGGAAAGCGACTTGCGTATCTCAAAATGCGGCAGATATACACTTTGATCGTCTGGCACTTTGAGCTTTTGCCTCTTCCAGAGACACTGGAGGATTTCAAAGGAAGAGACATCCTTACTCATGGTAGGTGAATGTGATCTCCGTTTGGCCAAATTTGCTGACATGCGTAGCTCCGCAGAATGTGAGGGTGAGATTGGCACCAGTGCATCCAACTCGATGAGCTTCCGGAGCTGGAAAGTGGTGTCGAGGCGTTCACACAGTCTCTGCCTTCGGTTCGAGGTTTAAGTGATTTGTACGATTTGATGGGCTCTCCCGGGCCACAATTACGCTGACATCCCTCTCGAACTCGTCCATTATATGTTCTTGCCTGGCTCCCGCGGCAAGTTCGGCGCAGCGACCTGTTCCCACAAGAGATGTTGTTGGCAGCTGAACTTTATGTTCGGCGTAGAGTATTCTTGTTTCGGTTTGAAGACCAGCTCATCCAGAGACAATTCAATGGCGTTCCCGTTGAGCCTATCGTCCGCCAATATCGCGTCCACAGCCTTCAATGCTGTGTTGAGTGGTGTCAGCTGCTGCCGATCCCACAGGGCCGCGATATGCGCAGGCATTAAATTGGTCTCGACGATCGCAGGGCAAAGAGCATTGATAGTGATGCTGTCCTTGATGTACACGGGAGCCAGTGAGCGAACCAGACCGATCAAGGCGTGCTTGGATGCTGTGTACAGTGGAATGCTGTGATTCGGGTACAGGCCAAGCATACTAGACGTGACAACGATGCGTCCTCCAGTATTGTTGTTTTTCTCCGAAAAGAAGTGTCGGGCTAGATGAATGCCTTGGATGACCGCGTTCACGTTGACATCGAAGACGCGAAGATCGATTGGTGCTGGCAGTCCGGTCTGTTGGTCCACAGCGCTGTCTTTGTAAAGCGTGTCGGAGTCCCCAATTCCAGCGTTCAGAAACACCAGGTCAAGTCTACAACCTCCCCATTCCCAGGTCTTCAGGAAGGCATTTGCTTGAGCGTTGTAGTCCGAGACATCGAGATGAATGCCCCAACAGTTGTCACCTAACCTGCCAGCCTGTTCTTTGGCACGTTCTTCAACGATGTCGGCAATGGCAACTCGGTAGCCGTAGAATTGTATCAGGTGCTCAGCTACGGCAAGACCTATGCCGCTTCCTCCGCCAGTAACGAATGCTACTGGCGAACTCATATTCTCTTGTTGTCTGTGCCTGGAAGGAATGGGTCTTGGGTTCGAAGATAGGCAGATCAGTACTCGCAAGATGCCACACTCTCGTAGGTGTTACGGAGTGTTCCTGTTCCGCGTTGCGGTGGCCACCAAAAATGGAGAACTGCGGGGACAAATAGCTCTGTCCGCCTGAAGACCTGCAATGCCGAAGTGGTGGGCTCATTGCCGAGCTCACGGCCGGACTACGAACGATCATGTCTACAGTTTTGTGCATTTTATTTCTTGACCAATTGAGACCCTCGCGTATCAGTCCAGTAATTGGCAACCTGGCATTGTGATGCTCGACAGCCCGATGGCCGAGCAAGAACGCGTCCTCAATCACATACTGCTGACTAGAACGCCTTTCGGTGCTGCAGTCAATTGAGACTGCACGGTCTCGCGCGGTCTCTGACTGACGGAACTCGTTGATTGTGCATGGTGGAGGTGTTTTGCAGAGACAAAATCAACAGTGCAGCGAGGCGAGAGAAAGCACGAGCCGATGGAGCTGAGTCCGTTCCCTGCCTCTCGCCGAGTCAAACGCTCTCCTGCCTTCCTGTGCTCTGCTTTCCGAGGAACCTCGACATCACTCGAGCGCGACACGACAATGATGCACGAAGCGCACCGGGCAGTGGCTCTTGTCTCCCAACCTCAATATCCCACTTGAGTCGGCCATGCCGCTTTTCGACGAGTCTGGACAGCGTGATGCACTTGCACTCCCGTCTCGCAAATGGCGCCTACTGATCGGACTGATTGCGACAGTTGGCCCAAGCTGATGCTATCAACTGTCCATTCTCCCGATCGAGTGTATCGCGATTGATGCGCATCCGCAGTTGTGACTGGTCGCCCGTATACACGCACTCCTTTGGGTGCGTGCCATCCCCAATTCAAGATTCTGTTGGACAGACGCCACGTCAAGGAACAGTCTGGACACAGCTGTCGAGGCGTGACCGCTCTCCGTCGCGTGGCCAATCTGGCGGCCGACGGATGAGTCCCGAGCCCATCCGGCCTGCTTCAGGTATTGATGCACATCAACATCCTGGCATATCCTTGTCAGTTTCTCTTGACAACCCACTCCGGAGCGGATCGCAAGGGCGATGGCCAACTTCGACAATGTGCAAGAGCCCGCTTTGTTACTCGACCAGGTGTTCGAAGAGCTATAGGGAAACAACGAGATCGAACATTAGCACCATATCGAATCGCTCTGACAATTCAACCACATGTGACGAGAGATTCATTACGTCTTGTCCACGCGGTCCTATCCTCATCAAGGTGCATCTGTGGAAGCATGCACAACTCCGCGACTGCAGGGCGATCTCTCAGCCCAATGCCGATGAGCCTCGTTGGGCGCCTCCGTGTGACACGTAGCCAGGCACCGTGCTCGCCGTGAGCACCGCTCTAAAGTCCTGCATTCCCAGTTCNAATTCCGTCCAAACCTTGCCTCTCACTTTCATAGCCTCGACACGGTTCTCACAGCAAACCGTGACGCTCGAGATCACCCCAAGGCAACACGATCCCAGCCCTCGATCTCCAGTTCTAGAATGTCTCTCAATCCCATTCCAGTCACTGAAGTGCCTCTTAAGCGCAAAGTCACCAAGAGCCGAGTGAGTACTTAAATCCTCCGACACCCTTCTCTTGAAAAGTATATGTTCCTGACTCGAGCACCAGCAAATCCATAGAGGCGACAGCGATAGCAGCACCTACACCACAGCGAGCGAGAACAGCAGAGACATGGCCACACAAACCACCGAGCCGATGCCATCACCAAGGCTGAGCACAACTCACAACCCCGCCCGTATGTCGGGCGGCGCTGGCAGCGACAAGAGTGTATCGTTCGTACCAACTCCTCCAGCATCGCCGGACGAGAAATCTCGCGCTGAAGCAGAGCTCGTGCGAGACAAGAAAGACAAGTCCGAAAAAGCCAAGAGGCCTTCGTTCAAGAGGAACTTGTCCTCACTCTGGAAGGTCCTCGATCCACCCGAATTGGCGCACAACACCGGTGCCCTCCACAACCTAGTCAAAGCACAAGACGAGAACCACAAGAGGAACTACAGTGCTGATAGCACGACGCTGGTGGAGACTATCGCTCACACCCGACAGCTTAAGCAGCGCTGAGCATGAAGACCGTCGTTTTGAGTCTTGTGGGGGATTCACATGAGTTGTTTTTTGCGTCTGGAGCGAGTCGGGTTTATCGATAATGTCAGCATGAGTCCACGCATTGTTTCTTCTTGTACGTTTCAAAAGCTCGAGCAGGTTCAGCTTTCATCTTACGGCAGCATGGAGACTATTTGGCATTATTAGCAACTTTAATTACAACGATCATCGAGCGCTATCCTCATCCGTCCCCAATTCTCAATGATATGGCAATTTTAGACAGCGTGGCATAGTAAATGCGTTCGAGGCGATTGTCGTCTGTGCTGGTGACTGTCAGCTGACACATTGGGCTCGAATAGACAGGACGGAAGAGGGCTGATGTGGAGGATCATTGGCCAAGAAAATGAGAATTACTGCAACTTTTGTGTACGCCCATATAGGCTTGTCCCAGTAACAAAGCCAACCTAGTCTATCTCGCACAATACACTGTTGGAATTACAAGAGCAAGCAAAGTAGTTGGGAGGCTGGGGCGCAACCTCCTTCGCTCAAGCAAAGCCACAAATCTTTCAGTTGGCGCGATAACAGCAAGTCGTCGTCTCAAGCCTGATCTCAATGCAGAACTTGTCAATGCCTCAAGAAAGCTCCTTCTCGGCAGCAGCCAACTCAGCTCTTGCCTGAACCATCTTGATGTCACGATCACTTGGGATCAAGATTGAATTGCCAACATCGCCCTGCGCTGGATCGAAAAGCACGAACAGGTTTGGCTGCGGTGAGGCGCACATTGTGGTGTCGACAAGATGTGCTGGGCAATTGGAGCTCACTGTCGTCTTCCAAGCAATGATCAGCATGCCGTAGGCCTCGAGAATGTCGCCAAATTTGACTCCTCCGGCCTTTTTGACGATTTTGCGGAGCGGCAGTTGTGGCTCATAGTCGTCGAAAATGGAGACTGTGACGCGCGAGGTGGGTGGTTGAGTGAGGTACATGTTCCAGACTGATGGCGGTGCGCGAGTAGAGCCGAACCATACGTTGAGGAGCTTGGGGCGGATTCGAACGCGTTCTCCGAGTGCTGCGCGCGAATCGAGATCGCCTTTGCATGGCAGGGGGAGCAGAGTGCCGACGAGTGGATTGAGCTTGACTTCAGCACTACGCAGATATCCTGAGCTTCGTGTAACAGCCGGAACGCGGTCTTGGACGACAATCAGGGTGCGGAAGCGATGGCGGTTCGGGAAAGCCCTGCTGTCGAATGTCGTACGCGTGACCAGAAATGTGTGTTTGGAAGGAGCGGATTGGAAGAAGAGTCGTTCTTGCAGACCCTTCGACTTCTCGATTGCAGCCTGCCACATCTTTGACACCCGCTGGACTGTAAGCAGGTCGCACTCGGGCAGTTCGAATAAGATCGCCTCAAGTAGTGCGGGAATGCCGAGAGCCTTGCCAGCCGCAATGAAGGTTGTGGATAGTACCTGCCCCCAAGTTAGTTCTGAGTCCCCCAAAGGCAGTTGCGATCACGAACCTTTGGAGTTGGTATGGCTTTTGGTGCTGTCACTGCTGGCTTGAAAATCTCTGCGCTTGCATCTAGCACCTGCACAGCAGTACCGCCTGGTGGACCCCAATAATTGCTGAAGGTGAACTCCGGCTGCTCGGTGACACGCAGCGGGCGAGTCGAATAGTATCTGGCTCGAGACATGCCGGTCGCCCACGAGTCTACGCGGTCGCGCTCGGCCATGTCGTGCATGTCTCTCATCTCCAGCGAGGCCATGTCAAGTGCGTTGGTAGCAGGGGAATCGATTGCAAAATGGTTGTTTGTTGTGTCGTCGAGCGAGAAGTGCGAGACAGCCAAAGATGCGGCACTTGATCACAGCTTGATGACCTCAAGTGAAGTCAATGAAGCGAAGGTGCGTCAGCACGCAACGGTTGAGTGAGCCACTTCACTTCCTCGCAGCAGCTATCACGTATCTCTGGTTACTCGTGTCTAATTCGTCGTGGCCGTCCTCATGTCCGCTTCGTAAGAACAGGTCTGTTCACCAATCCTCCAATTATCTTAATCTCGTTGCGCTCATGGCCCCTCCCGCCGCTTGGCCATTCTGCGCAGAGCGGGCTGACGGGCCCTCGCTCATGAGAGACTGCAGTCCCAGGTCTCGCCAGGCTGGTTCCCGACTCTTCTGCTGAGCTCGCTGAATGCCAAAAGCAGCATGCTGGTCTGGAACGATATCATCTTCATCGTCTGGGTTCAGTGGCTGATGTTGAGGAGCGACAGTGATCTCCTCGGCTGGCAATTTGATGCGCGTAAAGTCTTCGAGCAGGTCGGCATGGTGAGCAGCATGCAGATGTAGATGGGTGAAGCAAGAATCGCGCGACTGCGACATGGTACTTAGCTTTGCTCTGCGATTGTGCAGATTGGGTGGAGTATACCATTTCTACGCTCTCCGCCGGCACGAGGCAGGCGAGGATATCCCAGCAACGTCGCGTCCCCGCGATGTGTCGTTGTGTTTATGTGCCGTAGTGCGACGAGTATTCCACGAGGTGCAGAAGCGTGCTGTCAATGGCAAGCAGTACGTCGACGCGTCTCAACAGTAGCGCGACGGTGAGCAGGTGCAGTCTCTCGCCGCTGCAAGCGATAATTATAGCGTAAGCGGTACAGTAGAAGTACGGCGATCACGCTTTGCCAAGGCAAGTCTGACGCGGCTTCCAGTTTCTGGCGAGCTGTGCATGAGCGAATGGCGAATGGCAAGCAACATTTTCCCTCCTCCCCTATCTGTGGCAGCGGAAGAGGCAAACGTGGTATTTTGGCGTGTAATTGCTTGTAGTGCTTGTGTTGAATATTGTGATAGCTCCTTGATGAGACATGCGCAACTGGGTGAGGTGTTCGCTTCGGAGCCGCTTCAAGTTCTAGTTCTACTCCCACCAGCCCGCTAGCAGGGGCTCAACTCCAAATCTCCAACATCTCGTCTCCTCCACGTACACGAAGACTCCATCTTCCACCGTCTTCTATCGCCCGGCCGTCAGGTCACGACATCGCAACCCCGAGTCTCCGCCAAAGTGCGCTTTCGAGAAAAGCAGAGCCCCGTGCCGCCGGCGCATTCTCCTTCCCCGACGCTCGTTACCCTGTGAGCCGCTTCTTTGACGCAGCAGCGACGACAACCAGCGTCTTTCGGCCCTGCACGCACATCCCGGCAGAATTCCCTCACAACATCGACTCGCGCCGCGATTGAGCACGCACCCAGCACTGCCCCTCGAGGGCTTTACTTCCCATCATGGACATAGTCAAGGGCCTCCAGAAGCGCATACCTACAGCGGAGAATCTGCCGACACTGAAGACGCTGCAGAACACGTCGCTCAAGGATGTCACTGAGAAAATATCGCCACGCGTATCCTTCCTGAAGAGGCGAGTGCGGATACGTGGCAACAGCAAGATCAGCGTGCCCTTATACATCGTGCTGCTGTTTCCAGCCATCGTCGTGATAGCGATATTGACGCTATTCGTGCGCCATCCAGACTCGCCTGGCGCGCGACTTATACCCTCTGGCTCGCCGCCGAGCATCAGAAAGATCAGTGAGAAGTACGATAAGGTCTTCGTGACGGGATGTCTGGATCCAAAGATCACGGCCAAGGAGACACCGCGCGCGAATGCTGCATTTGTGGTCCTCGCACGGAACAAGGAGCTGGATGGTGTCGTTGAGAGTTTGAAGAGCGTGGAGAGGCATTTCAATAGATGGTTCCACTACCCATATGTCTTCTTGAACGACGGAGAGTTTAACAGCACATTCAAAGAGACCGTCACCAACTACACCTCATCACCTGTGGAGTTCGGTCAGATTGGCCCTGAGCACTGGGGCTTTCCCAACTGGACCGATGCCAATGTGGCAAAGGAGGGCATTAGAAAGCAAGGCGACCAGGCCATCATGTACGGAGGCATGGAGTCTTACCACCACATGTGTCGCTTCTACTCTGGCTTCTTCTACAAACACGAGCTACTGCAGAAGTACGATTGGTACTGGAGAGTAGAGCCGGAGATCAAATACTTCTGCGACATGACATACGACCCGTTCGTACACATGGAGCGAAACAATAAGACGTACGGCTTCACGATTGCCGTCAAGGAGCTGAAGGAGACTGTGCCGAACATCTTCAGGTATGCTTCGGCATACAAGCGTAAGCACGGATTGAAGAGCAAAGGCTTGTGGGAGATGTTCCTCGAACCCAAGGAAGGCTACAACCAAGACGGCACGCCCAAGCCTGGCACCATACCACCTGACGAGTTGCCGAAAGAAGATCCTACTTACGCAGATGGCAAGACGAAACCACTGCCAGAGGACATCCTGCGAACAGAACCGGGACAAGGAACACTACCCGAGATCGATCCCGAAGCAATGGAAGGCGAGATATACAACATGTGCCATTTCTGGTCAAATTTTGAGATTGCGAGACTGGACTGGTTCCGGAGCAAGGAATATGAAGAGTTCTTCCAGATGATGGACAAGTCGGGCGGCTTCTGGATGGAACGGGTGAGTTCGCTTCGACTTGATGTGGAGATTTCCAGTGCTAATCAAGTTACAGTGGGGCGATGCGCCAATTCATTCGCTTGCAGCAGGTGCACTTCTCTCGCCGAGCGATATTCACTACTTCCGTGACTACGGCTACAGACATACTACAATTCAGCACTGCCCGGCAAACGCGCCGGCGCGGCAAATGCCACGAGAACCTTATCTTGAATCGACGACATTGGACGAAAAGGAACGAAAGGAAGAAGACGAATACTGGGAGAAATGGGACCCCGAGAAAGAGAATGGCGTTGGCTGCAGATGCCGCTGCGACACTGATGTTGTGGACGTGGAAGGCAAGGAAGGATCCTGCATTCCGCAATGGGTAGACATCGCAGGAGGTTTCATTACACCGAGCGGACCAGGCTAGAAGCCCTAACAGAAGCATCGAGGTAATGGCAGGAGAATGAGAGCGACGCTGCAAAAATAAAACACACTAGACAAGCGACAGGCTCGGAGTTTTGGTGCGTGTGTGCTTCGCGTGCAAGCGGCTATCATATATGCATTGGATCGGTGCGATGAAGGTTGTGTGTGGCCTTCTTCCCAACAGTCGACTTTGGGTTTGGGAACACTGTACAAGTCACTCTGGAGACCCTTTTTCAACCTTTCAACGAACTAGCTTCATTGCTCTAATATGTGTTCTCTACGATCTCCCTTGGACTGACGCGAGCGTTGTCGGGTTCGAGGCCTGAGTGGGTGCAACAAGAAGCTAAGTCCATATGCGCGAGACATTTCGTCTGCTTGCTGAAAGTTGCGAGCGCCATAGGATGTCGTTCGCCCCTCTGGAAGTGCTCATTTGCAACCACGCATATAGCAGTGGTCAACACAGCCAAGATCCATACCAGTACATCTCTTCCAAGGCCATATTGGACGCCGGCTATTCGTGGTAGCTGAAGTACATGCACAATTTCTGATACGTGGCCGAGGTCTCATGGCGGTCAAGAACCTCTCAGGTCCCAAGTGGCCAGATGCTCCTCACCCGACGCAAAGATGCTAGCTGGTGCCACATCCGATATCGTGGCAGCACGACTTCGAAGCATTTGGAAATCTTAATAATTCCACGGGTTCTGCGGTCCGGTGATCAAATGAAGAGTGGTACGCTCCAAGACTACCAGAAAATTAATGGTGGAGGGTCTTGTGGCCTCACTCATGGCCATGTATTTTTTTTTCGACATTCAAAGTCACGTATCTTCTTGGACAGAAAAATGCAAGACTCACTGCAAGCCAACATCACCAACGAAAGCACACAACAAACTCGTCATGACCAAGTACAGGGTGCCCACGCGGCTGCGCAAGACACCGAAGCCCGTTTCAAGATCAAGCATCGTGCTCAATCCGCCTGTTGATTCCACAAAGCGTTACATCAGCAAAATGGAACTCATCAACGAGCTCTTCGACCTGGTGCTGCGTGAATTCAACGTCCAGAAACTTTTGCGACTTCGTAGGGTCGCTCAGCACTGGAAGTCTCAAATCGACTCTTCTTCGGCAGTCCAAAGAGTGCTTCTCTTGAAGTCAACTATCCCACGCAGCATCATCGAGCTGAAATTCACACATCCTCAAGATCTTGTCGAGCGCTCCGCATCACTGTCGAAAGTGTCGCGGAGCTGCAAGAACCGCATCCATGTCAAGCTGAACGCGCTTCTGTGCAAGAAAAGCAATGCCACTGACGAACCCGACTTGTTCGACTGCAGAATCAGTAAAAGAGACACGGTCCTGCTGAATACGGCCATCATCATACCACATATCCTTTCGAAAGGCACGCGCATGAAAAAGATCGAGTCGGCCGATCCACCACAACTCAAGCCAGTGCGGCAGTTCGTTGATAGCCAACTCGACATGCTGTTGACTGATCCACCAGTCAAGGCGGCATACCTCAGCATCTTCAATAACATGGCTCACGCACGTGTCGAGAATCCATCAGGTTTGCGCCTGCGCGATATCTTGGATGGCATCGACAAATCTGGCGTATTGGAAGGCATTCTGTCCTGCTGGCACAAGATGCAAGAGTTAAACAAAAGAATCACGCTCGATATCGATGAACGTGAGGGCTATGTCTGTCTGTCTGGGTGAGAAGGAGGAGGTAGAGTTGTGTGATCTTATGGCTGGTTGCAAACTTTCGGATGGCCCAGAGACTGCATAAAGCTCTTTGATGACCCTAGGATTGAAATGACACAGGCGCCTGTGACTTCTCGACCTCAGAAATCAACAGCCGGAGTGAGCGATCAACGAAACTTGGTTTATCTGGCAGCTTTCTGTCCCACCGCACCTGTCTCGTCACACAGAACAGCTATTGGAGATATGCGTGCTACTTTGCAGGAAAGCTGAGATCGACAACCATTAGAGTCAGGCCTCCCGTGTGGTGTCGCAGTCGGCTTGCCAAGAGTAGCTTAGGACGACGATCGACAGCAGCTTAGATGAGCTTAATGCGCGTAGAGATCCGATAGACCCAGGAACGAGACACTTTGTGTTGCTCGAGGATCAGGCGTGCCGCCTGCAAGTCTCCTATAGCTTCGGCCTGTAACGCCTACCTCGTGTGACTGAAAGCTGACCGCAAGTAGTATTACCTCCTCCTTTCTGGACGAGATCTACGAGCCGAGGAATGTGATCGATCCGTTTATCCTGAGGCTTCTGGAAAAGATCTGCTGTTGATGAGAAGCTGTGATGTGACTTCTCTTTCGGAATGCACGGCGCGCGTACAGTTCTCTCGTGAGGCTTTCCATCGGCTTGCTGGAACGAGCTCAGCTGAGAACCAAACCGGTCAAAAGTTAGCCATGAGTGGACAAAGAAATGGCTCTGCAACGGTAGCACCATCCCAAGGACCAGTCACAGTCGAAGGCCTTCTAGGGTCCTGCACAACTCAGCAGGATGTCGAGGGACACTGAGGGTCATGGCAAGGGATATATAAGTCTGTCAGTCTCTCGTAAGTCTTCCCTACCTTTCCTTCAAGCACACCAGAGCTACCGCCAACAGAATCGTCTTCACTATCCGACATAATGCAGATTAAGACCCTCAGCACCACTCTGGCCGTTCTGGCCACGGCTGTCTCAGCCCTGCCAGAGTCATTAGAGAAGCGTGCTCAGACCATCAACAATGTCGAACATACCTTCTACGGCTTCCCCGACAATGACCCGCCTTCAGCTCAGACAGCATACGACTGTGGTTACGGTCGAGGATACACTGCCGGCGGCAAAGGCACCTATGACGATCCACGCACTTTCGCCACTGCCCCTGGCGAGTTCAACAAGTGTGAGATTGTCTGGAAGTGAGTTGATACATAACACAAAGCGTTGCCATGTTATATAGACTGACAATATTTCCTCAGCCCGTACACCAAGAAGTACCTCATCTTCCAGGATACTTGTGAACAGTGCACCAAGGACTGTAAGTCTCTGTGGAGATGACCCCGTTTCCTGACTTTCCAACGGCGTACACGTGCTACCCTTTGCGCTCGAAGGGAAAAACGGCAAATATCACATCGACATCTGGACCGGGTCAAGCACGCAGAGCGGCGGCAATGCCCAGATTCAATGTGAGAATAGATTGACGCCAGATCGAGGACACAATGTCGTTCGCAATGGCAATACCGGTCATGAGGCCAACAGTAAGTTTGCTCATATCATGAAACTCGAAGCGAAGCATGTGCTGACTTGTCGTAGCTGGCCCTCTCTACAGCCCATCTTCGGGATACCACCCAGAGAATGTCTATCCAGATGGAAACTAAATGTTACTGGCTGGGAATTGACGATCGAAAGTTGCCACGAGTTAAGCTAGATAAATCGTAGGCACAGATAGCTTGAACTGATGAATATTGTTCTTCGATTAACTTCTTGGTCTACGCGCACGGTCTCCATGACCAGCATTCTGAGCATGGCAATATTAGCTAGTGTTCTACGCAAGGAAACATACTCCGGCCTGGAGGTCCCGATGTTGCTAAGGTGCACTAATTTTCCCGAAATTCCTCCAAATGTCAACGATCTTGTGGAGTTTGGGCTCCCGTGATACAAGCTCTCCAGACAGCTTATGCGCACGGCGAAAAACGTGAATTCCAGACATGGATCTTGTGTGCGGTTTGCTTGTGATAGCAATTTGCCCAAATGGCGGCGGTTCAAGTGGACTGGTTTCTGCAAAGATTGAAGGCAAATCGGTCCTAGGCGGCCCAGCGGTGCTCGGCAATAGGCTCAAGCTTGCTTTCTTCCTGAGCTTTGGCGGTGAAGGTCTCTTCATCTCTGCCGCGCTCTGAACAGGTCGAATGCGCGAGGCCCGTGAAGGTCGGTGTCGGACCTCGATTTCTGGTAGCATGCTGAGAGACGTGGACGGCCTGCCCTCCCAGAATCCGCCCTCGTTCAGCGCATAGCCTGATCTGGTCACAGGTCTGCCTCTCTCCAGCACAGGCGAGTAGGGATCGAGTATCGGATCGGTTAATGAACAGCTGTCGGGACTAATAGCTACTCGTCTTGCGAGCACGGCGATTCGATCGTTGACTGTCTGCTTCAGGGCCTCTTCGAGGGTGGAAGACTTGTGTTGGAGGGTCCTGACCTCTGATCGAAGTTGAGCTAGCTGGCATTGCAAAAACTCATCATCAAGCGGCTGGCTTTGATTGAACTGAGAAATGTTCTCTGGTGTGCGCCCGACTGATTTTCCAGGTAGCACAGGCTGTCTCATTTGTGTATCTATCCTCAGCGATGGTGGTTTCTGTGGTAGCGGCTGCATTATCTGCGGTGGCATCGCTGGCTGTGTGGATTTTGCGATTGGGCCTGGCGATTGAGGCTGAGCCGGACCCAGTGGACTTCGAGAGGAGCCTGACCTCTTGGGAGAGACAACCATCCAGGGAGCCTTCGAGGTCGGAAATTCCGATTTGGGAGTAGGTGATATGGCGCTGGTTGGGGGAGTCGGCCAGTCCTCAATGTTGATAGTTTCGCTAAGCGAGAGCGGCGAGTCCAGCTCGGAGTCGATGCTACCTGATTGTTTGTGCAATACGAATGGCTGGAGAGCAGCCTTCGAAGTCAACAGTCTCAATGGGGCAGGCATAGCTGGCTCTGTGATTGCGGTTGGTGCACTGCCTTGTGAGTAGCACGAGCTGGCATCGAAGGAAGGTCGGTCATCTTCTTCAACGATCTCTCGCGCTGCTATAACTGCCATCTTCCACCAAGAGAATCGACTATGCCGTGTGGGCGTTTCATGTTGTAAGCTCTCCGCCATGCTGTAGAGAAGGTCATCGCGGCTGAAGTGTCGCTCTTCCCAGTCCAGATCGCTCATATCTTATTATTGATGTGGAACAAAGCTACACGTTAGAAGCAAATCTGAGAATCACGATGAGAAGTTGGCTCTTAAGGATATCTGTGAAGATATTATCATGGGTAGGAGATTCCGGCTGTGAGAAACCTAAAGAGTCATGCATTGAACGTTCGGGGGCCGGCAGGAAGCTACCCACGACGCGCTCAACATGTGCACCGCACAACGGTTCGCAGAGATGAGCGAAGACGTTTGGTAAATAGCCAGCGTGCGAAGCATTAAGGTTGACAGAACTGCTCGTGGCAGATGCTGCATGAGTAGAGGTCGTAGAGCTTCCATCGCAGGCAACTGTCACTGGCTATGAGCCTCGACCTGCTGTCTTTGTGGCGTCGCCTTTGACTTCGTCGTTGATGGTTCATCCGAGTGTGATATCGGCAGCTTTGTCGCGGACTCTCGTGTCTGGCCGAAAGCCTTTCCAGCACTGGCGGTGTCTGGACTGGGGGTCCTAGCACGGGGCATCTCGGGAGAGTCCAACATTGAGGTCAGGAGCGAGCAAGCTGCAAGCAGTCGAGGACATGCTTGGCCTGGTGGCCGAAGCCAAGATACTAACACTCGTGTATGTTGTCGCGTGCAGGAGAAACGTGAAGACGAAGGAAAGTGTGAAAGGGACAGAGACGGCAACGGCGGCACAGCGGGTCGAGATGAAAACGCCAAGACTTTTCTTCCCGGGTCGGCCTCGACTTCACGTCAGCAATAAGGCGATGTTCCTCAATGTGTACGGCAATCGAAATCTCATCATGTGTGACTGTGGGCTTCCAGATGTCGATCTGATGGAAGGGAACCTACGCAAACAATTCCGCCCTGAACATGTGGTGCCTGCAGCCCGAGAAACAAGACTTGAGCTATAAGCTTCGCACGACAATGCGTTTCTCAACATCCGTGTCCAGACCATAGCACGGCTGGCACTATGATAGGAAGAGCTTTAGCACAATGCCATCTATGGTTTGTGTCACCGATTTGGAACTTCGCCTAACCCTCCCCCACGCGAACTGATTCTATCCGAGCTGAAGAAGAGAAATATATCACGCCCATTGGCAGCATGTACCTTGCTTGTTGCTCAATGCTGCCGCACTGGGTTACACAACTTTGCCCTCCGCAAAAATGTACGCGCTTCAGCTACGTCATCTGGCGATGGCGAATGGGTGCACGAAACCCAGGCGCAAATAGTGCCACACCATCGACTATTGGTTGTCGTAGTTGATACCACCGCCACACTCGACTTCTGTCTGCACTCGCTAGCACGATACGGCAGATCTTGTGATTTGACGTTCGCCACTGTTGACTTCCTTGACCGAAATTTCACAAATACCATCGTGCTGAGATTGCTGCCATCTAGTATCGCTCACCATTCTGTGGATGGTGGAATGACGCGACATCAGGCGTTGAGAGCTGGCGACCCTTTGCAGGATTGAATGCATTGCATATGCATCGCTTCAGCTAAGCCAAAGACGGAGAAACGCATGATTGAGGATGCCCGTGCTACAATTCAGCTTGACGATTTGAAATGGAACGAGGAATGCCGCGTGATCGCAAGCAAGTCGCACGTTCCCATTCGCTGACTGGCAATCTCATGTGTGTCGAGTTCCACAAACTCGCGCATCATCGCGATGAGGCATGGCCTGGAGCAGTCAGCAGCATGAAGAATGTCGTGCAGTATGTACGCCTTGCAAAAGTGTAACATCTCAACCACGCTGTCATCGATCGTGATTCAGGTGTCAAAAGGTGACACTCTTCCCATGGCTTGACGTCCACTTCACTTGACACCTTCCTCGCAAGGTGGTTTGCATGTGTCATGGCTTGGCAATTTCCACGCTAGCCCCCGAGCCCCCGAGCCCCCGCATCCGCCAGTCAGCAGGCTCCGAAAAGCCGACAAATTTGATGCGGTAGCACCTTCGTCAATGCAACAAGCTACACCAACGCGCGAAGATTCTGCTCGACAGCTCTCAGACAACACTCCTTGCAGCGCAGCTCCAATGGACTGCTAAGATGATGAGCATCAAACACCACCGAACAGCCAAGAAAATCGCCATCATCCTTCTCCCCAATAACAACCGCTAAGATCCGCCCGCCCCACACGAGCAAAGACAGGGCTCTGCGATAAGTAACCCTGCGTATCTAGCCGAGTCCGCGACCTTCATGACCGACAGTGCGGCCACCCGGCTACCTGCGGTTCTCAGCACAGCGTCCCAAACATGTCTGCGTTCCCAGACGCCCAATATGGCACCACCGCTTCACAGTCTCCACCGAAGCAGCAGAACAACGCGCCCGCGGTTCATCAGCGCACTTATCAGGGTAGGTTGCGTGTACATCGGCATGCCGAACACGGGCCCGCAATGCTGACCAGACACAGCCTGTATACCATGTCGCCAACGCAAGGTCCGGTGCGACCTAGGATCCGTCGACAACCCACACGACCCGCCGTGCACGAGATGTCGTCGCGAAGCCAAGGACTGCTACTTCTCGGCCACGCGCCGCAAGAAGAAGGGCCAGAGCGAGAGCAATGATTCCGAGGCGGGCGACGACAATACATACGAGATTCGACAAAATCGCAAGCGCGCACGAACCTCTGTGCCAGCAGATACTGCAAATGATGAGGCCGAGTACGACGAGCCCCCGCGCACGCCTGGCGGATCTATCGGCCGCACCGCTCCTCTGCGCAGGCCCGCGCCCCCAAAGCCAGTGGAGTATGGAGAGGAGGACGTCAAGGCAGCACAACACACCGCACGCATATTGCAGCAGGCAGAAGTTCACGGCGGTCACGATGCGCTCAAAGTCTTATACCAAGCGGCTGTACACGGCAGAAGCGACAGTACGGCCAGCAGTGGTGTTCGCCCCGCCTTTGGTCCAGGTATCACGACAGGTAACCTGCCACCAGTAGCCAGTCCGGATGGACTCACGCGGACAGATAGCTACACCAGCTATAACAATGGAGCCCTCGGGGTCTTGACTAGCAGAGATGGAACATGGAAGACCACCACAGATCAGCCGCCTACATCGAGCAACGGTATTCTCAACGGCACGACCCATGACCGCGACGTCCTTTCAGGAGCCATGAAGGCCTGGCAGCGATTCCGTTTCGTGCGCGCTGGGTGGTTCACTGCCAAAGAAGGCATCGACTACATTCTCTACTTCTACAAGCATCTGTCGCCTCTCACTCCAGTGGCACTCCCCGATTTCCAGCACCCAAGCACGCACAGAACTCTGCTCGAAGAAGAGCCGATGCTTGCTGTCACGATGCTTCTGATAGCTTCACGACACATGAAGCTTGAAGGACCTGGCTCCCACAGCCGACCGAACGCCATTCACCACAAACTATGGCAGTATCTTTCGGGGATGATCGATCGCGTTGTATGGGGTCAGGAACAATTTGGCGGAGGATTCTGCGGCGCTGGAGGGCCAGGTGCTCAGCCGGGGGCTGATGTGAACCCGCTGACGCGCAGAGGACTGAGAACGCTCGGCTCGGTGGAGTCGCTTGTGCTGTTGACCGAGTGGCATCCTCGTGCCATGCACTTCCCACCAGATGAGGACGACGATGACCTTATGATTCCAGATGAGGCCTGGGTGCCGCAGATGAACGTTGAAGATGGTGTTCCTCGAGGCATCGGAGGTCACCGAATGGATGCTTGGCTTGAGCCGTGCTGGCGCAGTGACCGCATGTGCTGGATGCTGCTCGGGATGGCAATGTCGCTTGCAATGGAGATTGGTGTTTTCGACTCGAGCGAGTGGCAGCGGCATGCATTTGGACCCAGCGGCCAGCCACTTTCTGCAGCCCAACTTTCCGAATACGACAAGCGGCGCGGCAATGTTCGCAATTTACTGCTGGTTTATGTGACCCAGACTAGTGGCCGGCTCGGGCTGACCTCCATGCTTCCAGGTTATTACAGCAAGCCAGAGGACAGTGATCTCTTTCGGAGACAGCTCGGCCAACAGGACAGCGTGCACGAAACGACGTTCCATTTTTGGTTAAGAATGGCTGCGCTCATGCGCGAAGGGAACAACAAAATCTTCGCCAACAAGACTTTCACGCGAGACTTGATTCGCAACGGCAACTACAAGGCGGCTCTTGATCAATTCGCAGGACCAATGAACGAGTGGAGGGCAGAATTCGACGGAGCACGTTCCATCCCAAAACACATGCGAGCCATTCTCGAAATCGAGTACGAGTACTGCAGATGTTATCTGAATGCATTGTCGCTCCAAGCGGTGGCGGAGCGGTGCGCCAACGACCATCCTTCCCCTGCTCAGGTCCTTGACCCTCCATTGGAGATGGCTAGGTCAGCCATTGAGGCCAACGGCAACAAGTCTGACATCGCAATTGCGCCTACAACACTTTCGAAATGGCTAGGAGGCGATCGCCAATACATGCTCAATGTTGGCGACGCAGCACGGAAATTGCTCAAGGTTGTGGTCGACGACCTCTACCCGGACGGCGCTCTGCGACATGCTCCTGTCCGTACCTACTTTCGCATCATTAGCGTTGCTATCATGCTGTTGAAGTCATTCGCGCTCGGAGCGACCGAGAGCGACATTACGGAATCCCTGAAGCTCATGGACCGCACTGTAGAAGCGCTCAGGACATGCATCGTAGACGATGTGCACGTCGCTAGTCGCTTTGCAGATCTTCTCGATACGCTTTCCTCGAATCTGAAGCCGCGTCTTGTCCGAATCGCAGCTGATGGCCGCCCAGGACGAAGTCGCCCACATAGTAATCACAATCTTGACCCTGCCATGGCCATGTCAGACAACCGGAGCCACATTCAGCAGTCACCGCAAGCGATGGCTGGCGCCGTGCAGAATAACCAACAGTGGAACTACAACAACAATGTAATGGCACCTTCAAGCGCCATGGGCAACAGTCCTCTCTTCGGCATTTCTGGCATCTCCAATGACTACCACGACTTGATGGGCGGCGACAATAACTACTCTGTCATGCCTCCTCCAGGCTTCAGCCAGTCTTCGCCAAATACAGCAAACGGCGCAGGCGGTAATTACGATTCCTACGCTCCAAATGGACAGTTCGCTGGTGACTGGCTAGCCTTACCATTAGATCCTCTCCTCAACATGTCCGGCGCTGATGTCGATCAAACCATGTATGGACCACAACTCGGTGGTCACGACATGCTCGAGTACCTTTTAGCAAATCCGGAGGGCAGCAACGGCTTTGCATAGATTGGCGCTATTTCCTTGTGTGGCGTTGTCACCCAGCGGGCTTCGATGAATGTCACTTTTCCCGGTACGATCAACGAATTTTGATGATTCAAGACACAGATGGCTTTACGGCTGCGCTCCCACGAGCAGGCGCTTATTGCAGTGTACATAAAAGCGGCTTGCAGTTACAGTTGACAATTGAAACACTAAGCGTTTTGTCTCCGACTTACGATAAACTTCTCACGACCCTTGGGCATGTCATTGCATTTGGCGGGGACGTGTGACAAAACCTTGATGTTTTTTTGCTTCACTTCAGCGGTCTGGATGGAGTATAGGATACATAAAACTCGTCATGAATGAAACCAGGTCTCTTCTAATTCACCTTGTATGTTGCCGCCAGTCTCTCCATCAAGTGGTCCTTTGCTGTGAGCCCCTCTTTGCCGTTTCTCCTGCCTTCGCGATTTGCGTGCTGTTCGACCAGTTTGCTTGGAACTGGTTCCAGCAAAGCCTCGTCGAGCGGATGACAGAAATACGCCATAGAGTATCGGTCACCCGCTCTCTCCTTTGGAAATACCACTCGGTGGACAGTTGACTTGAGCAACCCGCCAGTCCAGTCTTCCAGCAGATCACCAATGTTGACCAAGATTGGCAAAGGTCCTTCTTTGCCTAATGGGTTGACGGGGACTGGCGCCCAGGCTCCACTGGGAGTCTTGATCTCAAGGCCGGGTTGACCGGGTAATTGGAAGAGACAAGTGATGGAACCATAATCGCTGTGAGCTCCTGCACGAATGTCGACTTCGTCGTTCTGTGCGTTTTGTTCGGGATAGTACAGAAATCGGAAAACGCTCCCTGCTGGTCCTTTTGAGATGTCATGGCGTGAAGTGAACCAATCCTGAGGTATAGAGAGGGCAGTGGCGAAGTGTGTGAGGATTCTCTGGCAAAGGTCGTAGCACGCGTCTTCGAAGTCGATTATGGACTGGATGTGGGTTTGAAGGAGATCAGGTAGTGCTTGCTCGAAAGTGCCATCTGGATTCGGGAGACCGAGATTGAATGCTCTGAGAGTCGTTAGCTGATACAGAACATTTCGTGGCCAAGTCCATAAGATCATTGCTACTGACTCCTTCACATCTGGCCTCTTCTGTACACCAGGATCCAATTTTTCGACGCCTTGACTCAACCAGCCATGATTCTTGCCCGCTTTGTTCGAACTGATCGAAACCTTTTCCTTCACTTCTCTGGGCAAAGCGAAGAAGTCTTGCGAAATGCCAAAGAGCTTGTTGATTAAATCGGGTGAAATGCCAGCTTCGTTATCGTTGGCCACGAATACAAAGCCAAACCGGCATGCGGCTTCGAGCAGTTCTGAAGGCGCACTCTGGTTCGCGGAGCTGATGTCGATGACAGGTATTTGGAGCGGATCGCTCATTGTGACGGTTGCGTGTTTGAGTAGTACCGTGAAGTACGTGTGCATGTAGGAGGTAGCTGAAGTGCCGGCGCCTCTGAGTTGGAAGGCCCTTGTTTCCTCATCTGGCTAGTGGCGATCGGACTTCGCCACAACTTCACTTGTGTCGCACCATCGCAGTGACTGCATTAGTAGCGAGTTACACTACTCGAGAGGAGCACACACAAACCAGGTGCAGCGTTCGATTTCACCGCTCTGCGGTGTCTTCACCTTTAAAGTGTATATGTGCTACCTGCTTGAGCTATATCCACATTACATTGGCTTCCTTGCACCTTTATATCCTTCTTTCTGCACAACACCATTCAGATATCCCAGCAAGAGATCTTTGGCCTCAGTCGGTGTTTGTGCGCCGCTCGTCGGTCCGCTGACCACACTTCCCAACCTGCTCCTCGACCCAGGGTCGCGTGGTGTCGTGGTATTTGAATCGTATGCAGCAGCAGGCAGTTTCTCCATGGACAAGTTGGCCGCAGGTGTGCTAAGTGAGAAAGGAGATATTGGGGTACCTGGGCTGTTCAGCCTCCCGCTGCCGCTTGTGGTGGGTCTTGTAAATAGATTCAAGAGATGCTGTTGAGAGTGCTGTGGCTGTTGCGCTTTCCGGGGCTCCGGCAGAAGCTGTGGTGATGGTGGGGGCTCTGGAGTCTTTATGGTTATCTCAGCGTGATTGCCGTGAAACAAGTCGGCCGGCCCATTACTCAGGTGACCTGCAGGCTGGGAGTGCAAATGTGCAGCTGGTAGAAGCTGAGCTGGGGTCGGTCCTTGCGCTGGGGCAGCAGAGGTACTACTTGCTGGCGATTTGCCAAAGAGCGCCAGTAATTGGTCCTTCTTGGCACCGCCAATCTGTTGAGCTCCCGCTGAGTTGGGTTGTTGTGGTGTCGTGGTAGAATGATTGTCTTGGTCTGGTTCGCGCTTCAGCACCTGCGGTTGAAAGCCAGGCGCAGGTGCTTCGTGCCGCAGAGGACTGAGAGGCGCTGACGAGCGCGACGAACCCGGACGCTGGAGAATACTGAACTGCGGCACTGGCTGAGGCTGTCGAGACTGTCCATTTTCTTGGCGCGGCTGTTTAGCTCTCGATTTTGGCGAAGAATGAGTAGGGGCTTTCGCAATGGTCTTTGGTGAGTTCGCCCGAGCGACCGTCTGCTGAGGATGTCCTTTCAAAGCCAGCGACGGTGGAATCTCCTGCTGCTTTGCTTGCGACGATGCGCGAACGAACTTTTTGGGATGAGCTGGATCAAACAACTGGCCGCCAGCTTTCGGGCGTTCCACCAAAACATCGTGGGGAATGGTAGCCTGTGGCGAACGTTTGCGTTCTCGTTCAATTCGATCATCGAGCTCCGAAGATGCTTTCTCCTCCCGTGCGCGCGGAATATTGCGTTCTGGCTGCGGTGGTTCGACGGGCATAAGCGGCGATTTGCCTGTCACCTTCGATGACAGAGCCCTTGTGCTCTCGTTCAGAGCTGTTGTTCGATCCCGATAATCAGCACGCGGCACTTCAGTAGCATCTGTCAATGCTGGAGATATCGGCGCCGACGAAACTGCGTTGTCCGCAGCCGTTGGCGGAACAGTCGATGCAGATGACTTTGTGAAGAGATTGAGAAGCGCTGCTTGTTGTTGACTCCCCGCCCTTCTGGCAAAGCCATTACCCGAAGAGCCTGCCTGAGACGCCTTTGGATTGGTTTTGAAGGCATCTAAGAGCTTCATCGTGTGCGCATTCAGCCTTGGAGGCGGCAGCTTGCTCGCGTCTGGAGCAGCCTTTTCGCTGACTAGAGGCGCGTGGCTAGCTGGAGGTCCATGGCCCGAAAGCGGGCGCTGTTGCGACACATTGTTGAAAGATACCGGCTGCATCAAGTTTACCGGTTGCCTGGAAGGCGAATGCAGGTTGGGAAGTGGCTGCTGTGAATTGTTCCGCGCATGAGTATGTTGCACTGACGGAGAATACTGAGCAAGTTGAGGATCGATGCTGTTCGGGCGCGGATCGAAATGCGGAGCTTGCATGTAGCCGGGCGCAACGTTAGTCGGCAGGCTTTGCTGTCGCTGCTGCTGCTGAAATATTTGCTGTTGAATGTGCGGTGGCAGATGGCCAAGTCCAGACTGTTGGTGCTGCGACTGCATGGCTGTGCCGGCATTGAACATGGAAGGATTTCGTTGAGATTGTTGTTGAAGACCTTGCTGAAGGGTCTGAGGCGAGTACTCGAATGGAGGTGGCGGATGGCGAAGTGCGTCTGCCTCTGAGGCATGTCGAGGATGCTGGGTTTGCGGCGTTCGTGGCGCCTGCTCTGGTATGAGAGGGTCGACTTGCTCGAAGGGTGTATGTGGCAATGAGGATCCAGTTGGAGCGACAATGTTCCCTTTGAGCATAGCAAGTAAGCTGTTACTTTGCGCTCCGTTCTGGACCGACGCGCCTTGAGTGGATGCGCTGGTGCCAGGAGCGGCGCCTCCGATCGAAAGTAACCTCTTGAGCTCATCTGCGCTCCTCGCAGCAGACGCCATGCCAGCGTCGGTAAGAAAGCCTCCTTCGGTGTCCTCGCCTTCGTCTTCGGTGATTGTCGCTTGAACGCCTTCGTTCGACAAGGAAATAGTCCTTCCATGCTGTGCTTGGGCTACTGCGGCTGAGTCTTTGCGTCTCTGCTGACCGATCCACTTCTTCAGATGGCCAAGGAACGGTGCAACCATATAAAACTTGGTCGACTGGCCCTCGCCTTGTCCATGAGCGGCTACGCCCTTTTGCTTCTTGAAGCCGGGCAAATCCTTCACGTTGTACCATTGGATTTTACTGATTTCCTTCCTGGTCCTGGGCTCAAAAAAGGTGTCGAGCGCGACTCCACGGAACACGAACAGCTTCATATGCTGCTCACGCATAGTGACATCGATAGCCTTCACCTTTCCGTCTCCTATCTTGTTGCGCTCGACCAGTCCTGCCGCGTTAAGGTCAAAACCTGTCTCTTCGTACACTTCGCGAATGGCGCAGTCTAGGTCGGGCTCGTCCTTGTTGATCTTGCCGCGCGGGAAGGACCAGCTAGCACCCTTTTTCCAGCCACGCACCAGCAGGACCTTGTCCATGCTGTCATCCATCAAGATGGCGCCGCGTACAGGGACGCGAACTTTGTAGGCGAGGAACTCCTCATATGCGGCCACGTGTTGAGCAGTATTGAAGTTGCGGAGCAGCGGAGTATGTTGGAAAAGCGTCAAACAGAACTGACGCAGATTGAGCGAAGGCAAGGCCGGGTTCGCCGGTCTGATGAAATCTTCGTAGAACCATTGTGCCTCTTCGACCTGGAAGCAGAGGCGCGGAACGCTGCTGAGTTCGGCAGGTGGCAGATTGAGCAGAAAGCGCACAGTCAGGTCATCGAGCCAGTCAACTAACGTCATCTGCGAGATGGTGAGGTCCGCCGCTTCTGCCATGATGGTGCTTCTGTCCTGTGTCGTTCGAGATGGCGGAGCGGCGAAGGGGCATTTCAATGGTGTCGGCGAAACGAGCGTCGCAGGACGATGGTGGGTGGTAGACGGACGGGCTGCTGGAAGCGATCCAGGGCCGGCAGTCGAGTGAGCTTCAGCAGACGAAGCTTCGCGATGGATAGTCTGCTGTGTAGTGATAGACGCGAGCGCGATCCGAGGAGTGATTGGGTGCTGCTGGTGAGCGATGTTGTTGACAGGCCGTTGCTATGTCTTGCAAGAGCTCTCTGGACACATGCGCCAAGCTCAGTCACGCATGCGGCTCCACAAATCTGTGGCTGAACTCTGTGGCTTCACTTTGGGGGATATTGGCTCACTTGACACATCGGAAAAAGGTTGTTCCGGGAGCTCTGGTCATCTCTGCATTCTGCGAGTGCACAATTCTTTCAGATTTCCACCCCCGATGGCACAGAGTTGTGGTTGGATCCAGAGTCACTGTCCAGATTACATGACTCGTGGACGGTTCGGCCCGGACCTTCCGCGCATGACTCGCGCTAGCCGAGCACTTTTAGATGATAGACACCACTTCCACTTCCTCAGCAATCACTTTCAATACATGTGCATCGTCGTGCTTCCAACACAATCAAGCGGTCAGAGGCAAGCAGGCTCCAGCTCTTCTAAACCAGTCGCGCATTCAACATGGCGAGTGATCTAAAAGAGAGCGCGCTCAACAGCGCACATGATTACTATGATCTCCTAGGCATATCTCCAGTGGCAGCCGAATCAGAAATCAGGCGCGCAGGGCGCAAGACTGCCTTGAAGTACCATCCGGATAAGGTGGGAAACGACCAATCGGCTGTCGAGAAATTTCACTTACTTCAAATTGCGATCGAAGTTCTCTCCGACGAGAACCTGCGACAGCTCTACGATAACGCACGCCGCGCTCGCGAGGAGAAAAAAGCACGAGATCAGGCATATGCAGGGCGACGGAGAGACTTAAAGGAAGACTTAGAACGGAGGGAACGCGAAGGCGTTGCTGGTCTCAAGCGCAAACACGAGGAGGATCCGGAAGAGGAGGCATTCCAACGTGAACTGAGGAGATTAGCGGCTGATGGCGCTCGGCGGCGGAAGGAGCGAGGTGAGCAGCTATGGAGGGAGGCGCAGGCAGAATACGAGCGAGAACAGGCGGAAATGCACCCTACAACACCACCTACCAAAAGCGCTGGGCCACAAGAAATTGACAGAACGATCAAGCTGCGGTATTTGGCAAGCGCCACTAGCGCTCCTTACAAAGATGAGCTCACCGCGACATGGAGTAAATTCGGCGAAATACAGGATGTTGTCACGGTCACAAAGAAGGTCAAAGTGGAAGGCGAGAAGCACAGGAAGGAGTATACGACAGCTTTGATCGTGTACAAAAGTATCGTCGCAGCGCATGCAGCTGTTACCGACTTCCCGGATCTGGCAAAGCAAGGCTCCCATTGGTCGATATTCGAGAACGTCAACTGGGCCGGCGGGCAGGAGCCAGACTGTATACCGAAGCCAAAGACAACCGCTCCTGCCTCCACTGCACCTGATGTTACGCCTCAAAAGGACCCCACTACCCCTAATCTTGATTGCTTACGTAATGATGGGGGTCTGCGGAAGGTGCCCTCTTTCTCCAGTTTCAAAGGCACTCCAAAGGGATCGAGTGTGAAGACGGGGTCAAGCGCTGGAAGTGGTCTGAGTTCAGAAGAAGCGACCATGATCCGCATCAAAAATGCGGAACGACGCAGACTGGCGGAGGAGCTTCGGAAGCAGGAGGAAGCACAAGACGCAGCAGAGAAGCAAGAATTGAAAGAATAGGGCAATGCATAAATGCACAAATGCGAAAATGTAGGACCTGTCGCTCTGACTTTGCAGGCATTACAGCACCGACGGAGGTCAAGATGCCGCAACTTTCAAATTCGCTGAGCTCTCGAGAGTTTGCTGACTTGGAAACTTCCGATCATGCAAGTTCATGCGCAGCTGGCAGAAGTGTAGAAGCAGCAGAACAATGGGGGTATATGATTCAGAGACAAGGCATAGCAGCTTAAATCTACCACGTTCTGGGCACTACTAAGTTAACGAGAATTCGAACGTTATGGCCTGGATTTACTTGACTGCCGGAGACACTTTATTTTCATGTCGTGTCCACGGACATTTTTGAAGCCCAAATACGATGTTTACGCGTAGCGTTGGCCCCTTCGGAGCATACTTCGCTAGGATCTGCCTTGCACAAGAGCAAATTGATGACATGCATGAGTTCTGCAGATACAAACGAATGCCCGACTGCATAGCTCAAGCACCTAATTCTTATAAAATAGTCTACCGGCCCCGCTTGTAGATGACAGCTGAGGTCAGCAGGCTATCCGCTGTTCCGTGTCCATGAATCGCAGTCGGCCAGTCGCAAAGGCCAATTGAACTTAGTATGGCCATACCGACCACTCATCATGCTGATTTCCCCGTCCATTTGAAGAGCTAGGCCGCTGGAGCTCTGTCAGACAAATCTGGCCCGCGGACCTCTGTATTCCGCGATCTAAGGGACCGTCTTTCCACCACTTCTGAACAATTTCCTGCTGGCACTTATATCGTGGCTTTGGTGACAAGAGCTGGTAACTTGATGTGAGTTCAATGCTCAAACCGAGCTTGTGCTGTGGAAGGTCTTGATCCCGGCAACGCAACCTTTCGTGACTTCCTCGACATACGATGAGAGGTCTTGTCACAGCTTCCTTCGGAGTCAAGTTTTCCAACGTGTATTGATGTTCGCGTGGCCCCAGCAGAGAGCATCATACAGTGAGTACTCGTTATCAATCGAGCGGAAATCCATCCTGTTCCCAGTCTCTCCATTCTTGGAGTGCGCGACGTACGCTCGCAATCACACGTGGCAGTCGACGGCCGCCATTGGACTGTTGCTCGACTTCTTCCAGGCAAGGGATGTCGGTAAGTTGGGCGCATTTCGACAGCAATGCATCGAGTACCGCGGCGCCTGGACTTTGCGTCGACAGCAGTGGCTCATTCGTCTGAGTACCGTCACCTCGCTGACCGTCTCCACTAGAGACTGTCGGGATAGTGCAGCCCTCGACAGTAGACAGGTGTCGCTGGGCCTGCGGAATACCAGTCGGGAAGAGATCTTTAAGCATGTTCACTCCACTCGTGAATAGATCATGCGAGTCGAAAGTATGTGATTGGATGGAGTACGCAGGAGGCTCGTTCTGGTCTGCGAATCGTCTGTTTGGACTGTCGATTCCAGTATTTCCGCAACTAGGGCTATTCATCGGCGGCGGAGGCACCAATTCCATTCCATGGTTGAAGTTGAAGTCGAATAGCACATCAGGATCTGCGACGCTTCAGTGCTGCCAAATATTCTGCCGCAATGAACTTACCCATAATGTTCAGGTCGCTTATCGCATCGCACGTCCAGACTTCAGGCCCGGCGACACTCATCACAGCAATTGGTGCAAAGCTGCTTGACAGATCTGCTGAATGATTCTGTAGCATATGAAGCTCACCAATGTCTTCATTGCCCGGATCTTCGGGACCACTGAACATTGGACTGTCACTGCAACTGGTGCATTGTTCATCTGAAATGGCAAAGAATGGATCTCGTCGAACGCCGGCAACACCGCCAGGGCACACATTCTGTCTTGAAGAGCTCGAGTTTGACCGGCTTCGGCATCTCATTATGGGTATGGAATTGGCGCACTCAGGAAAGTCTCCCGCTGCCAGCTTGGCTTTTGATTCTTCCATCCGCTGGCGCTGTCTTTGGCCTATAAGAACGAATATGGCTCAGAATTGTGACAGGTAAGAAAATGCGATAGCTTGGACATACGGTAGAGCCGCTGCGCCATCCTGTTTTGTATCCTTTTGCGGGATTTGCGTTCCTCCATTTGTTCGGCAAGGGTTGATAGTAGCCTGAGCATTTTGCAATCGAGTACATTAGTGAGACAAATACTAAACAAAGCCTTTGTAGTAAGCAAAGTAGATTAAACGCAACTCATTTGATCACGCTGCTGGAAAGTGTAGCCGAAACGGATGATGACTTGAAGAGCTGTCGGATACGATGGGTCAGGGACCAAGCTTTTGACGGGGTCAAGAAGGTAGTGGCTGGTGTAACGATGGGCACTGCAATATCGTGCCGCAAGTTCGCAGACATGGCAGGGCTTTGATCTATGCGGTGCTTATCGGCCTTCTCACCGTGGTACCTGCTGGACGTGGGAGGCCTGCGTAGCGGTCGTTCAATAATACGAGCACCAAAAAGCAGATGGGCCTTCTGTAGACTGGGATGAGGCGAGCATCCCCATTTTCCTTGCAATGCCTGATCACGAATAGCCTTTTCCATTGTCGAGGATGACGCGACGAGAGTGGTTCAGTTCTAGAATTGCACTCGCTCGCTGGAGATGTTATGTTTCTGAAAGACTGGTTGTTGGTTGTATCCTACTTATAGAGACTGCGAGGTTACTCGGACGTGGGTGCATCACCGTTGGCTCCGAATGCGGGTTTGCAACAGTGCCTGTGCCTGTTGCCTGTGCACTTGCGTGAGTTGCTCGTGATATTGGTGACGCACGCTTGGGAAGCAAGACCACATTCCCGCGTGCAAAAAGCGCCGGCTGTCGCCATTGAGACTACCAGGAAGATAGTATACGGAAAGAGCACATCGAGGCGATACCAGTCTCAGTGTCGAAGTCGAAGGGCGTCTGGGTAAGGGTAAGGGTTGCACTTGCACGTCGCTCAGAGCGGCAACGACGGAACAGCCGCCGCCAAGGCTTCTGTGGGGCTAAACCATTGACCTCAGGTGGACACGGTTCCATGCTCTACAAACACTCTCATTACTAGCCTTTACACATTATCTGATGCTTGTCTTTCGCTCCTCACAATCGCAGAAGCATCTGCACGACCTCTTTAGAAGAGGCGCGGAGCTGCCTCCTTAGATCCGAGACCATTGACGCTAAGGTGGCCTTCATCTCGTGCAATTGCTGCTCCTGGCCCACCCGCGACGAGAGCTGGTTCACAAGCTCTTGGAGCGCATACAGATCCTCCAAGACTGTTGTCGCATTCGTCCTGTCCGGCATTTCGAGGAGAATTCTTTTGCACTGCTTGATCAGTCTTGCGACGATCAACGAGATGAGCATCAGTAGTTCCTCGCGGTATGCACACGAACATCGGATCATGCCGCGCAGTGATCTGCTGATGCACTCGATGGAGAAGGGTTGAAAGTCTGGCTGTGTGCTCGCAGCATTCGCCTGACCATGAACGTCGCCGAACAAGACTGAAGGCTCCGTTGCTAGCTGCTGGAAAAGAGCTATGGCTTTGATCAAGCAGGTGGTTTTGCTAACAGCTTCTATCGACTGTATGCATGTGGCGATTATTTCACCGGCTTCTAGGGACGCATATTGCCTGGATCCGCTGCGTTCATGTCCTCGAGACACTTCCTGCAGCGCAGATTCCGTTGTCGGCACCGAGAGTTCCATGGTAACGACTTCATTATCGGCGGACGCGATCGGGCTCGTGCTCTTGACGGTACTTGACACGCCATAATATAGCGTACCACTGGTATGGCAAGAATGCGCGTGGCTCTGGCACTTGGCCCCATCTCGACCACCGGGTTTCGTCCAGATGCCGGATATTGGTGCCAGTAATGAGGATGACGAAGAGGTGGCCGCATGCGATGCGTGCTCGACATACCTGCTGGCAGCGTTTTTGGCCGGTCTGCCGGACCTTCGCGATTCGAGATACTGACATTCTAACCCTCGGGCAACGCAGCGCGCACACGCTGGCTTCTCTCTCGTGCACTTGACCTTGGAAGCAGCGCATACTCCACAACTTTCTCTGAGCTTGGTGGTCGACATTCTGCCAGTTCGGTATGGGGTCCTGATTTTCCGGCGGATCCAAAGAGACACTAAGGGTACAACCAATTCCAGGTGAAGTGCTTCTTGACCGCAAGATCAACGAAAACAGATCGCTCCTTTCATGATATTGAACACACATATGTTGCGCCTCGATCTGGAGCTAGCCGGCATTCATTTCAGATTTTCCGGCTGCCAGATGCTTCCATCCGACACGTCTCGCCCGATGGGGCGATTCTCGTCGAGCATGCGCTGTTCCTGCTTCGGCCGTACGCCATGTCCGTTGCTAGATTTATGCCGTTCCGCGGATCCTTGGCGTTTACTATGGAAACTGTTCTGCTTGTCCTATTCTTGTGAATGCAGTGGATTGGTGGATTTCAATATGATAATCTTAGAAAGGTCATAACACCATTGCAGCTACACCCTAACAGCCCTATTGCGCGGCCGCGCGCGTGCTGCAAAGAACATGCCCTCCGGGTATTCTAGCACGAATTGCGGTAACAGCTATCCCCGCAAATGGCTTCTCCAGCATCCTTCCATGAGGAAAGCAGTTCCAGAACTTTGATAAGCACTTGGCAGTGTAAGCCTCTCGTTGAATCTGACAGGCTAATCCTTTCAGCGCAGCCTAAAACATTGGGCCTATTGATCACAACGTGCGGCCTTTGTGCACGCTCCACGACGACCTTTGCAGATGTGCGCGTGCTTTCCAAGATGCGTCTTTCGAGTGGAGCAAGAACATGCGTCACGAAGGCATATATAATATCTGATGGTCAATCGCGCCATTTGGAACACGCGTCGCCGATGTTCTAAATGTCGATCGGCGTTCAAGGTTGCTTCCAGGAAATGCACGCATGCCTGGTCTTCTCTTGCGTCAACAGCGTCTGCTGCCGGTGCTGACGGCCATATTCAGTTCTGCAGGCCCTGTACTCGAAAGTCTGGACCCCACGATGCATCTCAGAATGGGCATCGTCGCTAGGAGACTCCATACCGCTTGCGTCGGGCGCGACGGCACTTGCGATTACGTCCTGACCAACTCGTTCAAGATGCTCACCGATGATGCCGACCACTGCCGGGAGCCCTAAACCATCAGACATTGCGTGGCTTGGCGAAAGTGGTATCTCGCTTGGGATGCCTGCTGTGCTTTGTCAGATCAGCCATGCATCTGGGCACTAGACATTGGTCATCCGTGCTTACTCAAGGTGGCACTTCTCCGTGACGAACGCGGTAAGTCTTCCATTGACATCGGCGAGCGAGGCCGCCGATTACCACCAGGACAGCTCAGGATGAAGTTGCCATTGAGTTCGCACCAATGAGCACATGCGTGCTAAGTGGCATCTCCCATAGCAAGGTTCGTGTGGCCCCAATATGACCATCGCGGTGCCTTCGACGACGATCTGAACTAAAAACTTACTATTATTGAGATCAGATTCGGTGTTCGATCACAGCTGTCGGTGCCTTATCCAATTGCAGAGTCTACAAAATTCGGGCTAACAACTGCCAGGCAGCTCCAGAAACCCTAGCAGCCGGGACCAAAACTTATGGAGACATAACCGGGCACATGGGTTTTAGCCGTGCGCGACTTGCCGTTCATGGAATCCATGGCATCTCGAATATATCCAACTTGACGTCAGCACCAAGATCCCGAATCAGAGCTGCATCTTCCTGGCGTGGAGATCGAAGCGACCCGATCCGAACACCTCACCGGATATGCGGTCCCAAAACATTTCTGGACTTTGAAAGTACGCAGCGAACCACCGGGAACATTCGGCAGGATCGAAACAGTACCGCGATCCGTTGCGGCAGCTCGTAGATCCACGCTTTGATCTGCGGAGCGAGTCCTCGCAAAGTCTCTAGATCAGTGTCGTAAGCAGATCATTCTCTTCTAAATACGTTGTGCTCATGCCGAACCGAATAATTGTTATATCCACGGATCGAATGATCATAGCAGCCCCTCAATTTTCGTCCTCTGTCCAATCATTATATTCCTTCCTGATGATTTCCGCGCCCAATTCTGCAACGGCATAGACCGGGCCGACAAGGTTGACGTCTGGCAGACGACCAAAGATGGAAACATCGCAGACTCGAAGTCGCCTGGTGCCATATCTGACAAGTCGCAAAGCTCGTCAGCATGGTCGCGCATAATGATATTCAATCCGACGAGGGAAGTGGAAATCTTACACTCTCATATGAGAATCTACAACACCGCCGTTCTCCCGCGGCAACATACGGCAAGTGTTACTGGCGTGCCAGTTGGGAATCATGTGCAACCTAGCATATCTGCAGAGATGTCAGCACGTGGTTGACGAAGTATTTGGCGATTCCACGCGAGCAAGGGCATAATGAGACGAACTTACTCCAATAACTCCTCGTCACTCTGATACTGTGACCCAGGCAGCACCTCACCCGCCGACCATTGCTGCAAAGCTGGATGAGCCGCAACTTGACGCAAATACTTGACTCCCTGGATGGCCATTGCCCGATCTGCTTCCTCAGCAAGATACTATCGCAACGACAATTATCGTCAGCACTGCTAACATCTGATAGCCCTGTAAAAGGGAGAAAGGTGATATGAAAGACTTACATTCGGATCGATCACCGGATCACTCAAAGCAAAATTACTTCCCAACCTCACACTCCCTTGACTCAATGCCGCCAGATTACTCACCGTGACCGAGAAGTAACTTGTATTCTGCTGCGGTTGACCATACTCGGTGAAGGACTGCGGGTACCAAACACTCTCGTACAAAATCTCATTATGTGCCTGATCCGCCCAGCCTGCGTCGATGATTGCCCCAGCACCGATAGCGCGCAGCTCATCAGCCGGGATTTTCTGGAATCCGTTGGTGGCGCCTGAGGGAGCAGACCATTTGCTCTGAGCTCGCTCCTTGAGAGTAGAGGCAGTGTAGAATTTCCGTTGTGCCTCGTTGAGAACGCGAACGTCGTTGACGAGGTCGGTAGTAGATGCCACGTCTGCAAACTCAGGTTTCACGGCGTGGATGACAGAGAAGGAGTTATGGTCGTGCATGTTTTCGCCAACATTCTCGTTTGCTACGACGACTGGAATGCCGAATTCGGCCAGTTCGTCAGCGGGACCGATGCCGGAATGTTTGAGGATGAAAGGAGAGTGGAAGGCCCCGGCAGAAACAATGACTTCGTTGTTACATGAGACGTTGTGGAAGAGGCCGGAGGTGCCGTCGATGAAAGTCACGCCGATGGCTTCGGGTTCGGCGGAGTCCGAGTAGGATGCGTTGCCGTTGGGGGCGAAGATGATGCGGGACACAATGGCGCGTTCGAGGACGTCTAGGTTGGGACGGTCTTTGGCGGCTTGATAGTATGAGTCGTAGGATGAAGAGCGTTCGAACTTCTCGTCTGCGTGAATGGTGCCCTGTTTGATACCGATGGGATTGCCGCCATCCTGGTCTCGCACAATTTGAAGGCCGATAGCCTCTGTGGCATTCATAAACGATGGGTTCGACTCTGGTACATAGCCTTGAAAGCCGATCTTGAGTGGACCTTTCGTGCCATAATTGTTGGGATCCCAAGTCATATATGTATTGTCATTCGTGTTTTCTGGGTTGCCCACAAACACTGTACCTCGCTTGGCTGCACGTTGAATTGTTGTCCAGTTCCATCCTGGATTTCCATCAAGTTCCCACTGATCGTAGACTTCACGGCTTCCAAGCCCGTAGAACAAGCCATTGGTAGCACTACTGCCTCCCAGAGCTCGACCGCGGTGGTAGTTGAGAGTGCGATTGTTCAGATGCACCTGCGGAACCGTTTCGAAATTGTAGTCAAGCAAGCTCCAGGCACCGTTGAGCACAAATTGATTGCCTCCCGCTGTTTTGTACGTGGCCACCTGCTCCGGGGAGCCCCCAGCTTCGAAGACTACGACATTGAACCTGCCGCTTTCGGTGAGCCGATTGGCAAGCGTCAAGCCAGCTGTACCGCCACCAACGATACAGAAGTCATATTCCGGCTGACTCCTGATCCGTGGTGCTCCGGGGTATTGGAACGACGAGAAGTCAGTAGGATCAGTCTCATCTGCATGGACGAACGATGAGAACTGGAAGACGCAGAGCAACGAGCTAGCGATCGCGTTGGAAAACATCGCGGCTTGCTGCTGGCGGTATTGGGTGAGCGAGGGGGAATTGGCATGCTTAAATCATGCGAGCGAGGCATGCCCCAGCAGACATGAATGTTCTCCGGTCAGGCACAGCCGAGCCATCCACGCGAGATCAGCATGGAGAGGCTATGTATTTGCCTGGCGCTGGGGGCGTGTATGGTTGAGCCTGTGCACTCCGGAATCATAACAGCTCTCATCCGGACTGGCGTTATGAATCTCACCTGAGCCAAGCCTATCGTCTGTCCAGACTTTGCACAAGTTCTCATGTCAGCAACCTGAACACTGAGGACCAAGCAGTGACACCAGTCGGACGTAGCTTGGACGAAGGCATCCGGAGGAATCCGTTCAAGTCATATGAGGCACTAATGCGAAAGCGGCTTATACGCGTCCTTACAGGAACCCTGGTCTGAATCTTATCCAAGGTTGTACAAAAGGCAGTGAATACTGCGCCGACACAGCTTCACTTTTGCATCGCGGACTGGACCGATCGGCAAAGGATCCATCAACGCTCTGGCAAATGTGGCTGAGCTATCGCACAGGTCTTGAAACAATGAAACCTGGGGTAGCACAGCTACATGGATCCGAGCAGACGATCGGCGGAGCTGAAGAGACATAAGACTACACTAGAGCTTGGCGCTGTGTCAGCAGGTTTTCAGTCAGATCCTGGCGGACATTCACCATAGCCTGTGTGGATTGGAGGTCTTCTCAAAGGTGGGACTGCGTCGCGAGTCTGAGTATGTGAATGCCGTACCTGCCATACGATTCGCATATCTTTCTCGGCGCGAAGTGGTCTCTTCTGGAACGTTCGCATTACTGTTGCCCTCTGGCATGCGATGCTTGGATAGTCCATGAGGCGTCTCGCCTGTTATTTAAACTCCGTAGCGCCACGCTCGAACGCACAATCGAAACAAAGCTAATTGGAGTCGCACCGTAGTTACGCGTCAGGATCAGGTAACCACATCATCATGTCCTTGTCTGCAGTGGCCAGTAGGTTGTGTCGCGGGTTATATGCAACCACCTTGGCTGGCTTTTGGCTCGGCAGGTCCGCGGAGGGCTCCAATACCTTGTCGGGCCTGGGCTCCTCTGCGCAGTCCCAAACGAGCAGATTGGCGGACCTCCCGTTTCCTCCGACAACGTATCTTCCGTCTGGTGAAAAGCAAGCACTCGACTGGACGTATGAAGGTGTGTTGCCTTCTCCAAACATCGCAGTCGAGAGGTCGGCACCAGGAGCGTGATGACTGTAGTCCGCTCCACCTGGTTTTTGAAGGTAGTGGATCAACTCGCCAGAGAATGCATCGAGGATGTAGTGTCCTGGCCCATTCGTGGATATCATCAAGTACTTCCCGTTGTTGGAGAACTCCATGCCCAACCAGCCCTCGCCGCCTTTTTGACCTTGACTCCGGAATTGATGCTCTACATCTCGCAGATCGAACGTGTCAAACGGCGGCTTATCGTAATTGCGCAGATCGTACAGGGCAATGGTCTGAGCCGGTGGCGAGGCGATGGCGATGACAGAGGCGCTCGCATCGTATGCGGTAAACCACGGCGATTCGAATACCAGCTGGCCTTGAGCGTTGGGCGAGCGGGCATCCCACAGCTTCACAGTGCCGTCCATACTTGCGCTCATGAACTGATCGTTATTCGGGCTGAGGTTCAGGCTGGTCACGCGGGCGGTGTGGCCCTTGAAGTAGCGGATGAAGGAGTTGTCGTGCATGGACAGATAGCGGATGTCATCGTTGTGCTTGGTGGAGGCGTAGATAATGGAGGTGCTGTGGTGGGTGAAGCGGGCGAGCGTGCTGCCATATTTCTGCGACTTGAGCTCCTTGGCGTGCTGGCCAGCCTTGATGTTAAAGAGCTGGATGGTGTCGTCGGAGCGCGAAAGTAGCAGGAACTCGCCGCTATCGTCGAAGTCGATGGAGGTGTAGACAGCAGGCGGAGGTGCCTTGAAAAGACGACACGGGCGGAAGGTGGTGATGACATCCTGCACGCGCGCCACCGCCGGCTGCTGCTGTTCCGTGACCATGTTGCGCGCAGAAACGGACGAGAAGGAGTGGACGGTGATGGAGGTGTCGTCTTCACCACATGTGGACGTGAACAGCAGCGATCGCGACTTTGTGCAGAAACCCTGTCGCTGCAATCGTGAAGCTTCTCGCTAACTAGCGTCATGCGACATGCGAGATCGGCACCTGCACGGCACGACCTCCCTCACTTTTCGCTGACATGACAGCACATATTCTTGGATGACCTGCCATTGACCGACGCCGCCGACACGCCGCCCTGCGCTCACTTGCTCCCGGTCCACCGACACGAATCTGCTTCATGAGCACGCGATAACAAGACCGCTCACGCGACTCGGTGAAGAAGAGGGAGCAGCATGTCGACCACCATCGGCTCATTCGTGGCCGGCGGCATAGCAGCTTGCGGCGCTGTCACTGTCACGCACTCCTTTGAGACGATCAAAATTCGATTGCAGTTGCAGGGAGAGCTGCAATCCAAGAAAGATGCGCCTCGGTTATACAAAGGTGTGCTGCACGGTGTCAAGGTCGTCTATGCGAACGAGGGCCTCAAGGGACTCTTGAGAGGACTGAACTGTGCTGTATGTGGCTCTTATATCTGTGGTAATCTTGACAGTCTTGCATACTGACATTTTACCAGTATGTCTACCAAATGACCCTCAATGGCTGCCGCCTCGGCTTCTACGATCCGATAAGAACCACCCTCAACTCCCTAGTCCTGACACGATCCCCTTTCAACACCACCGATGCGAACGTGAAAGCGATGCAATCAGTGCCAGTCAATATCGCCTCAGGTGCCTCATCCGGTATCCTCGGTGCTTTCCTCGGATCTCCATTCTTCTTAGTGAAGACCCGTCTCCAATCATACTCTCCCTTTCTACCCGTTGGCACACAACATCAATACCGTAACGCAGCTGATGGCATGAAACAAATATACGGCGCTGAAGGAATCAAAGGCCTCTGGAGAGGTGTCGGTCCCGCAATGGTCCGAACAGGTTTCGGATCATCCGTGCAACTTCCCACATATTTCTTCGCCAAGCGCCTGTTACAAAGAAATTTCGATATCAAGGACGGAACACCTCTCCATCTCGCGTCTTCCACAGCATCAGGATTCGTCGTGTGCTGCGTCATGCATCCTCCCGACACCGTCATGAGCCGCATGTACAACCAGACCGGCAATCTTTACTCAGGGGCATTTGATTGCTTATACCGAACGATCAAGACCGAAGGTATTTTGGCAGTGTACAAGGGCTTTTTCGCACATCTGGCCAGAATCCTGCCGCACACAATCCTCACTTTGACATTGGCGGAACAGACAAATAAGCTAATGAGGAAATTCGAAGATCGAGTGCTACCCAAGGAGACCAAGGAGAAGCTATGAATTGATGGACAGTAGACTTGGACGATCTGAGACTAATCTGGAGAACCTTTTGTGATACCACTGTACATACCTGTATTTGGACTACGACGAATCTTGGATGATAGAGCCCGGACCGATGTCGCGGGCCTGTGAAGGTGGTATAAGCCGCCTGTACACGAGAGAGCCCCGGCCGAGGTCGACAGATTTTGGAAAGCAGTGCGCGTGCCCAGGCGGTCTGCACATATCTTGTCAGTAAGAGCAGTCCCATCCTAAGACGATGAATTAGGCAAGGCACGAGATCGCGCGGCGGCTGGCTAAACCTGGCGCTAGATAGTAGCTAGGAACTCAAACTCATCACAGCTTGAATCCCATACTTGTCGTCACTGGGATACTGGCAGATGACCCGACTGCGCCAGTGCTTCAACTCCCAAATGTCACACAATCCGTAAACTCACATCTTATGCCAAAGCAAGAAAAGAGTGCTCTACGCAACTCATGAATCGTGATCTTCGTTCTTCTATCCTATTCCAATCATGCCTGCAAAAGTATCGTACTCTTCTGAAAAGAGCTGCGTCCAAATCACGACTTTCCTGACCCTTTATGCCCATCATCAAACGCTTTCTGTCGCTGTCGATTATTCCAATTCAGCGTTCGCGAAATACTATCCACCCAGTCTTCGCTTCTGCGGTCAAGCGGTAGGACCGATGGAAAGGGAAATCGGCTGGCAGAGATGGTGACATAGTCACCTGGTTGGAGTTCAGATCTAGAGTAGAAGAAAAAGACGCATCAGTAAGGAGGCTTTTCCAACTTGAAAAGTATGAAGGGACACTCACCTCTCCTTCCCATCAAAACTCGCCCAACAGCTCGCCCTCGCATCATACGGCACACCTATCCTCAAAACAATCGTATCCGGCAAAATAATAGGTCGAAAACTCAACGTATGCGGTGCAATCGCCGTCACAAGGATGACTGGATTATCAGGATGACAAAGACTTCCTCCCGCTGCAAGGTTATACGCCGTTGAACCCGTGGGTGTCGCGACACAAATTCCATCCGCTTGAACTGTAGTGAAATGTTCTTCGTCGCCAAACATTTCGATACTGCTCATTGTGGCACTGGGTCCGCGATCCATGACGATGTCGTTGAGAATGTTGTGGCTTCCGTCTGGATGATGTGTTGAGACATCGTCTGCGCCGTTTCCGATGAGTTCGTCGACTAAATCGCGGGAATTTTGGTCTTCGTGGTTGTCTTTTCTTCGTGATCGCATGATTGTGGCTTCGAATCGTAGACGTAGGGATACTGTGATTCCGTCGCTGAATGCTGTTGTTAATGTTTCGGGATAGCCTTCGTAGTCGAATTTGGTCAGGAAGCCTAGACTCCCTAGCGCGAAGGACATTACGGGTGGTACGACGCGTTGGAAGAGCCATGAAGCGTATAAAACTGTTCCGTCACCTCCCAAGGCAAGGCAGATCTCGAAAAGATGCGGTTTCTTTCTGCAGAGCTCGTTTGTCCAGAATTTTAGACGATCCTTGTACGATTCGTCCTGTTTGCATAGGCCTTCGGTATCGAATGCCTTATTGTCCTTTAATGTATCTTCCACCCATACTGTATATTGTTTCCCATCGCCATTCTTTTGTTTTAGTAACCACTCCGACACGTCCCGCGTGAACTTGATCAGTTTTTGGTCATGCGCTTTCGTCAAGAGGAACACATTCCGGACTTTGAGCAGTAATCGCACACGGCCTAGCTTCTTCGACAATTCTCGTATCCCAAATGCCATATCTGATAGCTGCTTCTTCGTCAAAAGTCTGGACTGCGTATGCTGCACATCTTGTGTCGAAGAAGGCTCAATATCTTTGTCTGCCGGTTTGTGCATATTTTCGTCGCGTTCCAAGGGCCCACCACTCTTGAACGTTCGCTCTTCAAGAAGAGAGTGGACAAAACATGAGGTGATCTGTCGTTTGTGTCTAGGTCTCCTGCCTCCTCCTTCGTGGTCTGCCGGCTGTGCCATAGAAGCTCGTCTCCGTTGCGAATTGTGTTTGTCAAAGATGACTTCGAGTTGTTCGGAGGGGCCATCAGAGTCGCTGGTCACATGCAGTAAATCTTCAGCATCTTCCTTGTGTACGTCAGCGTATGCAAGGGCTGCGACCGTCTCTGTGATGCAGATGTTACCTCGCGATGCCCGCTTGAAGCTTTGCCGAAGGCTTCATCGAATGAGTTCTCGGTATTGTTTGAGCGAGCGGAAATTCCATTGGCAGTATCCATATTGAGTATTCTGTTCTCGCAATTCTGCTGCTCGATTTGCTCCTCGGCTCTTTCAAGAATCCAGCTCATCCCGGAAACGAACTGCAGGTGCTGCCCAAGAGGAACTTCAGAGCGGGCGCGCGTTTTCGTCGTCGCGTACTTATGCCGAAGCTGCAAGCTGCTGGAGCTGCCACTGCAGCTTGAGCGGCGGGGACTGGCGGGGCGGATACATATCGATATGGTTCCTGGGGATTGGTAAGATTTTACCAAGCAGTCCCTGACGACTAAGCGATTGATCACCTTGTATTCCTTGATATGAGAAGTGGACCGGATAGAGCCTACTGTTCTGGTAGCAGTGACTGCGGTTCGCAGGAAGACAAAGTTTGAAGGGCCCAGCGGTTGCGACATCAAATTCTCAAGCGAAAAGCCAGAAGAGCCACCACATGATTTGAGGTCCATAGCCCGCTCTATACCTAACGAAGAAAATCGCAAACAAACGACAGCTCCCGATCTCAAGTACCTCTGCAGCACAAGATCGATTCTATATCACAATGGTCAGGCCCACTATCACACCATGGCGCACACAAGCCGACCTACTCGCCGTCCGCTCACAAATCTATTCCAACTCCGCAGAAGATCGACAACACGCAGTATCCCGGATCATGGCATGGAAAATGCGCGGAAACCTCCCTCACTCTGTAGAAAGCACTGCGCTCCTCGTAGATGCCATCCTCCATCACAACAATAGCGACAGTTCTACAGATTCCTTCTTCAGCAATCGAGCTGTCTACTCTGCGGCCTTCACTCGCTTCGTCACCGGGTTCTGCGATATTGGACGTAACAAGGAGCGCTCGCTAGAACCGAGTTCGATGCTCGCTATTGCGAAGCAAATCGGTATGCCTTCGGAGTTCGTCACACTAAGGCATGAGGCGACGCACGATGAATTACCTGCGATTCAGAGGTTGGTGAAAGCTGTAGATGACGCACTGGCGTGGCTGTGGGTGTTCTACTGGAGTAAGTTGGAGGAGCCGGAGACCGAAGCAATTGAGGCGAGGTCATTACCAGAGTTGAAAGCTCGTGCAAAAGAGATCTTCAAGGCTTATCGAGGTTCGAGGAGGGAGGTGTTGAAGTCGAAGAAGCCCCGAGACCAGACGGAGGAGATGAGAGCGACTAGTAGGAATCTCGTACGACTTGTGGAAGGGAGCAGGCTGAAGAGGAAGGCTGTGGCAGAGACATTGGTGAAAGAAAACTTGCTGATCCCATCGAAGCGAGGGTGAGTTTTTTGCACGTGAATTTTGCTTGACTACAAGCTAACAATTGATAGACTCGGGACGCCTCTTGATGGCGCATATCTGATGTGGGATGGCTTGTTACGAGACATTGTTGCCTCGTCTCCCTCATTCTTGCCAGCTTTGCAGCAGAGCATGCTCGCAGTCTTGACTCATCAGGAAATGGAAGGTACAGAGCAAGATGCAACTCGCGAGGCAATTTGCCTATGGCTTCTCCATATGACAGACTACAGTGCCTCAGCCAAGCAACAGATGGCATACAGGCGTGAAATGATCGCCATGTGTTGCATGCATCTTGGGTATTGGTTGACGTGGCTCGGAAAACGCTTGCTCGATACAAGTGGTTCCGATTTCAGGAAAGATTACCAGGACTTGTTCGAGGCGAGTCGAGACGGGCGTGCAGCAGGAGAGAGCGCGGAAGAAGACACTCATATGCGAGATGATTTTGATGGCGAAGACGCAGTCAGCGGCGTGCCGGTGGGAGGGTTAGACCAGCCCAAGGGCTGGAAACGTACTCTGCTGCCCATAGCAGTGCCAATTGGTGTCGTCGAGGCACTGTGATAGTTCGTGCCTGACGTGGCAAAATAAGATCTCTGTCACAGGCTGATAATCTTTTGCATGTGAAAGTGTGCCACTGTGGGTCGTGTTCTTCTGACCAGTCACCCTCGAGCTTTGCAACGCCACCGCATGATGCTCTGTCATATTCGCTCTCAGGTCTCGATTCATGCAACTTTGCATGCGTGCCACGCGTGGGCTGCGTGACAGTCGAAATACCGGACATGGCGAATCTGAACCCATGCGCGGATGTTTCAGTATGACATCCCGACCGACGTCTTTTGTCTCTCGGTTGTGAAGTCATCGTGCTGGGCCAGGAATCGTTTTCTCGCATTCACGAGCAGATCTCGCAATGCCAGCTGCGGCATGTGCTGCATGCGAAACCCCGGAGGCAGAATCAGTAGCGTGAAGCTTTGCCTCTGTGCTGCTGATTTTGACGTAGGACACCAGTCTCAACCTCCTCCCGCCTTGATCGCGTCTTCTCGCTCAAGTACGTTATCCTTGAATCGTAGCAGAAAGATGGTCTTTCCGGGCCACATTTCGTCTCCTTCACCGGCCCAATGTGCTGTGACCCCCTCAGTGCCAAAGCCAGCCGCATCGCATACACCTTCAATAATGCCCGCGACGAAAGCCGCGCAGTTCAACTGACTCATCTCTTTTGGGATACTGATGAATGTGTTCACCACAGGTTCATTGTCCACAATCATGTACTCATTCTTTTTCGTGTTGCTCTGCTCCAGAGCATCTGCGCTGCGGTTGAACAGAGCCCTCCATAGCGCTCCATGAATGAATTGTAGCAGGTCGAGCATGCGCGTAGGCCGTGCAGCAGTTCGCGGCGGCTGTCTATAGAGCACCAGATCTAGCATCTTGATGCCAATGGGGTATCCCGCGCGGTTCAGGCGCGTCTCGATCTCGCTGACCGAGCCTGACTTGGCATGATGGTAGGTGATCAGGCTGTTGAACAGGTAGGCGAAGGAGGCGAGCGAGGTCTCTGTGGCTTTCGTGCGATTCAGATTGCGGTCGTAGATGGTCTTTCTGCTAGAGGGGTAGCGCAGCGTGGACACGAAGGGCTTTGATTGGGCGAGGGGGACGTAGTTGTCCTTTGGCGGAGGGGCACTCATGCCGGGCATGTCTGGCCGAGAGGGTGGCAAGGCAGTGTAATGTCGGATGAGTGTTCTGCTGGAACACTGACCGCTTCTGCGTCAGCTGCTGTCACATGAAGATGATGAACAGGACGGGATCGCTGCCAAGAGGGCGAAACGGGACACGGGGCGGCCAGGATGATGGTGGCTTCAGCACGTCTACTCGTCATACGGCAATGACAATAATAACAACAGCACACGCACATGCTGACCGGTTCTCCGCCGGGCGGTGACTCCGGTGTGAATTGGTGCTGCAGTGCGCAGCGCAGAAGAGGCGATGCGTTCTCGTGAGCCAGCATGAGCAGCTATGGGGTGAGCGACTCCTCCGTGCAGCGAAGGCCGATGCTGGTCGGGATAGATCAGAGGCCGCGTTCGGCGCATCACAAGCTCAGAAATGCGGCAGCGCAGCAGCATGTGAAGAAATGTTACAGCACCCATCCCTGTGCGCCGCCGCCATTTTCAATTGTCTGGACCGGCACTGCAACGGTCGTGGGCGCATTCCACTCTTTCGCAACAAGTGCCATGAGTTGCCGGCTGGAACATTGCTTCGGGCGATTCGTACTTTTGGCGTAGCTCTAACGCAATGCCCCACGGCGACCATTCCCTTTGCGAGGCAGCTAGCACTGCAAGTCATGCGTCACATGGTCAGCCATCTCGCGATTCGCCTGAGTCCCGCCACGTGCTCGTCCACCACCACCGTCAGCGGAGGAAGCGCGCGAAGAGAAGGGAAGTGCGGGTCGGAGATCAGTGAGGGTGCGGTGCAGCTGACAGCAGCACACCCGGTCGCGGCACGAGATGAGGATTCCCGAAGCAGCGCGCGCACGCATGCCGCATGCCTGCGCCCAAGTGTCGTCCGCTCGCTTGCCTTTGTCGTGCGCCTTCTAACTTCAGCATCGCCCGCTGATTCGCAGCTCCCGCCTTTCACATGAAGATGCACGGGCAGCGAAGCAACAAGCTTCGACGGATGAGGATGTCGCCCACAGTCGCGTCGTCTGCTCACCTGCCCTTCCCAATCCACTCCACTCCACTGCTCTCCTCTCTTTACACTTCCCGCACCGCAGTCGTGAACCGCGCGCACGCTGCCTCGTCGAGTACCCCGCCTCGCACCACTCCTCGACGCTGGTCCAGCCTTTGTCCATGCTGAGTAGTTTCATTATCGCCCATTTCCCATACGTGGATCCACGCACGAGACCATCTGTGCTGCATCATCAACCCACCGCTTCTGCCGAGCTTCAGGCGATTCACATGCAACCTGACGACGGCTAATAAGCCCGCCGCAAAGGCAAGACCGTTCGCTGCCCCCATAACCGCGTGACGACACCTGGTCTGCTCAACTCTGGGTGCTGGCCAAATTAAATCCTCCGCACTCGCCGCCGTACATACCTCTTCCTCTTATCTGCCTTTTCCCAACCAGTGTCGTACCCACACAACGTCGCAGATATGGGACGAGCAGAGCGCGAGGAACGCGAATCACGCGCCAGACAAACCATCGCCCGAGCGATACCAGAAGCCCTACGGTCCAGCATCAAGGCGAAGCATGGCGTGATGCACAGCGAACTGATTGACGACCCGCAAATTGTCGTCAAGAGCCCACAGAATGCCGCAACGGCTGCCCACCCTTCGCATCTCAGTGTCCGGATAGAGTCTGGAGGCTGTCTCGATGTCGCCCGCAAGATCTCTTATCGCCATTTCGTGAGTTCGGCCACCCGCAGATCCAGTGAGGAGCAACCCAATGTTGGCGTGCACAACATGGGATCGACGACGGTCCGGGGCGGCGGCTTTCTCAGAGGCGTGGGAGGTCAGGAGGAATACCTTTGCGCCCGGACCACGCTGTATGAGTCCCTGAGCGATGATTTTTATATGCTGCCCGTGAAGGGTGGCGTCTACTCGCCCGACATTCTTGTGTTCCGCGACGACTTGGCCGAGGAGTACAAGAAGAAGCAGCGCTTCTTCGTCGATGTCATCACCGCTGGTACCTTCAAGCATCCGCGAGAGGGTCGATCCGAAGATGTGGAGGGTGCCTGCAGCTGCGGTGTCAGCTATTGTGATGACCACAGGAGCATTATGATGCAGAAGATGAAGGCTGTGCTCCGAATCGCGCAAATGAAAGGAACCAAGCGGCTGATCCTGGGAGCATGGGGCGTAGGGCCTCTCAATCATCCGGTCGAGGAAGTTGCAAAACTATGGCGTAAAGTCATCTCCGGAGCCCAGCGACAGCGCAGACCCAACGCCGAACAGTGGGAAGGCATCGACGAAATTATCTTTGCACTCACCGAATCGTCCCAACGGAAAGCTTTCGAGAAACACTTCCACGATGTTATGACCTATGAGCCGCTAGAGCGCGTTGATTCTGCCACCACCTTGGAGGACGAGATGTACGCACGTACCCCGGACGCCAACCTTGTCATGAGTGCTCAAAACATCGAACTTCGCATCGAGGAGACCAAGAACGCTTATTCGAGAGCCCGACTAAAGGAGGAGCTGCGAGCGATCAATCATCAGATAGCCAACAACCGCAAGGCCCGAGCTTACAAAGACGACGACGATGCCAACGAGGCCGAAGACTTGGAAGACGACTTCGTCGTAGCCGGATATCCTGCCTCGGATGGCGAAGAACACACATATTACACACTTGCCGATACCACGACAGATTCCGCTTCAGACGCTGAAGACGCCAGATCAGAAATCTACGAGTTCCGTTTTGGAGGGCCAGGAATTTCCGACTCCACGGCCGACGAGGACGACGAGCTTGATGGCCATGTTTGGGTGGCATACGCAAATTCTCCCAACTACAATAACGCAACTGGCTGGTACAATGGCAGTATCGATGAGTTACACAACATGGACAAGGAACAAAGGAGAATTCGAGGGTCCGTGAGTCCGCGCAGTCCGCTTGCGAGGGAGATGCAAGTCGAGCTCAAATCGGAACAGCCACCACTCCCCAAATCTAGCACTGTCGATGGTCTGCTGGAAAGATTTCGAAGGACCGATGTTGTCGACCAGAGCGAATAGAGTTCATCTGGCTTTTTTTCTTCTCAAGGATCCGAAAAGAGGGCAGTTCCCATTTCCTTGTAATTTTTGAAACATTTGCGTCCAAGCGATCATGCAACATGGAAAGCAAACAGTCACATGCACACACAGCACAGTCTCATTGAGCGACAGGAGCACTGGGGGAAGGAATATCTAAACGTTCTGGGGCATTTTGGAACACTGCACGGCGCATCAATGGAAAATTGGGTAAACCGATATATTTGGGGGCGAAAGCACAATTCATTTGTTGGTAGCGTGGAATGGTGGAGCGCGTGGAAGCATATTGGGTACACCACAAACTCGTTTCGAGATTCGTACATAGCAGACGAATGAAAAGCTCATCGTCACAGCTCAACCCGATCATCAGGACTTTTTGAACAGGTCACGGCACCATGGTCTGTGTTCTATGCTCATCAAGCCAGGTTCTAATGATAATTGCAGCTCTGCGGCTTCGCCAGCAATCAATACCCGGATCGAACAAGTCTGAGCGAATCTGTACCGCAGGACGGGACACGCACCCAGCTTCTGCAGACTACGAATCGGGAAATTTTCTCTCGTCTCCCCGCACGCATGCATGCATGAACAACTCGCAATGACGAGAATCGCGTTCTTGACATCGAGACTACTAACCTCGAGATTTCGGATACCACTTCGAAAGCAAAAATAGAAATTATAAGGCCCCCCAACGCCACTACTCTTCAGCCAAGTCGAGTCGCAATTCTAGTGTTCATCCAAATCCTTCGCTTTTCCGAGTTGAGGTGCAAAAGACGGCTGACGACGCCTGTTTTGGGTAAACAGGATTGTGATCCCTGTTGAATTCTTTTGCGGGCGAGAGAGCCAGGACTAGGAACCGGATTTGTACTTGCTTGGAAATCTGGAACTTGGGCGCTTGATGGCTGGAGCGGGCGGTTTTGGCTGCCTGCCATTGGCGTGGCGACACGGGCGATGGACGTTTCCATGGTGCGATGTGCATGTGCCTTTGTGGGAGCTGGGGAGAGATGTATATACATTGAGCGCCGCCTGTGTCGCGCGCGAACTTCGTTCTGTGGTATTTGACAAGAGCAAGCACTAGTAGAAGGAGAGACATTGAGATATTACACTGAGGTTTCTCTGTACCAAGCAGCACCTGCCAAGTTACATTGGAAGACAATTCGGATAAGCTGGACAGTATGTGGACAACGACATCTTTGATTCTGGCCAGTGCGGTCCTGGCGGGAGCACAATCGAATGGTCTTGCTGCATACCTATCCTCAGTATGCGCTCCAAGGAACTCAAGTGGCTATCCTGACTTCAATGCTCCGTGTAACGCAGTAAGTTCTTACGACTGATCTTCCTGGACGCAAAGACGCTGACTGTGATTTGCAGGTCTATGCCATCCAAGCCCAATGCATCTATGGCGGGCCAGATTTCCTCAACGACCTCTGGAATCTGAACATTAGTTCTCCCAGTGACGGAAACAGCAGACGGAACGCAGACCCACAATCGCAAGACGGTGACGAGTCTAGTCTTGATGAAAACAACTTGCCATCTGGTCAGAGCGACGAGAACCAGCGAGTGTGTGTTTGCGAATCGCAGTTCTGGGATCAACTAGCTGGATGCGTTGCATGTTATACCGCTCATGCTCCGGACAGTGCCGTCGAGGCGGACATACAGCCATCCCAATTGTCAAGCGCCAGCTCTTCGTACTGCGCGGCTAGTGCGACAGCTTCCGTGGGATTGGCAGGTTACCTCTATGATGTCTTTGGAGGTCTTTTGGACTCTGGCTCTGGCTCTTCGGCCACGGAAACCTCGACTGTCAATTTCAGAGACCCGATTGGCAACAAGACTGAGGTCAGCTACTATTACACAGCGGCTGTGACAGGTAGCGCAGCTTGGTTGGTCTCGCAACCAACTGGCGAGAGCTCTGCGTCTCAGACTTATACGACTACCAACGTTCAGGACGGGCAGATTCGCCCGACTGCTTCCGCGAACAATGCCGATGCCACGCAGACACCCAGCGGAAATAGCACTGGAGGTGACTCTGACTCTTCCGCTTCCAGGTTCAACATGGCGAGTGCTGGAAGTTTGGTCGGTCTCGTTGCATTGGTGGCTTGGCTGTGAGCGTGGATACGTTGATGGTTGGCCGGTTGACGAGTTGATGACAGCGCGGAGTTGGGAGGTGTATGTCTGTTTCCACCTTTTAGAGCACTTGGTGATTGGGTTGCATTGGGCACGTCATCCCAAGTTTGGATTCCCATCCATAATGTCTTTAACGGCCTTGGCTGCCTTCTTCTTACGCTCCTCTTCTGGCAAACCAGCACTCTGCTCCCTCACGGCGAGTAGCTGCGACATGAGTTTGTCCAAGTCGTCCACTTGAACAGCTTGTGCTGCAGTGGTGAAGCCCTCTCCACTTGTATCCGGGTCGTCCTCTTCATTCAACGCAGCCTTCATGCCAAACAGCTCAGCGGTCATCTCTGCCTCTTCCGTGCCAAAATCGCCAAAGTCCTCTGCCGTGAAGTCCAGATCATCGAGTTCTACCTCATCATTCTCCCCAGACGCCCATTCGTTCGTCTCGAGAACTTCCTTCAGCCGCTCGAATCCCACCTTCTCTCCGTACTCATTCTTGCCAGTTGCGCTGTAGTCCACGTATTCGAAGCCGTACTGCATACATAGATCTTCTTGCTCTTCTTGATTCGCAGTCGCGCTGCTTACAGCCTGCTTCCCATGTGGCTTCGCTACTGCTAGCAGCGTCGTATCCAGGGCAAGCGAGTGCTGGTCTACTACTTCTTTTATGCTCTTCAATGCCTCCTCAACCTCTGGACTGATCTTGCCATCTGCTTGACGCTGAAAGCAGTAGATCCACGCTCCGACCTCGTCAACCACCTCCTTCGCCTCTGCCTTCACAAACTCAGTCTTCCATGACTGTATTTCTGACACTTCGTCAATCCAGATTGGTACGTTCGCTTTATAATATGCGGTTTCGGCGTTCCATTCGTGCGTCAGCCCAGCCGTGGAGCCATCGACGTGCGGATCGGGAGCGGAACCTGTGAGATCTGGCAAGTCGTTAGACGTTGTTGGTGGTAGGCGTTGTGGCTGGGCCGGTTGCGGATGCCTCTCTTACCTTTGACAACGTCCAGCGTGCCGGACTCGCGTGTACCGAGCAGCAGAATATGCCGCGAGTGTTTGATGTCCATTTCGAGAATGGCTTGAGAATACGAAAATCACATGTTGGAGGTTGAAGTGGAAGTGTAAGTGGAAGAGGGTAAAGTTGAGCGGAAAGTGGAGGGGCAGTGTCATCACGATTTCGATATGCTACACATCGAATCACATATCTGTTGCGGAGGGACGGCACAATTCTAACGCGTCCAACGCTCCCTCCAGCCTTGCCTCAAAGTATCTGCACTGCTCGCGGCATATCCTCCACGCCGCCTTTCTGCACGTCCTGCCCGGCCTGCTCGCATGAGGAAGAACACCTCGGAGTTCGACCACGCCCTCCTTTCATGTCGCTCCTTCAGTATGGCGTATCTCGTGACATCCCAAGAGTCTCCATCCTCTACCCTCTGCCGCCTCGTCCTGAGCCACGAGCGCGATTCACAGTTGCTCTTCCTCTAGCCAAACCAACACCGCGTCCTCGTGTGTTCCGCGATCTGAACATGGGTGCGTTTCTGTCAATAGTCAGTGTCAATTCGCTCAATTCGTAGGCAGACGCTAGTCACATACCGCAGCATGTCCGGTACAATGAACAGTCGCACGTGCGAACCTCGAATGTAGACTCGATCTAAGTGTGTGACGCGTCCGTCGCGTTGCGTGACGTTAATGTTCTCCAGTTGGCAGTTCATGTTGTCCTCAGCTATTATCAACCTGTCAGCTCCCGTCTTTTTACCTCCATTATCATACGCCCTCTGGAGCTTCTCCGACTGTTCTCATTGTGGACGCACCTTCGACAAGCTTTCCGCGGTAAGTCTGGCCGGAGTCGATCTCAACCGTGACTTGATGTCCCTAGAGCGCATATCGTCAGCTACAGAATCCTCGTGTAAGCGCAGGTCCGCCGCAAAGTGGTTGCAGAGTAACACTTACGGTGGCCTCGTTGAGGAGCTTGATCGGGATGCCGATTGTGGAAGTCATGTTCGCGACTCAATATCCGTGATCGCGGAAGGGTCGAGGTGAATTTCGGGCGCGAGAGAGTCGAATGGACGTCGTTGTCGTGTCGGAGGTGGAGCGCGAGTTGCGTAGTCGCAAAGCCCAGAGCTTCACTTTTCTCGCGCTAGCGCGATGCCAAGCTTCGGACCTGCTGCCTCTTGCTTTCACATGCGTCTTTGTAGCTGTCATCTCAGCTTACATCTCTCAGCTCCATCATGAACGCCTCAGCGACGGTCAACGTACTTCGGCTACTAGTCAATCCGTCGTTATGTCTTCCCCATCACACCATCGCGACATTCGATCAACTGCCAGTCCCCCTTTCACAAGCATTCATCAAGCCTGGCTCGGACAAGAAACCGGACATCAAAGCCGTGGTTCTTGATAAGGATAATTGTTTCGCACTTCCTAAGACCAATGTCATCCACCCACCTTATACCTCCAAATTTGAAGAACTTCGTAAAGCATATCCTGGATCCAAGCTACTCATAGTCTCCAATTCTTCCGGCACAAATTCAGATCCTGGGCATGCAGAAGCTGATCTACTCGAACGCAACACAGGAGTAAAAGTCCTGCGACATAGTACCAAGAAACCCGGATGTCACTCTGAAATCATGGAATATTTCCGCAGCCAGCCTGAGACTGGAGTGACACGGGAGAGTCAGGTGGCCATAGTTGGGGATAGATTGTTCACTGATGTCTTGATGGCCAACATGATGGGAAGCTATGGAGTATGGATCGAGAACGGTGTCAAGCAGGACTACGGCCTTGTAAGTCATCCTTCAAGACGTCGCTTTGCCACGATGTAATCTTGATAAGCTAACACTATGGTATAGATGACAAGGGTCGAGAAAGGACTTCGTACTTTCCTGCTACGACGAAACTATGTGCCCCCGGAGGCCAAAAGCGACTTTGAGTGAATGATGCAACAGAAGAGCATATATACCACCGATCGCCCGCGGGACATCTCGTTGCATCGCCGTCCTCGACATCTTACCGATCCGTGTTGAGAGCATAAGACCTGTGCAGCTACGGTCCATGTCCAGGCAAAGACTTTAGCATCCATCATGTGCTTCATTCTCTATCCCGAATGCGATCGATGCCGCTGGCCAGAGATCGGCAACATTCGAGGCGTAAAGTTGTGCGAGACATTCGAGAAGGTCGTGCTAGACCGAGACAGGCGTGTAGCGTATGCTGGTGAGAACCCTTCTCCACAAAATCTGGCGGACTGGAGGTGTCTCGGACTGTACACCTTCATCCGTGCAAATGGCCCCCAATACGACATCTGGATGAGTCGCGACTGTCTTCGATTTGCTCCAGAACAAGTCCCCTATCTGTGCCAACACTGCAAGGATAGGGATGCAGAGCTGACAGCTGCATTTGGGCTCCTTGCGGACAATCCGATTGATTGGGCAGACTGCGTCAACCTCGATGCGCCAGTGTTCGGCTTCGTGAACCAGGCTGCAGCAGCGGCAGGTCCTGCTCAGCCTGCTACGACTTTCGACCCAGCAGACCTAGAGACGATGTCCAACATGAATTGGGAGAACCTCTCGCAGCCTGGACCATCGACGAGGACTTCTGCTGTCATTGCTGATGCTCAGAAGCCTGCGGTACAAGTGCCAACCCTTTTCCCATAGTCTCAGATACTGTCTCAGAAGAACGTATAGCCGTTCCATAGCAGAAATGCAAAATTCAGTCCCAGGCTGGCAACAGCATACCACTTGTCCAGCTCGACGACGCTGTAGATCCAGAATGTGCCAAGTGGTGGAGCCTGTTTCATTACCGCAAAGTAGCCGTAGGAATTGCCCACATGAATCAAATAGCATCCTGCCCCCACTGCTGCGACAAGAAACAGGAGCTGCCTGACCACGCCCAGCTTGTACGCCAGATCCGACTTCATCATCAAAATAGCGATGAAGAGAATAGGCAAGATGGTACCGGACCGTCGGAATATGGCAGGCCATATGATGTCTTGTGCGTATTGGTTGTATGTCATGACGTCCAGAGTGAAATGCAGCATACTCAAGCAGACCGACCAGAAGAAGGCATTTCCAACAGGCCCGATAGGTTCGTTGTCTCCTAGCCCGACATCAAGGATGTTGCCACTTTCACCTCGCGGGACGCCATCGGAGTACTTATTGTCGAAAGGCTGGCCCTTTTCCAGAAGCTCCTTCTTCTGTTCGTACAAGTCAAGTAAAGTTGTGCCTTTGGCTGGACGAGCATCGTAATCAGGCTTGGCCATCTTAAGTTTGGGCATCTTCGTGGGTGCTTCGACAGGCTTGCCAGTTTCTTTCGCGGCCGCCCGCCGCTCCTTGCGGTTTCTGGGCTTCTCTTCGTCAGCCATGTCGATGCACAACTGAAGTGGACGAGTTGTGCAAAAGTGAAGCGTGTACAGGCGCAGGCTTGGCAAAAGGAGGTTGGAAGAGGCTAGCGTGATGCTATTTCCAGGATGGTCGTTGCTAGACAAGGATCTTCCGAACGCCCCTTCCTCTTGTTTGCGCTCGCCCATCCAAGCGCTGAAACACCACACTCGTTACCCAGCCCCATCGTTCGGCCCTCCCAGCAGCCGTTGACGACTCCAGCCAAGTACTTATCCACGCATTGATAAGAACGCCCGCTGCGCATACCAGCCGACTGCGAGTCACCAACATTTCTCCGTCCGACCACTCCGACCACGCCCACCACCGCACTGCGCCAGACGTGCGACCAATACCTCCACCATGGGCTTCGGTGACTTTGTGTCGATATGCGACAAGGTCCCTCTCCCGCTGTGTCCTCTGGTAGGGCCCCCTTCGCCGATCACAGGCACCAATAGCGTGCAGACGACCTGCTACGCGCGATCCATCGAACTGGCGAACACGATAATATTCCAAGGCGCGACTGGTTTCGCGCACATTCTGGCCCTCGTGATGTTGGTCGTCATGATCATTCACGTGCGGAGCAAGTTCACAGCAGTGGGTAGGTGCAGGAGAACTGGAATACCACAGGGTTTGGGAGGAGCATATGGCTAATCGCATAAACAGGGCGCAAAGAGATGACTTCTTTCTTCTACCTATACACCTTACTTACGATGTGCTCCTTGGTCATCGACTGCGGCGTGGTTCCTCCCTCAAGCGGCGCATACGCATACTTCGTGGCTGCCCAGTGCGGACTGGTATCAGCAACCTGCATCTGCCTGATGATTAGTGGATTCGTCGGATTCGCAATGTACGAAGATGGCACGACACTCTCGATCTGGCTCATCTACGGCTGCAGCACTATCATGGCTCTCATCTCGTTCGCTGTGTCACTTTTGACATTCAAAGGCTGGGGAGGACTCGGACCGGAGAGCACAATCGGATTGTTTGTGGTGGTATACCTCTTCAGCGCGATCTACCTGGCCGTCTACGTTGTTTGCCAGGTGATTCTGGTCCTCGGAACACTGGAACAAAGATGGCCACTGCTGCACATCATTGTCGGAGTCCTCGCTCTCATCATTGGACAAGTCCTGATGTATGCGTTCAGCGAGATCATTTGCGAAAACGTGGAGCATTACGTGGACGGACTATTTGTCGCAACTCTACTCAACTTGCTGGCCGTTATGATGGTCTACAAGTACTGGGACAGCATTACTCAGGAAGATCTCGAATTCAGCGTGGAGGAGAAGAACCACAGCTGGGAGATCCAAGAGCCATTGATGGACGAAGATAAGCGCAACACATTTTATCAAGATAGCGACAACGGAGTGGTTCAACAGCCTGGGCATAGGGGCTCAGCCTATGGATACTAGTTGAGTTTCTGCACTATTATTTGATTGCATAGCGAGGCGTCACGGATCAAGGAATCACACCAGATGAATGAACATAGCTTACTTTTAATGTCATAATGACATAAAGATGTGCTTCTGCGGAGAGCTCTTTAGACCATGATCTATTATGGCAATTTTACCATATTTACACGCCCTTCCGTTTCTTCAAATCGTTCACGACCATGTATCGAGAAATCCCAATCCACCCCCATCTGAACCATCGCATCTGACTGACATGTGCATTTGTCATCGCTTGCTGCGCCTTCCTCACATCTCCGGGCGAGCTTACCATAAGCAAAGGATTGGGAAAAGCTCCTTTCTCTTTGGAACCCAAGACAGTTGCCAGAACGCTCGCCGCCGAGTCCAGTATGCTGCTATACTTCCTCACTATGTTTACTGACGTGAGTGTATAAAGCTTCACCGGATTCTCCCACCCTGTATGACGCTGCATCAATGTCTTCAAAAACGTCGTACAGCCGTGTAAAAGCGAGATGTGATTCGGATGTCCGCTGACTCCTCCCTCGTCGAACGTGATCAGGACATCAATGTTCGCTTCTGGGGCCTTATTCGTAGGCGTACTGCTAGCATTGGGAGCGAAGGCTTTGAGCAGCGTTTGCGAGATCAATTTCGCATCCCACGTTGCTGTCATTGAATCTGGAAAATTCTTGTCTTCTATCGCGAAGACGTGCTCTGGTTTGCGGACTCCGAGTAAAAGTGCTGAGTCTATGAGCTCCTTTTTGCGGATGTGTCCTAGGCCGTCGGCATCACCGCTGCTGAAGCAGATGATGACGATTTGGTTTCCGAGCTCCGGGTTGGAGAGGTAGCGAAGTGTTGGCGCGAAGAACATTGCTTCGTCGTCCGGGTGGGCGATGACGAGGCAGATGCGCTTGCCCATGATGGTTGGGAATGATCTTGTCATATACGCGGTGAAGAGCCATAGTGCCAAGATGAGCGCTGGGATCTGGTATAAGAGGGTGATCATCCTGGAATGGCTTCGCGTGTGCTTTGCTTGTCTTGCTCTTGACTGCTTCCTCGCATGTTCTGATTTCTCGCTCATAGATGTTCGAAGTGTAGTGGATTTAATTGTTTACTTTGTGCTACGCTAGCCTGCAATGGGCGCCCCACCAGAGGAAGGGGCAGTTCGGCAAAAGTCACATCCTTGTAACCGATCAAGAATATGCTTCAAACTCCTTGCTCGTAACGCGACTTCGCGACTTCAACTCTTCATTTCCACCAAGACGAGCAAAGCAATCACAACAAGATTCCTTCTCGCTTGCACGATCTAACAATATCATATCGGCGATAGGTCCGTGGTGTACTTCGATACGACTGAATTTGGCGTGCGTCACTGGCGCATGGCTCGCACGCTACAGATCGCCGCGATGGCCTTGCCAATGTCAAGCTCCTCACGAACCCGTCGCTTGGGACTTGGTAGTCACCTCGAATGACGATGCTGGACTCGAATCCTGCGTTGTAGGCGACGTGGAGTAGGTGGGAGGGGAAAGAATATGTATGGTTCACATGTTCGCTCCTTTTGTGAAACGTTAGGTGCTTTCGCAGTCTTGTTATGAACAGTAGTGCCAGTATGGCGGTACTAAGCTTCAGAAAGAAGGATCGTAGCGATTACCCACAGCGAACAGACTCCGATGATTCTGCTTCTGATCGTAAGGACGAGAAGGCGGACGAGGACCTGTCTGGCGAACATGTAGAAAGACAAGACCAAGATGTGCAACACCAAGCGAGCGTTCTCGCTTTAATCGATCCTGCAAAGGAGAAGCGTCTCGTGCGCAAGATTGACAGATGGCTGATGTATGTACGAACTTCGTCGCTAGCAGTGTCCCGGCTGATCAGAAGACAGTCCTTTGGTCATGCTGCTCTATCTCATGTCGTTCATTGATCGTGTTAATCTGGGAAATGCAAGACTGTACGGCCTCGAAGAAGACCTAGGCATGAACCAGGAGACAGGCTATGAGTTCTCAGTTGCGATCACGGTATTGTTTCCAACTTATGTCGCATTCGAGCTTCCAAGCAACTTGGTCATGAAGCACTACGTGCGTCCGTCACGCTGGATTGCATTCATCACCATCTCGTGGGGCTTCGTTGCGACGTTCTCGGGCTTCACGCAGACTTATGGAGGGCTTCTCGCATGTCGTGTTTTGCTTGGACTGACGGAGGCTGGCTTGTTTCCAGGCCTAGTCATCTACTTGACCCTATTCTATACGCGCCAGGAAATCGCGCTACGCACGGGTTACTTGTTCGTTTCCGCCGCTATTTCCGGTTCCGTTGCTGGACTACTCGCATATGGTATTGGATTTATGGATGGTCAGTCAGAACTTCCCGAGAAATTTCAAGATGAGTGCTGACTCTTTTCGCAGGATTGGCAGGAATGAGTGGATGGAGATGGATCTGTACGAAATGCCTATCTCTGGTGCGAGCATTACTGACGTGGACCAGTGATCATTCAAGGATTACCAACAATCATTCTCGGCCTTTATTGTATCTGGGGACTAGCGGACGACGCTGACACTGCCTTCTTCCTCAACGAGGAGGAACGAGCACTTGTTAAGGCACGCAGAGCCGCCCAAGGGACTACCAACGAATTCGACGGGGCAGATTTCAGACTTGGCATGAAGGTTGGAAGACATATGTCTTCTCATTGACACAGTGAGTACTGCTTTATATTTTTCAATTCTACTCTGTCCGTCCTAACAGGACTGAATAGATTCTGTGGCAATGTGTCACATTACGCTTATGCCACATTCCTACCCACCATCATCAGGGAGATCTTCCCAGATGCTAGCACCGCCATTGTCCAGCTTTACACTGTGCCGTGCTACGCCACAGGAGCCATAAGCTACCTAATCGTAGCATGGTTCAGCGACCGAACCCAACTCCGTGGCCCTTTCGCCTCCATCTTCGCCTTCATCTCAGCAACAGGCTACGCCATCCTCGTAGGCGCTGGATTAACTGGAACAGGCCCCGGAGTCCTCTACTTCGGCTGCTTCGTAGCAGCAGCTGGAATCTACGTAATCCTCGGCCTCAACATCGCCTGGCTCAACACGAATAATCCTCGATACGGTAAACGGGCCACAGCTTCGGGGATGCAAATCATGTTGGGGAAATATTCCTGGCGTTATTTCTCCCTGGTTGTATACAAACAGCGATGCGCCTTTGTATACCAAGGGACATTCTGTGAATGTGGCTTTGGTGGCTCTTGCGGGTGTGGTGCATGGTTTCATGTTCTTTTATTTTACGTGGGAGAATAAGCAGCGCAGTATGGGGAAGCGAGATCACAGAATTGAAGGGAAGACGGAGAAAGAGATTGCGGAGATGGCTGATGAGAGTCCGAGGTTCAGATTTACCAGGTGATGGATATCATCTGACCTCAGACTGAAGGCCCTTTTGACTGCAATTGAGGCTTTCTACTCAAATGATCTCGGCTTCTCTGAGATTGAATTTGCACTGTGCTTGCAACAGAACGTCGTCGCTACCTCATAGCATGGGCGGGAAGAAACCCTCACTTACGCTCGCCCTCCTTCCCAAAGCCTTTGGGATACTTGCGAGCGTGATCAGGCTGGCCATTGTACGAGCGATGCTGCTCCCCATCATACGAAGTATCCTTACTGTCAATCATCTCATAGTCTGGATCCTCACGTTCTTGGACCGGATCATCCAATGAGACGTCGACGAATTCAGAGGCACCATACTTGGATCCAGCCTTGAATCCTTCTTTTCCTTTCTTGTTCTTTGATTTCACGCCTGTCTCTTCAAGGAGTTGGTGCAGGTTCTTTGGCTCTTGTTTCTGTTGTCCTCCTCCTGAAACGCCAAAACCAGATGCTTGTTTGGCTGATTTCTTGCCTTGCTTCTTCTCGCCGCCGGCGGTGTTGCTATTCTTGTCTTTGGTTGGTTCGGACATCTGTGCAGTTCAGGGTTTTGTTGTGAGTTCTCTGGTGCTGGGATATCCATCGTGGAGATCTGATCTGAGACGATGACATAAATAGTGAAGCGTTTCAACAGAATTTTGCGTTGTTAGCGAGCAAACATTCTTTTTGTCGTGAATATGATATTCTGTAAGTGGCAATGTGAAATCGCAATCGTTATGGAATGTCTTAAGGCAAACATGGACGCGCCATTCTCGCTGCTTGTTGGTCATATTGACTTCTTTGTCTTCGCATCATAACCTACGACGATTGCGCCGAGGACAATTTACTCGCTCTATCAGCAGCAATCTCACACATGGCCTGCAGACGTTATCTGTCAGCGTGAAACAACCAGAAACGATTCAAGGACTCACCCTGATATTCGCCAATCTCTCTGCCTGGAGGTTGCTGTTTGCGATCCGTTCACGCATATCGTGCATGATCACAGATCTACTCCTCCCGTTCACGAACACCACGTATCGAAGGCCAGGGTAAAATTTCTCGTATTCTTCGTTGAGAGTATGCAATTGCTCTGTTTCATGTGCATTGCCCTGCAATTGTGCTTGCTCGGCTTGCGATTGCGCGCTTTCAACTTTCTTTGCGCCAAGGCGAGGATGTGAGCCGAGAATGCTTTCGAGCCATGCTGTGTCTGAAGATGAAGCAGATTCGGCGAGGTCGGTGAGTTGGACGCCGATGGATGAAATCAGGTCGGTGTAGCTTTCAAATTGTTTTTCATGTAGTAAGGGGACTGATAATGTGTGGAGTTGTGTGCTTGGCTCGAATAACAAGTCGAGGATTGCTGCTCGGTCCGCTGTTGGTAAGGTTGGGATGTCTGCTACGGGCGGCAGCTTGGATACACCCATGTCTGAGGGATTGCGTTTGTTGCAGAGAGTTTCGATGATGTCGTTGCTGTTTTGTGATAAATGCTAGGAGCAGAGCAGGTGTGGTTTATGACGGGGCAAGCTAGGCAGGAATGGGCAGTGGGCCAGCTTCACGCGGCCGGCTGCGATGGATGAAGACATTGCGGCAGCACCACCCTACAGTGTGTGGAGTTATCTCACAGCAGTGCAACGTTCGTACATACTGAGCAGGACGTTGCAGTTGAGCAGCGGCCGGTTCTGACGCACACGTGCGTGCATGTCTCACGGCGGCCATAGTTTTGTTGTACCTGTGGAGCTCTCAGCACCGCGTGGCAGATCCAATGTGCGGAAAGGGTAGACGAGTGTGTGATCTTCAGGTCCGCCGCACGACAGATTACAATGGCTTCGGTGTCGGAGCCACGCGCCGAGCACAGGCGGAGAAGTGTGTGGAAAGCTCGATGGCCTTCCTCGATCAGGTGTCTGTGTTTCTACACGCACTGCGTTGCGGCTGGGTGATGTTGCAGCATGCTTCGCGGCGAGAGGCGATGCTAATGATGATATTTCCCCCGCCAACCGCGAGTGCAGGCAAGTGAGTTCATCATCGAGGCACGTCGAGCCAGGGTGTGGCGGGTGGTGATGGCGGCGATCGCGTGCTCTAGTCGGAACTTTGTCGCCAAGTTGGCAACAAGAGCGCGAAGGTGCGGAGTCCAGTCGGCGGAGGAGATGTGCATATTGTACGATTGTGCATGCATGCACGCCATGACCGCGCATCGTGAGAGTTGCCGCCGCCGTTGGACGTTGCCCGCTGCGAGGGTGATGAACACACACGCGCAACGCTCGATATCATAGCACGCAGCATGTTATCATCGCACCCCCGGCGAGACTCGCAGATGTTGCGTGTTTGATCGCCGCCACCGAGGTGCGACAAGCGCTCGTGCGCACGTCGCCCAGGGGTGTGCTTTTGGCGGCGGCGCGGCAGAGGGCAGTGTGGTGGGCCAGCCTGCGCGCCATGCGCTATCTCCTGAAGCCATTTTCCATCCTTCTCATCGCGCCCATTGGCTCGAGCGAGGTGCACCTGGCAGTAACTAGCCTTCGCCCCAAACTCTATCCTCACTTGAGCGTCCTGGAGTGCAAAGGCGCCCGCGAGCAACTCCTCCTGCGGTGCTACACTCTGCCCTTGCACCTCACGAGAAGCGTGCGTCGTCAGCCTGGCGACACTCCTCACACACTCGCCTGTCGGACAGGTGTAATGTCTCAAACGTCAATGCCCACACTAAGCGACCTCCGAATAGACCTAGGATAATCTGCCCACCGACGAGTGGTGCACGCAGCGCTTGCGGAACCACTTCCCGTTCACGCGCGCGAAATGTCACTGAATGGCCTTGACACGCCCGAAGTCACGGAGGCATATCAGACGGCCATCGCCGAGGCTGGAGGCTGGTTCCTGCTAAAGTACACCTCGCGAGACTCGGTGGATCTGCTGGGCAAAGGAAAGCATGGAGTCTCCGAGGCCCGCAATGCCCTGGCGGCGTACACAGAGGCATCGCCGTTGTACGGCCTGCTCATGTATCGCCGCCGAAGGATCCTGATCAAGTACATACCGGAGGGAACGTCGCGATTGTTGCAAGGTACGTGGAGAGCGCAGGCCTGGATGGGGAGAAGCAAAGGCTAACGGGACTTGCGATCCAGCGCGCACATCGGTTCACCTCCAGGACGTTCTCGAACGCTACTCCCCCTACGAAACCCTGCTCGAGCTGACCAGCGGAGATGGGCTCAACGACACTGCACTCGCCGCGTCTTTTCAGTTGCACACGGCTTCTCCGTCCCCCTCAATGGGCCGCCTTGATGAGCTGCGCGAGGAGGATGAAGACGAGGGGACTACCGAGGAGACAGGCGCATCTGCAGCAAATCTGCAAGCCTCGCAGAGATACCGTTCAGATCGTGGGATAGGCAAACGCGCACCGCGGTCAATGACCTCACTCCATGCACACACCACCGCCTCAAGACGCACGACTCCGCCGGCCTCTCCGGCAAAGTCGCCTGCGCTGACATTACCTGTGCCTGCTGAATCGACTTCACTTCCGCTGACCCCGTTGGAGTCGCCAGTGCCACCGCTGCAAGCATCGGCACCAGGTGATCAAGCTGCCGACGACCTCGTAATTCCCGAGCATAAGCCGCCACCCACAGAGTCGTCACTGTCAGATGCTGCTACCGCATTGCAGCACGTTCGAGATACGCAGGACAAGCTGCCCGAGGAGCAGCTCCACGGCTTTGCTTCCCAACCGCCCGATCAGAGACCTCCCGAGCCTTCGCCGGAGCGCAATTCCTTCGCTGCTCGCGGAGGCGCGATGCGCTCGCAGTCCATGGATGAAGAGCCATTCGATTTCAGTCAGTACGACGCGTTGTTCAAGCCGAAGGTCAAGCTCGCACCGCGTCCGATCAACGCGCCGGAGAAGGCTTTGCGCCCAACTGCGCCACGCGTGTCGGCCGTTCCTGCCACCATCAAGACGATGCCCAAGAAGCAGGAAGCACTCCGGCCAAAGTCCTCGGGCGGCCAAGCCGCCATGTCACGATCTGCAACTGCACCGTCTGCACTCGAGTCTGCCGCGCCTGCTATGCCGCCCATCCCTGACATTCCCACTTTTGCATCGCGACCAATGTCGCGTGGAAGCGTCAGATCCGCGCCCTTGCACAAATCCGGCCCTATGTCCGCAGACAAAATACGCCTCATGAAAGCCGTTGAGTTGCGGAAGAAGCAGCTGCGCAAGTCGCAGGGCTCGATGTTCAGTTCGATCACCGAGGACGCGCCAGAAGTCCCCAGTGTTCCGATGGCGAGCGAATCTCAACAGGGTCCATCTGACGAAGGGACACAGAGCAAGCAAGAAGAGGCGCAGAGCAAGATTCTGGCGGAGAGCGAACCCGAGCAGCACAGCACAGATGACGAGAGCCAAAATCAGTCTACTAAAGCCGACTCAGGCATTGAACTTCGATACGGCACACCCGACACACAACGAACCGAGGAGACGATAGACGAAGCACCAGAAAATGCAGTCCTTGACGATATCTCGGAGGAGAAGGCTGCCAAAGTAGTATCGCACGCATCGTTGCAAGCTGCACAGATTGATGCAACAGTAGACGAGTCGGACACAAACCACGACGATGCTGCCTCGACAACACCCAGTCAGACGCCTACGGAACGACCTCTCATGTCAGAGCAAGATAGCGAGACAACAGCAAAGGGGTCGCAGCATCTGAAAGTCGACGAAGGAGGGGCTTCAGCACCGACCATCTCGCTCCCTGGAGAGCAGGATAATGCCTCTATTGTAAATGCAGCTGGGTCGCTTTCGCCGCACAAACGCTCGGATAGTGACTTGGTCAAACGCAGGCGCGGATACGTGCAGCCATTGGCTCTGGACACGCTACATAACGAAGTCGATGAAGAGGAATTAGATTCGGACGACGACGCGTTGTACGAAGAGTTGCATAGCGCCACTGTGCAGGAAGCTAGACCAATCACGGTAGCGAGGTCGCCGATAGCATTGGCATTCCAGGGCAGATCCGCCAGCATCGAAGCTTCCAATGCCCCTCGACCTATGCCAATTGCGAGAGCTTTCACGAACCCCGAGAAACCAGCAGATGACGAGCGACCTCCGTCTGTCAAGAGCCGCCCCTCGTCCATCAAAAGCCGTTCCGTCAGCCCTATGCCGCCCGCAGAAAGGCAAGAACTGCTCTCTGCTGGACGCGCGCGAAATGTGTCGTCCGGTATATCCAGACGCATCCAAGCATTGGCCGAGCTGTCAGCTAGAGAATCAAGTGAGAACTCACTTGGAGGATCTGCCACACAGAACAGGAGAGTTCCTCCCGCGACTCGTCCTATGTCTCGCAAGCGGCAGAGCAGGAGTGCGGTGAACACACCGACCTCAGCCATGTCTAACGAAGAACAATGGCTGACCGGAAGTGTTCAACATGATCCTGTCACGAAACGCGATTCCGTTTCTGTCACTACTCGCATAGCTCGTCCGGGCTCCTCAGCCCCTGGCTCCGCACACGGTCCGACGCCTCCGTTCTCCGCAGCTCCCTCCGCCACTCCTTCGCCGCCTGCGGTCGAGTCTGAACCTCCGCTCTCGTCTAACAATTCACTGTACTCTAATGACACTCGTTCAGTCAAGTCATCTCGCTCCCGGACCAGCCGGTTTTGGAAAGAGAGACAGAAATCAGCACCTGCTTTGGATGACTTTCCCCCACCGCCACCTAATGTTCGCGTAAACTCAGCCATGTCTCTCAATTCAAACGACGAGAACGTCGCTCCAGAGAAGGCTAGCAAGGCGACCCGATTCTTCAAGCGCATGAGTAATTTGACTGGATCGAAGAAGAAGAATTCTCCAGTCGAGCCGAGGAGCCCCACGAAGAGTGACAGTATGCTCAGCGCTCCAGAGGCTGCGAGACCTGTGAGCTTAGCTGTTTCGAAGCCTGACACGCCGCCAGCCGTGGTGGTTGGTGATCTTAACGTACAATTCCCAGATTCCTTGGTAAGCACAACCCCGTCTTTCCCCTTACACATTTTAGGCTAACGCAAAACACAGCTCTGGAAGCGTCGGATAGTAACGATTGACGACTACGGAGTCTTGCAATTCGCCATTGCACAGGCGATGGACATCCATCGAGGCGTCGCCATGAAGAGGTACGCACTTGCAGAGTTCAAGGCGCCTTTCATGCCCGTGCTGGACCAACAGGAGTTGCCCTACTCGGTGATTCTGGAATTCGAAGACGGAACTGCTTTGCAGGTCGCTTGCGAGGACGGGATGACACAGCGCCAGGTCCTATCGCTGTTGACAACGTACTGGAGAGCATATACCGAGGATACAGTGGAGCAGCAGTAAAAATTACTGGTCGAGCATGGGGACGAACGATGTCAACACTGCATTGGGACAACCTCCGGCTTGCGGTCGACAGCCACCACGATCAAAACCCTGCCATTCTTTCTCTCTGACACTCGGACACTGCATTGACTTTACGAGAAAATTTCATTTACCCATTTTCGTTTTATACCCAAGATCGAGAACGACCATAAGATTCGGTCGGATGTTACCCTAGTATTGCCTAGTGTCTTTTTGCGTTGAGCGTTGGGTGGTTGGTGTAGGAAGGGAAAGCGAGAGGAAAAAAGAAGAGAGACAGCCCAGATCCACGGCATGATCATCATTGTACAGTTGCTTTTATTGGATTCCGAGATCTTGCGGGTCACAGGAAAGGGGCAGGACAGCAGAAGGCGGAGGAATTAGTGAATCCAGAGCACAAATTCGATACGAAGTTGCTATGTATAAGATCAGTGTGCAGCTTACTTTGTGTCACACTCCTCCAGACCTTTGATGGTACTTGCAGAGATGGGGCAATTGAAGATGATCTGGCCAGACTCCTTCGATCGGGCAACTTCTTCGTTGTGAGATCCGCTCAGCATTTCACTGACATTCCTGGTAGTCTCCACCTCTTCCTTGAGCGAGAGCTCTGATACAGCAGCATTGCCACCTGTGAATAATATTGACTCACGCCGAAAGCTCCCAATATCGAAGCTGGATGCTATGTATGCATTTCCTGCGTTAGACACCAGTAGCATTCACAACGTACAAAGTCCGATCGATCGATCGTTTGATTGCTTGTAACAAAACGTGCCTTCGATTGATCGTTTTTTGTTCTACCTTACTTCTCTCGAAAACCAACAAACAACAGAAAACAATGCCTCTGTCGCGCAAATACGTGCCACTTGATAGTGACAGTGACGGTAGCCAACGTAGCACTTCAAGTGCCGAGGATTGTGTGAAGTCTGCGGGCGATGTGGGAGGATGTGAGGATGAGAGGGGGAGAGAGAGTCGGTGGAAGGAGTGGCGGAAGAAGTTAGGAGGTTCTGGTGGGGAGGTTAGGGAACGGCAGCGAGAAAGGGAGTCCGCGGCGCACAGTGGGGTGGAATGCACAGCGTCTTCTCAGGTACCACAGGGAACAACTACGACGAAGGGGCAAGAAGATGAGAAAAAACGGAAGAAGCAGCCTTGGTGGGATGTTATAATATTCGCAGGACCGATTTGAAGTAGCGCAATGGAAATGAAGTGAACTTTTCAAACGACTCAGAAATGATTGAGCAAGCATATGCGCGCTAACTTAGTAGGCTTCTCGCAGAAAGTAAGATTATGTGCTGAACATCTGCAGTTCGGTCCTGCCCCTAAGCGGCTGTCGAAGGCAAAAGTGTAATAGCGGCCACAGAAACAGACCCTATCTAGAATATCTCTTCCAGTCTCTCACTGCCCCAGTTCCTCTTCCCCTCGGCAACTTCATCGCGAATTTGCCAGTATTCGTGGTTGAATTTCCAGAACTCCTCACCGGTCACAGGGTGTTTTGCTCTAACAAACCAGCGAGGAGTGAAGTCCTCGCCCTTGGCTTCTCGAACGCGTCTGCGTGCACGTTGACCTTCTTCCAAACGAGTCTTCTCTGTCGCAGCGAAGTCGTACTCTGCGTCTTCCATGGCTCTCTGATCCGGTCGAAGACGAGAGTCTGTGGGAGCGACCAAGGGTTTCAATTTATCGGGGAGGTCGTTGAGTGTGACCACGAATGGCGTAAGGTTGAAAGGAATCTCGCCTGGAGGAGGCCTGTAGTGCGCTTCCCACACGAGGAAGGCTTTGTCGCCCTTCTCCAGAGAGCCTTCAGATGGGTCGACGGAACCTTCATAACCGGGCGTGAGTCGTGCATAGATCTTGTCATTCCACCTTCCGCCCAGAGACCAGCGCGTATTGCCGTCCTTGTCGAGGACCTTGCCCGAAACATGGTAGGCAGAAGATGCCTTCCAGCCCCGAGGCTTGAAGTCTACTAGGGCGGTCTCGCCAGTGGTCCAGTTCTTGACTTCCATCAGGCCGTAATTGTCGACCACAGGATTACCGGTCAAGATGCCAACGACCGACGAAGTGACTTTCTTCCAAGTATAAACTTCTTCAGGGCTGCCGTCGATAGGCCGAATGTGGAGGTACCAGGTGCCAGTAGGGTTGAATTCGAAAGACTTTCCATAGAATTTGGACTTCACGTTCGACTCGCCGTAGTAGGTCCATTTGCTTGACTCGGCATAGGCGGCTCCAACGGGAGGATGGTGCGTGACTTGCTCGATGAAGAAGCGATAGCCTTCGTCTGGTCGCACGTATTCGAACGTTTCACCAAGAAGCGGATTGAATGGCTTCGCGACACGCCCGATCGTACCAGCATACTCGGACGCTGCAAATGCAGCGACATAGACCATGCGTTCCGAGGAGTCGGTACGATCCGCTGCAGTGTTCAGGAGGTTGACATATTCCATATCCGCCACGACCGCATAATGCAGCGAAGTTGGTTCGTTGAAGGTGACGGGTAGAGTCATCTTGGTCATGTCCTTGCCAATCATAGATTTGAGTACACCCTGTGACGCGGTCAGTAAAAGCATTGTGAAGTTGCACCCAGTGCAGACATACCCAAAGTGAGACCTTTGGCCTGTTATCCGCATCGATCTTTAGTCGTTTTCGCAGACCATCCTCGTATCCACGATAGCTCTTCGAGATCTGCATCTCCTTTTCACGCCGCTCCTGCTCAATGCTCGAGCTGGCATCTTGTGCGCCATCCTTGTCAGCAGCGATTGGCTTAGGTGACTGTGGTGGGGAAGGCAGCGCCTTGACGATCTCGACTTCACCCGCATCCACGGCGTCGAAGAACTCGTCCTCTTCTTCGCTGTCGTCGTCAGAGATCTCGTTGTTTGTCAGTTCGGCGATGGTCTGACGCCTCTTAATCGGCTGACCAGCAGGAACTTCCAGCAGCGAGCTGACCTTTTCTCCAGTCTCGGCTGAAGGCGACGCGACTCTCGATGAGGCAGTTCCATCAAGAGCTTCCTTCAATGCCTTCTTTGTTCGTTTCCTCTTGTCCTCAGATTCGCCGATGCGGTTCTCAAGTTCCTCTTGCTCTCGAGCCACCTTTGCCATGCTGTCTTCCCATAGCCTCCTGATGTTTTGTTCGCGTTCCAAGCGATATTGCCAGTACGCTTCATGGTCACGAGAGATGCGGAGCAAGTCCATCAGGAGACCCTTGAGATTCCCGACCGCGGTCTCGTACGAAGACAAGGCTTGTTCCAGAGTTGGATGTCCCAGCGGCGTATCTGGACTCTTGTCCCTCTCACTTCGCAGTGCCGCAGATACTTGCTCCAGAAGGTCGAGCTGGAGCTTAGCGGACTGTGCAGTAATAGAAAAGGCATCCTTGTTGCCCGGCTTGACCTCATTACTGCTCGCATCGTCGCCGTAGTCCTCCTCGTCGTCCAGGTCGCCCTCGATGTTAGCGGTGCCCGCACGACTGGAGTCACGAACAATGACTGAGTTGCCATCGGCCTCGCTGGCATCGTATGCGCTCAAATTTCCGTCTCCCAGTGTACTGCCAGCCAGAGATGTCGAGCCTCCGGTGACGGCTGTCGCCGGTGTCAAGCTGCCTCCGCTCTGTGCCACCTCCGCTTCCCGTGTTCTGACGCGTTCGAGGTGCTCGTGTTTGGCACTGGCTTCCTGTCGTTCCCGTCGCTGCTCTTCTTTGGCTTCGTCCTTGGCCCATTGAATTGCGTTGTTCAAAGCCCAGAACCATCTCTTCGCCTCGACTTGGTGATTTGCTTTCAGATCGTACTTGACCGAGCTCTTTCCGAGGATCTCAAAATGTAGCTTGTCCTTGTCCTTGGGATCCATTTGCAACTTCGCTATGCGCATGTTGATGGCACCTCGACAAGCACTCCCAGCATCGTCTTGGTGTTTGTAGTACGACAAAACGCCATCTTCTAACACGAACCAGCGCAGCTTGTATCCAGAGGTATAGTTTGTCCACTTCTTCAGGTAGCCCTTCATCTCCCGGCTCTCTTTGCTACCAGGCCCACCATCGCCGGTCGGAACTCCGCTAGCTTGTGACGCACTACCGAGGATGGTCTGCTCTTGAATCTGTCTTTGGGCGGCAGCGGCAGCAGGTGATCGCTTGAGGATCGCACGCGTTCGATCATCTTTGGTGACATCCTGTGGTAGCTTGCCTCTGCGATCGCGACGGAAAGGGTCGGCACCACTCAGCAACAACAATTGGGCCAGTTTCAGGTCCCTCTTGCGAGCAGCCTCATGGAGCAGACTACCTCCGTCGGCTATCGTGGCAGGTTCCTGTGCCAGCTCGGGAGCGTTGATGTCCAGGGTCGACCTGACACGGCTCTCGGAAAGCAGCTCCTCGAGAGCATCGTAATCGCTCTTAGCCACCAGCTGATGAATAGTTCGGATCTGCTTCTCCGTGTACACAGACCTGGCAAGCTGCAACAGCTGAAAGATGTCTGGGTTGCGGGCCACGTCGAGAGGCGTCTTTCCCTGGTGATTGGCAATGGAGTCGTTGATCTCTTTTTGCTCGAGCAGCAGCTTCACCACCGGTACTCGGCCCAGGTTCGCAGCCACGTGAAGCGGGGTGTTGCCGTCGCGATCGCGAGCGTTGATATCCGCGTCGTGCTGGGAGAGCACGTACTCGATCACGGCCATTTCAGCGCATTGAATGGCCAGGTGGAGGATTGTGGTTCCCTCGAGCTTCGCATCGCCGCTGGCTCGCGTTGCTTTTGCAATAGCTGCCGTGTCTCCGCTACGCAGAGCCTCGAAGACCTTGAATAGTCGCACGCTCTGCTCGATCGAGGCGCCCTGAGTCGCGGTGCTCGGAGTGATGGGCGAGTCTTTGACGGGCGAGGTCTGGGCCTGGGGCGTCTGTGTATTGGACATGGTGGTCGACAGGTGCGGGCGGTGGCCGGACTGCATCGAAGCTCGAACGGGCGACAGGTAGTGGGCGCTGCTGCTGCCCTCGGGGCTCGACATGTTGTCGGTGTCGGTGGTGGGTGCGTCGCTGGTCACGGTGTTCAAAGTGGGCACATTGTTTCTGCTGGACAGCCGCTGGAGAGCTTTGGTCACGGCCGACGGGGTGCGCTTGCTGTTGAGCGAAGGGAGTTAGCCGCGGACGTGTCAATATATTTACTTGTCCCGCCAAGCTCGTTCGGAGGCGTGGATTATGTTGTACGACAGCCGCGATTCTTCCTGGTGAGCATGCCTGTGCCAATGGGGCGCGGTGGGACACGCGGTTGGCTCGCGTCGACTTGGCCAGAAAGGGGAATTCAGCACTTACTGCCCGCCGTCGGATGATGACATGGTGCCTGTGCCTGCCGCTGACCGACGTCCTGTCTGCTGCCGCCTGCTGCTGATTTCAATTGCACATTTGTCGGGTCGAGGACGAGGAGTGCTCCGCGGTATAGGAGATGGGACGGAGGCACTTTGACGAGGGACAGACAACACTCGGCACAATTCCAGACGATCGTCGGCGTGCTGCCCCTGTGCGTCTAAGTTAGCGTGTCCCGGTGCCCTATGACGCTGCCGTGCCGCTGGAGCTCAAGCTTCCGTTGCTTGCAACAACCTGCTTCGACACGAAGAAGCTGTTTGAGATGAACCAAACTCCCACGGACGCTGGATTAGCTCCATCCCGTGCAGGCCATCATCACATTCACACGCTGAGAACATCTGCGACGCGTCAACGTGGGCTGAGTTCGCATTGTGTGAGGCTACAGCAATTTGCCGCCGGCGATTGGACCAACTCCATCTTGCGCAACATCCCGAGACTTCGATCTCGCCTTCGGACCGTCGATGATGCACGCTGGGATTGCGCGAACTGGGCATCCTCGTCACCAGCCAAAGATCTGCACTACTCATGCGAACACTGATGCCTTTGCTTACAGCATAACTGGAAGCTTCAGCGTCCGTGTCCTGGTGGTGAGCATGAATTGCGGATGATGGAGCACAGGCAACGCCGTCGCTATTCACAGAAGGAACCGGACGGTGTTAGCGATATCGATGGTGTGCAGCGTCAGATGAATTTCCGCTAACTTGATGTGCTACCTTTCTCGAGACACGAGTCCAGCAATCACGCAGCTTGCTCGCTGATATTGCATTCGCTGCGATTTCCTTTCGATTGAGAATTTGCCAAGTCAACGAGCAGGTGCAAGCAGTCCTGATTTCTCCCTTCGTATCCACAACACCTCGCTCGTTTGACCACGCTCGCTGTTGTGCGCGTTCCGCAAGGTCTTACATTAAATCCCACTCCTCATCTGGCAACCCTAGGACCTCAAGGACCTAATCTGTCGCCGTGAGCTTGCGCGGCCAAGTCAGCAGCATTCCTTGCTTGGTCGTCACTCTAACATCCGAGGCCCCTGCCCTGGCGTTGGTCCATCAGGCAACATCTGCAAGTCATATTTGACCCCATTGATCTGGATCGATGGTATTGGCATGGTTTGCTGTTGGCGCTCTTGTTCTGCAAGTCGAGCTTGTCGGTCGTGGTTTCTATTATCTTCAGTCAAGACATTTGCCAGCCACTCATCGGCTGGGCCATATGACCCCGGCGGCCCATAGGGGAAAGGGTTGGAGATTACAGCCGGAGTGAGAGTGCTGGGAGCTGGGGCATCGTTCTGAAGCTCGAGAGATGCGGTTGCGGGAGGGAGAACTGGGGTGTTGTTGTAGTGATCTGGTGGCCGCGCACCATCGTCTGCAGACTGACCAACAGGAGCAATCGAAGCGACCTGGACAATCGGATTCGAAGCTGCTGCCTGGGTCGAGGTATTGCTTCGCTGACTTCTACTGGCACCTTGGACTCGCACTCCCGTGATGCGGTACTGGCCGTGGCGATTGGGCTCGACTTCGTAATGGTGGACGTTGCGAATGTGTCGATAAAGTGCAACGAACTCGCGCGCGCAGATGGGACAACCTGTGCTCGACTCGTTAGTCTCTGGACGTTAACACTTCTTCTGTCGACCACTCTATGCGTACCTGCTTCGTTCCATATGGGATCATTTCCTTGTGTGGTGGGAGCGGCTGGCGTCGAAATTCTGGGGTATGAGCTCGCGCTTTCGGTTCTGCTGTCTTTGGGTTGAAGTTCTTTCGTCGGAGCGATTGCTGCTGAGGGTGTGGCTTCAGGAAATCTCGGCCTTCTCGATGGTTTGGACATCTTCTTTCCTGCCAGCAGGAGAAATGTATCGATTTAAGCACATTGCGAAGGTCAGCGAGTTCTTCACTCTCTTGTAGACGCTTCACAGGCGTGCCTTGCGACGAGAATGGCACGGGAGATTCACGAAGTCTGTCGACAATAGTATTGTCAACGATGAGACACCGTGATTCTGCGCTGTCTCGGTCAATTTCTTACAACACGATGGAGCCGCACGGATCAGAAGGGCATCGAGTTCCGAATCATAATTGATACTTCGTTGACTTTGGTATTCTGATGTAGCTTATTGTGTTTTCTTCTGCTGCTGACTGACACCAAGTGAACTATTATATGTTAAGCCCAGGCTGGAACGTGACACGAGCTCGTTGCGCCATATGCATCAACCACATGTTCTGGTCTCGCCGCCGAATGTTCGAGTCTGACGACGCTGTCTTCGCTGTCTTGCAGATTCTCGAAAGATAATGCCTCTGTACCTCGCCTACTTTCCGAGGGAACGAACACGATTGAACCTATATCCAAGTCAGCATCGTATCAAAAAGTCTCCTGCCAATTGGACACGCGCCTTATGCAACATACCGAAGAAGCAGTAGAAAATGATCGACAGTGATCAACTGACCCCAACAACGAATCTGCCATCTTCTGGTAACCACCAAATCTCATCCTGCTCCAAATAATCCTCATCGCCTCCTCCCCACCTCCCTCACAACCCCCTCCCTCCAAAAGTCCATCCTCTCCAAATACCCCCTCGCATACCCCTTATCCTGCAACCTATCATGCTCCTCCACATACTTCAACATATTCTTCGCATCACTCAACAAATCCATCAAAACCGCCTCCCGCATTCTACAACCTTCGACATAAGCCATCATCCGAGCTTGTTCTTGTTTCCGTTTCATATTATGTGATTTCTCATATTTGAGTTCATTGGCTTCGCGTGATTTGCGAGTTTTGAGGAAATCGTGTTCGAGTCTGGAGATTTCTTTTTTGAGTTGTGCGCGTTGGGTTTTGGGGTCTGAGGGTGCGGTTTTGGGGCGTTTGTGGTGAGGGATGGGGAGTATGGTGTCTTTTTTGCTGAAGGAGACGGTTTTGGGGGTGCGGTGAGGCATGATTGTGGCGAGATGGGGTTCTGATCGTCTTGGAGGATGTGAGAGGGTGGGAGGGTAATGTAGTGGCGAGCTGATAAGTCGTGAATGAGGGTATAGTATGGCATGATGTATAGGGACCTGTTTGTTAGGGACACATGTGACGGGAATTGAGAATTTGTGTGAATGATGCTGGTATACAAACATCTGCCTATCTGACTCAAGAGCTTCAAGAAGGAGAACGAGAATTCGAGCTATGCCTCTATCATCCAGCGGCAATAAGTCTCGTGCGCTAAGTCAATGCGATGTCTGTCCTCCGCCCCTAATCAATCTCAATCTTGATCTTGCCTACGCCTCGATCGACGCAGCTCTGCATAGCTGTCTTTTTCTCCTCCTCTGACAGCACCTGGCTGTTGTAGGCCACCTTGCCTGCACACAACGTGACCTTGCACGCGCCACAACCACCTGTCTCACAGCTCGACATCACGTTGTCAAAGCCGGCCTCGTGCAGAACTTGAAGTAGCGTCTTATCGGAAGGCACCACCAGTGTCTCCTTGCGTTTGGTGTCCGGTTCATCGACCTCGACCTCAAAGGGATCGCCGAGGTCATCGCCGCGTGGTGCCGTGAAATCTTCGAAATGCACCATGTTTTCGGGGTAGCCAAGTTTGTCAGTGAGCTGCTTGCACGCCTGCATGAGTCGTGCTGGGCCACAGCAGTAGAGTTTGGTCTTCGAAGAAGGAGGTGGAATGATGCTTTCAACTTCAAGCCGCTCGTTGCGTGTCTTGCTGTACGTCGTGGTTGGCTGCTTGGGAAGATCATTGGCGTATGCTGCATCAGCATCGCTTCTCACAGCATAGTGAATGCTGAGAGGTACACCTTGTTGTTGCCACGATTTGATCTTTGGCAAGAATGCAGTGACACCAATGTCACCAATGATAATCAGACGGTGTGCGATGGACCCATCCTTCTCGCAAGATTTTTCGTCAGCCACGGCCTTAGGGCTGTCACCCGGCACCATTTGAACCTCGTCACCAACACGGAGTTGCTGGTGCAGATATGCCGACCCGCCTCGTGACTGGTCGTCAAGAGCCACACCTAAGCAGAAAGTCTTCATGTTGCCAGACACGATCGAGTAAGACCGCGACAGACTGAGATCCGGACCGAAACGAAGCTGCGCAAAAGCGAAGTCCTCGAAATCAGAGTTGGAGAGCTTCAGCGTGTCCAGCAGGCTGAATGTCAGCTGCTTGACGCGTGGCGTAACTTGCTCAATTTTGGTGACGGCGTATCGCTTCGGAGAAGATCGCAGTCGATGCAGAGCCATATCTCTGAATTTGGACGTAAGCACCTCCAGCTCGCTGCACTCCTCGACCAAGGACAGAGGAACTGCCTTGCCTTTTATGGCGCGCTGGACGTTCATGACGGACCACTTCGGATGCGGTCGCTCCAGAAGCGATATCGTATCGCCTTTCTTGACGTACCCAGTCTGCAGCACGCGGAAGTTCCACCCCACACGTCCCGTACGTTGCACGCGCTTTAGAACTCGAGGCCATTGGAAGCGGATATTGAGCTTATAGCACGGATTCCGCGGCTCGCTGACTTGCAGAATGATTTCCTCTCCGAGACGATAGAGGTCGCCAACACAAACGTTTTCTTCATTCATGTTGGTTGTGGTAAGGTTTTCGCCAAAGCCTCCGATGTCGAAGAGTGCTGGCGCCGGCGGTTCTTCTGCTCGCCAGTCGGCATAGTGATCAGGGTTGTATTGGTGGATAGCTCGGTCAATGCCTCCATGGTGCTTGTACACATGCTCGTCTCCGTCGAGTCCAGTCTTGCCTGCGAAGATCGACCCTTCAACCTGCAATTTATTGATAGCTGATTGTGTTGGACCGAATGCCTGTTTCTTGCCTGTACGGAGCTGGAGTACAACGCCCGGCAGAGGAAGAGGTGCTTCCTTGAGCTCGCGTACTTGCTCTCTGGCGATGTTGTTCTTTGCGGTCGCCATGTCGAGTGGGTTTATGGTTTCTGAGATTAGTGCTGGATGTGGAAGAGTTGATTCTCAGTGCCAAAGACTTGGTATATTGGTATATTAGGAAGACAAGATTTATACAAGAGGCGCAAGTTGTGATTTGCCGGAGTAAGGAAAGTGAATGAACACGAGTCATGTGCATGTTGGTGAATATACGGGGCAAATCTTCGTTTCTTCATGTCCGAATAGTCGCCAAAGGTGAATGACCGGAGTACCCTGTGAGTCATGGCCCTATGTGCTGCACACAATGAGTGCAGTGCGGTTTAGTTGCTGACAGCAGCATGTCGAACATTCACAAGATTTGATGCCGAAGCGTCAGATGCAACTGTGCTTGACCAGAGTAGTGCAGACAAGGAGAGCGGAAGAGCAGAAGGAAGGAAGGACTTCGGCAAACCGCGGCTCCACTTTTCTCAGGCGACCCTTCGTTCTGCGACCACAACAAAACAATCCCTCTCTACACAAGATGAGCTTTGCTGCAGCCACCGGTCGCGCAATATGCTCTTTCTTATACGATCGGATACTTCAGGTTGCTATGGCACGCGAATGCCGCAGCAAACACCAGAGCAGAACAGGCGGATCTTGCCCGGTCTTGCTATGCTCTGACACAGCAAAACGCGTCGTGCGCCGTGACGCTGAGAACGATAGGCACGCGATGAGAAGTTGACCCAGCGCAGCGGAGACCATGGTACGGATATCGTGTTCGAGAACAATAGGTAGGACATTTTGGTATTGTTTGCTCCCACCACGCACCTCTTTGTTTCGACGCGACACGTTTACCGAAAATGCAGAACACCATATCCTCGCGTTTCACTCCACTGCGAAGTTGTTCTCCAAGCAAGCATGGAGAAACACACCCAGCTGGTGGCGCAGATCGCCAGCAGCGTGAAGGAGTTCTACGACAAGAAGCAGAAATTTCGCATCTATCGTGGAGCTACGAACAGCAGTCGCAACCAGACCTTGCGCGACAAGAAGAATGTCGTGGATACGAGCGGACTAAACCATGTGCTCAAAGTTGATACGGAGAAGATGTTGGCGTACGTTGAAGCGAACGTGCCAATGGATAAGCTGGTAGAAGCTACCTTGGCCTACGACCTCACACCTGCTGTCGTGGCAGACTTCCCTGGTGAGTCACAACTGAAGGTCCTCGCTCTATATTCAGCTGTTGACATGTATAGGTATCACTGTTGGAGGTGGCTACTCTGGCACCACTGGCGAGAGCTCCTCTTACAAACATGGCTTCTTCAATCAGACTCTCGAGTCAGTGGAAATGGTCCTGGCAAATGGCGAGGTCGTTACATGCTCTGAGACCAATCTTCCGGACTTGTTCCATGGTGCAGCAGGAGGTCTGGGATCATTTGGTGTTGTAACCCTGCTCGCAATCCGCCTCGAGAAAGCGCAAAAATATGTCGAGACGACATACCATCCTGTCTCTAGCATCGAGGAAGCCGTCGAAAAGGTCAAACACTTCACTTCCGGTGCCCAATACGACAAGTCCGACTATGTTGACGGTATTTTGTGGTCAAAGACTTCAGGTGCTATTATTACTGGCCGACGCACTAACGAGCGCACTCCTGGTGTAGCCGTCGCTCGATTTTCTGCGCCCAGTGATCCCTGGTTCGCCTGGCACGTAGAGGAGCGTCTGAAAGCGAGCAACGGCCCAGTCACAGAGCTCATTCCGCTTCCAGAGTACTACTTCCGCTACGACCGAGGCGGCTTCTGGGTAGGCGCCAGCATTTTCGAGATGACGAAGGGCGCCGTTCCCTTCACCAAGCGCACGCGATACTGGCTGGACGATTTTCTACATACGCGAATGCTCTACGCAGCAATGCATTCGCTTTACCTCAATATTCAGATCATTCAAGACGTGGCTATTCCTATGTCAGCTGCAAAAGAGTTCATCGAATGGGAGACCGAGGAGATCAAGATCTGGCCGCTATGGCTCTGCCCTTTGAAACAGACTCCAGCTCCGACGTTACATCCCCACACTACGGAAAAGAAAGCCGACGGAAGTCCGGAGCTCATGCTGAACGTCGGAATTTGGGGGTCACCCATTGAAGCCGATCTCGACTGCTATCTCAAAGAAAACAAAGCCATTGAAGATAAGCTGCACGAGGTCGGAGGTATGAAATGGATGTATGCTGCGTCTTTCGCATCGGAAGAGGACTGGTGGCGACCATTCGATCGCAAGTGGTATAACAGCTTGCGCGAGAAATACCATGCCACTACGTTGCCGACCATCTTCGACAAAGCTCGACATGATCCAAAGAAGCTCGAGCAGCATGTCGAAAATTTCAGCTGGAAAGATGCTCTGCCTATCATGTTGTTTAGTGGAGGAGGACTTGCTCTAGGCAAAGCATGGCTCAGTGGTGAGTGGAGAAAGAAGAGGAAGTCTACTTGGATGAACTGGGTTCCGAGAGGTAAAGGTGAGTAAGCGTCGTATCGTGGATGCGGCAGGAAGTGGGAGTATTGATACAAAGCTCATCAATGTTAAATCCTTTCGGGCCCTATCTTGATCACGGGCAAGATCCTTCACAGCTGCACCGTATCTGATCCCCACCCCACCTCTGAAAGCCATGTCCTCACAGCCGTACGATTTCGATATGCCCAAATACATTAACGGAAATTTCAGCCGGCTCGCCTTGTGCGTATCACAAGAGAGCAGCAAATCCGTTAGATTAAAGCTGCACAGCATAAAAATCAAGCCGAGTTGTGCATCTAACCTAGGCTATGAGCTCCGCAAGCTGAAAGGCAATGTGGCGCCCTGCGTACGAAACCGAGTCTAGCGGTCCGCAGCACAATCCTATATATGCAGGTCGGGAGGACGACATCACAGCTCAGCTCGTATTTCCGATTGCCCGAGCTCTCACTCAAACCAGTCATACAAATCTAAGTCTTCGATTTTGCATCTCAGAGTAACAGTCTCTAGTTCCCCCCAGACAACATGGCTTTACAATTCGATCCAGAGTATGCCGCTGCCGTAGCCCCTCTCGCTGAGGTCATGGCAGCGATGCCGAAGGTGTGTCACTAGAACGACTCACAAGGGTAGAGACATCCATTCTCTGACGCAAAATCCACAGCTTCCACCCGGCGACGTTCAAAACCGTCGAGATACAATCCACGCCATGTTTAAACAAATGAGCGCCGCTCTACCAGATATTCCCTCGGTTAAGAGAACAAACCACACGATCAAGTCTTTTGACGGCACAGTCCTCACCATTTCTGAGTTCCGCAAAGAAGGTACTCCGAAAGGTGGCAGAGCGATCTTTCATATTCATGGAGGTGGGATGATCCTTGGGTCAGTTGATTTATTCGAGAAGGGTACGGCGAAGAAGTGCGAAGAATGGGGAGTTCCGATCTTCGCGGTGGGTTACAGATTGGCGCCGGAGAATCCTCATCCTACTCCTGTGTATGACTGTTGGGCGGGACTGCAGTGGGTGAGCCAGAATGCCGAGAAGCTCGGTATAGATGCTAGCAAGATTGTGGTGATCGGAGAGAGTGCGGGCGGTGGTCTTGCTGGTGAGTCCGGTTCACTCTATATCTCTGCCTGACTGCGGCAGAACATTGACATTTCGCGTGAACAACAGCCGGAACCTGCCTTCTTGCACGCGATCAGAATCTCTCCCCACCAGTCGCCAAGCAAGTCCTCATCTTCCCCATGCTAGACGACCGCAATCTCACCCCTCTCCCTAACATCGAAGAACTCGCAACCTGGAAAGTCGACGACAACATCACCGGCTGGAAAGCTCTTCTCGGCGACAAAGCCGGCTCCTCAGACCACAAAGCTGTTTCAGAATATGCTGCACCAGCGCGAGCAGAGAATCTTGCAGGCTTACCGCCGACATATATCGACTGTGGTCAATTGGATATCTTCATCTATGAAGACACCAAGTACGCGAGCCGCTTGATTGAGGCTAAGGTGCCGACGGAATTTCATGTGTATCCGGGTATGCCGCACGCATACATGGCCTATGCGCCGAACGCGACGTATTCGAAGCTACATGAGCAGAACGTCCGGAGCGCCATATTAGCAGCCTAGACTTTGGATTGTGAGCAAGCAGACTATACTTATTAGTAGAATAAGTCTTCACCACGACCAGACTGCCACCGTGTCGGTGCGATGCAACTCTGGCCGAGCATAATGCGCATGGCAGCTTTGTTACCTCCACTAGAGCTGAATAATTTCCGTAATGATTTCTTTGGTCTTGTCTCTCACGTTCCCAGGCGTTGTCGTGGAGCAGCAAGTCCCATATCAGAATGTCATTCTTTGAAATGCCAGTGGCTCTCATGCTCGCTCGCCACGCTCAAGGATCGTCAATGTTACACAGCATAACGAGCGTGAGATGGCGTTAGGCGAGATTTCAGACGTGAAGTCCAGGCCCGCCACAGCTACACAGCTCGAGCATACCCATGTAGCACACATGCTAACAATAACAAACCATCGACGATTTTATCGCGCCATCCGCGGATGCAAAAGACATTCACTAGCTTCGTCGTCCAGACTTCCAATCATCGTCTGGAACCGCAGGTACTTCCAGTGTATACCTCTCGATGTTTGAGGCACGATCGTGCGACAGAGCGTTCCCGTGCACGGTGGACCTCATGCGGTCATGAAGAATCATGGGCTGACATGCTCTAGCGCTGGTCCAACGTGTGCCAATGATTGATATATCACGCTTCCTTGAGCCCGGTCTCGACAAACACATGAGCTAGCGCTGGGGCAGGCAGTGCCAATCAAGTCATATACCTAGAGGATGCACAGAAGTGGCAGCACTCACATTATTTCACACGACCATTTGGGGTGTATGTCACAGTGACAATCGGCATCTCGTCGGCCTTTGAAGACCTGGCCGATGCGTTAGCGGGGTTCGGGGCAGCTCTCTCCGGGCATTGAATTGTATCCACAATCAACCACCGACCACGGCATTGAACCAGCATGTGGAGTGCTTGACTACTGTCTTGCTGTTCTCACTGTGTGTTTCGTGACTGTTGTTTTATTGACCCAAGTCTTGTCTGTTCACCGCTTTCTCACGAACTTCTAGCAAAATGCTGATCAAGACGATTGAATACTTCCGTCTTCCTCCTCGATGGCTGTTCGTCAAGATCACGGATGATGCTGGCAATGCTGGCTGGGGAGAGGCCAGCTTGGAGGGCCATACGGAGGCTGTGGAGGGCTGTTTGGACTCGTTCGCCGAGAGGTTCGTTGGGCAAGAAGCGGACGATATCGAGCACATCTGGCAATTGGGTTATCGCATGGGTTTCTACCGGGGAGGACCTGTGCTGATGTCGGCACTGTCAGGCGTGGACATTGCTTTGTGGGACCTCAAGGCGAGGAAACTGAATCTGCCAATATATCAGCTGCTAGGTGGTAAGGTGAGGGATCAGCTCAGAGTTTATGCTTGGATTGGAGGTGATCGACCGAATGACGTGGAAACCATGGCCAAGGGACGACTTGCAGCTGGATTCACGGCGGTCAAGATGAATGCCACAGAGGATTTGGGATGGCTTGATTCACCGAGCAAGCTCGATGCATGTCTCGAGCGTGTGAAAACGGTGAGAAGTCTGGGGCTGGATGCTGGCGTGGACTTCCATGGAAGAGTCCACAAGCCAATGGCGAAGCAGTTGGCCAAGTTGCTCGAGCCTGAGCGACCGCTCTTCATCGAAGAACCTCTGCTATCTGAGAATGTTGGAGAGATCCAGGAGCTGTCTCGTCATGTAAGCACGCCTATCGCGCTCGGAGAGAGGCTCCACAGCCGATGGGATGTCAAGCCCTTCCTCGAAGCAAGGTGTGTCGATGTGATCCAGCCAGACATCGCTCACTGTGGAGGTATCTCTGAGACGCATCGCATAGCCAAGATGGCCGAAGCGTACGACATTGCACTCGCTCCACACTGTCCACTGGGACCTATTGCTCTGGCGGCGAGCGTCCAGGTGGATGCTACATGTGCCAACTTCGCGATCCAAGAAATGCCACTAGGAATCCACTACAACGTTGGCGGATCTGATTTGACGAGCTATCACACGAATCCCGAAGTGTGGGACGTCAAGGATGGGTACATCAAGCTCATGTCTGGTCCTGGCTTGGGCATAGAGATTGACGAAGACGCTGTGCGCGCGGCCTCCAAGAACATCGCAGCATGGCGCAGCCCGCATTTCGTAGGTCCTGGAGGAGAAATCCGCGAGTGGTAGACGCCCATCCTCAGTGCCGGGTAGCACGACATGTTCTTCTAGAGGCAGGCATCGCCTGTGCTGTTCATATGTTGTATGGAGCTCACCGCCCCTATCGCATTGCCCGAAACCCCGAGCCCGTTGGTTAGTGATTCTTTGCTTAGTGATCCGTTTCAACCGCGACTTGAATCTCCTCCTTTGCCTTGTCTCGAATTCGCGTCGCGCGTATTGCCCTGGTCTCCGCTCGAGTGTGTTGTGCCTTGCTCTTCTCAGTCCTCTGCCAATGCTGCAGCCACCCTTCACGTCGTCCACGCGCAAGCAGCGTGCGCCCGACACCTCGTGCGCTTGTGTCTCCTGTGCAGTGTGTGCGATGTTACAGTGTTGTCGGTGGCACTTGGCGCGCCGCGAAAGACAAGTCCACAAGTCGGGCAGATTGACTTTGGAGCTTCCACCAGCACGGGATGGGATCGCCAGGCACGCGATGTTGACTGCGCGTGATGCCTCCAGCAAACACAGCTTCGTGCAAACGCGATGCGGGGAATACCACCTTCTCCAGGCGCTCGAGAGGGTGTCCGGACTCCTTTTTGCTGCGGGAGTGAGTCTGCACTCCACACTGGCAAGCGAACAACGTGACGGCATATCACTCCTCCTCCTTAGCATCTCTGTCTGCATTACCTTCACGGCGGCGAAACAGTGCCGCTCGCAAAGATGCATTTCTCTTCGTTCATTCATTCTGCTCTACTCTTAACTTCAGCTACAGCACATGTACCACTCAAATTCACCAGACAGGCCACGAACGAGACGCAGGCATATCAGCTTCAGACACCTCCTCTAGACACCGATTATACCAGTAGCGTGGGCACCAAGCCTTGGCCACAGCACCCAAGGCCAAAACTCAAGCGTGATCAATGGCAGAATTTGAGTGGCATCTGGCAGTATACGAATGCCTCCAGTCTGGACGCTCTGAACAACCCTCCTTTCGGCCAGAACCTTGCTAGGGAAGTACTTGTGCCTTTCTGCCTTGAATCTGGACTCTCCGGCATTCAAGGGGAGAACTTATTGTACTCGTGGTACCGCACTACATTCGACGTACCAACAGACTGGACTGGCGGTCGTGTACTTCTCAACTTCGACGCTGTAGACTACGAAGCGACAGTCTTTGTGAACGGCCAAAACGTTACTTTCCACCGAGGTGGCTACTTTGCTTTCTCGGTCGACATCACGGACGCGCTGCAAGCAGGAGGCAACGGCACGAACGAGCTTGTCGTCTTTGTCCACGACCCAACGGACAGTGATCCATATGTCATCCCCATCGGCAAGCAGACCCTGAGGCCCTCGCACATCTTCTACAGGCCTTGCAGCGGCATCTGGCAGACGGTCTGGCTCGAATCTGTGCCCACCAATTATATCAGCTCGCTCGATGTCAACGGAGACGCTGATGGCAATCTCAACATTACAGTGACTGCCGCTGACAATTCGACTTCTGATGTCGAGGTCACGGTCTACGAAAAGAACACCACCAATTCTGTCGCAACCGGAAGTGGCAACTCTGGCTCTGCTTTCAGCATCAAGGTGGACTCTGTACGACTATGGACTCCGGAAAACCCAACTCTGTACGACGTTGTCGTCAAACTTGGAGACGATGAGATTCAAAGCTACAGTGGATTCAGAACCATCAGTCGAGGCGAAGTAAATGGTGTGCAGCGCATCCTGCTGAATGGTGCCTCTTACTTCCCATTTGGAACCCTTGATCAAGGGTATTGGCCAGATGGGCTCTACACACCCCCAACGTACGATGCAATGGTATACGATTTGAAGGTCTTGAAAGACATAGGTTACAACATGTTGCGCAAACACGTATGTATCTGCTTCTAGCGGTCATGAGCATAGCTGACATTGGCAACCAGATCAAGGTGGAGCCTCCGCTGTTTTACGAAGCAACTGACCGCCTAGGATTACTCGTGATGCAAGACATGCCGTCCCTACGACCTAGTCAGTCAAGGACATTAGAAGATTGCACCTCAGTCACTATACTTCCGGATGCTGCTCAACAACAAGAATTTCAGCGCCAGTTAGAGGTCTTGGTCACTCAATTCCGCTCATACACTTCCATCTTCTCCTGGGTCATCTACAATGAGGGCTGGGGACAGATTACAACGCAACCATATCCGGAATTCGGATTGACCGACGTCGTGAGAAGTCTAGACCCAACTCGACTTGTGAACGCCAACACTGGTTGGTATGACCATGGCGCAGGCGACTTCAGTGACAACCATCACTATGCTAACCCTCAGTGCGGAACACCTTGGTATTCGATCAACAGCTCGCCTCACGACCCATCACGTATTGGATTCCAAGGCGAGTTCGGTGGCACTGGACACAATGTTTCTGCGGAAAACCTCTGGAAGGTCGAGCAAGCCATCAACCAGATCAATCAGACATATGAGATTGATGAGACTCTCGATATCTGGAATTACAGAGGTCACTTTCTGCTTAACGAGCTTTTGTCTCAGGTTGAGCTGTACTCTTGTGCTGGAGGTGTCTGGACTCAAACGTATGTATACTTGCATTCTTGCTATACTGAACATTTATTGACATCACTTGTAGTACTGATGTCGAGGGCGAAGTCAACGGCATGCTCACCTACGACCGTCGCATCATCCGCCCTGACCTGGAACAATGGAATCGTGATATTCAAGCTTTGTATAATGCGAATGCTGCAAGGAGCAATGCCACTGCGCCGACATTCGCGCCCACAGTGGCTTACACCCCGGTTGCGACACCTTGGAACCCTTCGTACTATGATCAGTATGTCTGGCAACCCGCCGGACCTGCGCAGACTACTGGTGGCGGAGGGGTACCAGGAGGTTGGGATGTGTAGGTCGGGGAATCTTGGAATGGAACCTGATAAACACGGCATTTCGTAAATACACCTACAGTCATGAGTAATGAGATTTACCGACTTCTGCGGTCGGATTGTGACCGGCTTCATTCGCTTTCGGTCTTTGCGCTTCAAGACTGGCGTTTCTAAAGTCGTATCTGACCGCGTGCTCCATAGATCTGCCTTTCCAGAGAGACGCATGCTGCTCCTCGGCCTTGTGTATAGTCATAGTTGTGCGCGCCGCCCTCGCCACAGGAGGATGCCCTTTCGGATCTGCTCGCATACGCTGCTCGTCAATGGATCGCCTGCACATTCGCCTCTTGCTTTGGAAGCTGGGTGCCGTCAGGTTTGGACAACAGGACTGCGTCGGAGGGGCATGTTTGTGACGTCCACAGATCCGTATCGCATTCTCCCACTTCCTGAAGCTTCGCCCGAATCAAGGAGACGTCCAAAACCGCAGTCTAGATTGTCACACCTTTCGCCCAGGCGTACACATCTTCCAGCACGCCCACATCTCCCATGCGCCGCCCATTTTGACTCCCTCATGCCGAATTCCGTCGCCCCTCGCTCCAGAAATAGGGCTTCAAACACGCCCTCCGATTCATCATATCTTATACGGCACCTCCATATGATGCGGACTCCACACACCTCTCACACTCTCATTCAAACTCTTCACAGGCTTCGTCACCCTCCTCAATTTCTCCCCATTCGCATTTCTCAGCAATAAAACTTTCTGCATAATTTCATTCGGATCCATGTTTCTCACGCAGACGGGTTTCGTTCGGCCATTGATGTAGGTACCTGTGATGACGGGGTGTCGGCCGGGACGAGGGGAGACGGTGATTTCGATTGAGGGGTTTTGTTTCGCGAAGGCGGAGAGGTGGGATTTTATGAAGGCGCTGGATGGGATGTTAGGCGGTGTGGGAGGGTGAGATGCGGAGGGGTGTGGACGTACTTGAGGCCTCTACTGCTGCCGGCCCAGTCGCAGTAGTGGAAGTCGAGGCGTTTGCATTGGAGGATGAAGGCGCCGACGCCGTTCTGGGAGGTTGTTAGAGATGAAGTTGCTGAGTGGCGATGACGGATATACTTGTGGCTTTGCTACCGACCGTAGCGCTGCGAGAGGCATATTGACATTGCTCGAATGGATGATGGTGGAGTGAGGTCGCAGCGTGGATGGGATGGGTGTGCTGGCTGGCTATGGAGGCACTTCCGCGGCGTTTCAGCCAATGAAAGCCCCGGTCGATTCATGGCACGCTAGCTGATGGCTGCATATCCAGACTTATGGACCGTGACACGGCACCGAAAACCGTTTCTCCACCTGCATTTACTGTCAAAATTTATTTTGGCTCGGCTTTCTTCGTTCGTTACCACTTTGAGCTGTTCAACACGGAGAACATGTAAGAATCAGCTGATCCAGCGAGAGAAAACATTGATCGCCGTCTGAAATCGGCACAGATTGAAGAAGCTACTTTTGTGATGCAGACATTACATAGTCATGTGTCTCCGGTTCGGTTCCTTCTGAGTGGAGAGTGCTCACCAATACCTCGTACCGTTGTCCTGTTCGCCCTGGGGTTGAAGCTCAAAAATACCATCTATAACCTCTGCACAAGTCCATCTCAAGATGCTTGCAGTCCATCGTGGATCTGCTCCGCTAGTGTTCGCGCGCTTAGAGTCGTTCCCATGATATCCGATGTCGGGATTTTCACATCATAGGTTGCAAACACCCAGTTCCTCAGCGCGATGCCGATCATGGAGTCCATACCAAAGTCGATCAAAGGTTTCAACTCATCCACATCGTCCGCCGAAATACCAAAGGTTTTTGCAAGATACCTCTGGACAGCTTCCAAGAGGGATGGAAGATCATGACCAGGTGCAGCTTGCTTATCGTTGCCGTCCGAGCTTTCTGCTAGTTTCTCTTCTAATGCCACTGTGAGAGGACCCAGACGAGGCTGGTGCCAGAAGCGGTTGCCGGAAGTGAGAACATCGGGCGAGATCTTGGCTGGGTCAAGTCCGGAGATCAGCAGAGCAGTTGCATTATCGTCGCCAGTCCAGGTCGGCTTCGGTTGCGGAAGCATAGCTGTCTCCATCAGATCGATGAACTCTTTCTCGTTGATAGCTACCAGTCCAGTGTGAGCAAGTCCTTGCTCAATCTTCTCGTCTTGGGACACGAAGCCAATTTCTTGTACCATTGTAAGAGCGATCGTCGTAGCAGGAAGACCTTGTTGTCTGCGATGGCGTGCGAAAAAGTCCATGAAGGTGTTTCCGGTGCAGTAGTTCGACTGTGTTGCGTTTCCGGTCATGCCTGCGATCGAAGACAACATGATGAAGAATTCCAGTGGTTGGCCGAAAAGTGCTTCATGTAGGTTCAATGTTCCATGAATCTTGGGACGAATCGCCGCATTCCACTGATCCAGATTGAGCTTGTCAAAACGGAAATCTTGCAACGCCATCGCTCCTTGTACAACGCCGAGGACTGGGACAGCAGCGTTGGCGACCGCACGCTCGACATCGGCTTTGCTGCTCACGTCGCCTTTGATTACGTTGACTGTGACGCCGCGAGCTTGCAGCTGGCACACAAATTGAGCAGCTGCTTTGCTGCTCGCGCCGGAACGACCCAAGAAGGTCAAGTTGCGGGCGCCTTTCTCGACCATCCAGCGTGAGAGGCAGCGACCAAGCCCCCCAAGACAGCCAACCAAAAGGTATGTCCCGTCAGACCTGAACTTGACGCCTTCAGCATTTTCTTTCACCTGGAACAAGTTAGTTGATGCTCTGAAAAAGCGAGTCGCAGCCCCAACACTTACCTTCAATGGCTGGCCATCGAAACTGACAACGAGCTTGCCGATGTTATCGCCATGGGAGACTTGTTGAAAGGCGACATCAATGTCGCCGGCGCTGCAGGTGTAAGTTGGGTGCAGAGGCTTGATTTTGCCTTCTCGGAAGTACTGAAGCACCTCTTGCATGACTCCGGCAAGAACATGGGGACGCTCCTCAGCCAGAGCTCCCAAGTCAAAGGCGGTGAAAGTTGCACTGCGTTTGAAGACCTCAAAGTCAAGACTGCCGTGGTCCAATGAATCGTGGCTTCCGAAATTGACGTAGCGGCCATCGACGGCCATCAGACCCCATGATGCGTGCAGCAGCTCGCCTTCCAAAGAACTTAAACAGACGTCAATTCCATAGGCTTTCGTTGTGTCCATTATTTCATGCGCAAAGCCAGTGTCCGCAGAGCTGAAGACATGTGCGTTGTCAAGACCGTAGTGCTTCATGAGAAAGGCCTTCTGCTTTTCTGTAGCAACGGTCGCAAAGATCTCTGCGCCTACCATCTTCGCCACTTGTATAGCAGCTAGGCCAACGCCATCCGTGGCGGAGTGAATCAAGACTCTCTCCCGCCAACGGAGACGGCCCCGATGCAGGAGTCCATAGATGGCCGTAGAAAAGGCAAGAGGCATCGCGGCGACCACTTCCAGCTTGTCTGTGTGCGAGAGCTTGTGGACATGAATGGCGTCGAAGCGCTCGACATTCGCGAAAGCGCCCTTTCCGATCCATGTCACGCAGTCACCGACAGCAACTTTGGTGACTCCCGGTGCCACACGACGGATGATCCCAGCACCCTCGTAACAGTGAGATTCGAAATCAGGGTCTCCTTGAAATTTCGCAACGTCTTTCATGCTCAAGCCAACAGACTTCACGGCGACCTCGACTTGCCCAATCTTGAGAGATGAATCGCGATCGTCTGCGACGAAGTGAAGCGTGTCGAAGGCGCCGACTCGCTCGATAGCGAGACGAACTGGCGATTCCGAAGTAACCGATTTCTTCGTGAGCTTGTTGCTGGTTTTCTTCTGGACCTCAGCATCGAGCGTAACGTCCTCGCTCAACCGGCTCACGTAATAAGCACCATTCTTGACCACGAACTCGTTATCACCCGCGGCATCCTCGGCGTCAATGCTGTGCAGGAGATACGCTACCTGGCAAGCACCCAGTTTCGCGTTCTTGTGATCGAGGTCGATCGTGTAAAATTGCAGGGCCAGATTCTCATTCTGCAGAGTGCGTGCAAGACCAAGAATGGCAGCAGCACGTGCATTAGCCTCGCCGAGGAGGTTGCCAGTGGTAGTCCAGACGACAGTACCGGCCTTGTTCGCAATCGCTTGCAGGTTCCCAAACTCCACTGGGTCAAGGGTATCAAACAAGCTGTCCCCGAATTCGACGATTGAGACATAAGTTGCGTTGTCTTTCGCCACGAAGTCGTGACTCGCGAGACTTGCACGAGACACCTGGAAGCCGGCTTTCTTAAGACCTTTGTGAAAGACCTCAGTCACATTGCAGTCTTCTTGGCGAGAAAGAAGGATGAGATCCGCAGTCCTCTGCTGCGACGAAACCTCTGCAGTGAGCAGTGTCCAGCCAGTTGGTTGCGAGTCGGCGAAGCGAACATCAAAGTCTTGCTTCTTGATGGCTTCAGACCAGTTGTCGAAAGGTTGGCTGGAAAAGGACTCGCCCAGCCCCGAGGCTATGGTGTCCAAGATATGGCCAGTGTCAGCATCCAGATCATGACGACCTTCGGCGATAAGAAGTCGTCCTCGCTCCTTGAGATGTCGTTTCATGTCGTTGAGAAACTCGTTCAGGATGACGGGTTTCTGTAAATAGGACGGCGGCTGTGCAATGACAATGAGATCGTAGGCAGTCGCCATTTCATCCGGGAAAGCGAAAATGTTGCTCTCGGTGAATAGAACCTGACGAAAGTCCGCAAGACTCCGAACCAGAGTAGAATTTGCCTGACCGTTCGTCACGACAATGTCCAGTGTGCGATAGCGCTTGAGTGATGATTTGCTCTTAAGCGTAGATTCGAGTGTGCGGAAGATGTCGGTGTTGTTTCCGTCCACCAGAAGTAGGATATCCAGGTTGGACCGCTTGTGGGTGACGAGGTCGAGAGCTTTCTGGAATGTCTCTGGCATGACCCCTTCGCTTGGTGGTCGATAGTCCTTACCAAGATGCCGGAAGGTGTTCAATACCAAACTTTCAAGCTCGAAGATCTCCTCACCCATGCCTTCGCTCCCGAAATCAAGAGAGGGCTCTTCCACGGCCTGAGAAGCATAGTTTCCGGGCAGAGCTTCGAGAACAGCTTTGGCTATTGGATGAGTCAGGCGCGTCCTCGCTGTCGAGACCAAGCTTTCTGCCCACATCCGTAATAGAGCTTGTGGAACTCGAATTGGGGTTGCAAACGCATTAGGGTGGTCCACATCTGGCTTCCAAACTACACGAAGGTGAGGATGGCTGTCAGGCTGAGTATTGGATATCAGCTTGTCCGCGTACTTGACACAATTGATCCGGTCGATGGCAAAGAGCGGGCGACCTTCCGGATCAAAGAGTTGCATTGTTCCAACAAGCTTGCGCTCACCGCTCTTGCTGCCAACTGCCAGTACGCGTCCATCTGCTGGTTGCAATGCAGGAATGTCACGGCCGTCGTAGTTCCAGACGACCAGATTGTCCATGCTGACTGGGATGAAGGAGTGACGGAGATCCTTGAGCGAACCGTGATGAGCAGCTATCAACGCTGCTTGAATGCATGTGTCCATAGTTGCTGGGTGCACCAAGTAGCGGGAGTCATCTTGATCAACGCCCGCGGGCAGCAACTTCGTCAAAGCGGTCACTTCGTTCTCCCACGGATCGGATCGAATGTCGCTCAAACCACTGAACGCGGCGCCATAGTTCAGATCGACATTGGAGAAGCCTCGATACCATGTATGGGCTGTCTTTGGCTCTTGCAGCTTGGCTTCTTCGAAAAGTGGCTGCATTGGGTCGCCTCGCTCAATCTTGACTTTGCCTGTAGCGTGCTCCGTCCAGATGCCGTTGCTACAGGATTGAATGGAAAAGACAGCAGTCTCTTTGGATGCAGTGGAGTCAGAGATCTGCTGGAATTGCATGCTCGTCAGAACCTCGACGTGAGTACCTGCGGTTGGCAGGTTCAGTGCTGCTTTGATGGTGATCTGAGGGAAGACGTAGCGGAATCGATTCCTGAAGATGAGAAACTCGGAAAAGAACTGGCGCGCGGCTTCGACCGCGATTGCGATGTATCCCATGGCTGGAAACACAGGTTGCACCGACAGCTTGTGCTGCTCTAGCCATGACAGACCTTTGAGATCCAGGAGGTTTCGCCATTGTGGCCTGTCCCGAATGCCGCCAGTAATCCTAGAGCCTAGAAGATCATGCCGTGGAAACTTGCGCAGTCGGTACTCTTCAGTGAATCTGTTCTTGAGACGAAGGTTTCTGCCGTTCTCATAATTCCATTTGTAGGGTGGGAGGTCCACTAACGTTTTGCCAGCAGTACGCTTCAAGGTGCCATCTACCATCCGCTCGATGGAGTTGACCGCAGCGAGGCTAATGTCGTGACCTTTAATGAACAAGGCGCCGGCGAGGTCCAGCATCTTCAAGGTACTGTTGTGTCCCCGCACGAGTGATGCGAAATATGCGAGTTCCTCGTGCTTTCTGTCGAGCTTGTCTCTCAGCTGTCGGATGGGGGACGCAAGTGTGCAGTGGGGGCCTATCTCAATGATGGTGTCCAATTTGAGCTTGGTGCTGGACAGCAAAGCATGCAGTGCTTGAGAGAAAAGCACTGGAGATTTCAAATTCTTTGTCCAGTATTCAGGTCCCGGGCGGAAGCCAGTTTCCATCACTGTGCCGTATACCGAGGACGAGAATACGGCATCGCGTGCAAGCTTGCCTGATCTCTGCGCGATGCTATCATTCAGTTTGAGGGCGTGTTGTAAATTGTCGAGGTAGCTGATTGCTGGCTCTCCCATGTGGTGTGAATGGTAGGCTCGCCCGCCCGTATTGATCGCTCTCGTGAAAATGTTGTCCCTCTCAAGCTTTGCTTGAACGTGTGAGATGGCATCTGCGCCGCCACTCAAAGTCACCGAAATGGGCGAGTTATAGCAAGCAATAACGACGCCGTCTTCCAGATATGGCTCGCACTCTTCCGCGCTCAAGCCCACTGCAATCATTTGGCCCTTGTCATTACCATCAACGACGGCAACACCACGAAAGTAAGCGAAAATTATAGCCTCCGACCTGGAAATCGTGCCAGCAGCGTACGCAGCAGCAATCTCACCCGAAGAGTGGCCAACAGTCGCCTTTGCTCTTACGTCCCAAGTGTCCAACAGATCGACCAGAGCAATTTGAACAGCAGTGCAGAGAGGTTGAGACAACTGCGCCTCCTGCACCCGACTTGCGGTTTCCGCCTTGAGCAGTTCAGTCTCGAGCGACCACGGGGGTGCATGCTTTCCCAGGGATTGGAGGACTTTGTCAAGTTCTCGAATGCTTTGCAAGTACGACGGGAAATCTTGCATAAGGTCTTTGCCCATCTGCACGCTTTGACCTCCTTGCCCATTGAAGACAAAAACGATGTTGGCTCCATGCCCTCGCTTGCCAATGCTGATTGCCTGCTCTTCGAGGTCATGGGCAGTGGACGTCTTATTGACGACCGCATAGCCTCGATGAGAAAAGCGTGAGCGCCGAGCAGCAAGCGTATAAGCCAAGTCTTCGGTATCGTATTGGTCGGCCACATCACGCGTGGCTGCAATGTTGGCTCTGAGCGTATCAAGGTCATGAGCCGAGAACGGAAGGAGGAATTGTGTTCTCTCCTTGGTGAAGAATGTAGATTCTCCAGAGCCCATGGTACCGGTGATTTTTGCCGTAGTGACATTTTGTCTTGAAGTTTCACGCGTTTTGAATGACTGGTAACCGGGCAAGACCGATGATACTGCCTCGACGATTGCGTGACCGTTGGCGCCTCCATATCCGAACGAATTCACACTAGCACGCCGGATTTCATGTTCAGTGGGCCAGTGTCTGTTCTCCTGTACCACCTCCAGTTCTCCGCCGCGGAAGTCGAGTTGCCCGTTCAATTTCTTGATGCCAATAGTCGCGGGTATCGTACCTTTCTCCAAGATGTAAGCGGCCTTCAGAATGGACGCTATAGCAGAAGCAGCTTCGGCATGGCCAGTGTTGGGCTTCACGCCGCCGAGCAAAAGGGGGTGTCGTCGCCGCTGGCCCGTTGATGATGCAAATACATCTGCGATACCGTGCAGCTCAATGGGATCGCCAACGGAGGTCCCTGTGCCATGTGTCTCGAAGTAGCCGGTTTCGTCAAGATCCGAAATCTTCGCGAATCCGTAAGCGTCGCGGATAACTGCGCTTTGACTTGTGGCACTTGGTTGTGTGATACCGCTGGTCTTGCCACAAGAGTTGACAGCAGTACCTCGAATCAGGCCACGGATTGGGTCGCCGTCGCGGAGAGCGTCAGACAAGCGTTTCACGTAGATGGCACCCACGCCTTCTCCGCGACCGTAGCCGTCAGCAGAGGAATCGAAGGTGTGACTGTGAGAAGTCGGAGACAGCACACCCATCGCATCGGTGCTCATGTGGTTCTCGATTGACTGAATGAGATTCGTGCCGCCAATGATGGCGCCATCGATCTCACCAGATGAGAGAGCACGGCAGGCCATGTGAGTTGCGTACATGGACGAAGAGCAGGCCGTGTCAAGCGTCACGCTCGGTCCAGTGAGGTTGAAGACGTAACTGATGCGATTTGCCAGTATTGTCACACCCTGTCCAGTCATGCTGTAGTCGCGAGGGTAATCTGCATCACGTAGGTTCTGCACGCCATAATCGTAGTTGAAGTTCCCGACGTATACCCCAGTCTTTGAGCCGGAAACACGCTCAAGAGTAATGCCGCCTTGTTCGAGGGCTTCGTACACAGTCTCGAGCAGCTTTCGTTGCTGAGGATCCATGGCCTCAGCCTCAGACTTCGTTATGCCAAAGAATGGCGAATCGAAGTCATAGATGGTGTCAGAAACGAAGCAGGCGCCTTCGGGTCGTATTGATCCGGGCCTCTTCTTCTTGGAATGAAAGCCTTCTATGTTGAATCGTGAGGGCGGTGGCCGCGAGAAGCCATTGCGCTTCTCGAGCAGCATATTCCAAAACTCATCTGGTGTGTTCGAGTCGCCAGGGAAGCGACATCCTGCAGATCGCGGTCAGCGCTGAAACGATTTCCATTGCAAAAGGCTCATACCCATGCCGATGATGGCGATTGCCTCAGGCCCGGCGTGCTGAAGGGGCTGTGGACTGCTTGTTTGTGCCTTAGGGCTGACTCGAAGAGCCTCGTTCGTGGACCACTTCGGCGCCATGGCGCTGGAATTGTTGTAATTGCTGGCTGAGTTAGTGGCTCAAATTGTTGTAATTGCTGATTGAGTTAGTGGCTCCATGGAAAAGCGATGAATGAGACATGGACACGACCAGGTAATGGACAGCAGCAGGTGACTGGACACGAGCAGGTGAATAATCACGAGCAGGTGAATTGGTCAGGCGGTCGAGCAAGTGAGGGCGACGACATGTGAAAGGCGTGATACTGTACTCATTCACCCTACGGACCTCACGGTCGCTGGCGAGCGTGATAGTGAACGCGATAGTGAGCAGTCTGTTTCGGTCGACGGCATTTTGGAGAGGGCGCTCGTATCCATCGTGGCAGCGACCACGGACGCACAGATTCACGACCATTTCCGAACAGCCCGACGGCCCTTAGTGCTGCTCAGCCGCCGCGTAGATGATGAGCGCGCTCGCTCCGGGGAAGCAGCAGATCAATTTCGACGTTCCCAGGTTTGCAAACCGGGCAGGGGTCGGGTCGGCTGGATCAACGTGCAGCCGAGTAGCCGGGCGTACCCCGCTGCCCAACGTCGCTCTTGGCTGCCAGTCCCAAATGGTGCTGACCGTCAATTTTCCGATGGCATTGCCCCAAAGCTCCGAATGCGCCGCCCTACGACTCGCGCGTGGTGTGCGATAGCAGCAGCGGCGGCGGCGGCGCTGCGAAATTTGCACTGAGCGCGAGACTCGTCGCCGCCAGCCTCCGGACGACGGCCCATCGCAGTGCACCACGCTCGCCCAATATCCGCCGCGCCTTCGCCCACGGCTATCCCGCACGCACCGGTCCGCCATTCTGTCCTGTTGCGGCAGGAGGAAGCACTGCCTGCGGGCTCGGGATATGCCAGTGGTGCGCCCCCCCCCCCCCCCC